GCAAGTAGTGAAGTGATACTGTTGCAAATACCTTATCTAAATTTATTTTGAAACATCAGATTGGCTGGTTTTCGTAATATGTATGAAACTTGGCTTAATTTCGATATGTGCTCATATTCTCTTGTTCGGAATATCGCAATTATTGCAGAAGAAGGCTGAGCAAAATTTAAAAAGGAAGAGACCAAAACTAATTTTAAATTCAAAAAAAGTTTTCTTTTTTCCGAATGCGCTGCTTTCCTTCTCTTCCCTTAGTATTAAATTTTTCGTTGTTTTTCATAGTTCCGCCCTTTATTTGCCGCAGAAATTACTTTTCACATCATCATAAAAGAATTTTGCTTCCTTCATTCTACTTCCATTTGTTCATATGTGCACTCTGGAATGGTTTTATGGATCATTATTGATGTGTCATCATTTCATAAAAACATAGAAGTTCTTTTTAATGTCTTGGACGGTTATTTTTAATATTAAATTGTCCATTGAAGTTAATCTAAGCTTCATTTTTCTTGATGAGTGATGAAAGAACCTATGAAGAAGTAGCTGCTGTTTGTGGATGCATGCTGTCATCTTCCAGGGTAAAATTGGTAATTTAGTACATCTAAACTTTTTTTTAGTACACGTAATTGGTATATTATTTTCCGCGTCTAATTTCTGTTCAGATATAATTCAAGATAATGCATTTTTCAACAACATTTATATGGAACTTTTTGGCAGTTTCTTTTTTTATCTCCCTTTAAAGTCTACTTATGTGAACTTCAGGTTATTGCCTTAACCTTAAGAATGTAATTGGTTATACAAGTGAAACCAGTTTTTTTTTTGATCAACTTCTTATCTGTGTAGAATTAATGGGTTTTACCTCCTCCTACCGTTCAGTCTCTCTTTTGGCGCGTTGTATTATAAAGAGCAGGTATTATAGGTTGCAAAATAATTACGAAATCTACGGAAATATCAGAAATGACTCATCAGTAATGATAATTCAACTTATTGAATATATGTGTGTGTATGTGTGTTTATATACATAAGTATTGTATGCAATATTAATCACAGTTTTTTCAATTTGCTAAGATGCTAATTTTATTAGTTTTGATGCGTTTCAGAGGTACACTTGCTTGATTGTGATTGTGTGCAAATTTAATTATGACTGCAACAATTTATACTTCAGCACAATTCAGTGGTTTCAGTATATATTCTTTTTTTGTTCTACTGATAAATACTATACTATGACGATACGCTCCAATTTTCAAATATTATCATGAGATGTAAGACTTTAAGGGACTGATTTTATATCCGTCATGTCGAACAATTTTTTCATTTTCTATTTAATTAACACTTTTGATTGTATTAATTTTGGTTATTTTAGATGCTTAAATATTTCAAATCTTGAGCACTTCTCTGTGAAATGTTTCACAACTGACAAATTTTTATACAGTTTATCATTTGTCGTCATTTTTTTATTTAATGGATTTAAATGAATTTCACTTCAATGTATTTATGAAAAGATTTTTTTTTCTAATTCGAAACGCTTTAAATAAAACTGCTAATTTGAATTTAATGGAAAGTTTTTGGAACGAATATTGATCTGTTTTATTCTATGTTTCTGTAGGGCAAATTTTTCTTTATCGGTAGTTTGTTTCAGTGATGCACAAAAATGGTTTGATGGTATTTCAGTTATGAAAAAAAAGGACTTTGTTTCCCTCTTCATCATAGGTCAGATGACGATATTTTTTTGATTTCATGTGATATTCTCGTGGAACAAAAAAAAAATCAAAAATTCTATTATTGCAAGTGCAGAAATTTTCTTTATTTTTTTCTGTTTCGTTAAATTACTATTGATGTAACCCGGCATAAAATTCTTTAAAATTTTTAATGTTTTGAGAGAATCATACCTTCCAGTGACCACTTTTATTTGGCTAGGAAACATAAAAAGTCAAGATTCCAGTCTTAAGTTTGCTGTTGTTTTGGCATTCACCGGTATTGTTTACGAAATAGAATTCTTTGTTGCCCTTTTAATTTGTGGGTCAAAGAATTCTGTTATTTAAAGATTATTAGTTTATGGCCTTCACGTTACAAAAAGGAGAAATCTTTACTTTCAAACGAGGGCAGTTATGTTTCATGATCTTCCTAAGGAGAATTTGTTTTTTGTCCCTTTCTTTGCTTTTATTTCCATGTTTTACCAAACAGTTTCTGTAATAAATGAAGTATATTTTTATTTTTTTAAAAGTATGCCATAATTTTCAAGTGGGACGATCTTCTTGTCTTCAACTGAAATTAACCTATAGAGGATCTTCTTGTTTCAGTCCATTGCAATGGTCCAGTTTTTTTTTTGTGATTTAGAGTTTTAGTCTGTTTATCCTAGAATATTCTGAATTTGATCTTTACTCACACATTTTTCTGTATATAGAACTTTCAGAATCAGAATTACTGATCACTAATGTCTGATATCTGCTATAAAAACTTGAGTAATATAGAGTAAAAACAGAAGAGAGCTGGAACTTCGCGAAAATTTCCAAATTTTCAAAAGAATCGTTCGAAGATCTTAAATGACATCGAAGTGATTTTTGATATTAATTTTTCGGATTTTGAGACTCTCACTATAGAAATTAGTCTTATATAACCTTAATAAAAATCTCATTGGAACCTTATTTGGTTAAAAATTGAAAATATTTCTAGAAAAATCTATGATGTTCTTGCAAAACTTTTGAAAAAATAAAATTTCCTATTCTTGATATTGCACGGTTGTTTTTCCATTTTTATTAAATCAGATTAACACAGTAAGTCTGGCAACAAAACAAAAATATTCTATATTGTTTGGTAGTTTTTTGAGCTTTCAGTTTGCATCTACTATGGTGTTGCTACTAATGCAAATAAATACATGTTGACGAATTACATATTTTCTCTTTGCACAATAGTTGTGTTTCTGGATGTTTGATTGTAAAAACAATTTTAATTCCCTCGCATAGTTGCGAGGGAATTAAAATTGTTTTGATATGATGGGATCCTTCCATGAAATTTCTAATTAACTATTAAAGCTGTGATCGAATAATATGCTTGATGCGATACATGCGATGTTCTTTAAGCGATAAATACTGAATTCCACCTTCTCATTTGAAATTTACCGTATCGATTTATACATTCCAGATTTCCCCTTATAATTTGTGTAATGTTGTACTTATATTTTTCTTATGTCACGATTACTTTCCAAACACAAGTGCGTGGACTTTTTAGAATTTCACCGAATTAATTTTATTTTAACTGGATTGCAAAAAATCCTATACCTCTTATAAAGATGAAAATCGAAGTTTTTGTTGGAATTAAAAATACTGCCATAGGTGGAATTGTTGAGTGGAAGACAATGTTCAAAAGCATTTAAAATTTTCAGTTTTTGAGGAATTTGTTTTTATTTCTGTTTATTGGAGGTATTGGTCAGACGGTTGGATATGTAATTTTTTTTTTCTTTATTTTTCTGCTTGGGTTTATGGAAGACGCAAGATTCGAATCACTATATTTTTCGCTCTTTAGCAAACTGTAAAATATTTCCTGAAAGTTTAAAAATTCAGATTTTTTTATTTTTTGAGGTAAGAATATTTTTTTGGGCAGAGAAATTAATAGTAATCTGATTCGTTTTAATTTTGTAAGCAATGGTTTTGATGGAAATGAGTACTTCTCGAATAAAGAAACAACTAATATTTCTGGATTGAATTATAACTGTTATTTGTCACATTTTAATACCTCGTAGTTTTTCAATTAAACTTGAAATATAATAAAATACTTTTGATCTTTCTGTAATGCCTCTGCAGTAGGACTTCTGATTATCAATCATTCTGGTGGAATGTTCCTTATTTGTTAGAGTTTAAATGAAAATGCTTAAAACTGTCCCTGTACTGAAAAGACTCATAGTTTTCAGTTGTAACATTTAGAAGTAAAAAAAAAAATGAAATATATTAAAATTTTTTTTGTTTGATTCAGGATATATGACGTTATACTTGTTCTTTATTAAAAAAAAACTGTACTTTGAAGAATAGAGATTGGGTTGCTGGAGATATGATTACTTAGAAGAGTTTGAATGTGGGGCGGGAGTTATGTTAGATTCTGAGTTTACTAATCCAGAGTGAACTTGAACTATTCTCACCTGAAATTTTTTGAAGTAACGCATTTTTCATGCCTCCAAATTTCCTGAACTTTATAAGGATTCCACATTTTATTAGGAACAAGAAGTTGAATCATTTAAGTATGTTTTTGTTGCTGCTGCGGTATGAAATATATTAGTGAATTCACTATCATGTATAAAATGAACAAATGTTTAAACTTCTTTGCTCGATAAAACATTTACGTCCAGTATTAAACTATCGAACATAGTTTAATACTGAATGAAAATTAAACATTTACTTTCACTCGCATACGCAAAGTACAATTGCACCATGTAATTGCCGTATTTCGTCACGTATTTTGAAAAGCCCAACTTTTTTTTTTTTTTTTGAAGTGTTTCTCCTCCCGTTACCTCATATTCTTTCTTATTTTATAATAATTGTTCTCTTTATTAATGCAGTTTTTGAAGCAGATTTAATGTAGATGGAATTCTCATTCTGTTTTTTACTAGAACTGAAAAGTTTTTGCTGAATATAGATGGAATTCTCATTCTATATTACTAGAACTAAAAAGTTTTTGCATCCAATTTCGTTATTCAAATTCTACCGAACCTTCTCAGTGAATTCATTAGGGTGTTTTAAGTGATGTGAAAGAGGAGTCCTTTTATCGCCAAAACAGTGCTAACAAAAACTCATGGTCGTTACAATCTTATTCCATTGAATTACATGTAAAATGTGGTTCATAAGTTAAACATTAAATAAGGAGATGCGCCGTAAAATGATTTTGGCTTGTTTGACCAGCTTTGTTAACAACCTGGTTGTTTGATTGTCGAATAGCAGATCAATAGCTTCACGTTGCAGAACGCAGCTTTTTTTTTTTACAATTTTTGAATAGCTGGAATAAATAGGTATTGAAAAATGATTTTCCGACAAAACAAATATTGGCAACTTCTGATGACAGTGGCATATTTGGCATTAATACGCCTCGTTCTACTTTTTCAATCTTCGTTATTTTCTCTCGATAATCTGATTTTTTTAAGATTGTCGAAAAGGTTTTTGATCAAAAGCGAAGAATCTAGGGAATCGGGTCTTTTGGTTTGGATTCAGATTTGCGATTTAAAAGAAATGGGCATCGCAGGATCACATCCACATCTTTATCATCAATCCATGAACGGTTCAAAGAAATATCGTCATATTCTTTGTCGTCATGGTGTACCGAAAAAGTATTCACTGTCAGCCCATTTATCTTACAAGCCTTGTACGGAAGAAAAATTCTTTCCACCACCTATTTTGCATACTAAGTTTCATGAATTGAACCTTAATTGTTCATTCATAAGTATTTTTAACACTGCTGATATAAACCAGATATTAAGCCAGAACTCTTTACCGTTGAAGGGTGATAAAAGAAGAAAATGTTCTCCGTTCCGGGAACTCCCTGACACTTCGACGCGTAAACGCAAGAAAATTTCCTTTCCGGTTTCGAGTTCCTGTCGGAAATTTTCATCTCCAAATTCGCTTGATCGGAAAATCGGCACCAGAGTTTTACCAACTTCGAGTGTATCATCAGGAGTTGATTCTGTTTCGGAAGAGGATTCAGAAGTAGATGTCGAGGAAGAAGATAAGAATGAACAATGTGATAAAGAAGTTAATTCAAAACATGAAAATGAAACCTCTGAGTCAATTAACAAACAGGCTGCTGAAACAGATCATATCGCCGAAACAGATTTGCACATTCCTCGTTGTTCCCTAGATTCTGGTGCAAGTTTTGATGAAGAGGATTCCAAAAATGCAATTTTCGCTGGCAGTTCTGCTGGCAAAAATTTCGAGACCGTATTTGAAGAAGAGAGAAGCGATGACAGCCTAACTACTGACAAGTCACAAGGAATGTATTCTAGGAAGAAGTTATCCAAACGTAAGAAGAATCGGAAGTTTTCATTAGTGAAATCTTTTCGGAAAATGAGTAAACGAGCCATTTCATTACCATCCGCATACATGGCGAGCTCTTCAAAAAGTAAGTTTTTATTTTCTGAATTTCACCGTATAATCCGTAACATTGCAAAAAAATTCATTGCAATGAACGCTTTGCCAAGAATGTCAAAATGCAGCAATACCCATCTGTTTCTTCTCTCATATCTCACTTAAAATTTATGCTGTCGAAATTGTAACGTCCCCGAAGCTTCCCTACAAGATTTGAATAAAGAACTTTGATAATGAAGTCTTTTGAGGTATGGATTTTATGGGCCAAAAATCTTTTCTTTGTTTCTCAGATGAAAAGTATAATGAACAAATAAGTCAGCCTGAAGAGAATGCTTTCTTTTTTGTCGAGCATCTTTTTTATCTTTTATATCTTTCACATGTAATAGAGAACATAACAGCGAAAAGCCAAATATGCAATTGGATGGCATCTTTGTTTAAAATTTGAAGCTAAGAATTAAGTACCGTAGAAGGTGCTTTAGAAGACTACTGTATGTTTTTTTGCTGCGTGCATTTGATGTTGTAAGTTCTTAGTATTTGTGATTATAAATCTTTTCTGGTTTGATATTACAGTTAGTCACCCCCTTATTTTCACTTCGCAGCAGTTTGCAGTGCTATTATATTCCATTTTCCCTTATTAATTCTTGTTTTTATTTAATTTTTTAATGCCAATGATTCTAGAAATTCATGTGCTAATTTACAAGAAGGCTCTTCAGCATAACTTTTTATTATTTTCATATTTTAACAAGTAAAAATCTCACTTTAATCAGTGATTCTGAGCCATCTTATCGAATTATTTCATGTTTTGATTAATGAAAATTGATAGTTTTTCTTTATATCGTAAAATAAAGATTTTGCATTACTTTTTGTAAGAGTTGGACTTCAGAATTTTTTTTTTTTATACCATATATATTTTTTGATCGAAATGGTTGGCATTTAAAATTCTTTTCTCCTACCGTTTTATCCTTTTTTGGGTGCTTCATGGCAAAACTTTCTCGCAAGGCTGAAATTATTTTCTGTATGTTGTATATTAGCAGATGAAGTCTCTGGAATTTTGTTGGATAAGTAAATACAGCTTCAGAAAAGAAATACATTGGAAACCTAAGTTTTTTTTATAACACTCTCATTAGAATGTCTTAAATGATTTTAAGTGATAACTCCCGAAAATTTGAGGATTTTGAAACCTACTGATATGAAATAATCCAAATTATAACTGTTCCAACCATTGATAGATTAAAAAGAATAATTTTTAGAGTTTTTACTGTAGATTGTTTTTCATCCATAATACTGTTTTGATTTTTTTTTTTCTGCCATTAAAGTGAGTATTCTACTCGACATGGAATTTAGGATTTCTAAAAAACATGAGTTGTTTTGTTTCTTATTCTTCAACAGATTAGACTACAAGTAATAATTTACATTTCCAAATGGTCGAAATGTTTTTCTTTTTTTTTTTAATTTTACTGATCTGCTTCACATTTCTCTAGCTTCTTTTTCCTTTTCTATGAATTTATAATATCCTTGGAATGCTGATTTTAATTCATCAGTATAAAATTTAGAATATTAAACTGGAGTATTAACTTTGACCTCTTTTTTTCTTATAAATCCATCTTTTCAATCAAAAACAGAAACTAAGCACATTTTCTTTACTGTTTTTTTCTTATATTTGATACTTACATATTCTGCACAATGTTTACATTTTCAGTTTTATATTTACGTTTATTTATTGGAATACATTTGGAAAAGTTTTTCCTTTCTGGTTTGTGTTTTTTATATTTTGCATTTTTTGATGAAAATCGGCCTCATCAGCAGAAAATTATTTTTCAACTTTTGCGAATGCTGTTCATGCAATATAAGTTATTGCCGTGGATTCTGAAAGCTGTTTTAAAAACTCTTGTATGAGTATTATTGTTTTCGTGATGTTGTCAGTAAATTTATGAATTAAGATCTTGGTAGAATACCTATTTTATTGAATTCAGCTGCTGCTGTTATGCTATGAAGGCGATAGTTTTCTTCATAATATAATTCTACATTGTACACATCTTCAACGATTAGACGGCTTAGCGTGGATTTATTCTATTGTAAACATGTGTAGAATTTGTTAAGCACATTTTGCTAGTGCTACCTCATGTTCTTTTTCAGATTGCATTAACCTCTACTTTTTCAATCAGCTGTTTATCATTTTTGCCTTGATTAAAAAAGATAAATGAAGGGGAAAACTCTTAATTTTCACCGCTCACCTCTCAGGTCTTTAATAGTCTCATCAAAAAATTATAGCCGAGGCGCCACCTTCTCGAGTGTTCGGTAGCACATATCTGAATCGGGAATGGGAGATTGTGACAGTGCAAGAGATGTGCCAACGGATGTCGTTAGATCAGCTAGACAAAGTTGTCCTGCCTCTTCCGGATGGTGCCACTTTTTCGCAAATTCTTGATGAAACTATGATTAGGCAGGTTGGTATTGCGCTTGTTTTTGCCCTGAGCTATGTTTTATTTTAGAAATGTGAGACATTGTATTAGAAGTCTCCTTTTGGATATAAATTAGGTTTGAAATGAGATAAGTTGTTTGCAGATGGTAGACGTGCTTCCGGCCCGTGCTGCAGGCTATCCATGGATCAACATTTATAATTCTGAAAAGCATGGCTTTTCATTACATACTTTTTATAGGTCCGGTATTCAAGACTATTTGCTTTTTCATATTTTGGCTGTAAATTCAGTTAGTTACAGAGAGTCTCATCCATTTCTTTTTGAAATAAATTAAATTCCAACTCTATTTGAAAAACTGTCTTTTCGGAACTGGACAACGGAATATTTCGGAATATTATTATCTTTTAGATTTACTTAGTCTAGTTTATTGCTGGAGATAAGGAATTCAACACAACTAGAATAGTTGACGCAACATTATTTTTTTCAGGAAAATGATCGACTGGGACGAAGAAATGTCACCCATACTGTTGATAATTCGTGATTGTGAGAAAAATGTCTTCGGTGCAGTAGTTAGTACTACAGTGCGTCCATGCGAACACTTTTTTGGGACCGGTGATTCATGTTTCCTTTACAAATATGTGAACGACCTCGAGTTGAACAAAAAGTAACATCCAGTTTTCTTCGAAACTTTGTTAATTACGTGGTTTTTTTTTTACCTTAAAGGGAATACCTTACATGTCATACCACCAATCATGTGGCAGAAGTTATGACATATAAGATAGATAATTATCTGTGGACAATGTTTATGTTAAGAGCCATTTGTGTTGGCTAAAAAAATTAAATTATTAAATGCAGTTTCTATTGATACACAACACTTATTATCAGTATTATGAGATTTCGAATTCTTGGGAATTTTCTACAACTCTCCCACATTTTCTGTTATATTAAAATTTTGTAATCATACAGAGTGCTTCGTATTTATTCATGGAGTGGTTTAAATCAATTCTTCGTGAAAGCAAGCATGGATTCACTATCGATTGGTGCCAGTGGTGGTCATTATGGGCTATGGTTGGATGCGGATTTGAATCACGGTTGTACACAAGCCTGTGAAACGTTTCAGAACGAACCGTTAGCTGGTGAGAGCGAAGATTTCGCTATACAGTTTGTCGAAGCTTACGGTTTTCGTATGGAATAATTTCTTTTATGGAAAATTTTTTCCATATATTCATTCGGCGCTGTTACTCGCTTTTCAATTGTAATATTGTTGTTCGCGAGTGATAAATGTTTTGAATACGAAGTGTCAAAACATAAAGTTTTACTTTTGGTATTAGTTTGGAAATGTCTTTTTGAAATTATGTGATAGTTGTGTGAAACTTGATCAGTTACTGCAAACCATCAGCTTCTCCATTTTTGTTAGTGTAGCAAATATGTATTGTTATTCATTCTGTCTTCAGTGTTAAATGATAGAATTTTAAAGGAATAAGTGATAGGATCTACTGCCATATTTTCACACTGTCTGTCTATGTGTTGTACTTCTTTATCTGTAGTAATACGCTTAATTAACTTCTTAATTACAGAGAGCTCATAGTTACTCAGGACCGCAGTATTTGAACGCATATATTCAAAGTTTTTCATACTCTAAATCCATAAGTTTGCGATTAAAAAATTTGGTAAAGACATTTAAAGTAGATTAATAGCATCAAATTCTATCTACCCCGTATACTTATGACTGAATTATTTTCGCGATTATGGCAACGGACCCGCCCAGATCCTATATTTAGATGTGACGTCAATTCATTTCTTTGCTGAACACTTCGTATCTGTGAATAAAGGTTTAATCATTGTCCAATACAAAGTAGGAGTAATCTGCTGCTTACAATATGCGAGTGCTTAATTTGGCTTTGATGTCATTCATGAAGAGTCTCTTCGGAGTGCTTCCTTAGATGTATTGTCCTCTTCAGCTTATTGCTTCACTTTCTCTAATGCTATTACTTGTTGTTAATGCTATAAGACTTTCCTCATTTCATGTCCTTTATTCCCTCTTGTTAAGCGCCACTTGACACTATTTCATTTTTTTAGTGAGCTATCTTCAAAAATATAGGTTTATTAGCCTCAGTAAAATTTCCCATCTGGCCCTTTTGTTATATTCGTCCTTTACCATTTGATTTCCAGTATCTCTCATAGTTTCTATATACAGCGCACCATTTCAGGTTCACACAAAAACACGGCATGTGCTTCTTGGTTCAATTTTCTATCTTTTCGGTGCATTTTCTGCTCACTTATTTTCTTCCCTTTTTGCTGCTCGCACTTATATTTTTATACACGTGATCTTTATTGTTGACCTTTATAGAGATTCCGGAAACGGACGGATTATTCAAGAAGTCATCTTAAAGAATAGAAGTAGCAAAATACACAAAAAGGAAACATAAATCTCCTCATTAGCAGTTGTCAAGTTTGATTTTCTGCCTAAATTTCCTTGCCCAAAAAAGTTGCTGTGAAAGACATCAGTGAAAAACGATATTTTATTTATAAAAGAATAAACAGCGAAAGAAAAAAAAACCAGGGAATGTTTAAAATTGCTTACTATCTAGCTGTTATTGCATGGAGATGTATGTATATTTACATCAATAAAGACCGTACGTAAATGAAGAAAGGTATTTACCATACCGTACGTAAATGCAGAAGGGAGTGAAAAATTAACTTATTTGTGAAACCCACAAACACTTTTGAAAACTTTTAAAAAACGTGAAAAAAAAGCTAATAGTACAGCTAATAAAATGTGCACGAACTTCCAGGCAAAAGTTCATCATATATTCCTAATATTCATAAAATCTGGCCTCTGAAGGAGGGAAACATTTGTTTTGAGAAGAAAATCTATTGAAACAATTATTTCTAAAGGTTAGAGTCTCATCCTGCTAGCTAAAAATAATGCTCATGATATGCAAAATGTCAGGAAAACATACCATCATTTAAACAAAGTTGCACATATCAACAATGTTATCATCCAAAATAATAAAGCATTTATTGACATAATTAAGTCCGCTTTAGGTTTCACTGCATAATGTCACACAGAAATAATTGTATTAGCAAAGAGCATAACAGTCTCAAAACAAATCAGTGCAAAAGGAATTTAACTAAGAAATTTATTAAAAACAGAAATATAAAAATTGAAATCAGTCACATTTTGGAAATTTGTTCATTCATATTAGTAATTTGAATGAAGCAATTTCAAACTAAATTATATGTTCGGAAAATTTCCGTTTTTGAGAAAAAATTAATAAAGAGGGCACATGAATCATAAGCAGTTATAAATGCTGATTTGAATTTCTCAAGCATTTTTCTTTTGAGGATTACTTTTTCCTGTTGTTTTGCTCTGAATTTCTGTTTCATTTCGAATTCTTGTTTTGCTTTGTGTTCTTTCTTTACTTTGAACTTCTATTTTGCTCTGAACTCTTGTTTTGCTTTGATCTCCTGCTTTGTTTCGATTTCCTGTTTTATTTTGAATATATCTTGTCTTACTTTGAATTGCTTCTTTCTTCTGAACTCTTGCTTTATTCTGAACTGCTGCTCTCATTCCAGATCGTTTAATTCGCTTTTTTCTTTTGTATTTCAATCGTTCTATCATACTTTCCATATCTTTTCGCGTAAGAATTCCATTTCCACGCTCACTAAACAAGTTAAATTTGCTTTTGCAAGGAAATAAGATGTAATGTAGCTATAGATAATAATAGAGGAACTGTAGAACATGTGCGCACCTTCTCTGCATTTGCATCACCACTTGACTATGATCAAGGCCAAGTTCACTCTCTTCATAATAACCGAAGAACCACAGATCCAACAAATTGGGAAACTTATCCAAAAATGTGCAAATTCCACTTTCAGGAGTAAGATTGACCGAACTAATTTTAGAAAAGACTATTTTTTGTACCTTAAAAGAGTCATGGAAAGAATAAAGTGCAAAATTTCAAACTTCTTTTTGAATATGCAATTATATCGACTTTATGCGTTTTACTTGTCCAGTAATGAATAAACTCCCACTTACGGCTATAACTATAATTACGACTATAAATACGAAGAGTAAAAAAGGATAATACAAAAGATATAAGTTATTTATATTTCTAGTACAAAAGATGTAAGTTATTTATATTTCATTCTAATTTCGCAGTTTCAATCAATGTCAAATATGCTATTCTAAATATCTCAATTCCTTTTGTAATCATAAGAAATAAGCAACGTTACATTTTGCGACTTATGAATTCCTCATTTTTTTTTTTTTTTCTTGTTCTTTAACTTACATTTTCAGCATAAGTCAGTTCATTCAACGTTATGAAGAGCCTATCTGTAAGTTCCATTTTATCTATGTATATAAAGCCATTTATTATGTCATGCCTAAAATAAACAACATGAGTGAAGAATTTTTGATTTTTTATTTCTATTAATTCCGAGTACAAACTAAAGTCCTTCACTGCTCAGCATTGTTTAATAGAACCAGCGTTATGATAATGACAATTCAATGGAGTTTAAACGATGTTGCTAAAATTTATATTATCTCACCTCAAGAATGATGGAATATCAGTTAAATCCAAACAAGCGCATGGAGGTTCGAAAGCACCTGTACCGTAACGATAAACCATTGCAAAGTAGCCAAGGGGGCCTACTTTTTTTGACTAAAATTTATAGCAGTTGGGTAAATAACTACTGATCCTTGTAACCGAATTGTTACCGAATAGGTGTAAGATTACAATGCAGCATAAGAATTATGCGGAAAAACTCGCCTTTAATTTAAAAAAAAGCAATTAAAGACGGGATCAGAAAGTTTTCATAAATCAATTTCTGAGGAAAATTCTCTGTGAACGATTGGACAAGCGGGCTTACCTGTATCCGAAGTCCACAAACTTCATATCGTGGTAATACCTTCGTATTGTTTTCCAACACATCATTAAATCGTCTGCATACCAATTTTAATCGATACATATTATAAACGCTGATGTTTGGATTATTCTAAAAGATTAATCTTAGTATTACATGATATATTGTCATCGAAGTCGATAACATTAAAATCATTTGTAAACATGATGTTTTTGTTGTTGCAACTTTTGCGCATTAACTCTCAAAACTGTATGCCAATCTTACTGAAGCGACGTTTAAATTCGGCAATAAGACCAAATTTAATCCTTTTTAGACAATATGTTCATTCAAGAAGAGCCTTCTCAGTCAGATTAACTAATAATCGCTGCATTCATTCATCATTTGAGATTTAATCACTGTTTCATAAGTATCCACGGAATGGGACACAGCAGTATAACGCTATTTGCACACACGTCATCCATTCACGCAAACGGTAGTTTTCAGTGTTGCTTTATCGAAGAGCATAGATCAACATTTCAAAGAACACCTGAACTAACATTTTGCTCTTTAGCGATAAGTTCGAAAATTTTAATCAAAACTTTCTGTGGCATATTTTCCAAAGATGCCTCTAATTTTTCATCTGAACATCCCACTGCTGAATTCTTCTGTAAACATAAATTGTTTGATGGCACAATTTCATAACTGAAGAGAAAAATGAAAATTTGAAGTCGTAAATATGAACAAAAGCAAATTAATCATATGTATTGTAAAAGATATCTTTCAAATATAATTCGATCAAAGTTCTGACGAAGACTAACGGAAACAATGTTCATAATTAAATAATAAACATTTTTGTACATTTTTAGACTGCGCAAAATGAATAAAAGTGTAAAACACATTTAATCACTAACCAAATCAGATGGTCCGTGTAGAAAAAGTTCTTCAATCATTTGAGCTTGGTGTCTAATTACCAATTTGTCTCGGCGATGCTTCCTAGAACGTGGCCATAGCTTGATTTTCGGTTGTTGCCAGGTACCCTCTGTTCCGGGTACTTCAACTCGCATCATAGAATTCTGACCATAAATGAACTCGACATGGGTTGTTAGCTCCCTCTCTGTTTTCTTTTCTGTTCCATTTTTCTTTTCAGGATCTATTTTTGGATCTGTTGGCTTATCGCGCGCTACAGAGAGAGTGATTGTCGGTTCACACAACTGGAGAGTTACCTCGGTAACCACAAGCCCGTCAACCTTATAATCATGCTGCTTGTGCTCTTGCTTTCTGGAACCATTGCTTTGATGTTGGATTTGATCAAGAAACTGCTGCGCATCACTTTCAGGAAATGTTCTAGATGATGATGTCTGGAAGTTACATTGAGCATATCCCGAAACCGGAATAAATGGTCTGGTTGCTGGCTGAAACTGCCCTGAATGAGATGCACCAAATTGCTGTAAAACTTGACCAGATTCAGAAATTCTTGCCATGGGCTGTGCAGGTAATCCAGGAACTGGCTGGGAGAATTTCGACACTTGACCATGTAATGGCTCTGTTCCTGTTATTGGCTGTGTAGGCATTCCAGGAACTGCCTGAGAAAATTGCGGTACGACTTGACCAGGTAATGGCCCTGTTCCTGTTATTGGCTGTGTAGGCATTCCAGGAACTGCCTGAGGAAATTGCGGTACGACTTGACCAGGTAATGGCCCTGTTCCTGTTATTGGCTGTGTAGGCATTCCAGGAACTGCCTGAGGAAATTGCGGTACGACTTGACCAGGTAATAGTCCTGTTCCTGTTATTGGCTGTGTAGGCATTCCAGGAACTACCTGAGGAAATTGCGGTACGACTTGACCAGGTAATGGTCCTGTTCCTGTTATTGGCTGTGTAGGCCCAGGAACTGCCTGAGGAAATTGCGGTATGACTTGACCGGGTAACGGCTGTGCGGGAATCCTTGTCATTGGCTGTACAGATAAATTAGGGACAGGATGAGGAAATTGCGGTATGACAGGAAAAGGTCCATATTGTTGTGGCTGTAGAACTTGGCTGTATAGCGGTCCTGCACGAGTCTCTACCATTTGCATTTCGGGTTGTGCTGAATATGATTGGAAAGGCACCGGGTCATACTGTTGTGGAACTTGGCTGTATAGCGGTCCTGCACGAGTCTCTACCATTTGCATTTCGGGTTGTACTGGATATGGCGGGGCGGAAAGCGGTCTATACATAGGAGCTTCTACAATTTGTATCCCAGTTTGTTGCGGAAATGGAACAACAGGAATAGATCCATATTGTTGAGGAACTTGGTTATGAAGATGTCCACCAAGACCTTCTACAATTTGCATTTTGGTTTGCATTAACTGTGCTTCTTGTGGAGGGAAACATTGTGCCATTGATGGTTGCACGTAACTCACGGTCTGTTCAATTTGCAATAGACCTGCGGTAGACACTCTTTTAAATTTCTTATTTTTTGAGGTATCCGGAAGTTTTTCATCTGATTCTTGCATTTCCGCAGCATTTTTAGTTGCTCCTTGTATCTGTGCAGGAGTCTCAGATATTTCTTCCTTCTGCACCGGAATTCCGAGTGATGTTTCTTCCTTCTGTACTGGAGTTCCGAGTGATGCTTTTTCCTTCTGTACTGGAGTTTCGAGTGATGCTTTTTCCTTCTGTACTGGAGTTCGGAGTGATGTTTCTTCCTCCTGTACTGGAGTTCCGCGTGATGTTTCTTCCTTCTGTACTGGAGTTCCGCGTGATGTTTCTTCCTTCTGTACTGGAGTTCCGAGTGATGTTTCTTCCTTCTGCACCGGAGTTCCGAGTGATGCTTTTTCCTTCTGTACTGGAGTTCGGAGTGATGTTTCTTCCTCCTGTACTGGAGTTCGGAGTGATGTTTCTTCCTCCTGTACTGGAGTTCCGCGTGATGTTTCTTCCTTCTGTACTGGAGTTTCGAGTGATGCTTTTTCCTTCTGTACTGGAGTTCGGAGTGATGTTTCTTCCTCCTGTACTGGAGTTCCGCGTGATGTTTCTTCCTTCTGTACTGGAGTTCGGAGTGATGTTTCTTCCTCCTGTACTGGAGTTCCGCGTGATGTTTCTTCCTTCTGTACTGGAGTTCCGAGTGATGCTTTTTCCTTCTGTACTGGAGTTTCGAGTAATGCTTTTTCCTTCTGTACTGGAGTTTCGAGTGATGCTTTTTCCTTCTGTACTGGAGTTCGGAGTGATGTTTCTTCCTCCTGTACTGGAGTTCCGCGTGATGTTTCTTCCTTCTGTACTGGAGTTCGGAGTGATGTTTCTTCCTCCTGTACTGGAGTTCCGCGTGATGTTTCTTCCTTCTGTACTGGAGTTTCGAGTGATGCTTTTTCCTTCTGTACTGGAGTTTCGAGTAATGCTTTTTCCTTCTGTACTGGAGTTTCGAGTGATGCTTTTTCCTTCTGTACTGGAGTTCGGAGTGATGTTTCTTCCTCCTGTACTGGAGTTCCGCGTGATGTTTCTTCCTTCTGTACTGGAGTTCCGCGTGATGTTTCTTCCTTCTGTACTGGAGTTTCGAGTAATGCTTTTTCCTTCTGTACTGGAGTTTCGAGTGATGCTTTTTCCTTCTGTACTGGAGTTCGGAGTGATGTTTCTTCCTCCTGTACTGGAGTTCCGCGTGATGTTTCTTCCTTCTGTACTGGAGTTCCGCGTGATGTTTCTTCCTTCTGTACTGGAGTTTCGAGTGATGCTTTTTCCTTCTGTACTGGAGTTTCGAGTGATGCTTTTTCCTTCTGTACTGGAGTTCGGAGTGATGTTTCTTCCTCCTGTACTGGAGTTCCGCGTGATGTTTCTTCCTTCTGTACTGGAGTTCCGCGTGATGTTTCTTCCTTCTGTACTGGAGTTTCGAGTGATGCTTTTTCCTTCTGTACTGGAGTTCGGAGTGCTGTTTGTTTCTTCTGCACTTGAGTTTGAAATGTTGTTTCTTCCTGCTTCTGAGCTACAATTCCAATTGTTGTTTGCTTCTGCATCAGAGTTTCAGTTGTTCCTCCTTGCTTTTGCACCAGGGTCATAGTTGCTTTTCGCTGCTTCTGCGCAGCTACCCTTTCCTGCATTGGAGTTCCTCCTTGCTTCTGCACCGGGGTTCCAGTTGTCCTTTCCTGTTTTTGTATAGGTATTCTTCCTTCCTTATGAACTGGAGTTTCAGTTATTCTTTCTTGCTTTTGCCCCAGAGTCCCAGCGGCACTTTCTTGGCTCTTGACCGAAGTTGTAGGTATCCTTTTTTTCTTCTCTTTCGGAATCCTGGTTGCTAATTCTTGCTTCTGAGCATCAACTTCAGGTACTTTTTCTTTTTTTTGTATTAAAGTTTTAGTTACGGTTTCTTGTTTCTGCACAGAATCTTGTTTTCGTGTCAGAGTTCCGATCGTCTTTTCTTGTCTGTGCGTAGGAGTTCTTACTATTCCTTTTTGACATGAAGTTCCAGCTCTCAGTCCTTGTTGCTGATCTGAAGTTTCAGCTGTTCCTTGCTTTTCCCGTCTGATAGTCTCACTAGTTGCTTCTTTCCTCTGATCGGAAGTTCTAATTTTTCTATCTTTTTTCTTTATAATACTTCCTCTTTTTTCTAGTGCGGAAATTCTAACTGCTTCTTCTTGCTTTTGCATAGAATATCCAGCTACTTTTTCTTCTTTCTGCACTGAAATTGTAACTTTATGTTTTTGCTCAGGATTTAAATCTCCTTTTTCCGGTTTTTGCCCTGACATCACAGTTATCTCCTGGTAAGCAGTCTCAGAGAGTTCCTCTCCTTTCTCCGTGGAAGCACTAGCCTCCTGCAATGAAGATATTACCGTTTTTTTTTGCTTCTGAGTACTACTTCTAATTATTGCTTCTTGTTTCTGGAAAATAGTTCCGGTCTCTCTTTTTTGCTTTTGATCTGAAATCGCTCCCGTTTGCCTATGTGTACAAATCCTAACCATTTCTTCAGAAGTCCTCTGTTCTTGCTTCTGTTCGAAAGATCTAGTTGCCATTTCTTTTTTTTCTGATGTTCCAGCCATCTATGAAATACTGGAAAAAATGAAAGTATTTGCTTGAGTATAAGAAATCATGAACATCATAGCACTAATTATCACTTGCACACATTACTGCCTCAACTTTGAAAAGTGAGCCGCATCGCATTACTATGTACTGCATGCTACATCTTGCTCTCCGTTATTTCTGGGAATAGATTATCCAAGTTCTGCACTAACCTGACATACAAGTTAGGCCAGACTACGAACGAACATTTGTTTTGTCAGAAAATTGGAGAAAAGAAATATGATTTATGGTCACATAAGGGCTAGCATTTTATTGCTTCTCACTTATCACTATGAGGTTCTTATCAGCAAAAAGTATCAGATACTCGCAAACTTACTATTTCAATTTGCAAATCGCGGTAAATGCTTCCGAAAAGACACTAATCACTGAAGAAAAGAAGAAGTAGATGACATTACCCGCTCTAGATGCAGTGCATGATCCCGCAATGACCGCACCATTTTCATTTTATATTGACAGCATATAAAAAAATGATTGCAGTGCGAACGTTCACTAGCAGATCAGGAATAAGGGGATGAATCAACAACGGTAGAGTAGCATATTCGGAATAGTCTATATAATGACAACATTGTGCTTTATAATCAGTAGTATAATGATCATAGTGAGAACATATCCATTCCTTTGATAAGTATTTGAAATTTTTTTTTTGAAATGATTTTGATTATTGAAAAACTTACTGAAAGATTAAAAGATTATTGCAAGATAATTGATTCTTATGAAAAATTGGAAAATTTTGTACATTTGCTATAATATCCATTTTAAATTAGGTACTCAGTGATTTAGTAAATCCTAATACTCTAGTTTCTTAAATGAATTATTTGTCACTTCATAACTGAATTACTTCTCAAATAACTGACGTGTTGTACGAAAAATGATTTCTTCATCTTACCTTATAATTTCGATAAACTGAACATCTGTTTTTGATTGTGCTGAAATGCTTCTAAGCACTTTCACAATATATTTTTAATTACAAATTAAATTCTCTTAATTTCATGGCAGATGATTGAGAATTATCATTTTAAAATCAGTCCCTTTAGTACAAAAGTAAATCATATTGAACCTAGCTCGAACTTAGCTTAATGAGTTATTAAGTACGAAGGTTATGGTAAATGAAAGCAAGATTAGGAATTAATTGTATTAACTAATTAATTTGTAAGCTAAATGGTAATTTGTTTAATCCACTTTATCAGTTGTTTGAACTGTTTGATAATTTTCTTGTTGTTCTCTTCTCTTAAATCAACTTTTATTTGTTCATTTTATACTTTTGTTGTGCAAGGAATAGTTTTTTAAACTTCGGTCCATGTCATTCAAAGAATCACAGTGTTATCATTTGGTTTTTGTCTTCGCGGCAAATCAACAGGGAAACTCGTTCTTTTGATCAGTGTAATAAATTTAACGAAATACCTCTGCAAAGAAATGTCCAACTCTTATAATTCTGTGTTGCTTTCGTCGGTTCATTAAACATTTCGTAATTAAACTTATTTCTCTCTGATCTTAGTAGTCAAAAATGGGGTTTTGATCAGTCTTTCAGAAAAGTAGTTTGGTCTCATTGATTTTTCTAGAAAACTGTGTTTAGTAAGTTAAACTGTCCAAAAAAGAAAGAATTTGATTGAAGTATTTTGGGACAAGAAATTTATTTTTTTAAATAGAATATGTACCAGAGTTTACATTTCGGATTTCGGAAATTTATCTATCAGTATATTTTCTTATCTCATTATTTCAATTCGATTTTGGACATTCGGATTTTTAACTACAAGTGCATCAAAAAGCTTTTGCTTCTGTTTGCTTCACCATGACCTGACTTACGCCAACTGCATTTTGTGTGTGGAAAATAATGCACAGTCTTGTTAAGCAGCTGAAGTTCAATTTATGTTAGAACAAACACGATCAAGCAGATTTTTCCTATGACCAAAGTGACAATTCTTTAAATATTGAGAGAAAATTTTTTTACACAGTCGAGAAGGAAGTTCGTGATAATATAATATGTAAAACAAAGATAAATGATCATCACCACATATATTCTAATCAAAAACTGAGTTACTGCAACTCCTGAGTGATTGCAATCATAATTACAAGAATTAAAAAATGAAAAACAATGATTAAAGTTTCCTTGAACAAGAACTATCGACAGCTTAGAACAAAAATTTCAATATCTCAAAATTCTAGCTTTCTTCATTTCTTCCCCATCATTAACAAAACCATATGAGAATAAAATTGTTGTGCAATTTTTAAGTTTAACATCTACTACAAAAAGAGAAAAAGGAATAAAGAAATGTAAATTTCTTTTTTGGAGTTTTCTTACATGTCTGTTTGTTTGTAAAATTTTACTTATTCCAAATTAACTATGTTTTTCAGAGTACGACGATGGGATTAGTAAGTGCTTCACTGATCACATTGGTACTCGTTTGGATCATTCACTTCGTCATTAAAAAACTCAGAACTATACTGAAGCAAATTAATGCGGTACAGGGACCACCAACTTGGCCACTTATAGGCAATCTACACCAGTTTCATTTCAAACCAGATGGTACATATTTCAACTTTTTTCGTGTCGTTGCTATTTGAAAAGTTGGCTCTAAAATTAGATTAATTAGTTTGGCAATAAAAACTAACTTCTCGCAGAAATTACATGCATATGACATTAAATTTGAACAGAAGAACCAATTAATTTTCCTTATTTAAATTGGTTCGAATTTAAAATTAGATTCAAGATCTATAAATTGGGCAAGTTTTTAAGAGTAAAATTCTTAATCAGTTGTTTCCTCATTGTAATTTTCAAAGTGCAGTGAGAAAATTGATGAAAGTTATAGAAGCGTTGGAAATATCACCTGTTAGAGAAGAAATTAGATATGAAATTGAAGAGGGAGAAAATGTACTAATTGAGAAGAAAGCAAATAACAGAGGCCATAAAGTTTTAGAGAGAACTGCAACATTTTTTGTTCCAACAAATTATTTTACACTAAAATATCAAAAATGAAAGTATATTACAGAATTCTTCGAACAAGCTCAGGGTATAGCATATATGTTACAAGCACGCGGTGAGCGCATGTGTCGTATTTGGTTCGGTCCCTGTCCATGGATTTTACTGTACGGAGCAGACGAGTGCGAAGCTATTCTTGGAAGTAATAAAATCTTAGACAAACCATTTCAATATGGCTTTTTAAGTGGATGGATTGGACAAGGGCTGCTGATCAGGTCGTGTTTTCTCGAATATTTCCTAGCTTTGAAATTTGACGATTTAAAGAGCTTTTAATATATATAAATTTTTTTTTTTTTGATAAGTACAATAAAAAAATCAGTCAAAACTGATTCTCTATCAGTTGAAAGTGAAGTATTACAAAAATTAGAAGACCAAAAAATATTAATTATCTTATGAAGAAAACCAGCCTATTAATATTTACTGGTGCTTAAAAATACATATATATCACTGAAAAATCCATTTTCTGGAATCCATACAGATGGAAACTAGAAGGAAGACTAACTGCGATTTAATTGCACCTGTTTGCTCATTTCTTCATAATTTTTTAGAAAAAACTTCGGAAAATTGACAATTCCCTTTGGTGCAGATTATGATAATTAAATCCCTTAAATTTTTATTCAAAAACAAGATTTGAAATTTGAAAAAAAAGAAGAAATCGTTTTATTAAAAGGAGGGATGAACTAGAATTTCTATTTTGCTGTATCACCAGCCAAACAATCGTTTTCGAACAGAAACGTAAAAATTCTCATAAGTGATGAGAATATTTAGAAAGCTCTAGACTTTTCGACACAGTTCTACTTTCGAATTTGACAATAAAGAGTAGGTAGGAAGTGTTTTTGAACAGGTCGATTGTGATTAAGCTATTCAATATTGGCACGAGTGATAACGATTATCTTGAGTTGACTTTTACTATCGGACTGTTTTTATTTTCACCTTACTATAATCACTGTCGACTTTGTTCAATGTGCAAAAGATTAACTTAGGAATCAAATTTAACTAATTAATTAGGCGGAGATCAATTAGTTTTATTTGCTTCTTATTTTTTCATATTTTAGCTGTCATTTATTGTTATCTCTGATTCTTGATTATTTCAGCGAGCCAAAAAAGTGGCGATCGCGACGAAAACTTCTTACACCGACATTTCACTATGACATATTGAAAGATTTTGTTGGTGTAAGTAAAAACACTTTACTGGAGGCTTTGTAAATTGAGACTGATTTTAATAGTATATGTTCTCTCTACAAATTTCTATTAACACAGAGTTATAGCGCGAAATTTTATATAATTACTGCTCTCCGATAACTAGATCTTTAGGTGTATAATAAGCACGGACAAACACTGCTACAAAAATTCCACGCTTTGTGTGGTAATCAGTACAACGATATATTTCATATGATATCGCTGTGTACATTGGATATTATCTGCGAAGCTGCTCTCGGTACACATGTCGATGCCCAGAACAAATCGTCTCCATACTTGGATGCTGTTTGCAAGTTTGTTTATTTAAATTATTTGAAAGAAAATGCTTTCAATTCAACGTCTCACACTCTTTGTAAAATTATTTTGTCATGATTTTAATAGCTTAAGTACTATTTCATTCCTAAAATTAAAAATGAATGAAAAAACATAGATTTAAGGATAAAATATATTATTCACCAGCGAACACTGAAGGCACATTTTTACTTCGACACCATTTATAATATATTTGGCAGCGGGAAAGATGAGAGCAAATGCACTGAAATACTTCACGAATTCACTGGCGCGGTAATTTGACGGCGTTATCTAAGTTCTTTTGCTTAAAAACATGACTTCCCGTTATGCGACTTATTCAAATACCAATATTGTGAAAAGTTTTGAGAAGCTCTGGTTTTTGCCTTTATAAAATTAAATTAATTCTATAGGCAATAGCAAATCGTAAGAGATTAGTCGATGAAGCTGGTGGTGTCAGTAGCCTAATGGAGAAAGAAACAGTATCAGGTACGATGAGCTTATTGCCGAGTATGATTCTGTAAGCTGTTTATTAATCAGTATGACCTAAATTTTCATTTTCAGGCAAACGACGTATGGCGTTTCTGGATTTCATGCTCGATTTAAATGCTAAGGGTGAATTACCTATGGAAGGTGTACAGGAAGAAGTGGACACATTCACTTTCGAAGTAATTTTTTATTTTGTTATCCAACAATTATGCTTCCTTTATTCCTCATTGAAAATAAGCTTAAAAACACTTTAGGCACACGATTCAACTTCAACAAGCATGAACTGGTTTTTGCACTTGATGGGTACCAATCCAGAAATTCAAGCGAAAGTTCAAAAGGAAGTCGACGAAGTTTTAGGGGAAGGTATGTGGCTTTAAAAAAATATATATGTGTACATACATATATATCCAGAAACAGCTGTGTCATAATTTTTCAGAAAATAGATCTGTGACGTATGAGGACCTCGGACAACTAAGATTCTTGGAGGCCTGCATCAAAGAAACATTGCGACTATTTCCTAGTGTACCTATGCAGGCACGATTATTGACTGAAGATACAAAAATCGGTATAAGTTTTCCAACACCGGAAAAGCTCAGTGCATTTTGAACTTATTGAAGCTTTGATTACTGTCTGCAGATATTATCAGACTCATATCTTAAAATTTAGTAAATAATGCAAAATATATATAATATTTGACCATACAGGCGCATTCTGACAAATTTCAGTTTTTTCTTATATGAATGTGTCAATGTTCAGAGTAGGATTCCTGATTTAAAAATCGTTTTCAATGGGACTATTGTCAATAAAGTATTCGGCTTCAGGAAATAAGCTGCTACCATGTGGTATGAGCGTTGTAATTATTGCATCAATGGTGCATAGAGATCCACGATACTGGCCGGATCCAGAAGCATTCAAACCAGAACGATTCATTGACAATCAGCCCAGACATCCGTTTTCATATATTCCTTTCTCTGCTGGACCCAGAAATTGCATCGGTATCAGATTTGTTGAAAAAAACTGTTTGACTTGAGGAATGGGAAATATTTCAAAATTACAAGCATAATAGTATGATACAAAGAGTAAATACATAAAATTAATATTCTTAGGATAATGGACAAACATCTCTTACAGGACAACGGTTCGCACTTATGGAAGAAAAATGCATCCTAGCGCTGCTAATGCGGAATTTGAAGGTGAAATCGAAACTACGTACCGATCAGATGCGTGTGTCCGCTGAGCTTGTAATTCGACCACTATTTGGCAATAACATACGATTTGAAGCACGTAAATTTGGGGACTACGTGCAAATCGCATAGATCGATATTTCAGTTTGATTGTCGCGAGATATTCAATGAAATAATACCTAATGGTGCATGCAATAATGTTTGTCTGAATGGTTAATAATGTGTTGGGTTAAATGAAAAGTTTATAGCTAATCATATTCTCGCCCTGTCCATTTATTATTTCATATGATCCTCTTTCCTTTAGTCCTCTCCATTTTATAAACCGTATCACTATTCAAATGCAGTCATCGTAATCGGAATCATTTGGAAGCGAGCTTTGTAGGCTCAAATTGTTACTTAGTCTGCAAAACATAGATAGCCATCTGGTTCAAGGCTAGATCATGTTAATTCTATCATAACAATGCCGAATCATAATGGTGTGTGTTTTCATTAAGTGTGTAATAAATGCTAGTTGAAGTAGTAATGTTTCTGAGCAATTTGCTTGACATCAATATCAGCTGTATAATCTGCAGACAGGATCTTCGCTACAACACTAGATTGTCATTAAGTTCAAGTGGTTCGATAAAGAAAGTATTGGAATGTTACTTTCAGTAAAGAAGACATATGCAATAATAAGATAGACTGCGGAATTTGATGCATTATGTAATTAATTCACTTGGAATAAAGCGTTAAGTAATTAACTTACAAGCTATGTTTCTAAATGGTAATCCACTTTATCAGTTGTTTGAACTGTTTGATAATTTTCTTGTTGTTCTCTTCTCTTAAATCAACTTTTATTTGTTCATTTTATACTTTTGTTGTGCAAGGAATAGTTTTTTAAACTTCGGTCCATGTCATTCAAAGAATCACAGTGTTATCATTTGGTTTTTGTCTTCGCGGCAAATCAACAGGGAAACTCGTTCTTTTGATCAGTGTAATAAATTTAACGAAATACCTCTGCAAAGAAATGTCCAACTCTTATAATTCTGTGTTGCTTTCGTCGGTTCATTAAACATTTCGTAATTAAACTTATTTCTCTCTGATCTTAGTAGTCAAAAATGGGGTTTTGATCAGTCTTTCAGAAAAGTAGTTTGGTCTCATTGATTTTTCTAGAAAACTGTGTTTAGTAAGTTAAACTGTCCAAAAAAGAAAGAATTTGATTGAAGTATTTTGGGACAAGAAATTTATTTTTTTAAATAGAATATGTACCAGAGTTTACATTTCGGATTTCGGAATATTCTTCTGTATGCTTCTAATAGACAATTTGAAATTAATATAAGCTATAATTTTTTTGCAAAAAAACAGTATGCGGTTTTGTTACATAAGTGGGATTTAAAGCATGATAGCAGTGAGCAATTATGCAATTTTTTTCTGGGAGACTGATTAAAATGTGGCTCACTTTTCTTACTGTACTGAAAAACAAATTTTTTTTAAAGAAACTGATCAAGATATGGCAAACAAGTTTCCCTAAAAGAGCTGACGAAGATATAATCAGAAAATATTTTCCCAAACTAACTGATCAAAATATTTGATGTAACAAATTTTTCCGGTTTGTAGCACTGATTGCTTTGTTATTTTCTTTCTTCTATTTCATAGAACTAATAAAAAAAATTGCTGATTTTTTTTTCCAGCTTTAATATCACATTTTGGAAACATTCTGAAAGACAGCTATAAAGAAAGAAACGTATCCGACTTAAAACAAATTCTTTTACAGTTTATAACAGGTATCGCTTAAAGTTTTTAAATTCACTTTTAGATGTATAAAACAGTAATCTGACTAAAATAATTAATTAATCCGACAAAATAGAAAGACGTTATAAATCAATTAACACTGTAATTGATCAGACAGCACACTTCATCATCAAGTTGATTTTTATGATTTGATATATATATATATGCGAACAATAAGAATTTCGTGAACAAGTGAACAATAACAAAAGTCTGGCAATTTAAGTATACCTAGCTGTTACTTCAAGGAGAGAAAATATAGATGCTACTTCACTGATCCGATAATGAAATCTCGCCAATAATTCAATAATAAAAAGCAGTCGAACTTAAAATAGACTTTCTTTCGTGAAATCGAAGATTCTCAACTGAAAGTAGTCAGCAGGAGATAAGAATCAGATATGGGCAGGATTTGGTAAAGTGCCTAGCACAAGATTGTTATCACCGCATGGGTCTATTTCTTCGAAACTTCTTTTCCATTATTTATTGTGACACCTTCACTGAAGGGCAACCTGACGTAATCTTTTATTTACATTCAAAAATGTCATATTCGCTTGTTTCACCTATAATATTTTCGATTTTTTATTTTAGCCTAACTTCGTCAAAATTTCAAATAAGAATAAAAATTCTTTTCAAACCGAAACCTTAGTCTAATGTTGAATATTGATCAGGAATTGTTTTCTTCATAGTTAAAAGGAACAATAGTTTAAGTTTTTCCGAACAAGAATTACCTACCGACGATTATTTAAAATTTTAACTTTATGTCATTTCCTCCCTTTTATTATCAAAACAAGAAGACGATAAACTTTTTACATAAATTAGTAAGCTTAATATATAATCCAAAATGAAGTCTGAAGTATTTTTGTAAAGAAAAATGTAATTGTCTTTCGTGAAACTTTTTATCTGCTTGCTTGTTTGTACCATTTCACTTATTTCAAAATAACGATGGGATTAGTAAGTGCTTCACTGATCACATTGGTACTCGTTTGGATCATTCACTTCGTCATTAAAAAACTCAGAACTATACTGAAGCAAATTAATGCGGTACAGGGACCACCAACTTGGCCACTTATAGGCAATCTACACCAGTTTCATTTCAAACCAGATGGTACATATTTCAACTTTTTTCGTGTCGTTGCTATTTGAAAAGTTGGCTCTAAAATTAGATTAATTAGTTTGGCAATAAAAACTAACTTCTCGCAGAAATTACATGCATATGACATTAAATTTGAACAGAAGAACCAATTAATTTTCCTTATTTAAATTGGTTCGAATTTAAAATTAGATTCAAGATCTATAAATTGGGCAAGTTTTTAAGAGTAAAATTCTTAATCAGTTGTTTCCTCATTGTAATTTTCAAAGTGCAGTGAGAAAATTGATGAAAGTTATAGAAGCGTTGGAAATATCACCTGTTAGAGAAGAAATTAGATATGAAATTGAAGAGGGAGAAAATGTACTAATTGAGAAGAAAGCAAATAACAGAGGCCATAAAGTTTTAGAGAGAACTGCAACATTTTTTGTTCCAACAAATTATTTTACACTAAAATATCAAAAATGAAAGTATATTACAGAATTCTTCGAACAAGCTCAGGGTATAGCATATATGTTACAAGCACGCGGTGAGCGCATGTGTCGTATTTGGTTCGGTCCCTGTCCATGGATTTTACTGTACGGAGCAGACGAGTGCGAAGCTATTCTTGGAAGTAATAAAATCTTAGACAAACCATTTCAATATGGCTTTTTAAGTGGATGGATTGGACAAGGGCTGCTGATCAGGTCGTGTTTTCTCGAATATTTCCTAGCTTTGAAATTTGACGATTTAAAGAGCTTTTAATATATATAAATTTTTTTTTTTTTGATAAGTACAATAAAAAAATCAGTCAAAACTGATTCTCTATCAGTTGAAAGTGAAGTATTACAAAAATTAGAAGACCAAAAAATATTAATTATCTTATGAAGAAAACCAGCCTATTAATATTTACTGGTGCTTAAAAATACATATATATCACTGAAAAATCCATTTTCTGGAATCCATACAGATGGAAACTAGAAGGAAGACTAACTGCGATTTAATTGCACCTGTTTGCTCATTTCTTCATAATTTTTTAGAAAAAACTTCGGAAAATTGACAATTCCCTTTGGTGCAGATTATGATAATTAAATCCCTTAAATTTTTATTCAAAAACAAGATTTGAAATTTGAAAAAAAAGAAGAAATCGTTTTATTAAAAGGAGGGATGAACTAGAATTTCTATTTTGCTGTATCACCAGCCAAACAATCGTTTTCGAACAGAAACGTAAAAATTCTCATAAGTGATGAGAATATTTAGAAAGCTCTAGACTTTTCGACACAGTTCTACTTTCGAATTTGACAATAAAGAGTAGGTAGGAAGTGTTTTTGAACAGGTCGATTGTGATTAAGCTATTCAATATTGGCACGAGTGATAACGATTATCTTGAGTTGACTTTTACTATCGGACTGTTTTTATTTTCACCTTACTATAATCACTGTCGACTTTGTTCAATGTGCAAAAGATTAACTTAGGAATCAAATTTAACTAATTAATTAGGCGGAGATCAATTAGTTTTATTTGCTTCTTATTTTTTCATATTTTAGCTGTCATTTATTGTTATCTCTGATTCTTGATTATTTCAGCGAGCCAAAAAAGTGGCGATCGCGACGAAAACTTCTTACACCGACATTTCACTATGACATATTGAAAGATTTTGTTGGTGTAAGTAAAAACACTTTACTGGAGGCTTTGTAAATTGAGACTGATTTTAATAGTATATGTTCTCTCTACAAATTTCTATTAACACAGAGTTATAGCGCGAAATTTTATATAATTACTGCTCTCCGATAACTAGATCTTTAGGTGTATAATAAGCACGGACAAACACTGCTACAAAAATTCCACGCTTTGTGTGGTAATCAGTACAACGATATATTTCATATGATATCGCTGTGTACATTGGATATTATCTGCGAAGCTGCTCTCGGTACACATGTCGATGCCCAGAACAAATCGTCTCCATACTTGGATGCTGTTTGCAAGTTTGTTTATTTAAATTATTTGAAAGAAAATGCTTTCAATTCAACGTCTCACACTCTTTGTAAAATTATTTTGTCATGATTTTAATAGCTTAAGTACTATTTCATTCCTAAAATTAAAAATGAATGAAAAAACATAGATTTAAGGATAAAATATATTATTCACCAGCGAACACTGAAGGCACATTTTTACTTCGACACCATTTATAATATATTTGGCAGCGGGAAAGATGAGAGCAAATGCACTGAAATACTTCACGAATTCACTGGCGCGGTAATTTGACGGCGTTATCTAAGTTCTTTTGCTTAAAAACATGACTTCCCGTTATGCGACTTATTCAAATACCAATATTGTGAAAAGTTTTGAGAAGCTCTGGTTTTTGCCTTTATAAAATTAAATTAATTCTATAGGCAATAGCAAATCGTAAGAGATTAGTCGATGAAGCTGGTGGTGTCAGTAGCCTAATGGAGAAAGAAACAGTATCAGGTACGATGAGCTTATTGCCGAGTATGATTCTGTAAGCTGTTTATTAATCAGTATGACCTAAATTTTCATTTTCAGGCAAACGACGTATGGCGTTTCTGGATTTCATGCTCGATTTAAATGCTAAGGGTGAATTACCTATGGAAGGTGTACAGGAAGAAGTGGACACATTCACTTTCGAAGTAATTTTTTATTTTGTTATCCAACAATTATGCTTCCTTTATTCCTCATTGAAAATAAGCTTGAAAAGCATTTCAGGCACATGACACAACTTCAACAAGCATGAACTGGTTTTTGCACTTGATGGGTACCAATCCAGAAATTCAAGCGAAAGTTCAAAAGGAAGTCGACGAAGTTTTAGGGGAAGGTATGTGGCTTTAAAAAAATATATATGTGTACATACATATATATCCAGAAACAGCTGTGTCATAATTTTTCAGAAAATAGATCTGTGACGTATGAGGACCTCGGACAACTAAGATTCTTGGAGGCCTGCATCAAAGAAACATTGCGACTATTTCCTAGCGTACCTATGCAAGCCCGACAGTTGACCAAAGCTACGAAAATTGGTAAAATTTTTCTAGCATTTGAAAAGATACCATCAAATTTTAAGTCAGTAAAACATGTTGTGACTTTTTTCTGATTTTGCTTTCTTTCCCTTTTTCAGCTCTATAGAAATTGCACCCCCCACATTTATAAGAAAAAGTCTTTATACATACATTGCAAGTATCCGTACATTAACCAAATCCGCGTATTTCGTAAATAAAATTCTATTGTAGCGAAATCCCTACTTAAAATTTTTGTATAATTAAGGCTGATTGATTGATCATGAAGAAAGCTTTTGGGAGCTTCTAATTTGAGGGAATAAAATACTACCACGTGGTACGAGTGTTATGATCATCGCATCAATGATTCATAGAGATCCACGATACTGGCCGGATCCAGAAGCATTCAAACCAGAACGATTCATTGACAATCAGCCCAGACATCCGTTTTCATATATTCCTTTCTCTGCTGGACCCAGAAATTGCATCGGTATCAGATTTGTTGAAAAAAACTGTTTGACTTGAGGAATGGGAAATATTTCAAAATTACAAGCATAATAGTATGATACAAAGAGTAAATACATAAAATTAATATTCTTAGGATAATGGACAAACATCTCTTACAGGACAACGGTTCGCACTTATGGAAGAAAAATGCATCCTAGCGCTGCTAATGCGGAATTTGAAGGTGAAATCGAAACTACGTACCGATCAGATGCGTGTGTCCGCTGAGCTTGTAATTCGACCACTATTTGGCAATAACATACGATTTGAAGCACGTAAATTTGGGGACTACGTGCAAATCGCATAGATCGATATTTCAGTTTGATTGTCGCGAGATATTCAATGAAATAATACCTAATGGTGCATGCAATAATGTTTGTCTGAATGGTTAATAATGTGTTGGGTTAAATGAAAAGTTTATAGCTAATCATATTCTCGCCCTGTCCATTTATTATTTCATATGATCCTCTTTCCTTTAGTCCTCTCCATTTTATAAACCGTATCACTATTCAAATGCAGTCATCGTAATCGGAATCATTTGGAAGCGAGCTTTGTAGGCTCAAATTGTTACTTAGTCTGCAAAACATAGATAGCCATCTGGTTCAAGGCTAGATCATGTTAATTCTATCATAACAATGCCGAATCATAATGGTGTGTGTTTTCATTAAGTGTGTAATAAATGCTAGTTGAAGTAGTAATGTTTCTGAGCAATTTGCTTGACATCAATATCAGCTGTATAATCTGCAGACAGGATCTTCGCTACAACACTAGATTGTCATTAAGTTCAAGTGGTTCGATAAAGAAAGTATTGGAATGTTACTTTCAGTAAAGAAGACATATGCAATAATAAGATAGACTGCGGAATTTGATGCATTATGTAATTAATTCACTTGGAATAAAGGATTAAAAATAAAGGCAAGCGGGAATAACGTACACTTCCGCTCTCCATGTAACGCATCATAGTGTAGAAGTTGGAGGCAAGATGACCGTGCTGTCTTTTCGTTCGTGAACAAAGCTGCATGGCGTAGTTGGAAGGAGATTGCGGGTGAGGAGTTGAGTGTCGTTTTGTTTGTTCAGGATATCTCGGTAGCTGTTCTGATAGTCGTTTAATGCATAATCGAATCTAACACTACATGTGCGGAAATGTGGGGTAAGCCTGAATTAAGCTGAAGTTTGGCTTTGCTGGTGTGGCCATGTCCCCCTTTCATGTTTCTGTCTAATGTAAAATGTGAAGTGTAGGATGTGATTGAGCCTTATTATCGGTGCTGTTGTTATCAGCATCACTTACTTTATTTTATCCACTAGCAAAATGTTTGATTTTGAACCACATGAGTAGGTATACAGAATGAGATGAAGAGTGCAGCAGAAGTGAGTTCGAATTCCTTCAACGGCTCATCGTCATCTTCATCGTCCACTTCATCCTCCTGCTCAACATCAGATATCAATGAGCTTTGTAAAGAAGTGAGAATTTGATAATTTTAATCTTTATATGTATTCCTATGAAATTAGCATTCATTTCATTTATTATTTTAATTTCAAACTCAATAATGTCTTCCTATTACAGGCATTTACAAAACATCATTTTACAAAATGTGCGGAACTGTTAAAAAAAGCACTGGATGGGACTAAAAGCGAAACAGAACGACGACGTTTACATGCAAATTTAGCTCTTTGTGAAGCGAAGAGCAAAGCACAGTTATTTAGTGCTGCATACCAGACTGCACTCCTCAACATTTTTCCCAAAGTATATGTTTCCGTTTAGTCCTATAATTGACTTTATATTAAATATATTGCAGTGCTTCATCACTACATCTGCAGTTTTAAATGAAATGATACTGCTATTCAGTATTTTAGCTGAAACCTGGTGAGGATCACAATTTAGATGATCATGATGAAGCAATTGCTGCATTCAATCTAGCACTAAATGCTTTCGTTCGAGGGAATCGGCGAACTTGTCTTGAGATTCTACAGTCTGTGATGACTGTAAATACTTTATCAGGTCAATTCTGTTTTTGCATGAATTATCAATGATTCAATAAGTTATCGTTTAAATTTAATAATTTCTTTCGTAACAATTGTTTTAATTAATTAGTTAATAACAAATTATGTTAATTAATTATATTACTTTAAACTAACTTGTAATAGCCAAATGGAATTCCTTATTTTACAACTTCGAATTATTTAACAAATGGGTTACAGATACGCTTTTCTGTGCAGTTTCACTATTGGAAATTGACGTAAGCTTAACATTATGTCAGCCGAAATTAGCATTGAAGCAAGCAGTCAAACTTCGTGATAGCATTACATGGCGTCGGGCAAACGTTGTCCAACGTGATTACCTTGATTGTTTGGAGTGTCGCATCCGGTGTCGTCTTGCACAAACGTCATCTTTGATCGATTTTAGTTTGAAACCTGAGGTTTTCATATATATATATAAAGCTTCATCCTGAAAAAAAATATATATATAAGCTTCATCCTGAAAAAAAGACTATTTTCAGTTCTTTATAGCAGTTTTAAGTTACAGTTGTTGCACTGGTGCCTTATACAGTCAGAACTTGATGTGAAAAACGGTAATGCAACACGTGCGGTAAATCGACTCTTAAAATTTCGCCCTTCGCTTCAGGTAGTTTGGGTGTTTTATTAAGATATATTTATTGTTAATACGTTTGGATATGTTTATGCTTTAAAAAAAATAAAAAGAAAGTTTGGCCGAATTATATTTTTTATTTTATTTTAGAACAAGTCTCCTTTTTATTCTTTATAATTTATTAATAATTTTCAGTTACGGTTATTGCAGTTATTTTTTGTTTAATAAATATTTCATCCTTTGTCTGACTGAACTATTTCAAAAAATGCACAATCTATGTAGTTTATTAATCTAATTATCCCCATAAACATAGTATTTGTGGGCATTTCTTTGCACCGCTTTCTCATATAAAGTCATATAAAGTAGATACAGGATGAAGAACGCAGACTTGTTGATAATGCGCTTGGATGTGTTTATGCTTTGTCGCTGAAAAAGATAAGTTTGGCAGAGTCATATTTTCGATCAGCAATGTTGGTGAAACAAGAAAAAAGGAAAAGGTTCGTGTTTGCGGTAATGACAAATAAATATACTTGATAATGGTTATTCTGATTAGTAAAGAATGAAGTTAGTTGAACAGGCTGTTTTTTTTTTTTTTTTTTTTTTTTTTTTTTTTTTTTGTGAATCGGGTGTTTTCTGCATGTGCTATAGCGAGTATGATGCTTAATCTTGTAAATTCAATTTGTTATCGATCTGATCATTACATTTGAAATTAAACCGCTGTAATAATTTTTTACTGATGCAGAATATATTCTCCACTATGCAGTAACATTCTGATTATCTTGATATAAGTTAATATTTATAACTCTGAAGTCTGAAAATCGAAATAGTTTTGATGCACGAAAAGATAAGTTTTGAATTCTGTTTGTTTGTTGCTAGATTAAATTATATGCTGGAGAAATTCATTAGTTCGGAAACATTTTTTATTGATATGAAAGTTTGCACTTTGTATCTGCAGTTGGCAGGAGTCAACAGTACCTAGGCATTGTTTGATATATCACGCAGCTTTGGCTCAGTTACACTGTGGACATGCAGAATCTGCTTTTACACTCTTCCTTTCTGTTCTTCCATTTTATCCAAAACAGCCTCGAATTTGGTTGCGAATTGCAGAATGTTGCATATACGCACTGACAAAGGTTCGTTGACAATGTTTTGTTAGCATCATTTTTCAGAGTGTTTTTATCAAATTAATGAAAATCCCAGAATATGGTATACGTGTTCCTTATACTGTTATTCATAACTTACGTTTCCTATATTTATGTTTATTGCTTTTGCAGTTCTTATCCGTCTTCTCTTTGCAAATGTTCGTACTTCGCAGAATTTTTATGTTCATTTGCAGAATGGAAATGATAATGTGGATACTAATGGACAAACGATAGAAATTGTAGGGACAGCGCAGAATGGATATGTTATCTTCCCATCTATATCTGTTAGAGAAGACAAGTAAGTTCCCCGCATTCATTTAAGCTTCCTCGGAGAATTAATCACATTATAATGTAATAACCCAAACCTAGATATTTGCTAAATGAGGACAAATTTGTCCAATTATCTTTTTTTTAGATGAAAGTATTTTTTTTTTTTGTATTTTTTAGCGTTTTATACAGGTACGTTTTTATATATATATGGAAGAATGATTTCTAAATAAATATCGGTCGTTTTAATCAAATCAAAATTATTCATGCTGGTATATTGGTGGATTTTTCCTAATTTGATGGAAATTGTGATTACTTTCCAGTTTGAATAACGAAGTTGATGAGATACGTGAAAATCATATTAGCTGGGAATATGCCGCACACTGTATTCGAAATGCACTAATTCTTACTGGCACTGAACGAGATTGCATATACTTGCTTCCATGGTTATATGCAGCATCATCTTTCATTAATCTGAATCTTGGTCGCTATAGTTTAGCACTGAAGGCAGCTTGCCAGCTTGCCAGCTTACAGCAAGTTTCTCCTCATCACAAGCTTATGGCGGTGCTTTTTAAAGTAAACTTTTGATTTTTTGTATAAAACCATGTAATTTTTATAAAAGTATAGATACATAAAGTAGAGAGTCCTGCATACATAGCGTACGTTTTATTCCTGTATACATACCGTCGTACGTTTTATTATACGATTTGAAGTGTATATGAATTAACCATCTTACTTTTTTTAAAAAATAATTAACATTAGTTTATATACAAATAAGCATCTATCCTCAAACTAGAAATTTTGTAGGCAGAAGCACTTATGTTGCTAGATCGCTTACCAGAGGCTGTTGGTTGTTTGTCACAGGCTGTACCACTTCAATCCATGCCGAGCACGATATCAGCTGTTATTTATAATAGAGCATTGTTACAGGCGTTGAGTGGCAACCTGCATAAATCATTAGCGACCTTCGGGCTGGTATGTTCCAATTTCCTGTGTTTTTTGGCAGTGACATTCTTTAAATCTCTCACCTCATTGTGTCTATCCTTCCCCTATACACTTGAAATTGCTTGGTGTCCCTACCACTCGGACATTTCGTGGATTCTTTTCAGTAGTATTCATATTCACGTGAAATGTATCCAGAAATCTTTCCATTTTAGCTTGGAACGCAGTGTGACGTAACAACAGTTCCAGAAGCGCTATCTCTTGGTGTTTACATTTATATGAAATCAGATAAGGGCGATGAAGCAAAACATCTGATAGTGCAACAAATAGAGAAAATGAAATTACGTTAAAGTCGTGCAAAAATCGCTTCCACCGAATATTTTAGGATTAATTTGTTGGCTGTAAATAATTATATTATGTCATCATCTAATCATTTCCCAGGCAGTTCAACTTACCTTTTAATGCGTCTCAACAAAATTCTAAAATTCTGTGAATGATTGATATGCCAAGAATGTAAAACATATGCTTTTTTATTTGTGGAATCCAGAGTTATGTTACGATGCATTCCACTCATGACTTAATCAAGATTATTGATTTCCTAACAACATTGTCCATTGCATTCTCTCTTTATTCAATCTTTGAATTTATCTTATCTATCAGTTATGTAAATACAGCATTTAAGAGCAAGATTTGAACAAATAATTTATAAATATAATTACGCACTGTATCCGAAAATTCATTTGAACCATTAATTTAAATTAATGAAACAATTAAATATATAATGTGCTGCCTAACTGGTTAAATCTCAATAACAAATGGTAAAAACAGGAGCTTGTGACATCATCATAAGCATTCTATATAGCATGTATCAAAAAGAAAAATTCGTTCCACCCTTGCACTAATTGAAGTGATTTCCTTAACCGAGAGTCACATCTGATTTAAATTTGTTTTGAAAGAAAAGGGTGGACTTGAGCAACATTTGTTTTACAGGAAAAGTGCAAATACAATATGTGTACAAGATGCAAATAATGTAGGAACTCTCAGCTTTTAGCGTCCCACTTTTTTGGTAAGTTCTCGAATACAGATCACAGTCAATAAAGCCTTCAAAAAATGTTGCAGGAGTGGAGAATGCTCAACTTGGCAACTGAGCATGTATATCCATCACTGGCAACTGAATCATCTAGAAGCCTGAAGAAATGACATGTTTTAAAAAAACAAGTGTTTTGGGGGATACAGTTTCTCCATTCTTACTATCTTAATTGACCACATGCAAAGATGTTGAAGAACAGCACTAGAAACACACTTCCCTCACAGAGGGTCATATTTATCTCAGTTTCGAAAGCCTCTTACTTCTGATATCAGCTAGTTAGCAGGATTAAAAGCTCTGAAATCCAATTTTAATTTTATAGCTGCCGATTTTGAAACTGGTAGCGGCATATGTTCGCATTTTCCCGCACCGGTGACACGTTGTGTTTGCTGTGTAGAACGACTACTGTGATATCGTATGGATTCTTCAATCCTGTACAAAAGTATTTTTATCTATAAGAAACATCGAAAGTTTCAATATTATGAACATAAAAGCTGAAAGCTTACAGCGAGCATGAAGTAATGACGAAGAGAACTGGAGATATCGTTGCTAAAACGTTGAAAGAATGCAACTTTGAGATGTAAACTTCGATTTTTAAGATTACACAAAAGCATACAACAAAAGATTCGACTAATCATAAAGAAGCCTGATGGGAAATATAAAGATTTTGGAAAAAACGTACTTCGATTTGAGTGCTGGAAAGGACAACAATACTTGTTTGAATTCGTCTGGGTGGGAAGGACCTACTGCATTTAATCTATCAAGTGCATAATCATGTAGTTTACGTGCAGATATTGGTAGCACTCGATAATATGTAACTGGATTATCACACAAAAATGTACCCAACAGTTGAACTATAAGATTTACAATTGCCAATTCTGAAAATTGAAAGATGTTTAAAAGGTAGTTTGAAATTAACAATATATAGTTTTATAGAAAATAATTTTTCCTGGAAAATGCATATGAATAGTTCAAATAAAATAAAATAAAAAATTAAAATAATTTGATACGCACAGGTCGTGCATATCAAATTAAGATGCACAGGCCTGAACAATATCCTGCATTTTACTTTCGAATATTTTTGTTCAATGTCTTTCTTTACTTCATGTGTCCAATAAATATAGAAGACAACAATTGAAACCAACGTTTCTTTTGGTTAGCGACCGAAAGGGCAATCTCTAAAATGCGCACTGCTTCTTGAAGAATGACCACGTCTTCTGCCTGTGGAATTTCTGGAATCCCTTCCGCATTACTTGTCACAAAAGGTCGAATTCTTTTCAGTATTTTAGGAACAAGTTCTGCGATAAATGGATAACATATTTCACGTCGACCAAAAATGGAAGCCAGACTTTGCATGCATTTAACCACTACCTTTAATTCATAGTTTCGAAGATTCTGATTTATTCCAGTTTAAAATTTAACTAAATTGTTGCCACAACATCATTTTCTTCTAAGATTTAAATATAAATAAAATTTAAAGTACACGTAGAATAAAACGTTCCTGTGAAAAACATGAGTTCTACAAAAAAATGCAACGAAAAAAAACATTCCATTCACCTGCTTATGCTCACTTTCCAAATATGTTTGGAATAATTTGCATATTCTTTTCAAAAGACCAGTGTTGCCCATAACTAACTGAGGAGGTGATGAAGTGATGAATACTGCAACTGCTAACATTATCACTGCACCGTCAATTTTTGAATCTGCAAAAAAAGATTGTGTGTTTGCACAAATATTTGAATTTCATATAAGAATGAAATAAATCCTTCCGAGTAAAGCAAATACTGAAGGACAAAAAATATTTGAAATTTAATTACAGCACCCAAACTTTACGAGTCTCTGAAATGGGATGTGTGCATTAAAGATGATAAAGAAAATGGTACAATAAAACATTTCGATGGTGTAATTTTCTTAAAAACATACCTTCAGTCATATTAAGCAGTGAAATTAAAGTACTTTTCATTACTGATAACCATTTGGGAAATGTTGAATCATTTGGAGTAGTACTCAGCAACGTTTTCAATACCTAAACAAGCGTACTCCAAAAAAATTCTGATAATCATGAATAGCAACAGCTATAAGAATTTTGTAGAAAGGAAACGAAAAGAAATCGAAAATACTAAGGAACACAATCTCTTTTATCAAATTGAAATCAGTCACTTTCAATAATAATGAAGAATATAACCTGCATGGCTGTAGCAGCAGCAATAGAGACATGCCCAAATGGAGCGTCAGGAACTAACTGCTCCTACAATAGTTAAAGTATACAGCAGTTCACTACAAATAAATAAAGACAGCAAAAATGAAAACCGGCAATTACTATTGTAAATTTATTGCATAGAATTAAACAATAATTCAAGAAGGAATTAGATTTCTTCAAAGAAACCCTGTCAATGAGAGAAGATTCATGCAAAACTCCTAAAATCAGGTACAGAATGCTTGGAAGAACCACAACGACACCATCGGATGAACATAGCACTGGAATACGAGTGAGAATATTGAGACCAATCTGCAAAATAATAATTTCGTGATTATGACATAACTAAAATACACCAAAATTATCCATAATGAAACAGAGTTTTAGTCAAAAAGAAGAAATGAATGTTAAAAACAGAAGTTCTGGAATCCAAAAAAAAGTGAGAAAATAAAGAAAATAATCTATAAGATTCACTGAAAACGAAGATTGTGAATTTTAAGTGATGTCGTTAAAAATTAAAGTCATACATAGAGCAGTCTGTTTATAATTTACGAAAATCATATAAAAAACCAAATCCAAATAAATGTTCATATAAAAAACTTACTTTTATAAGATTGTTCGATTCAATGGGAAGGCGGGAATATCTCCGATAATGAAGTGGCGCTGCTGATTTACTTTTCATTAATGCTGAATTGATTTGGGGAATCTGCAACTGATTGAATAATTTTAAAAAATGTACTGGAATTACTAGATCGACGATATAAAAAAAATTAACTGGAAAACATGAAGAATTTTGGAAGTGGTTCAAGAACCCACCTGTCTAACCAAAAGGCAAAGAGCAACTTCCAAAACAGCAAATGCCAAAGAACCGACAGGTCGTAGACCATCAGACGTCCCTTCCGCTCCTTTGTAACCATCCTTAACAGTACTTTTCTGTTGACCTGAAATGCCATTTTTAGTATCTGAAATCAATCAGAAAATTATCAGCAAATTTGGATAAAACTCCAAGAAAATCTTAAACCTTTATCATTATCAAGTGTTATTGAATATTGAGCAGCATCAAGAACTATCATAACTACGTCCGCACAAAGCTGCTGAGTTCGTAAATTTTCTCGAGTTAAAATAAGTCTGGAAATAATAGTTTCACTATCAAAAAACCAGAAATAAGTAGTGAATTAACAAAACAACGTTAGCAAAACTTCTAGTCCTTTCACCATTGCGAGGATATATCGATTTATAATTTTTGGAGAATTTTTAACGGGGTAAGATGTGAAAAATATACTGCAAACTAGTAACTACCTGTAAAGTACATTTATTACTTCTATTGGTAATTGAGCATTCCTCATCAAAACTCTTTGCGACCAATTGCAGGCCAAAAGATTCCTCAATGATCGCAGACAAAGCTAAAAAAGTCAAAAGGCAAAACATATTTTGTTTTGAATGTAAAATTTTTGATAACATTGAGTAAACTACAAACAAAAAAAATGAGAAATGGCGTTCTCATAACTGAATCAACTTGCCTGAATAGTTAAATCTCCCACAGAATATGTACGATTTGAACAAAGAGTTTCAATGCATATTCCGAGCATTATGTGAAAATGAGTTTCCCTTGTCTTATCTATCGTGAAATCCTGCAAATTTTAAGAAAAAGAAGAATATAAAAATACAAGTGATATAAAAAATATCAACCTGTTTATTTGCTGAAAATGAACCTCTGAATCATCGGACTTTTGTTGAAGTTCGAAATCGTTCTGCTTCAACCATATGCAGGCAGCCAGCAGTATCGGAGGCCAACTGACTCGATAATATTCCTTGCAAAACTGCAAAATTTCATATTCAAAAAGTGGAAAAAGCGAAAAACGCTTTAAAATAGTGATGTGTATCGCCAGTGACGAATAGTAGAATAGTATCTTAAATTTATTGGCGATCGAACTCACGTCAGCACATTCAGCAGTATAATAAGCTCCACCTTCAAGCGGTAACTGATTTTTGAATTCAGGTGGAAGTGAAAGAAGAGCAGAGTCACGTAGGGCTGCTAACCAACAGTTAATCAACGAATTGAGCTCGGGAGAAACCAAGCTCAATAAACTTTCTTGTAAAGAGCTGCATTTCTCCTCATCTGTAAGAATAATTTCTTAACATAAATTAAAATATTTTTTGACTATTTCCAAGCCTCTGTTGTTCAAACATTAATAAATGAAAACAAACATTTTATAAAAAAGTTAGAAAACTAGTATCCAGTAAATTTGTGGTTAAGCTTGAACACATACCAGCAATCTTTTCTAAAAAAATTTGTCAATCATGCGGAAGATCACATCCGGTTATAATAATTTTGAATTCCCTTGTATACATTAAAAAAAAAAAAAAAAAAAAAGACTATTTATGGAAAATGAACGGAAGCGTACTTTTCACCGCAACAGCGTTCACAACTTTTTTCTGCTTTTTCTGATCTACAGCAACAATGTAAACTTCTGCCCAAGCCTTAAGAATTGCTAATTTTTCCAAAGTTGCAGCACTTTCGCTATAAAGTTGCGTATTAATTGATCCATGGGTCAGTTTGCCAAGAGATGAAACTAGAAGCTACAAAGAAAATAAATTTCAGGACGGTGTTACATCTGCCAACTATCAAAAACGGCTTTTAGCGCTATAACACAAACATAGCAAATGATTTCCGCTTGATTATTTGCTTTTAATGAAGCTTATGAGAGAAAGAGTTGCTCGGAATTTATGAAATATACAAAAATGACAAGTGATTGCAATTCTGACACAATTTCTAAGTTATGCTGAGAAAAAAAAAAATTTAATTATTAGAAATATGTTTTTCATGAAGAAAAACAAATAAAAGTTGATTTATAGTTTTTATGTAAAAAAAGTCGGATTATAAATAATAAATGTGACCTGATGAACTCGTCGCAGATCGTTTAAATCTTGGGCAACACCACTCCCGATCCAAGTACTGCATACTTGACAGGCAGCAGCAGTAACATCACTAGGGGTATCGGCTGTAAATGCCGGTCGCAAAGCTGCACCTACCTAAATAATGGTTGGCCTGTGCAGTGCTTTTCGGATAAAAATTGGAAATTTATGAAAAATAATCTTTTGAAGAAAGGAAATAGGCCTGTATTTTGAAGGAAAATGGAACTTTTGATTCGTAATTTTTACACGGAAAATTGGCTCAGAAATAAGATATTCAAGAATTTCTTATAGCCTAATTTATATAAAAATCTGATCTTAACAAAAGAATCTTCACAAAAGCCAGATGACTAAAATTAGAGTTTCATCCCATCAAAAATGACTGAATTAAAGAATTAAAAAAGAAATGCAAAAAATGAATGCTAAAATATTCAGACCTGTGCTTGAAATTGTTCCAGGATAACATGACCAGGAAATTCAGGTTCTGGTATCGATGAGAACCGATTGATCACATCCTGCAAGCAAGCCAGTCCGGCAAGACGCAAACTTGTATTATCACTGGTTGCTCCCATAAATGACATCCTTACTAAGTCGGATAAGTGAAGGACCAAGTAATCAGCTCGACCACCAGAAGAAATCTAAAAATGTTTTATATAGGACAATTTGTGCATTTCCCCACATTCCTTCAAGGAAAAAACACTAAAATTACAATAAAACTAAAACTAAATATTTGAAAGATCTATATATGATTCCTTATCTGCCTCATCTGAACATTTGTTCATCTCATTTGTTCCATAAAAAACTCAACGAAAAAAGTTTTTGGTAATATTTTTATACCAACAATACATGTTAGTTAGAAAGAACAAATCATACATAACTGAGAGTTATCATCTTATATTTATTTGAATTTCTCAATTCAAACATAATTTTCATAACTATATTGTTTATTAAACCTACTTGTAATTCTTTAGCAAGAGCAAGATCAAAATGCGCCCGTTCGGTCTCGCAGACAGACATCACTCTTTGTACAAGTTCTGTAACAAATACTCGACTTGGCCAGCGGGGAATCACTTTCATTTTCTCCTCCCGACTTACAATACTTGCTGATTGCAGCGTTACATCGTCATCCATATTCTGAAGACATGCAAAGATAATACTTGTCCTCAACTGCTCTGCTTTTAGCACAGTATCTCAAAAATAAACAAATCTGTTCCAAACCAAAAACCCAGAATAGAATATATAAAATAATAAACTCTTATAAATTTCCCGAACTTTTAACAAAAGTTAATAAACTTCACTTCATGCTCATCCTCCTCATCTTTGACGTTACTGGAGCCTTTTTCTTCAGCCTGTATGGCACTTCGCACATCTGCACCCATAGATGATGCTAAGATATCTTTACATAAAGATAACCAATAGCTTAAAAAATCTGTGCTTACTGCTTGCACAAGCGAAATCAAAGTTTCCTGCAAACTATGATTTCATTAATAAAACCTTAACATTTGCGATTTACCCTAGAATGATAAAAAACAGCGAAATAGTACGCTGCTATGTCAAAAATTTCATGACCACTATAAGATTGGAAGATAATGTAAATTAAACCAAGCTAGAATATGAATTAAAACTTTTCTAAAATTACTCAAAAAGACTGAAGTCTTAATTTTTTTCACCGGCCCTTAGCTTCACCGATTTTCCCATTTCTTTATAATCTTCATGCACTTCATTAAAGTTGTAGTTTATTCTTTTAGTTCCATTTTAATCCACTTAGCCCTTCTCTTCCCTACTTTTCTTCCAATATTTTAATAAATAACTTTAATTCCAGAAGTTTCAAAAAACATCAATTGATCTGAAACAACAATAGCATGAACATATGTACTCAACATAACTGACGAACATTAAGCAGAAATACTTGAACACATAATATACTTACAGTAGGTAAACGACAAAGAATGAATTCGGAAAAATAATTAGAAGGCATACTAAATGATCAAACTAATTTGCTGCGCACAGTATCTATCCTACCAACTTATTTCATGTGCAGAATGCTCATCTTGTTTGGAAATATCTTAAATTTAAAAGTTGAAGATTTGGTGCATGAATAAAGTTTTACAGCGATGTTTTATATACCAAAGAGTATAATCTCATAATACAGATGAGCTACTTGTTTGTTAATCTAATCAACTATAAAAAATTTCCCTAATGAATACTGTACTCTGGCTATCTTTTATTTTCCAAATATAATTTATTCATGATTCCCTGAGAAAAATACAAGAGTTAGGATTGCTCACGATTTCTTCCGCTTCTCGTTACGCAAAATTGTATGGATGTATATATATTTAGGTCTCAGACATGAAATCCATTCATATGTTTATGGTTTTGCATAAATTTTTTTTTTATATTCTTATCAAATAATGGTAATGTCCCACATAGGAATGCACTGAATACGAAATAAATTAATATTATATATACAACGCTGTTATGCAAAATTAGCGCTACATTTAATGAGCATATTGCTCATAATTCATCATTTAATGAACCCATTTTATAATAATCAATTAACACAAAAAATCCCATTTTAATAATCAATTAACACAACCTTACTTTAATATCCTGCTTGAGTTTAATATCGGTTTCAACATCGAGCATAGCCAGAAGGGCCCCTTCTAAACCAGTTTCTGGTAACCCTGATTCCACATTTCGTCCCATATTATTCATGATTCCCTGTGGTACGAGAGTCTGAGAGTGCTCACGCACTTCTTTCGCTTCTCGTTGAACAAGCTGTCTTAGGCAACAAACAGATACTTTTCGCAAAATTAAATGTGGGCTTGACAGTAATTTCTGCAATAATTCTGTAAAGTGATTTTATGCTTTTCAATATCAAAATATTAACTGTCCGTGTATTGTGGTTATTCAGTCATGGAAATCACTTTACTACAGAAGTTGTAAAAATAAAACGTGATGTCGATGAATCACAGATGAAAGAGACTTGACAACAGTTTCTACAATATTTCCATCAACTATCATGCTTATGATAGTTGTTTTAAAAAATTTAATCTAAAAATAATAATTTATACTTAGTATAGATAACTAACACAAAGTCGAACAACAAGCCGATCAAGATGTACGTGTCTGGGCGTAAAAAGATGAAGCTGTTGTAAACAGGATATTGCTTCTGCTTGGACCAGAGAATCACTGCTATTCAACATCATAACACTTCCTATAAAAAACAAATAATATAGAAAGAAAAACAAGAAACGAACAGCAAAAACAAAAAAAACAGACCTATCAAGAATGATGTTCGCGTTCCTTCCACAGCACCAACAAGCTGTAACTCCGGTCCCATCGTGCTGATCAGTGCAGACACCTACAATAGTTTGTTTAGCTCGAATTGTTATCGCTCCGTAATTGAAGTTTGTTAGACATAACACTCAGATACACTGTTACAAGATGAAACTCATAATCAGAAGCCTTGTGCTTGTGCTAGTATTGTGTTTAAAATTCTACAACAAATCATCAGCATGAATAACATAAAAAATCCACGAAAAATGAGCTTGACTCATTATACTTATATTTAACCTCAATCATAATCAGTTAAAACTCTAAACAACAAATATGAGGCACCATAATGCTGTTTTTCGTTTATTCTTAAACAAAATAAAAGTATTCCTTTTTTTTTTTCACAATCCATCTACGCTTAACCAAGAAAAATAAAGAATTAGCAAATTAAAACAGAACTACAACAGAACTAAAACTTGAAACTTACGAATTTCCCAGTACACCGTATTACATCAACATTTGAAGGTGGTGTATCCAGTAACAACTTCAAGCAGAGGCTTAAACTTGGCTCAACATAACCACGAAACATTCCACCACCGGTATCAGCGATCAAACCCAATGCAACCAGCGACCATGACTTGAAAAAGTGTACATGAGAAATATGATAAAATAAAAAAATCTGAGAAGGATGAACAAACAAAAAATATTGAGTCTTTTTTTTATGAAAAGAAAACCAAGATTCCGGTTATCATTAAAAACTGTTGTAACTTGAAGTGTGTTAACAACAAGGCCAAGATACAGCAACAGTCGTTCAGAGGAACCATGTAACGATACAGTGATACAGAAGTAAGATGTATCTTCCCTATATAACATAAAATATGTACCTGTACTAGAGACGAAGTAGTATCTTGTGCCAAGGCCAATAAGATCGAAACACTAGTATTTAAGTGTTGACCACTGCCCAGAGACCCGACGTAACGATGCAGTGATCCAAGAGTTAGAGCATAACCTGTCCTGTTATTAGCATCGCGACAACTTTTTAATTTATCGAAACTATATTGTGCCATGCTCGCCACAAACTGCACCTCAGAGAGTGAGTTATTTTGATTGTCATTTCGTTTCAATTGTCATTTTTTTTAATTATTTTTGAACTTAATTATTTAATTGCTTTTTGACATTTCGTTATTTGTTACTTTTGTTTAAAAAATAGCACACTCGACGATAGGGGAATCTACATTTCACAATCAAAATTTGTTCTTCATTCGATTTGAATTAACGTGTAGTTATTTTAACTAATAACATTTGAACTCAGATCTAAAATAACATCACTAATTTCCCAACAAATAAAATTAAAAATAACGACCTGGGCATCACCAACAACCTGTGCTAAACGACCCAATGCTTCCGCTGCTGCACACCTGAAAAAGGAAAATAAAGTAGCTGAACTGAAAAAAACAACATTTGTAAGTCAGTGGTATAATACAAAAGAAATAAAAACCTTATTAGGGGGACTGCATGTGAGAGACACGGAATTATTAAATTGATGTAGGCTTTTTGTAAAGCTTGACCCTCCAAATGTAAACCTTTTTGTTCCGAAACAGTTTTGAATGATGCAAGCAAGGAGCCAAAAACATTCTTTTGTATCTGAAATCAATAAATTGAAGATAAATTGAAGGTGGATCCCAATTTTTAAATAATTTCTAATAAAATCTATGCTGAAAAAATTCAGGTCCTCAGATTCCCAATTTTTACAGAGCATAAGCATTTAACGAATTCGAAATTTTTATCCTTTGCAACAATCACATTTCTAATTTTCTGATGTTCCAACACATCATTTACTGCAAAAATGCAATAGTAATAATAAAGATTTGAATTTCACTTAGTATTCCAATAATTTTGCACGCTTTTTATTTGTGAAATATAAAAATTCAAAAGAATATTTTGAGAGCTTCATTCCTGTCTGAATCGTTTTTTCATGAAGTAGTAAAAAGTGCTGGAAATCAACCCTAAATATTGGAAATATTACTGATTGCTGTCGAATTATATTCTTGGTTCCTTTGATACACTTAGCAAAGTGTTCAGTCATTTGTAGTTGATGTTTCGATGGTACAAATGGATATATTCGACCATACACACTTATCGCTTCATTTATCACTGTTACGGTATGACACAATGGTTCAGGCCACCATAGAGCGTCATCAATAGTAACTCTAAATGTTATAATCATGATCAAGTAAAGGAACCAATTGAATGATGTAAATGATATATGTCAATAATTCGTTTCAATAAATATTTGATGGACCTAAACGGAGAAAATATATAATGAATTAAATTAAGCCATTATTCCCTCATATTTATGTGAACAAAGCCTTACTTTACAATACAAAGAGGATCATTATCGATGGTACCACAAATAATGTTCTGTGAGGGATGCATCTAAAAGAAGAAAAATAGTGTAAAATAAACATTTTTAGTGTTATATAATACAGCACTCTTCAAATTTTATCTGCTTACAGAAATGAGAATAAACAAAATCTAGCGCAATCTGTAACTCATATAGAAAAACGTAACAACCTTGTATATATCAACTAAAAACTTTCATTCTGCAATTATGAATATAGTTATTTATATCTAAAAGATCTCTCTCTCTCTCTCTAAAAAATAAAGAGAGCTCAGTATTCAACTGAGTGTAGCTTTTAATTGGATGCCATTTCACAGCAGTAAATGTTTACCAGAAACCAGAATTTATATCTACCAAACACCAAGATTTGTTAGACATTCCAAAACCAAGCATTTCAAGCCTTCAACCTCAGCCTCAGCCACCTTCAAAAGTTATGGAGAAAGATGAAAATGATACATGAACGTATCCAAAAACAAAAAAATAGATCAAATCTGCTACAGATGTGACTGTCGTAATCTTTATTGCTTCATTAAACTGAATGCAAACCTCAAGTTCAATAAAGACTTGATCTGTGTCATTAAGCCATGCACCGAGTAATGACTTATCTACACCCGGACAAAGTGATGACAACAAGGATGTAGTAGCAGTTGACTGTCCATTATCCGAAAGAGTCAAGTCTGCAACTAATTCACGCAACAACAAAGCATAGGTATCTGCAAAAACAGTTTAATGAATAGTTCACAGTTGAGAAAAAAATAATGCTGGTACAAATTAAGAATATATAAAACTAAATAAAAAAAACCTACGTTCGTAATATTTTGGAGATATATGGCTGAGCAACTGATATATTCGAATACGCACAAATGTCATCAAAGAACGTAACTTCGTCCCAAAAGTTCTGATAAGGGCAGATATACTACAATGCAAATATGTTATATTTTGAATAATGTAAGAATTGGAAGTAGCAGAATTGCGAATAATTACTGTGAAATTGTGATCAGCGAACATTCCACAGCTTGAATAATCGTTCTGATAGTGTGATCGGTCATTAGGTTTGGACTGTATTCTACGAACATAGTCATTGATGTTAAAGCACCATTACGAGCTTCAAGAGTACAGAACCATGTAAAGGCATCTCCACGATTTTTCTCAGCTTCTGCTTCCTTTACTGATCGTGGAAATGAACTTTTCCACAACGGTAAAATACGTCCTATATAATCATGTACAGTAGTTCCACCTGGAAAATAGAATGTTAAAAAGATAATTCAATACGATATAATCCAAAACGAGAAACATGTTCAAATAGTATTTAGGGAAGCAAATTACCAAGTCTGAGGACAGCAGAAACAAGAATCCAACCAGCCTGCGATTTAACTTGAGCCAAACTACTTGCTTGTGATGCTGTTTTTATCATATCTTCAGCGATTGTAAAAACCTGCCTGAAATTCATAGAAGTATACAGAAGAGTAAAGTGAATTTATTACAATACTTCGGGAAACTAAGCAAATATGCTGTAGCAAAAAAACAAATGAAAATACAACCTAGACTTTGCATGCGGGATGCCGAGCTTACATTCCACCGAACTTACAAGAAGAGCACTCAGTGCAAACGAATAGCCGCTAATTGCATCACCACAGCTCTTCATATGTTCCAATCTACAAAAAGAAGCCGACAATACTTTAAAATTTTTCAAAAAACCATTTCTACTTTAAAAGTATGATGATATAAGAAGTACCTGCTGATACATCGATCAATTAGGGGAGTAAGCTGTGATGGAACGCTAACAGTAATACACCGCAAACACCATGAAGCAGCTATTCGAGCAGTTTGCACTGGATGCAGAAGGCAAGCAAATACAGGTTCCATTATACCTATAATAATATTTATAATCATAAAGTTCCTATCATACCTACAAATGAAAATTTTAACTATAGAACCCTTGGATTCGATCTTTCGATCAAGTAAAATTAGTTGTAATCAACTTTTAAAATTACTGATGCATTAAATACAAATTTAAAATGAAAATTTACAAGTTGTTCTTTTTTGATCTTAAATATTGAGTTAAATAATAGTTCAAATACCTGATGCCTCGGTAAAAAGAGGTGTCACCGCAGTACCAATTTGACGAACTAGACACGAAATCTCCGATAAAACGATGATCGCTGTTTGCGCATTAGCATATGATTCAGGTCCAAGCATTCTTTCCGTTCCAGAATCCAGATTGTAATCAGCTGATAATTTGAATTAAAAATTTGGCTTATGGAATTAACTTCCTCACAAAATTTAATAACATAATCGGACCAAGCAGTTAGACAGGACGAAACTTAATATCTTATGACTATGTGGTGTCTTGAACACACAGCTTCTGCAAAAGTGGTCATGGTTTATAATATAGTAATGATAATAAACTTAATAGAGTAAACTAAAAGCGTAGTTCAATTTTATTACTATTAGCAGCTACAATTTCCTTACTAAAAGCACCTACTTTATATTTTGCAATTTATCTGCTCTACGAAACATGTGATGATGAAATTCACATGACATTAAGCCTTTCTTAACACAGTTACTAAAAGACTGTAAATTTGTCTGAGATTAAAGCTAAAGCAACTACTTACTAAAAGAACTAATACAATCGGCTAAAACAGCGCCCAGCTGTCGGCAAACCGCAATCTGTGCTTGCTCACCCAACACTATGCCAACAGTACTCCGTAATATGTAACTAATACATCGTCGCATATAAATCACTTCAGCAGTTTGGGTAGGGTTGCTGAAAGTAAAAAGAAATGAAGTTATATTTAAAGTCCTCCCATCATTTTTTCAAATCCTTAGGTAAAAGATTTACACATAAATAAAATACTTGAAGGGAAATACATAATTATTTTGATGATCAAATAATCAATAAAAACTCACTTAGTATAGGCTAATGGCCCACATTTTGCAATGACATCCATCAAATGTTTGATAACAAATACAAGATTTTTTTCCAACCATAGTGGGCCAAGTTCTCTCAGTAACGCAACATAAGCCTAAAATCTCTGTTAAAAAATTTGAAAAAGTAAAGTCCAATCCAAACTTGAAATTTCAGACTGTTCTTCCTAGAAAAATTATATTAACATACAAGTGCAACTCCAATGCGTATTTCTTTCTGTCCACCGGTAACTGCGACGGCACCAGTTTTTAAAAAGCCACCAATCCCACCTTTTAAAAAACCATGTGACAGCATACCGAAACAATCCTCAATTGCTAACACCTTCAGGGAAGAAGCATTGTGCTGATTTTTACTGCCTGGAACTGCAAATAATTTCTACAACACCTAATACTGAACAAACAAATTTCAACAAGATTTAAAGAAGTGACACATAATTTTCATCCTCAATTTCAAATATAAACGACTCACCAGATATATACCGCCTTGGAGGATTCATAGCATTACATAATAAAGCAGCGAATAATTGTGCCACTGCGTGACGTACTTCATAATTACTTGATTCAAGAGCTTTGAAACATAATGAACAAACATTTTCCACTTCATTCGTGTATAAAAATGGATACTCCAGGATTAATACAATAAGACACTAAAATTACGAAAATATCTCGATGGAAATGCCTGGATTGCAAAAAAAAAAAAAATATTAAATATATTTTCTGCGATATCTGCATCGAAATGCAATCCAAAACTGGTATGTCCATATTTGGAGATAAATTAAATCACAATAAAAAACGGCACCAAATATTTTGTTCTCTTTTGATGAAAAATATAAGACAATTTGAGACTAATCAATATATTTGAACAGTCATAATAGTTAAGCTAATCAGAAAGTAACTAATATAAAAATATAAAGCTAACATTAACTGCAGCCGTTCTCACTATCATGACTCGATCTGATATTTGAGTTTTCAGAATTTTATACAAATCTTTGTGAATGGAAGAAGCAGCAATCCCCAGGCCTCTCACCATTTTAGCAAATGTATATAATAGTTCAGCGCGTCCTTGTGACTAAAATTAGATTCTTTTTCTCATCATATCGTTCTTGAAAAACTCAAACAGCACATTTTACTCAAGCCACTAATTCATAATTATAGTATAACGTTATTTCCCTTATACTAGAGCGTTCACATAACATTTATATGATGATGAATATTTGACGTACATAACCTCAGAATACATTTAGGTTTCCTCAAGTGTCTTTCGGAAGACCGTCGTGTTTTTCCTCACAGGTTATGAACAGAAACTACAATGAAAGACTCGATTCTGTATGGATGTCGAACTCTTTACTAATAATCGGACGCAAACCAATCCAATTGGCCACGCCTGACCCTTCGTCGTGTTGTTTTAGTGGTATAACCATAAATAAACTTTAACCTCTGCATTTTTCAGCCACTTCGCCATATGATGGAAAGATTCTTCATAACTCCGACCTACCAATCTACCCAGTGTTTCATACATTGCTCCTAAGCAATGCAAAGCAGCCCTAAAAACATTTATTTTCACATTATTTATAATAAAACGACACTACCTCTTCTACTGCAGAACTCAGAAAACATTTGCTTTTCTCAGATGTGTTTGAAATTTTTGAACCTGATACTATGTAACTACGAAAAACCACTGCATAAACAACCCGAAACAATTGTTTTACGTTCGTAACATTATAACTCAAAAAATAACAATTTGACTGGGAGATGTGTTGGCGAATCATCTCGTCCTTTTAGGATATCGTTGCAGGTGTTTATTGTTTCAAAAAGACTATATGTATCTCCAACTGAGTATACCTGAAAAAAGAATCTTTATGTAACTTTCCCAAAAAATAAATCTATATAAATTATATAAACTTAAAGTACACACTCTAAACAGATATTTTTGAGTAAGAGATGTAAAATGAATACCTGTGCGATACATTTTGCCAGCAATTCTCTGATAAGCGGCCCCGGTGCAGCTAAAATTCGTGTCGTCAACTGCTCAATCAGCTTCTTCTGTACAGATTTTATATCAGCCTGAAATCACATTAATATCTAAACAGAGAATCATTGCCAAAATATTAGAAACTTAATATTTAATATAAAAAGATATTTGATGACAAATTCATCTCTTAACAGAAATATGTATATAAGTGACGCAAAAACCTTTTGTGTAGCGGGTAGTATGCGATCAAGATATCGTAACCATTCATACACAAAAACAGGTTTTTTGGAATCTGTACAAGAACTCAGCGCCTCTTCATTTAAAAGCAATGAATTTGAATGTTCCATCATCTCGACCAAAAGCCCAAAGTTTCATATAATACATACAATAATAATTCCTATATATTAGGTCGTGTGCTTCTGCAAAGTAAACTAAAGTGCTGCTTGTCACAATAATACCATGGAAGCAGAAATACAGCACTGTCTGCATTAGTAAATTCAGAAAATAAAAGGACCCAAATGGCTTGTAATGTTAATAATTCTTATACAGAATACGATTTCAACACACTTTCTCAGTTTGATATCAAAACCGTCCCTAAGATAAAGAAACTACAACATCACATGTTTAAGAGATAAGCAGCAAACTAGATAAAACAGCAAACGAAATGTTCCAGAAAAGTCAAAATATTTTATTTGAAAAGTAAATGAAAAAGTAACCACAGGCTTGGAACTTATGCATGACAAAGGGGAAAAGGTCAACAAAAAAATACATTGATATATAATCTCTTACTCTTACATTGTTAAAATATATATAATCAAAGCAAAACAGTCTTTAAATCGCCACGCTTCTTTTCGGTAAAGCAGTAAATATAACAAACCCTAAACTATAACAATCAGCCACTGCATTCCGGATATGTATTTAACATGTTTCACTGCTTTTAACTCATTTAAATAAACAGAATTTTTTCCAAACAAACATTCATTCTACCTGAACATTTGGTAATGTTCTTTCGAAAAAATCTTATATCAACTTGGATAAAAATACTGAATTCGTACATAATAGAAAGACAGAATCAATCAGAGTAGTAATAAAGAATAAAAATGTGAGTAGAACAAGACCATGTACATATTCTTATATAACTTCAGTAAGTATAATCAAAAAAGAAAAAAGTGATAATGGAAAATTATAAGCTGACGCATTAAAAAGTTTGATACGGATAAATACCCCAATCAGTGTAGCTAAGATCTCAAGATTATATTAATCTCTCCTGAAATTCCAACTCTGTTTAAAAGAAACTATACACGCAATATTTTCCTCTTCAACAAATCTCTTTCAAAATGTTCAGCTGTCAGTGTACCAGGCAGTCGTTCGCAGTGAGGATTAAATATAGAATAGGCGCTCAATTCTCCCGATTTTCGTTTTCCTAAGTTGATAAATAAGAAAACAAACAGCGAAAAAAGAAAAAACACAAGACCAAATTCAATGTAAGTGAAACACCACTGCGCTAAAAGCCATGACAGAACTGTAAAAACTATGCATGAATGTGGGTAATGATAATAGAAGCACGACCACAGCCGGACTGGTTTTAGCAGAATATTTATAAAATTATTGATAGCAGTGAACTGAATGGATACGTTCTCACTACTCCTAAACTGCTTTTCATGAATCGCATCGCGATTTGGAACCTGAAATTCAGTGAAATTAAAGTTCCCATAATTTCTCCCAAAATAACGAAAACTGTACGGACACTTCTTACCATAAAATGTATTCAGATTGATATTTAAATGAATTGTACTGCTCTGAAAATCTATAATTACCTCTTTTCAAAGAAACTACGTGATTTTTGCTGCTACATATCAAAATAGTTCTAATTGCATCAACTAACAAAAATTAATAAATAACACAGTTAATTTTATTTGACTTTTCTTATTACAGACTAACAACTTAACCAAATTAAGTCTTAATTCTTTAAAACAATTACAAGAAATTACAAGAACTTTGTTGTTGATAATAAAAACCTAATAACCTTACTGTTACCATCTCCTTTTCTTCGGTATTCAGCCAGTCTTCCCTCCACACATTTCATCCTTACTGTTCTAGCAAAAAATCGCTGTAACCAACACTGCTGAAATCATTCTACTCCTGCAAGCAGCACAGTTAAACACTTGCAATTAGTAAAATAGCTCAACGTTCACTCACGAGTAAACTGAACGTAACTAATAGAAACGCGGTGACAACATGAAAATTTCCCATTCTCTTCACCGACTTTTCTCTAAGTCGGAGTTAGCCACTAATGAGGAGAGTGAAAGGTCAGTTGAGCGAATTCTTTGTCTGCAAATCACCTGTAAACACAAAGATGTGAAGATCAGGTGAACAATAGTAAGATGATAAATACACAAAAGTCGGTTATGACGTATAGATTATGCAAGCTGAGAATTGTTTTTAACAGTAAAAGTTTAACGGCGATGTTTATTTCTGACGTTATGATTCGTAGCAGACGGCTACATTTGGTGAGACTTGTGTTATAACACTGGTTGATGTCAATCGGACGGTTTAAATTCTAAATTTACTCACTATTGGCTTTATTAGCTGTATTTATTATGGTTTTCAAATTTACCAATATTACTCCGTTAAATCATCAATCTATATATCAGAACTAAAAAATGCAAAATGTACGAGGTCGGGCTCGGATGCTGGGACGACGTCATGCTCGAGTGCATTTCAATCTGGGTGGTAGACTTAGACCATCGACATCACATGAAACTTTCCCGGAAGATACAACCCGTGACTGTATTTTAAAGCAAATTTTAGGTAGATGCTTGGAAATCTCGAGTCAAATACTTTATAGATTGAACTATAAGTTCTCCGAACTAGAAGGTATTTGGAAGAAATAAGACAGATAATTGAAATTGAAACGAAAAACTGACGTTAATAAATATTCCCAATACACTGATCAGACGAAAATTTAAAACTGCTCATTGCAGCTCGTATTAAAAAGTCGGAAGGAGAATTATCCAGTTGTAGAATTCGAACAAACGAACTATTAAATGTAACAATTTATCACAAAAAATAAAATCCCTTCAATTTTCGATGCTTCAAAGTTGCTGATCATTGTTGTTTTGCAGTGTAGTTTAAGACTCGAAACTCATCTTTACTCGAATAACTTTTGATAAACTCTTTCCAAGCATGCTGTGGTTGATTTCGTTTCTTCGCTATCCGACCTTTTTATTACTGCTGTAAATCTCAGACTGGTTGATTTAATGTGATTAGATGGTTGATTATTGCTTGTCAATTATTTATTGGTTGGTAGATGGAAAAATATGAAATGTCTAAGTTATTTAAATAATTTCTATCAAAATGAGATTTGAAATATCCGCAGATCCCAGAGGACTCATTGACTGCTGCTCGAATTAATCACGAGCAATATCTGCTCGATGATCTTATTGATTATATTGAATCTTTGGCTAGCAATGAAATGAACTTCCAAATTATCACAGATAAAGTACTGTTATTTATTGTTTTGATAATAGAATATAAAAGCAAATTTTTTTTTTTTTTAATGCATTGTATCGATAAAAAGAATATACTCATGTAGTCATTCTTTAGCGGAATATGCAATTTATTTATAAAATTAACATGCGGACCAATTTTTGAAATTCAGGATAATCAACGATGGTATGCAAAACGATTAAAACGTAGTTTGTTAAACTGGATTGCACGCAATGAAACAGAACTTCAAGAGGTACTGGTTATTGGACTTTATTATTCATATTTATAGATTAACAGCAATTATTTAGCGAATGAAAGTTCCTTTTGATCTTTCTTTTTTACTGTAAATTTCTGAAAATTGTTTGAAGCTTACACAAAGATAAAATTAATTTATAATTGAAGATCGATGCATTGGAAAATCGAATAATGAAGCGTTATTCGCAAATAAGCTATGAAAACAAATTTCTGCAGCGCATGTTCAAAGATATGAAATGTTTCACAAACAAAATTAGTGATAGTTTTAAAAGTATGGAAATATCGTCCGAAGTGACATCTATTGACACAAGCAAAACACAAAGCTCATCATGAAAGTGAAGAAAAAGGGTTTTAAAAGTGATAAGTTGTTTTGATGAAAATTATAATATTAGTAGTAAGAAATGTGCAGAGTGGCAATGACAAGTGATATATATATATATGGCTAACCGTTATTTCCATTTTAAACTGTGAGGAATGCGGTAATTTATAAAGATAAATTAAATGGTAGCATTTTATTGAAGACAACCTGATAACTGGTATTTGCTAGCAAGGAATTTCTCTTTTTCTTATCGACTTTTTCAGTCTATAATAGAAGTCTGAAATGAAAAGACTATTGTGTAGGCAAAGAAAGTTGTGATTCTTTGCCTTCGAATACCAAATAATGACAAATAATAGACAGTTTATCATTTCGGACCTGTCAGTGCAATTTAAAGAATTTGGGGTGTTTGCCCGTGTTAGGATTAAATTGTATTTAGAGAATTAACATGGAACATTTTCTCATACAAAACACGGAAAATGATATAAGAATGAATATAAATAAAACAATCTATCTACTTGAAATACCGATCGAGAAGGATTGGTGAAAAACTTTAAATGCCGTAAAATAAGAGCTGACAATTGAACGTTAACCTGTTGTTGTGAATTTTTGTTCATTTTTTCTAAAGATCATTATTTGTGCATATCTGAGTGAATTAGAAAATGCTGCTAAGGATGAAAGTGTGGCCATATTTTGTTACTCAAATATACATGATTGCAGAATATTTTGTGATCAGTACTGCAGTCGATCATAGCTCACAATATTTTTAAAATTGATGACGAAGAGGAAAGATAATTCATTTCATGCAGAGAAAAATGACTGATATGTGATATACATTTTCGTTTTGTTAGCAATAATTTTTGGTCTGAAACACTCATTTTACTTTAATACTGACTGAAATTTAAAAATTGCAAAACTAATAACACTTAATTGCTTGTAAATAGCGTCAACTTGGCTACGACGATTCCACGTTATGATTGCAGACGCATCAATTAAGTGCATTAATGTTGCTGCATAAATATAATATTTCGTTGGAACATTTATACAAGTTTTTTTTTTTTTTTTTTTCATTTTCTCATTTTGCAATTTTAAAAATATCCTCTTTATTTTCAATATTCTCACCATGTTTTGTACCATTTCGGATTTTCTTTTGGCATTCTTTATTGAGCACGAAATAGAAGCTAAAATGGGATGACGGATCTTAACTTTCTCGATTGAGTCAGTGTTGGTTTCTGCTGTTTTCCGTTCTTGCAAAGTGAAGAGACAGAAATAAGAAGTCTTTTCTTCAACTATTCTGCTTTAATAATAGATGAGCATAGATCTCTAAATTTAATTAAGCTCTCATTAACACTAGCAAATTAATTCCTTTGTCCATTTCAATCACAATACGACTTTACTTATTTCTGGTTCTCTTCTCCTTCTTGATTCATTTGATGACTTATTCAATTTTGCTAACAGTACTCATTGATAAGTTTATTCATCGCTTTCTATTCTTGTTCATTTTTTTAAATTTCTGCAAGGACCATGAATTTCACTCGCACTGATTGATACATTAACATGGAATTGAGATTTTTAGCTAAAAATTCTATAATCATTCTAAATACCTTTTACAGTATCATTTTGGGAGAAGAAATGAAAAGGTATTATATGATATAACATTGCATTCATTTTACTGCAACAGATTAGAACCAATCGCAGTACTACAACAACAAACTTCACTAATTTACGCATGCATCCGAATTAATTTCATCGGAAACATTTTGGAATTTTGTTTTTTCCTCCATATATTTAGTGTTTGACTTACCAAAATTTATATCAGCATTGATAAATTAGAAATTTTTAAACTATATTTTATGAAAATTTGGATAGTAATGCACGCCTCATTGTTTGCATATGAGATTTGGAAGTGTTTTGCATATTCTCTGCAAATTTTTTGGATTGATTTCTGAAATATAAGTATCGAAAGAGTTCCAAAATTTTGCATTTGTTATTTAATGAAAGTGTGGTGTGCTTAGATGTACTGCAGAAGGGTTGGATGTTTCGTTGCATTTTTTGAATGAAATGACAGTACCTATTAGAATGTAAATATACATGTTGCTGATATGGAAATTTTGCAATTTCAAGCTCAGCTGCAAATATTTATGTTATTCAGATTACAAAATAACAATAATTATTGTGTAAATTCCAGGAAAAACTAAACTTTGAATGTTTATTTGTTGTAATAATGTTGCACTTACTTATTGTTATTCAAGCAAGGGATTGCAATATTAGAAATTATCTCGATGTTAATTATTTCCATGCAAGCAATGATAGCTCCAGCATTGTGGGAGTCACGAGTGCTTGCACAGTATTCATAGTGCCCGATTCTCTAGTGAGATTTGAAATGATTGACAGTTCTGTTAGTAGGTTATGATGTTGGCATCACAAATAAAGTAATATTCTAAATCTCATAATACATACAAGTTTTCTGTACTTCTTTCTTGTCTGATGATCTTTTTCGCTATTTTGCAGATACCAAATTCAAATTTTCTGGAGGAATTAAAACTGATTGATTCAGATAGAAGAAAAGTTTGCTATGATGTCAATGTCCATATTTTGCAAAGTAGACAGCTAATTGTGCTCTTTTTGCGTCAAGCGCACTTCGCAGTTGCTGTTAGTTGCGATTGGAAATTTAGTGGTTTGTAGCTGACTGAAAATGTTCTAAATCGTTGAAAGATTTTAGTACGTCTGTTGCTAACGCTGCAACATTTTCAGAGAAATAATTTTTTCTAATTTATGGGTGCAAAAGTATCTACAATTATATATTATTAAGCCGCCATAGTTATTAATAACTGGTTCCATAAACATGAATCTCTGCCACTATTCATTAAATCATTTGCAAATCAGTTATCGCATTTCAAATGTTTTATGTATCCAAGCATATCGTTTCTGATTTCATTAATACTACTACAACTACATTGACGCATTAATATCATCGTCACTTTATTAATGGATACATCCATTCTTAATTATGATAGAAGAATATGAAAATTAATGTGGCATTTTGTAGGCAAACTATTCTACTGTAATCCAGATGATGTCAGCAAACTTTTATTCATTTACGAACATCAAAAAACATGCACCAATTTGATACTATTCGACAAAGGCATCAGCTTTTTCTGTGCCTTATCGGATAACATGCTTGAAAAAATCACATACTTCAACAGTGAGTCTCATATAAAGTTTATCAGGTTAATTTCTTAAAATATCTGACTTACAACCTTTGCCTAGTTTCCTTCATTGTTAGTAATCAGATAGCAATATTTAAAAGTTAGTTAAATCTACTGTAGTTGATCGTCAAATACGCTTAACATTTGTAAAAATTTTTACGCCATAACATTTAAAACAGTCTCGATCTTGCGTTTAGTAGTTATGGATTTTATTGACGAACCAAAATAGGCTAAGGTCCTGATAAATTCGAAAGACTTAGTGTCTTGTCACCAGGTGAGTTATTAGAAAATTATTTCAGAGATTAGGAAATGAATCTAGAAATTGACAATCTAGAGTTTTTATCTGAAGCATCTCTACAACTTATGTTTATTCAGATATATTAGTTCAAAATTAATTGCAACAAAAAAATTTGCTAGAACGTTGCAGAACACATTTTTCATTGGTAGCGCAAAATTTTATTGCATTAATTACAATTAAAAATTTCAGGACAAGAAGTACATCGTTATTCTTGAAAGAGAATAGTAATATTGTTCTTGTTACCAATGATACATCCAGTCGTGCCGGCTTTTATGAGATGAATATTTTCGACAATGTTTATGTAGAGCAACTTGCCAATGACGGTTTGCTTAAGGAATCTTAATCTAATCTCTCTCTCTCTCTCTCCCTCTTAGCAGCATTTCAGCTTCTTCTATTACAAGAGGACTATTAGACGTTGGACGAGTAAAATCTTAAGCAGCGAAATAAAGAATCTATCAGCTAGCCAGTGGGTAACGGCATGGTCACTTGGTCAGGGTATGAGATGGAAAACCAAGTAAAGACAAAAAGTTTAAGTGTCTTTAGTGGTAGAATCACTTATTATCAACAATTTCATTTCCGGCTTCATACATAAAGTCTTCTTCTTGTATTTAAGAAACGAAAGAAATAAAAATATCAGTTTGAATTAAACTTGAATTAGAGAAAACAGATCTCTTCTCTCTTTTGCAAGAATTAGCTTTTTAGTCGCTTTAACGCTTTAACGAACCAATCTGGGGAAAATAAACACAAAATTTAATAAACATTTGTTGCAGTTAATTTTTCAGGTTTTAGTTATTTTAATATTTTTTGTAGTTACTGGTTTTTCGTGATCAAATTGGAATATGCACGAATAATATGCATAAGATACTGAGAACATCGCTCGATCTTTTCCAAAATCGTTAGCGATAGACTGGTTCAATAGTCAGATATCTCTTTACAGATATCTACAATAGCAAAGCTCAACTCACTATTGGATTGCTTGAATCCAAGAAATACGCAGTGACTTTTACGGAAATCCATAAAAAAAATTCCGAAAATATCTCTTTACAGCGAGACTTGGCTAATTATATTACTATGTATCAAACAAAGATAGTCAATCAAACGAAATGGTACTGTATCGCGCGATTTGATGAAAGGTAAGTGAAATCTTCAGCTGCATCAACTCTGGATCATTTTTAGCTCTCTGTTGACATCAGCAGAATCTTCAAACACTTAGCAATCGATACAATGATTGTGATATATTATTTATTATTATTATATAAATATTATTAGTAATAATAATTCATGTAATACTGTTACGTACAAAATATATTATGCCAAAAATTCTCATATGTACATTATGAGAATTTTTTTTTTTTCGAGCTGTTTTTCAAATAATTTTCTGTCTGTGCCATCAAAAACATCACCAAAGAAGTCTTTCAAGGTTTAAATTTTATCATGGAACTTTTTTATTGTCAAATTTCATTCAGTTAGTCGAAACTTTATTGTGGTGAGAAAGACAATTAGAAAAGGATAAAGGTTTGAATCTGAAACGATACCAAGTTTTTATCATCTGGCAAACTATGACTTTCTTTTTAAATTGCAGTGGTTATATGGATGCTAAGAGACATAAAAACCCAAATTTCAAAAAATTTGTGCTAACGTTGTATGAAAATATTGTTGAATCAAAGAAAGGAATGAATATTTTTAAGGTATTAGATTGCAATTCCAAAGCTTATTCGATTTCTGTAATTAATGTTGTGATACATAAATCCAATTTAGTTTCATTGAAATTTTTGCCAAATAATTAAATCTCAAATGTTAATTATAATTCAAGAGATTTAGAAAACAACACAAAGTTTGATAACAACGGTCTGGCCGGGGAATTTTAATTTAAATGTTTTGTCATGATGATCAAAGAGATGACATCAGTCGATATTTCCCTTACAAATAGCTTATTCAAGTGAAATGTAAAGTCCAGAAGAAAAAACAAAGAAACTTTTGCAGGAGTCTGTGGTCAGGTATGAAACAATTGATGAAGTGCACTTTAATTATGCTATCAGAGCAGTGATACTTATGATACCGATTTTAAGTGTACTTTTAGCTGCTATCATTTTAATCGGTTCGTACAGATGACACTTTTTCGGCTATTTCACGGATAGTAAACTAGTGTCCCTCTTACTTTTCGAATCATTTACTTCAGGAAGCTAGCACTACTTTAGTACAAATAAGTGCAGAACAAAATTTCTTTTAGTAAAACTCCTGAAATATCATAAGATTGTTTAATTCCTAAACAGAACAAACTGGGTGCACAGTTACGTTAAGATCATTTAAGATGTTGGTTTCTTTTGTGAAGTAAATTTTAGATAAAAATTTCAAACTTACTGTTATCTGTGTAGGCCGAAGATTTTTTATCGAATTTTCCCCTCATGTGAGGGCGAGATTATGATTTTCATTTCGACTTCAATAGTTGCATAAACTTCATCGTTGTTATTCAACGATACGGAATAGATTTTAACAATCCACGCACGAACCTGCGGTTCGAGCTGCGTCACTATGATTTAATCGTTGTAAAACTTCCTATCCTACCCGAGATGTGAATAAATTTCCCGCAGGACTAGGATTTGGGGACTCTTATAAAATTTCCTGAATTTTGGTAGTTAACATTGATAACTGTTCGAAAAGATTTGTAAAAAAAATCGAGATGCAATAATGCGTATTTTGACCTCGATGTAAGCATCGTTAAGCTTTAAATATCGGCAAAGGAAAAAGACCAGGAAAAAAGAAATAAAAATCACTTTCTTTTTAAACTATATGCTAAAAAAAGAAAATTCTAAAAATCAAATAATTTCGAAACATTGCAACAAATATTCTTCGTGAATTAGTTCAAAAAAAATAAGTGTAAATTATGACTTTGCTCATTACCATTTGATGTCAGATGGCATTGTTACTTTTAAATGATATGGACAAGATGATAGTAAGAGAAAAGGAAGAAGATAAGTAAAAAGAGGATGATGAAGTTTTACTTATCATTATTTTCTTTCTTGAGATCACTAACTGAGACGATATACTGCCTTAAGGATATGCTTTAAGCAATTGAAGATTGCCAAAAATTGCTGCGTGTAGATTTAATCTTAGCGCTTAATGTTAGCTCATTGTCATTTGAGGGAAAAATGTGGAAAAAAATTGAAATAAATTTATGATATATCGAAGTAATTCTGTGTTAAATCTTTAAGATAGAAATTTGTAGACTAAGGATAATATTTATTAGAATAGCCCTTAGCATTTTAGATCTCAAGTAAGAAATCATTTATCTAATACTCATCTTAATTTACGCATTGTCTAAAATGTTAGAACCTGTAAACTGCTCTGACAGTCAAACTTATATTTGATGGTTAAAAGGTTATCAGCTCTTTGTCTTAAAAGGTTATCAGCTCTTTGTCCAATTAATTTTCTTTGTGATTTTTGTTGCAATGTTGGAATATTGCAGAGGTGTTCCAGCCTGACAGTCACCTCTAGAAGTTAACCTCTAGAAGTAATGTTATAGATCAAATTTCACTATAAAAAGAGTAAATGTTATCACCGAATGACAACACTTTACTCACTCTAATGCGCTTCGTTGCAAGTCACCATATAAGGAGCTAAACTTACTAGCTGAGCCCAGCCTTGATACATAGTGCAAAATGTGAGTAGTTTCTTTCTGTAGATCAAACAGAAATATAGTAATGAAAATTTGCTGAAAATTTCAGCGGAATATTAGCTTATTGATAATATTGCAAATAACTAAATATAGAGTAATAGCTTAGAAATATATGACAGAATAAAAGTACAGTAAAAGATAGCGCAGCAAAATCTGAAAGATTTTTGTTAATGCTCAAAACACTTAACTAGGATATTTATGTATTGCAGACAAGAGACAATTGGGCTATAAAAAAAATACAATTTTGGAATATGTGTAAATATCTAAAATAATGAATAGGACTGGTAGAAAAGATAAAAATTTCTTTTCATATCGGATATGCATTTGGGTTTACATGATTAGCACACCAAATGTATGTAACTACGTCATACGATTTACATTAGATAATATATTCATCGATGGATATTGGAAACATTGTAGTTTATTCTTATTTAATGTGAATAATTCTTTATCTTAAGAAATAGTTTGTACAAAAATCTTTACTGCAACAACATATTATGAATTTCTTCGGTTTTCCGACAATCTCTGAATGTACTTAAGCCTTCTCATTGATATTACCAAGTATATTAATTCGATCACAATACTATTTCTATTTCACACATTTCAGGTTTCTGGCTTATTTAGGTAGCTTGTTTATAGCCAATGTAATTCTGTCAATATGACTTACTTTGTACAGGGGTAAACTGCCCAGCGTAATTTGGATCGTTAACTTATTTCATTTTTAAATAAGCATACAATGAGTAAAAAAATAAAGCGTTGCTGTTACTTTTTGAACTTTATGTTTGTATTGAATGTCAAGTTTTGATTGCTAAGCCATTCATTTATTGATATTTGATTGGCTATTAGATTTTTTTGCTTTCAATTGAATTTCTTTTTAAAAGATTTTTTCATCAATTCATCTGAAATTGTAAAGATTTCAAAAAATAGGCCTTGAATGAAAATTAGTTTTAATCTTTAAAATGGTTTTTCTTGCTTGTAAATAGCCAATCCAATAGAATGGAATGTCTTAACAAAGCCAGGAATCTGATAAAGTAATTCTTAGATAATTTACTATTGATATTTCTCTTTACCTAACAACTTGCCATTTTAAAATTATGCCTGCATCAGCGAAAGTTGAGTGATGAAGAGATATCATTTATGATAAATAAGCTAATCAGTAAAATGACGCTTACGTTAGCAACAGCACTTATGTTAATTAGAAAATATACATTCAGATTAACTAATCATCATCATCTTAGCAATAACGATAGCTGAAGCAGTGAGGAGAAAAATTTTTTTTTATTTACAAATATGTTCAGAATTTTCGGAAAAACTTTACCAGTACGTTTTTTGAAACATTTGTAACTTATTATCTTTCCTTTAAATCATTCGATTTTTTAAAACCAACAATTCAAGATTTTTTTAAAAGACCATCATAAATTTCCTGAAGTTCATGAAGTTCTTTTGATTCATGAAGAACTTAAAAACCATATTTCTTTTATAAACCATACAGTCTAGACAGTCCTCACTGATAAGTGGTAGCCTAATTAAATTTCGAAACCATAAAAACAAAAAAAAAAATCATGAACACATCACTAAATCCATTCATCGTTTTAGTATGCTATTATTTGTCAACCAACAAAATATAGACAAACTGGTTGTTTTACCAGAAATGAAAAAAAAAAGAAACAATTTTAGAAATTGTTTTCTTCTTAAACTAACGATTTTATTATCAGTCTCAGAATCCAATTTAGTACATTTAATTTTTTTAATTCATATAATGAAAGTTGATTATAATTCTTACCGTTTGAAAAACTTCTACTTGATTATTTTTAAATACGATCATTACTGCTTACTTTTTTATTTATTGCAATTATTTAGAACTTTCCACTTCCTTTTAACTTTTAAATACTCAGTTTGAAATTGAATTTTTGAGAAAGGTAAACTTTGTTCAGTTAAACAAATTATGAACAAATTTTAGACTAAGATTTATGTTTATATGCAGACACGTTTTTAGCTTCTTTGACGCAAAATTTTAATATTTGAAAGTTAAAAAAAATAAACTACTACTATTAGCTTCTTCATTTTTCTAGAAATCTCAAAGGCAATCAAATCTTCAACTTTAATTTTATATATAATACAAATTTTTTTTTTAACTTAACAGTATTTTATTCAAACTGTGATAAAAGAAATCAGGTTAATTCATGAAGCAGTAAGAATTTAATAATTTAAAAAAAAATTGAAACATCAAAGTTGTTAAATTGAACAAGCAAATGCAATCGTCTTAAGTTGCAGATATGGAAGATCATTTTGAGAACTTTTAAAGAACAAAAATAAATTTCACATATTCTATGACGCGCTTGCATAATAACAAAAGTTTATCAGCGCTTTTATTTCATTCCGTTTGTTTTCTACTGATTCTACTCGTTATTTTCTGCGCCGCCGTGTCATATATTTATGGAATTGATCACATGTTAAATGCAAATAAACAACTGTTGGTTGACAAATATTCGCTTAATTTTCCAGTCAGAATAGTCGATAAGGTGAACAAAGGACGAAGGTAATTGTTGAATCGATAAGTAAGAAGTGAACCTAATTAAGTCAAACAACACACATCATCTATACAGTATTCCATGTCGAAGGCCAAAATGTGCTAACTCAGAGCTTATTTAAAATACCAATTTCGGAAAAACTAGAATTTCTGGAGACTTTGTTGATTTAGAAAGATTCTAATTGGGGATTGTATTCAGACTTCAGAATTTGTTTTTTTCCAGTGAAAAAAATTAATTTTCTTCAAAAATTTTTCTCCATCTTTTGAATTGTACTGGTTCAAAAATTATTTCATCCCTTTCTTTTCTAAAGTTATCTGAAATTTCAAATTCAGGTTGCTTAAATCGAAGAATATAAGTACTAATTGGTATCAACTTCTTACTCCTTTAAAAAGTAATCGTGAATTATTGGTTGCAAAGAATTCGGCGTTTTTTCGAATGTTCAAATTTCGTCGACTACTCAACGTAGAGACCACCGATCGTTGTTTTCGTTCACCGATTAGTTCAAGTGGTTAATTTTTGCTGTTATATTAAGTAATTAAAAATTATACTTTTATGACCAACCCTAGAAAATTAAACTTCAGTTTCTAGGGTCAAATTCCAGTTTTTTTCCGAAAGATTATTTTACATTAGAGCAACGTCGTCGTGGAGCACTTTTTCTGCACTTTTTTGGTCTCATTTATATGTTTATTGCAATATCCGTCGTTTCCGATGAATTTTTCGTTCCCTCACTTAATGTTATTACAGGAAAGGTATGATAATTTGCCTATAAGTTTCCAAATTGCGATAAGTATAGGAATATTTTTTAAAAAATCTGCTGTTTCTAAGCTATTTAGATATTTTATTTTTCCAAAAAAAAAAAAACCCTAATATCTGGATAGTATTCGATCAACCAGAATCTTCTATTTTGCCAAAAATATGAATTTCTCATAAATCAAGGTACGAAAAAAAAAGAAGAGTGAAAATAACTTATCAGGAATAGAAAACAGAAAAAAAAATTCAAAGATTCTGTTGTAAATCATAATCTTTTTACTAATTTCAGCTAATTTTCTATCCATATCTGTGCTAATTAACTAGATCATTATTACTACGATAAATTATTACAGTTGTCAATACGGAATGATGTTGCTGGAGCCACGTTTATGGCTGCCGGCGGTTCCGCACCTGAATTTTTTGCCAGTTTATTTGGGGTTTTCATTACTCAAAATAATGTCGGCATTGGGACTATTGTTGGTGAGATAACTTTCATTTTTCAATACATTCCGTCCTTTTCCGAGCTAATTGCTGCATCATGTTATCATAGCCAGCATTCATTAGTCAAAATTTTGAGGAACATAAGAGCTGGTTTCTTTGCTTTGGTTCCTCTGTCAGACTCCAGGCATAAGCTCATTTCATTGAATATTATTTTAAATAAATTTGAAATTCACCAAATGAAAAGTGAACAAATGATTTAAGGTAGTGCTACATTCAATATTTTATGTGTGTTGGCATTTTGTACATTCTTTTCACTAGAAACGCTGAAAATTACTTGGTGGCCCATGCTCAGGTATATTCATATTTATCTAAATGTTCACTCATTCCGAATTTGTCAGTTTTTTAAAGAAACAATTATTTACTTGATCTTAAACAGTAACTACAAATAATTACATTCGTATAGAACTTATTGGATTTCCTTAATCAGTTATTTCAGAGACATTTTTTTCTACATGTTAGCATTGTTTTTGTTGGTATTGTTTTTCCTAGACGAAGAGATTCAGTGGCACGAAGCAATTTCACTCTTCATTATTTATATTATTTATGGTATTGCTATGAGTTATAACGAACAGCTTGAAAAAAATTTCAAAATCATTCTCTATGAAATCACTCAGGTTGTGATATTTTTTTGAGTTAACTTATGGATTAAACTTTGATTTCAAGTTAGTTTGCCGCATCATTATTAACAGTATGTTTTCTAAATCTAAATCTTATTTTTTTCCTTTATTTCTAGCATTTATGCTCTTCAATTTTGAATGATACATCAATGCAAGGAAGGATAACGCCACCATCTATCACTACTGTAAAACAGATGAAATCAGTTTCGACGCAAAATAAGTCTCCAATTTGTCACTCAGCAGAAGGTATTAGTTCATGAATTTCATTATGAATTTATTTCACAATCAGAGGCTGTAGAAGCATAGTCGATGATTGACTGTATTTAATTAAAATTTAATTCATTGTAGTCAAAACCTCATTTATCTTATTTGTTGTGTCATCGACAAATAAGAAAAATGTGGCATAACAAAAAATGCTATAAACCTGACGATAGCTATTTCAATCTTCCCAATGTTATAAATTCAAATCATCGACTTGTGAAAAATTACTTTTAAGGTTCAAATGAATTCACTAAAACGACAACAGCGAAATTACATGATATGATTCAAAGAAATTGTCAAAATAATATTTCAAATGTTATGCCTGAGATTGAGGCAAGCTGGAGAATATTGTTTGCCTTTTGCAATTAAAATTTCTTCAATTAGCTTGTCAAATCATCTGAATTTTTAGAAATTCTGAATTTATCAACAATGTGGCAGACTGGCGCAGTGACTTCTCAAAATTTAAGAAAAGAATAATATTCCCTAAATAGAAAAACAATTGACAATTACAACAACGCAAAACTGTTACACGAATTTCAGCTCCCCGGATCGATAACGAAGCTGATGAATGAAATGGATTGTGAAATTGCTCGACGAAACCCTACAGGATCTAAAAAAGTTGTAGTACATGAGGTGAAATGCATTTGTCTCATCTCCATTTTCATCCCAAGTCCATTCAATTTTAATCTAAGACACAATAATGGAATTATGGGGTATATTTTATTTTTTAACTTTTTTATCAAAATTTTCAAAAGAGATTAAAGTTTTTAAAAGCTGGAAGATAGAAGAAAAATGGGAAACTCTGTACAATAAAAGTAAAAATTCAGCATACGAAGAAGCAAGGATGGGTAAAATGCCCTTTTATTGGTGAATTTCAACAAACATATCAATTTATTATAATTCAGCCAAAAATTTCTGATTGTTTCTTTTGTTAGAAGTGTGCTGTGTTAAAAGAAAAAGTTAGTGAGTCGGAAGTACCAATCAACATCTCGTGGCCATCTTCAACTAAAGCACAATTATCTTATCTGTTTTTGGCTCCAATTATGCTTCCTCTTTATTACACACTTCCAGATTCGAAGAATTCAGTAAGTTAATTCGGTGAAAAGAACTGGCAGGCAGGAAAATTCTTGCAAGCGCATAGGAGAATGAAAAGAAATTTCGAGATCTTTTAGAATAGACCAGGCACTATTATTACATAATTAAAAAAGCATAACTTATCGTTTCTTGCTCGAAAAGTCTCTCGAGAAGATATTGAACAGTTCTCGGGAGACATGATATGCATATTTTATTATATTTAGAGAGATATTATTTGATATCTTTATCTTCGATTCCAATATTTTCAGTCATCCAAGAAGTATTTTGTAATAACTTTCATGGGATCAATTTTATGGATTGGTTTTTTCTCATATCTGATGATTTGGTGGGCAAAGGTAATCGGTGAAACAGTAGGTATGCCGGATGAGGTAAATGCACTTTTTAAAACATAAAATTATGATAGTTCCTTATCACATTTCATTACTCTATGGTCGACAGTGTGAGTGAGTTGCATACACATGCAAATATAAGTGATTAATTTCTTTTTCAGCTTCGAAGGATGTCGTCTACACTAACAGTAATTAGTTAAATTGTGCGGTAGCACGATATTTACTTTTTTATCTTCGTAATACCCATCATTAAATCATAGCTTCGTTATAATTTTATAACAAGGAACTCTCTAATTTTCGCTTTCTTATCATTCTATTAAATGGCGGACAGAGTGATTACATTTCATATATTCCATAAACTGAATAAAGGATTAAAAGCAAATGAATACTCTATGAGGATCTTTTTTCACTATTACATGTTGAAGATCAAACATTCAAAAAAGATGTTTGCTAAATGTTAGAACTCTCAATAAATCCTCCTTGTTCCCCTTGTCCAAAAATATTTTCAATGGTGCGCTAATACTTATTGCATCACTACTGTATTTTTGTCCTTGTCAATTATTTCAGGAAAATTGCTGAAATCAACTTTTTATATTGTTTTTTGAATTCAAGAAATCAGCAGTCAATCACAAACTTATACTTTTAGATAATGGGTTTAACAGTGTTAGCTGCTGGGACAAGCGTACCTGATCTTATTTCCAGGTTAGTTGTTACTTTGCTTTACTCATGATATAAATTTCTGAAAAATACTTAATAAATCAGAAAATTAATATTAACAGTTATCATTTGTTGTTATTATCATTTATATACTCATTATTCTTTTTTATGAGTAAAAGAACGACTTTTTCAAGTTGAATATGTTCTTGACGTACATTGATCAGCGAAAAATATTTGTTTTAAAATTTCTTCAAAGCTTCATCGTCTTGAAAGTATTTATACATGTTACCTTATACAGTGAGTGCATAGATGCAAAACTTATTAAGGCAAAATTAATCTAATATTATTCTAACCATTCATCTAAGTAAACATAAATCATTTTAGTGTGATCGTTGCCCGCAAAGGACTTGGTGACATGGCTGTGTCAAGCTCCATTGGAAGCAACCTTTTCGATATTTGTGTCGGGTACTTTGATATAATATTTTCGTTACAAATATGATTGTTGAAATAGTATGGATTATATTTCAGATTACCAATTCCTTGGCTGCTGCAATTTGCAATTCGCTGGCTGACTAATTCATTCTCAGCTGCTCGTTTGGACACTATACCAGTTATATCAAAAGGTCTCGTCTGCTCTGTCGGTCTTCTATTTCTAATGCTGATTGTCTTAATAGTTGCTGTGAAAATTTGTCGATGGGAAATGAATAAAATATTCGGAATAATGATGATCATTGCCTATTTAGCATTTTGTGTGCTTAGTGTTTTAATAGAATTAGGTTACATTATTTGCCCACTTATTGTTGCATGTAACTAATAATATTAGAAAAACTTACAGCTTTAACTAACTGTGATAATTATTTGCGCACAAGATGGATCTTTATTAAGGGTCAATCACACTGATAAAAAGTTAAGTGTCGCAAAGAGTAGGGATTAGATTTTGGTTCGTTTTTGCTTATTTTCCTTTTTTGTACTAATGTGGTTGAAAGAAGAAATATTTTTCTCTTCTCGAAGCAGTTGTTTTTATTTACATTCATTAATTATCGCATTCGACTCTAGTAATCACTTTTATTTAAAATTGTTAATAATAAGCGATTATGCATATTCAGAAGTTTTATTTCAAAACAATGATATTTTCCTCACTCGCAAACTGGAATAATTATTTCAAAGATAAGTTTTAAAATAATCGCTTCTTAAACAGTCTACTAAGAAGTTTGTCTATTATTTCGAAAGAGAAATTATTGAACAGGGACTTTCTTATGAATGGAATTTGAATAATTGTCTCAATTAACCATAAATCTTCGAAATTAAAAACAAATATTCCTTCTTCCTTGTTTGCAGTTAAAGTGTTTTTGACATTTCGCAACACAACCTCCATCTCTTTTTATTAACATTTTATCCTTTGATGGTTATTTGCTTTATGCACTTTTAATCTAACAGCTGTATATTTATAGAACTATCTGCATACTTAATATTTATTCATATTTATATTTAATTTGATTGAATGAATAATCTTTGGTTGCTGATTAGAGTGAAGCATTGTAATAAAATTATCTTTACAACACTCATCTCTTTAGCCCTTAGTCAAACAGCATCTGCGGTTCCTTATCACCCAGTCCATTTCAGGACATCATTCATTGTTTTCTAAATTTCTACCCATCAGTTACTTAAAGATAATATCACTTTAAGGTTTAAGATTAAAGATTAACATTGACATAAAACAAATAAAGTGGTAAAAGCAAAAAAGGATTCTTACTAAAAACTACTAACTAAAGAAAGGAATAGGTAAAGAGAAATAAAAAAAAGAAGTTGGAATGCAAGCTGCATAAGGAGTTTGATGGATGAGAAAAAACTGGGTGAACTGCATCCTTCTCAAATATTTACAATAACGAAATATCTCTTAACACAACTCTCAAAAAGTCCAGTAAAAAGAAGCAAATCACAGCATAATAGAATGAACGAACAACTGGAAGTTTTAGTACCTGCATGTCGCAATATCTAGCAGTATTGCGACATGCCAGCTGTGAGTTAATAATAATGTCAAGTGGCTGAAGTATTGATAAAATGAAGCACTTGTCGTACCTGGGCGCAGTAATGGGTTATAAATGAAGCACCAGTTATTATCAGCGGAACAGTAGCAATAATTCCAGTTGAGCCAGAAATTTAAAGCTTCAAGAACACATTACCTACATCAGGAATAATCTTACAAGTTTAATCAAACATTTCTTTTCAAATCTTCCATTCCAGGTTGATTTCATGCACATACAGCACACGCTCTAAAGACCGATAGTACAAAAAAATTCACAAAACAAGTTCAAAATAAACTCAGAAAAAACAATTTTTTTCCAATTTAAAAATGTGGAAAGTAAAAAAGAAACTACTTTCACTAACTTTTAAAAATATGTTTATGGTTGGTTGCATGCTGTTCAATATTCTCGTTACTTATTTCCATCATGCAAAATCTAACAGTGCATTACATCAACAAAGAATTTTTATGCACATACAATGTGTCCATATACCTTTGCATTTGTTACTTATAGCTTATTTATACATTATACATTACTAAGATTGTTCTTCCAGACAGGATTGTCAGTTAAGTGTTTTTTTAAGCAGTAATCCATAAAAAAGATCCGAAACCAATTCAATTTTAAAGAAAAAATCAAACAGTCATTTTGAAGGATTGGTTAATATCGAAATTTTATTTCACTGTAAACACAGTCCAGTAAGTAAATTAGTTGATCAGTTTTATCCCCATAAAAAATGACCGAATATACTACATCTCCAAATATTAAGATTAGAGAAACATGGTTGAATAACACAAATAATTAAGATGTGGATCGAATAACGCAGCTACCGGAAATGAACTTTATGTACAGTAAAAATTTGAACAGTTGGTACAGAGAAAAAAAAGGCATAAAGTTGCATGAATTTCTATAAAATCCTTGTCGAAAATATAATCACTGCTCAAGAACTGACATTTTGGTCATTACACTAATTTTACAAGTATATGCGACTGCATGATATCATTAATATTTATCATTAATATAACGGAATACTGTAGGTGTTAAGTGTGCTAATTATCGTTTTCTGCCACTTTGCATGCCCATCATTATTGTTGCCAATCGAATAAAAATGTTCAAGACATCTGCATAAATGGAGAGCTGTCTGAAATGCATTGTATAGTGACTCAGAAAATGAGCAAATCAATTTTTATTATACCTTCAGCTTACAATAACTTAAGTTTGATATAGAGAAAAGGAAAACATGTATTTATATAGTATGTACTTAATTATTACTCTCCGATCTTACTCATATAACAATATGCACAAGAATCTAGAACAAACTTACGCGTTAATAGGATCAAATCGACGCATCTTTGGTGTAGCAACATCATAATATCCAGTGCCAATACTACCATAATATCCCGTCTTGTAGATTTGCTCTTCACTTGTGCCCGAAATCGGATACATATGCGCCCGTTTGATAACAAATTGTGTATCGAACAACAAAAACAGTGAAAAGAGAATGAGACCACCATAAATGGAAATCGACATTAGACCTAAAAACATTACTTTCTTTCAGTTTAAAATAGCATCAATAATATTTCGGTTTTGGAAGCTAACTTCAAAAATAAAATCCACAAAACACACTTGCACCCAACGCGGATGTCGGAGGAAGAAAGAAAGTTCCAATGGAAGATGCAAAAACAACACCAAGTGCCATAGCTAAAGCGCCTCCCATCATCAAGAATTTTTCAGAAGGTGCTGTGAAAGCAATTGTTGATAGACCTGAAAATCTCGATTTAATATTTTCTTCATATGTGATGAAAACACCAAATTTATTCTATGATTAGTAGATTTAAAATTTACTCGCAACTTCTTACCACTCATATCATAGTAACAGTAGTAATTGTTTGTTAGAATTAACATAATGTTGTAAAATAAAGAACGTGGTGACAATATTTTTTCATGCTGATCGTGTAACTGTATGAAATAGAAGCAGTGAAAGCAAGCAATTACTAACATCATTAATGGAGTGTATTTTATGCTTCTTTAAAGCTAAAATCTGTAAATTTTTAGAAAAAGTGAACTTTAAGAAAAATACCTGCGACGATAGCAGCAGTATACCAAGCGGCTCGCATAGCTAACGGGCCACCCATCAAACAGATTGGCCCTATAAAGGTACCCATTAAGCCTGCATGCAGAATCCAAGCTGCATGTTTCAGCAATGTATTGTCGTAATCGATTAATGATACTGCGATACTGCTTGCCATGACAGCTGCCATTGAGATGAATGGCGACTAAATTTAAAAAAATTGATGAGCAATAAATCTGATTTTCTATTTTCAGTTGTATTTTTTATATTTATGTAACTATCCTCTTTGTATTCCATGCATTCGTACTGTTTGATAAAATTGAATATATACTTAAGTGCCTACCCGATTCACAAAAGTGCTTAATAAAATCTCGTATTCAAAATAACCCAGGCTCCAACAATTGGAAAGATTTTTCAAATACTTACTTTATCCTAAAATTATAGCTTAAAATTTATTATGCAAACCACAAAACCCGATTTGGTCTGATAGTCATGTCAGATGAAACTTCTCGAGAATACGTATATAAACATGGTAACGAGTAGACTTTAGCGGTGCTTGCCACTAGTGGTTATAAACCTTTCAAGAGGATCAGTGTATCTAATCTACGGTTGAGCAACATTGGCATTACTGATTTAAATAATCGGCCCCATAATATATGGAATAAACTCTTAATCATAGGATATCACTTGCTTATGACAGTATTCTATCCCACGATAAAGTCATGGAGGTTGTTTTAATTAAGAAAATTAAATAGCTGCAAAAAAAAAAAAAAAAAAAAATCAACAAATAAAAAAGGAAGAACGTACCCCCATTATCAAACGCGAAATATGATACGATCTCGATGCTACCACAGCTGAAGCTGCTGTTATCCCAAGTGATGTAAACAAATATCCGTATGTCGCCTTTATTCGATCACGTACATATGTTGGCCATGTTCTAAACAAACGCAACCTTAGACTACAAAAAAACTGCCTGCCTCAACTTTTAATTACTTTCATCAGTTATTTATAGTTTATACAGTCCTTCTTCGATAACGACATTCACCTACAAATAACCTGGAAATAAAAAATGGAAAATAAAATGTATCTGAAATAAGTTTGTCAAGTACTTTCTTAGTAAAGGCTCCTAATAGAAATTTGGTCTAACAAACATATTATTCAAGCAATAACCGCTAAAATTTTTGAAGAATATACATACTCCGTAGTAACAATGTGTAGGCATTAGCGGCCTAAGCCACCAGTAGCTATAAATTATTCATGAGGGAAACACTCAGTGTATCTGACTTGCAATTGAGTAACATTAGGACTAGTGAACTAAACAAACAGCCTCCACAATATTTCAATATTTAGAATAAACTCTTCTCAACCATATATCACTTGCTTATGACAGTATTCTAAAAATCAAAGACCAAGACCATGGTACGACTATATACAGCACTCCATTTTTTCAAAAAATTCTAAAGAATGTAAACATTGTGGATTGCTTGGCAATTTTTCTCTAAGGGAAAATTATGGCACACATAAAAAAATACGACTGAATAAACTGATCGAGAGTTAAAAAGGCACAAATAAGCGCTACGTTTATATTTAGTAGATAAAATGCAAAAAAAAAAAAAAAAAGGAAACATTCGCGCATAAAAAGATAACTAACCCAGACTGTACTAAAATACTCTGACCTTCTTTCGATAGGCCCAGTCCGTAATAACACAACGCACCAATTCCAAGTAATGACGCCCCAGCTACGGCTGCACTTCCATACGTATATGCTAAAATGAAAAGAAATTAACTCTCAAATATGAAACAAAATTAAATCTGAAAGTACGAAGTGGTATTAGGAATGACAAGACTGAATTTCAACAAACGTTTTCCGGTGGTAGGCCCCATTAAACGTTCTTTAAGAGATGTTCGTGTAGCGCTTCCAAAACCATAGTTCTGAAGAAATTAGTAACGTTAACTTTCAAAGAATGTTACGGGAGTGGACGGAATGCAAATTTCAGTGACTGCAAAATAATATTATAAAGGCAGAATAAATTCAATGAAATATCAACAATAGCGAGGATTCTGCCTACAAATAAAGTTACAACAGACAAGCATTCGACTACACTATAACGCATGAAATTTAGCCACAACAAATTATTTATGCTGAGGTACTCCTCATTAACTTCCAATTTTCAACAATGAATCAATTTTCAATTCAGTGACTAACTCCTTCAGCAACTCGACGTCCAGCATATCGTGCAGTATTGTAAGTCGTTTTCGAAAAGCAACGAAAAGCCACAGCAACACTGTTGGGAAGTTGCAGTGATGATGATCCGCAGGATAGTCTTGACAACATTGCTATGACGTGAATCTACAAACAGTTGAGCTGGAGTCAAGGAATCACAATTAAGTAAAGCTCTTCAGTTACTAGTGATCTAGCAAGAACGATACGACATTCTATGAAATAAAAGTAGGCCATCCAGGAACTGTAAAAAAAAGAATAATTGGTAAACAACTTGTGTAATTGAAAATGAAGACAAAATATCGGAGATTAAATTGATGTTTCAAATTACCCTCAGAGATTTGAAGTCCTACGTTATGTTATTTCCAAAGCCTCATAACAAAACATTCCCATCTTACGATACTCCCATTGCACCTGCCTCCATAAATAACTCGATTATTCTCGAAACCTCAATAGAGAACGGTATGATCTGATGCCATCCCATATTGTTATCTTGTCCTAACGGGTAAACTACCCACGTGATTACATGATAAAAAGATGTAGTGTTCGATAGGTCATCCGATTCATTCATTGTTAACAATGCGACAGATTATTTAGTAACAAGTAACAATCACTATGGTAAATCTTCAAAGGTATTTCTCCATATTGTATATGTTAACAATAATGAAAATTGGAGATAATACTGAAAGGCATTAGTCTGTATTATTCACACTTTCACAGCAACACGAATAGAGCATACTCTCTAGTCTAATATCATAAGTCAAAACAATATGTTTTTTATTCTCACAGAATTTGTATCAAGTAATATGATATAAAGTTAATCTTTATCTAGAAAGACTAACAACGACGGAGGTTTCAACAAATACATTTAGTTGAAGTCAAGGATTCAACCATTCCACCAAACATTAGCTTTCAACTTTCCAATTTGATATACTAGAAGTATTGTACTTTCAAAAAATTTTACTTCATATAGCTTGTCATTGGTATTAGTACTAATTCGATGATGATCGTTTTCTGCATAATGCTTCAATTCGAAAATAACACGTATGTGAACAACGGGAATAAATAGTGGAAACATCAAAATGCACGGCTGATCCTTTCATTTCAACTTGTATATATAATCAATGAATATTCCTTTGAAGTATAGTACTAATCTAATATCATAAATCAAAACTACTCTATATTTTTTATCCTCACAGAATTTGTACGAAGCAATTAATAATACGTAGAATTAATCATTACTTAAAGAGACCAACAACGACGAAGACTTCAACCAATATATAGTTGAAGTCATGGATTCAATCATTTCACCAAAAGTAGTTTTGGACTTTCCAGTTTGATATATTGGATGTATTGTACTATTCGGAAAAACGTTCTGTATGAATATGGGCGCATTTGGGTTGAGCCGTCGGTGCATCACCACGAAATTGTGATGTAGCGTACGCGTCGATACGGAGAGCATGCACTTGTCCTGCCAGTTCTTCCCGCAAACAGCTGTTGACGAGACGATGTATCTGCAGTACACAAAAGCAGTTAAATCCGAAGAGCATAAAAACTGATGTAGCACGGACTCTCTAATGAGTTGATAAACAGTAAATATATATACCTGCAACGTTAACTACGTCTAGATGGAGAGTAGATGAACTTGAAACACTGATCTTTATCACAAATCCCCATGAAATGAAAACTTTTAAAATACATATATGGGAATTAAAACTTGTTAGATTTTTTGTATAACCGTATGGTTTTTAGTAGCACGCCTGGGCATTCAATCATCACTTAGGTAGCTGATAGAAACAAAAAAAATTACTTGGCAAACATTTAAAAAACATTTAGTTAAAAGAATACAAGCTTATATGATCCAATAAATTATATAATCTCTCAATTTCAATTTTTTTACAGTAATTAGGGCAAATTTTCCAGAAGTTAATTATGGCACTTAGTAACTTGTCATTCACATATCCTCACCTGTATGGTTTGCAATCCTTCAAAACTGTTGGATGCAATCTGCACATAGAAATGCCTTTCATCGTCACTCCGATCTGCATGGTTCTGACTTTCACACTCTACTTCCAAATGAGTAGGCTAAAGTAATTTGTGCTAGAAAATTTCAGATTATATTCAGTGCGAAATTAAATCAATTAATTAGTAGTAGCAAGTCATCGAACTGTACTAGAATAAATTTTTTGCCATTATTATGACCAATACATTTCATGTTATTTATTTCAAATCATGAATTTTTTATATCTGATCTCCAATAATCATATAAACGAAATTAATTCGTCAAACTACATTAATTTTCTCATCTGTACATAAGATGCAAATTTTAAATTTGTTTTGCAAGCGATAAACTACAGTTCAAAACTATATTTTATTTCGGTAAACAGCGTGGAACACTATGTTTGTAACGGAAAAAATTTCGACTTAATACCGCTAGAGCTCAATTCTATGCTCTTTTTTTTTCACTGTCACAAAATAAACCTTAAATTCCATTTGAAGCCTTTGTATGATTCTATCTTTCACAGGTCCATACCGTGCTACACATATATGAATTGCTCTTCTTCCCAGCAACATTGTTTAATTATGATCCAGTTTTTTGACTGCGATTGAAAAACTACCACCATGCACCTGAAACATACCTATGCTTGTAAAATAAACTCGTAACCTGAAAAAAACTAGAAAAAAAGTAACATGGAACTTAAACCGTGAAATACCCGCTCAACGAGCAACTCACTGTTTGGATTGAGAAAACCTGTCTTGATTGTAGAAGTTAATCCTTTGATTTGACTACTGTTTGAATTTGGTTTGTGGTTGAAGTTGGGAGGTTAGCGAGTGATTAGATGGAGTCTAAAAGTCGGATTCGGAATGCACTGTCACTTTTACGGCCGCCAAGGTGACATCTTCTAACAAGACAGGTCATGTAATTCAGTAGTTGTGTTCTAAAAGAGTTTGTGCGTGGAAGTACGAGAATCTGACACGTTAATTGTAGCTTAACAGGATGGGTGAAACAATTGTCTTTATTTTACGATATCCTTTTCATTTGCTCATAACGTTATTAGAATTGTTTGAAGCATGTAATATTGATCGATGTAATGTTATAATATTTCAGATCCTTTGAATGGTCATAAGAAATAGCAAAATTTGGGGAAGAAGATTACAAATTTGCGCATGGGGTAAGTATCAATGCTCAGTTATCTTTATTTTATGCAATTTAAAAAAATATAATGTTATAATATTTCAGGACTGATATTTCTGATATCATACGAGTTGGAATTGTATTTGTTCAGTGTGCATAAGCAAAGCAATTCTAGTTGAAATTATTTTTGCTGAACTGCTACTACCGATCTCTTGAATTATGATATCCGAATTTCCAGACATTTGTTGCAGTGTGTCTTGCATTAGTATTATACTTGAACCAAAAATAAGGAAAACTGAGGTGATTTTCAGATGCTGAGAGTTGGTGGTTTTGTTGACTGTTATCCGGGTAAGCGATTTCTTCGCTCATTATTCATTACACAATTTCGCAAACCTAGCATTTCGCTGAAGTTTACACTTATCCGTTCGCCTTCTAAGAAATGTCGTTTCAAAGCTTCATCTTTAATACTCTTGCCATCATATCAACTGAGACCATCCTTTTTGATGCGTTTCTTCAGTTCATCTTCTGGTTAGTCGTATTTTCTGATTACTCTGCATTTTTTTCCATAACACTCCATTTTTCAATTATTTATTGTAGCTTGGACGGTCACTATCATTTAGAAATGATTCTAATTTGTACCAATTTTTTATTAAAAGAAGTCGATGCTAGTTATGCTGAAAACCAAGCCCATCAGTGGCAAAAAATATCCAGTTTTATTATGTTGGAATTTTCATACTGATTTTTTCTGGATAATGTCGCATTTAAGTTATTCTATAGCATGATTGTTTTGCTCCTTAATTACTGACATTAATTTTATTCCGACGTGTCTCTCGTGTTTGGCTATATCTGCTACATTTGATCTCTTCGAGTCGTTACAAATTGCAAATCGGGGTTCCACGTGTAAGATAGTATCAGAATTAGGAAGAAAGAATTTTTCAGCTTTGCATGCAGTGGGCGATAAAAATGATGGTCGAGGTAAAAAAGAATCATCGAAGGAATCTGACAATAAAAGATTAAGTAAATTTTTAATCCATTAATGATGTCAAATATAAAATGTTTGATGACAAATAATGTGATGTGAAATGTAGTGATTCTTATATATTTCATCTCTCTCAGTCCTGCCTTTTAACGCAGTTACTACATAAAATCCGTGAAAACATATTTCTGTGATTCTCTCTAAAATTTTAGCTGTAAAGAATTCTAATTTTGTCGTAAAACTAAAATATTGTTCGTTGAGCATTGTTCTTTTTAAATATTCTTCTTATTAATCTTTTATTTGAAACTCTAGGAAAATTTTTCACGGGTTTATTAATCGGAAGTGTAATAGCAACAGTGATAACATCGGCTTTAACAGGCGTGTGGCAGACAAGGTATACAAATCAGTTGACAGTGCATGACTTTCTTACCTACATAGTACCATTGGGACAGGTAAGGGTTATTTCGTAATAACTAGATATTACGAGTTTAAATTATTAGATGAAGTGTTTAGCAGCCATAAATGTTAATCAGCACATAGTGTGGCGAATAATATAATTTGAGGTGGCAGTGTATATAATTTTTTGTAGAAACTACGTTTTTTTTTTTTTTAATTTTAGGTTACGTTTGCATTCCTGAGTAGTGAACTCTTAATCACTTTTTTATGTCCACTAAAATGAGTACAACATTCATTACAGTATTCACTATTAAACAACGAGCAAACGATGTAAATCAATAAATTTGTACAAATTTTTCATTTAAATCACTTGCGTTTTTATGGAAATGTATTTTTAGATTGAACAAATTGTAATAACTGGAAATAATGTTGCTCGTATCATCATGAAGCCGGGTCCAGTGCAAAACTTGCCATTCAGTGAGTGTGGATACAATGTAAAATTTTTTCTTTAGTGCTCAAATTTTCAGATTTCTTTTTTGCTTCTGGATTGCTGGGAATATGTGTAGCATTTTAAACTAATTTGTTAGCAGTCGCTACAGAAATAGTTGTTCTGAGAAGATAGATTCACAGCGAGAAGATAGATTCACAGCAATTAAAGATACAAAGAAGGATTGAACTTCGATATTTTTCTTTTTTGTTTTGCAAAAATTATGACATATGTTTGCAGATGTTCAGGCCAGGTATAGGTTGGCAAAAAGTGTATGTGGTAACAACTATGGATACTAAAAGACTGGAAGCTGATATACGCGAGATAGAAACTACCTTGGGAAAACCACCAGAAGAGTGGACACCTGTTGCTATTATCGACACTTCAGCACAAGGATTTATGTATGTTTCCTATGTTGTGTCTGTATGTATATGTGTTATATATATGTGTATACCTCTAATTCTTTATTCCTTACTTATTAAGTGATGTTCTTTGCAGAGATCTCCTGTTGTTGCTTTTGTTGGCGTTAATGCTATTCGGAGCCTCAAAGTCTCTTCCTTCAGTGAAAGTTAGTGTCAGCTTATTCACTTTCCAAAAAATTCTAATGAACCTTTCTAGCTGTTTAGCTAAAATGTATTATCTCCTTAACAGTGAATTAAAAAGTTGTATTTTAGAGTTCATTTCAAGATGTGCTTGGACTAAAAATGAAGCTCAATGTTATTAAACCGAATGACGCTAACGCTCAAAAAATAAAGTTCAAAGATGTTGCGGGTTTGCATGAAGCTAAAGTTGAAATTAAAGAATTTATAGATTACCTCAGACGTCCTGAAAAATATATGGTAGGTTATTATAAACGTTATAACATCTTTTTGCTTTTTAGTGTTTTCATTCTAGTAACGAGTTGCTGAATTGTTTTAAAATCTGTGCCAAGCGCATGTACGTTTTACGAAACGAAGGAGAAATATTTCTAAATTTTCAGAAATTGGGAGCTCGGCTGCCGAAAGGTGCATTACTTACCGGTCCACCCGGATGTGGAAAGACGTTTTTGGCAAAAGCTCTTGCTGCTGAATCTTCAGTACCATTTATTTCGATGAATGGCACTGAATTTGTTGAAATGATTGGGGGTATTCATTATTACCTTAGAGACTACAATTAATTTTATGAGTCGGTGATTACTCCTAGAGCGAAGAGTACAATCGTTTAACAGTCATTTTAAATGTCATTCAGGTTTGGGAGCATCTAGGATCAGGAATTTGTTCAAAACAGCAAAGAAAATGGCACCTTGCATCATCTATATCGATGAGATAGATGCGATAGGACGCAAAAGAAGTCAAAGGTAACTTTAATTAAATGTCATTTAATATTTCTGCCTTGACAACAATTTCAGCGAAGCGGGTGGTGGAAATCGAGAAGAGGAGCAGACCTTAAATCAGTTGCTGGTAGAGATGGATGGTATTGATAGTGGTCGCGGTATTGTTTTACTTGGTTCAACAAATCGTGGCGATATATTGGATAAGGTTTAGTTTTCGATGCTCATTGTAAAAATATCTATATATTTGGTAAAAGTTGGTGTAAACAAGTACTCAAAGTGGTTTTTCTAAATCCAATTTAATTGCACAGTATCTGATTTGTGCTGAAAAGAGTTTATAAAATAGATTCGATTATTGTAATTCCGCTTAATTTATAATGAAATGTATTTTGTAGGCTCTTCTACGCCCTGGTCGGTTTGATCGACACATCGTTATCGATCTTCCAACCGCTTTGGAAAGGCAGGAAATATTCGAATTATATTTAAGCAGAATTAAATTGGATCGTGAACCACAATATTATTCCAAGAGGCTTGCTCAAAGAACATCACGATTTTCGGGTCAAAAAAGTTTATGGACTCTTAATTTAATGAAAATTGCGTACCTGTTTTATGTTTTTTGTAGTTTTGTTTTATTTTCAGTGCTTGAACATTTTCAGTGCCTTCTAACTTGCCAGTTTATCCGGTCTAGTAGTAAAGTGAGACGTTAATATAAGATTTCTTCCATGTTGAGAACTGATGCCGTAACTTCCCACTTGAAACAAGTTTTTCTAATGTTCTGAAGCATACTGCACATTTACTCGTAAAATAAAGTAACGATTTTTATTGAAAGCAACGTTCCGTTATATATGAACTTTTAATAGTATGGTTAGTAGCTATATTTTAGGAGCAGATATCGCAAATGTGATAAATGAAGCAGCTATTCGGGCGGCGTCATCAAAGAAAAGTCTAGTGACAATAGATGATTTAGATGAATCATTGCAGAGAATTCTTGCAGGTTTTCCATTTGAGATAAATCTAAGGGAATATGCAAGTTCAAGGTTCACGGAAATTCCGAAATTTGTAAATATTCGAGATAACATTTTGTTGTGATTAATGGTTGTTTCAGTGCTTAACTAATAATAGGTGTTAACTAATAGGTGGTTTTATTCTAGGCGCAGAAAAAAGGAGTCGATCAATGGTAGAAGAAGAACGTGAAATCGTAGCATATCATGAATCTGGTCATGCTCTGATTGGATGGTTGCTGGAACACACTGATGCTTTACTAAGGGTTTTTATTTTTTAATTTAGCTACAGATCCTAGGCTTGAATGATTCGTTCTTATGCATTGTTAATTACTGTAACCATTTCGCGTTGTATGGCTGTATTTGGATTGTATATTCACCTAGTGGTTGGTAGTATCTGCATATGCTGCGGTGATGTTAAATTTGATTATAGCGAGTTTTTCTTTTTTGGATTTTAGACCAATTGTAATTCTCTATCTACTTTCATTTGTTTTCATTTCAGGTTAGCATTATCCCACGAACAAGTGTTAAGCTTGGTTTTGCTCAGTTCAGTCCTCGAGAGCGGAAAATATTAACTAAGGATGAGGTATTTTATTATTTCGTACTTGTCTATCCATGTCTATATATAGTTAATAACAAACTTCGACAAGAGCTCATTAATTCGATTGCAGTGTCAGGAAGAACATTGACTTTCACCGACTATGTATTTTTATTGCAGATGTTTGATCGTATGTGTATGTTGCTTGGAGGCCGGGCGGCAGAAAACATCATTTTTGGACGTGTTACTACGGGTGCTGAAGATGACTTGAAAAAGGTGATTGTTAAAAATTAAAATCGCATTAAATTTACAGTTAAAAACGTTTTACTTTGCTTAAAAAAAAACTGATTTTCGAGTAATAAGTTTCCAAAAGATGAATTTGGTGTGTAATGTGTGGTGAAATTCATGTATGCTGTTTCTGGCGAGGTTTCCACTTGGAAGTTATTAATCATAACACGTTTATTTGTTTGTTTATTTTAGTTTTTCCAGGTGACAAAGTCAGCATATGCACAAGTACAACTCTATGGAATGAGTGAATCCGTAGGCCCCTTAAGTTTCCCGATAATGGATGATAGCAAACGAAACGAATTTGGAATTTACAAAAAACCTTTCAGCATAAAATTGCAACATTTGATTGACCAGGTACGTTTATTTACTAAGTACATTTATATGTATTTCTGTTTAAAATGTGTTTAGTTAATTTATAATAAATTTAAATCCATGTACTGATTGTTCTTAGGAGGCGTCTAAATTGGTTTCAAAAGCATATTTCACTGCGGAAAACATCCTGAAGACGAATGAAGAAAAACTGAGAAAGGTATAGGGCTTTTTATATTGTATTTTAATAGGTTATTTTAATCTTATCAGATTTTATTTGATTATTTTAAGAATATTTCGATATTATCCTTATCTCTTATCGAAGAGATTATGGTGGTCGGTTAACAACTACATCTTCGAAATTTTTCTTTATCAACTGCATTTGTGTGCATGCTCATGTCGTGTAACTACTGCTTGAATTGGAACATCTTTAGAATTTTATTTAAATATTTTTAATTAAATCTATTTTTATTTACAAAATAATGTAAAAATTGTTATTGCTGTTCATTTCTTATTGACGTTTTATAGATTTACGTAAATTCCACCACACTTTTAAAGAATAATTGATTGCAGCTGGCATCCTCACTGCTGGAGAATGAAATGCTTAGTTATGAAGACGTTATACGGTTAATTGGGCCCCCGAAATTTCCGAAACAGATAGTGGAATTAGCTGATCACGTCTTACCAAATGTAGGGGAGTCGTAGTGAACTAAATGTAATTTTAATTTTAAGGAGAAATATATATTCTCTTTTTATTTTGTGATTGTTTTCGTGTTTTTTCTAATAATGTCGAAGTCAAGCTTTGTATTTTTAATGTATGAGTTCCGAATTCCTATAATGTTGGCTTTGATCAAGTTGTTTGTCGGGATCTCCTGCACTTTTCAAAATTAATTTTAAAGCAGAAATTTTGAATTTTTTGTATTTGATTTTAAAAGCTTCGTAATCTGAATAACAATGACTCAAGAATATGCCTGAAAAGTATATGTAATTGAATATAAAATCAGTTTTAATCAGAGTGTTTGCCAAAAAAAAAAATCACTCGAGGAATTTTGCTTTGTTTGATTTTAATAAGCTATTTTTAGGTTGTATTTCACCTTGTTTCATAAGTCTGAAATGAAGTAGAAATTTATATAGTTTTTCCTAATGCTACTGGCGTATTGTCTGCAACCATATTTCAAATATCTTTCTGAACACTGCTTTTTCTAGCTTCTAGAGCAGTAGCATTAAAAAATTTTAGTAAAGCAGCTGTATTGTGTTAGGTAGTTTTTCCTAAGGTACAAACTTCGGTTAGTCAATATGCGACACAAAACTGTTTCAGCGAAATATAAATTAAGACACGGAGATTATCCATTGAGCGTAGTTGTTAAGATTCATAACGGAAAATGTGGATTCTTTTTTCAAATTTTAAATTTTTTTTGAAAAATATTTTCTTAAAATGTATTGTCGGCTGCATCGGTATACTCGTATTTGATCTTTGTAAAAACTGCTTACTGTAAGAGAATGTTTTTGTCGAAAACTGTATAGATATTTCTTTGGGAAAGAACTTACATTTTATGTAGTTGTCCAATGGTGAGCCAAGTAAATGGATTCGATGGTTGCATTCAAAATTTCAATCAAGTCAAACAGTATGAAAGTTTGGGATTTCGCTGGAACCCTTCATTGGAAGGTTTGTGATTCTCTTCGGTTTGAACAGACTAGCAGTCCTCTATAATCGTTTTTCTTTCTTCTGTACTCATGTTGGTTCTTCATTTTGTTTGGTGAGACTCGAGGAAGTGGTTTTGAACTTTTCTTGATGCTTGCGAAAGCTTTTAGAAAGACATGGGAAAGCTAATTGAGGAAGAGCTAATTTACATTGGAAAAGAGCTAATTTCACATCTATTTATTCCACTCTGTCCTAATAACATTTTTCCGAAGAACACTGAACTCACTAATTTTTATGGCTTTTCATCATCAGTACAACATTCCTTAGTAACAACATAAACTCTTCTAACAGTAATAGTTAATAAAAGGGTCCAAGCTTTGCTGTGAAGGTGTGTTAAAAACTATGGAAATTTATGCTGAAGTCTTGGGGATATGAATTTAAATGCTTATATCAATTTCTCAGTTCTCAAAATAGTTTCAGTCTTGCTTGTGAGAAAGTCTTAACAAAGGCATCATTTATGAAATCGAAGAACCGAAAAAGAAAATTACCAGATTTTAGGGTTCCGAACTTGTCAGTATGCATATAAATTTTGATAAGTTGGAAATTTGTTGAAAGAATTCTGTAGTGATGAACAAGTGGTTCTACACATTGGCAATTCCAAAACCATTTTGAGCATCTGATTTGAATTGCTGAGTAATCAGTCTTCTAGTGGGGGAATTCTTTGTATATTTATATTTTCACATCGGCGAATTGCTTGTGTCTAAGCACTGGAAACCTAGGTGTTTTAACGCTGGCGATATAATGATATCTGAGATTTTTATTTATTTGTCACAGTTTGTTCTCATATTTCCGCAAGACTTTGGAAAGACGTAGTGTCCCCTTGCCATGTAAGGGGACACTACGTCTTTCCTACATAAAAAACAGTCAAATGAAGTTACCTGTAAATACATCGAAGCAGATGTTTTTTAATTGCTGACAACTGTATGATATTTATTACAAGGAAGGGAAGTTGGAATATCAAATATTTATTGTTGGATTCAAAAGTTACAGAAATTGATTAGATAGAGTCATAAAAACATTTGAAGAGTGTGAGAATGAGGTTATTGAAAGTAAGTGTAAGAAAGAAGCTTAGAATAGAAAGCAGTGGTATTCTTAGTATTTATAATATGAAAATTTCATGTATGAAATAAATCTCCTATATATCAATAACTGGAAAGCTGAGATATAGTGCAAAAAAGCAACAAGTAGTTAGGAAATAACTTTGGTCAAAAAATAAATTTAATTCTTTGATTATGAATAAATTGTATATATAAATAGATGAGATAGATTAGGTAGATAGAAATAGGTATAATATTATGTGGCCACCTGATAAAGGTATTGAAACCAGACCAAAGATGTCAAAAGACCAATTGTTGACAGTCGGATATGGTTGGTGTCGATTGTGATTCCAGCAGCAGTGTCATTGAGACTGATCGCTGCCAAACTGTTTTTTGTGGGGATTGTTTCATTTGTTGTGTTGTTGACATCTGTCATGTTGTCTTCATTATCACTATCATGCAGCATTTGCTGATCTGATCCTAAACTTTTTGATTACTCTTGCCATGCATGAGGTCATGTCATCCATTGGATATGTGTGTCACCACCACGTTACATAGAAGACGAACAACCAGGTCATGAAAATTGTATGACTTAGATACATAACCAAATCAACGCAGTACGAAGAGTGTATATCAATACGAGTACTTTTCAAAAACGTTGATAGGAAGCTTATCTTGTAGACAATTTCATTATTAAAAGTTTATCAGTGAGTTATTGAAAAGTCCAAAATATTCATTCACTTGCTGAAGGTAACAGTAGAATTGTTGGACTAAAGTTGAAACTCTTTATAAGCATTTATGCAACTTACCGTTTCTAATTCCACTGGTTAATTCATGATTTTGTTTCTTAATTTCCTTCATTTTCAGCTCTTTATCTTTCAGTTCTTTAAGCTGTTTAATCCATTCAACTTTATCAATGGATATTAATTCCACTTTTTCATCACATCTGATTGGTTTCGTTTTGTTAATAACTAAATTTATTTAAATCAGATAATTACTAATTTTATGTTCAATTCTTTTCAAGTGAAAAAAAGCCTACGTTCCCTTCTTCATGAGATGTCACTTATCAGTTACTTTTCTTTCCTGGCAAAAATCGAATATGCCGAAAAAGTTCTGATTATTAAGAAAACTCACACAGAAATCGACCACTCAAAAGCAAATCTAAGTGGACAATCACAAAAATTGTTAAATAACTATTTGTTGTCTTATTCAAGCATGGATTCACATTCACATCACATGCTCCTGCAATACATGAATTGTATTGCAGAAGCACAAATTGCATTACGGAGAAGTGTGTCAGCAATATTGAACACTTCAGACATTACCTTTTAAATTAAAAAATAACAAACTTGATTCATTGTGACATTCATGTGTTAATATATCTTTTCTAACTTTAGCAATACATGTTGTGCCATTCTTACATACACTCATCGAACATGGATCTGATTCTGGAAGTCTTTCTTCAAGTTTACATTTATCTTTCTTAATAGGAAAAGGATTAAACGACAAAAGTGAATTTTGTGCTTCATTCTGAAATTCAGAAAAGAGAAAGTCGTCAGTCAGCTTCAAAACGGTCGAAATTTTAAGGTTCAATAATATCATCTGAAATACCGTTATAATTCTGCATTGCTTTATTGATTTTCTTGATGCAGTCCTTCTGTCCATCTTTACATTTACAAGAATATTTTTGTATCGTTTTGTTGAAATAACACGTGGCGTTAGATTGACATTGATTAGCCATACAGCAAATATCCTCATTGATAACATTATCAGTAGTACCACTGCTATTCAGTTTCACACTTAATGCTTCTGTCAGCTGATGACTTTTCTGTTTCACTTCGACAGGAGATTCCAGTCCTAAGAAGTAAAAAGTTTTTAAACAGAAGCATCAAAATTCAACAATAAATTAGAATGTTTTTCATTCGTAAGAAACGCGTTTCTCATGCGCTTGTATGAAGAATGAGGTAGTAATCACATTGATGATAACCCACTAAAAGTTCACTTTTCTTATGATCACAAAAACTTTGTAATGCTTGTGACAGTGATTCATCCGCAGTTCGCTCAGGGAGTAGGAATAATTTGGAAGGTTACTTGTCTACATATTGTCACACTACCCGTGGCTTAGTTTTTATGCATAGTATTTCTGAGTATTACTACTTGTAGTGCTTTCCTATTCCTTTCCCTGTTATCGAAATTTTTCTTTAGCTCATCCAACATTCTCAAATTTTGATTTAAATTTTCACAAAATTCGTTCCTATCTACGCATGTATGCTTACTAATTGTTTGCAATTTCTCTTGCATGTATGCTTGATAGACTTCAAAACATTTATGATTTGGCTTAACCAGGCATGTAGAGTCGCAAATGTTCACAAATTCCTTGACAAAAGCGTAAATCTTTGAACATGTTGAGGGAGTACGAGCTGCATCCACCGTACCAAAACATTTCGCATTTTTTCTTATATTTATTAAAATAGAAGCGCTGTTCCCAGGTTCCTTGAAATAGTCATATTCAGTTGCTTTAAACTGATTCCAGTTTAAATCTCTGATCCTGATGATTTGCGGTTAATTTGATAGACACTAATCAATTATGTTTTTTTGATTTAACATCCTAGTCTTATTCCATATTTTATTGTGTTTTAAATTCTGCTCTGAATGAGAATTATTTGTTAGATGGTTGCAGTGAACCACACAAGAAAATGGCAGACTTTAAAAGTTGAATTCAACAGGTAAATCTAATAACTAATATGTGTAGTCAAATTACATAATTTTTACATAAATAAACCAGTCCAGATTTAATAAATTTAAATTCAGTTTAATCTGAAGCTTTTTGTAATGCTTAAAAACGGTAGATGGAAGAAAACCTAAATTGAAATCTCCGGAAATCATTGATTCATCTTAAAACTAGAGAGCAACTTTTTTTGAGTAATCAATTATTATACATCGCTTCTTTAAACTTTCCGAACTTGAGTATTTTGCTTCGTTTTTTCCTTTCTTTTTTTTTGGTTGGGGAATGTTGAAGCACTCAACTTTCAAGATTAAAATAGTTTCAAAGAAATGTTAATCAATAAGAACTGGAATTCATTGTCCAGGCTAGCTGAGTTAACTATATGATTTTCTATCACTAAAATCGAAATCAGATTTTGTTGATCAATGAATTACGGATGAATTTAGACTGAAATACATACCATTTCGGCAACGGTTGAGATGGTCAGTGTCGAGAACATCCCAACAAATCCCTGAATTATGTATTAAAACTACCCGAACGATGGTAATACAACAACGACTAAATAAAAGAAGTATAAATTCGTATAACCTTCCGACTTGGAAAGCACCAAATACTAACTGTTCCGATAACTCAATTTATCGTTTTTACTCAACACAAATTTTATGTTCCCTACTATATCACCTGCTCTTTCTTCAGGCAACATTTAAGATCAAAATGGGAAAAGTGCTATCATTAGACCTTAAAATTACAGAATCATTTAGTTTATAAGCTCTTTTTCAATTTATCGTTTTATCGTAGGACTTTCCAAATAATGAATTATAGAAAAAAAAATCAGAATACAATCTAAAACCTTTTTTTTTTTAGATGTAGATAAATTTGGGATAATTTCTGTCATTTCAGTGAAGTTCTAAACTCTTATAAAGGTGAGATATTTTGATTTGAAGTGTCTATGAAATATAAAATGTGTTTTATCATCGTATAACTTGCAAATATCAGTCTGTGAAGCTCTAATCCATCGCACCTATAGCACTTTTCTGAATATTAGTCGATAGTTAAAGATGGGTTGAAACAAATTTTAATTCATATTGCTAATCATCTTAAAGAACAGACTTTTTTGGAAACTATTCATTGTGTTTACTTTATGAAATAATATTGCAAAGTTAAATCGTTCTATTTGGTAATACCAGATATAATTAAAAAAGGCAGAGGAAACATGAAAGAAAAAATGAATTACCATGAATTTTACGACCTATGAATAGATTAAATTCATAAGTCATCCATCGATTCATAGTTATATCCACCTTTCATCTCTTTTACATCTTATTCAACATGCATAAAATCTGTTCTTTACTACATTCATATAAGGTCAAAGCAGAAAATAAAGAAGTCCTATAAATTAGGTGAAGTTCATCTGAAACAATAACTGACCTCGTCTGTTAAATTCATTGCTTAAATTTTCATCTGTTAAATTTTCACACAACACTTGGCAAGTGTTCGCATCCGAGAATATATTCATAGATTTCCCCGGACACCCATCATACCAAAATGATCTGCAGCGATTCTTTTCATAATCGTAGTAGTAATGAGGACGCCAATTCCCTATGCCGCATTGATTACTGTACTGAGGGTCGAATGAATTCGTGCATGCTGCTACAATTTTTTGCTGAATTTATCAATAACTGCTTATTGACAGATAAAATGATAAAATATGAAAAATGATGGAAAATATGAAGAAAGGAAATAAACCTACAAGGAGCAGAAGTGCAGTTGTAGCCATTACCTGCATAACCAGATCGACACTCGCATTGATATGATCCTTTGATATTATGACACTTGGCATGATAGTGACATGCCCTAGGCCATGATAAACACTCATCAATATCTGCAGAAGTAGATGATGATAATGCTTATCACTGGTAAAAATAGTGTCGAGATATCTTCTTCATCGTCTAATGATAGTGATTTTCTATTTTTCGATTTAAACGAGTGCTGGTTCAGCGTATGCTATATATGGCTTGTAAAACATAAATACTACTAATCATTTACAATTGCTTCACTTCTATACCACAGTAGTTTTTATGAAACCTCAAGTAAATTTGTCTTTCTTAAACTTTATACTTTCAAATGGAGTTTTAAGTAAAAACCTGTGCAGTTTAGTCCATCGCCTTTGAAACCAATATTGCAGGTGCAAACACCCTGCGAGCAGATTGCATTTGGACTGCACTTTGCACAGTTTGTTGTTGTCCGACCTAATATTATTTTCTATCAGGAGATAATTGTGATATGAAATATTTTTACATGCTAATTAAATTTCTAGAAATAAATTAATTTCTTAAAAAAATTGTGCAACGAGCAATTATCTTAATTCGTTATTAAATTCGACTTTATAACAAAATATAATTCCTCTGGAACATTTTTTCTATCAGATTTTTATTACCAAATGAAATGTACTATGGTGATTGCTGTTGGGAAATAAAAAATCAAACTTTCTCATATTACTGTGCATACCAATGCCAACGTAAGTGCATTTTTTCCCATCACCGTTATAGCCAATGTTACATTTGCATGTATACGAGCCAACCATATTCACGCACTGTGCATTCCGATCGCAAACTGAATTTCTGTTACGGCATTCGTCTAAATCTGTAAGAAGAATTCGTAGCTTTGTTTGACTCAATGCTATAGCTTAGGATGTTATAAGTTGCAATCGTGATAGCGGTGCCTTACATATATCTCTCAATCTCACAACAGGAATAAATCATGGAAAAATGACACAGAAATTGCATTCAAAACATTTGTGTGAACTCATTCATATAAGGGAATGATATCGGTTCACACTTATATGAAACAGTATGAAATTTTGGACGTAAATATCTTAAAGTAGAGCACATTTCTCTGGCATTTCTAGGTTTTATTAATTGCTAGAGAGAACTAACCAACACATTCACCGCCAACATTTTTGACAAATCCTTCCCGACATTCACATACGTAATTGTATTTCGAATGAATAATACATATCGATGTACGAACATCACAGCGATCGCATACTACAAAGTTATGATCAAAACAGAAGCAACCTTCTCGACATTCACACGTGTAGTGGCCAGAAGGACCAGTGGTTACAAGGAATGTCCCATCTGAACTGGACCATAAGTTGTATTAACATTATTTAGTGCGATAAAATTGAAGCATAAGATTAGCTTCACTTCAAAAGCTTTGACATTTAAAAATTAATTGAAATTTACCAGTATCAAGCGCTAAACGTTCGCCACACATTTTTTCACAGTGATAGTGACTATAAAAGCGATTATCATTACCACCGCATCCATAGTAAAAGAATCTCTGACAATCACCATCAGTTGCATTGAAGTAGTACCACCAGTGGCCTTTCCGATCGTCATTGCAGTATCCCGGATGAACATCTAACAAGCATACCTCTAAGAATGATGCAAAATTAATCTCTCCCAAAGGCGAAATAAAAATGGGATAGTAATTGGCTCCAAAAGCTTATAAAAATTTATGATTATTTAGAATGTTTGTATTGCTCACTCAAAATATGACCTTGTTACTGAAAGATATAACAAAAAATTGAAAGTGTGCTCCTGAAATCTCTCACAATTTAAGTATTTGAACTTGCTTGGTATAAAGACTTGTCTATGGGTTTCATATGCACAACGATTCATACACTGTTGCTTGCTATCGAAGCGATTTCGATTGCCCAAACATCCACCGTAGTGAAACTCTTTGCATTCTTGATTGGTCTCATTCCAATGCCATTTCACCTGAAATCCCAAAATTCAAGTGTCAAATGCATTTGGAAGATATTTTAGTGATGACATATATATATATATATTGATTAAACACGAGGTCATCGTACAGGGGGCTCTATATGAATATTTAAACTTAATTGCAACTCTCCCGAATTTACTTCTAATTAGATCAAATAAATTTTGAGTATTTTGTTTTCCAAGAGTATAAGATTGTGGGCAAAATTTCTCTCAGTTTGAAAATCATTATGGAATTTGATTTGCCTCTAGTCATTTAAATTCTAAAAAAACAAATGAAAATCAGTATACAATTTGTAAAAAAAAGTTATTTGTACTCTTCATTTTCTTATTAAAAAAAATTCTTAACAATTCTAGATGCATCTAATATTTTTGTAGAATACAATTGAAAATATTTAGTTATAAATTCGTACTTATTAAAAGCTTCGACAATTTCAATGTGAAAGGTAAATAGAATAACTTAGGTACGGTAATCGCATATTGTTTGAAATAGTTTTAGAGATTCATCATACAAATAAAATACCTGAAAATAGTGGCAAGGTCCGGCGTCTGATCTTTTTTTGCATCTGTCGTCATCTAAAAAATGGTTGCTAAGGTATAAGGCAATGATTTACTTAGGAAAATAAGATTTTTCGATTTGATAAATTCTCTTTTTTTATTTTGATCATAAGACTGAGTTTTATTGTTATCTCAGGTTTAAATTAAAGGCCTAATGATTATTAATAATTAAGTACAATATTATTGCACAAATCCAACTGCTACTGCAAACAGTATTTTAGACTACATGATAGCTTTATTGCTAGTGGTTAAATTGTTTGTTATAATATTGCTCTAATTTAACAACATTTTGGCACTGAATAAGATTAAAATGTGTCCTAATGCTAAGTTACTTGAGCTAAACAATCAGTTTTATGAGGCTCTGATTATAACGATATCCAAAAGGCTATACTGAGTCATTTATGATAATCAATTGGGAAAAATAAAATGAACTAACATCGATCAGCAAAGGTTAATAAGATTAGGAAGAAAGAGTAGTAAAGGCCTAATAGTGACATTAGCAATAGAAAGGATATCAGCAATGTCTTAGGTTGATTGCAGATGCATCAACACTGTTGCATGCCGTGCTGAACAAAAACAGCATGCATGAATGATGAGAAGAAGAGCATGTTATAAATACTTTTCATCCCTTAAATCAATTATTTAATATTTCATGCATTTAAATAAAAATACCGACAAGCCAAATAATCGGATATTATCATTAGAAGCCCGACTTTCAGACTTATCCTCCTTCTATTACTTCATCGAATTCATCTAATGCTTAGCCAACTCATACCATTTTCTCGTCATAAAAGAACTTACTGAGAATATGTCTAAAGTTCTCTAAAAGAAAGGCTCTCCTTCTTGAGAGGAATTATTACAATAATCGACCACATGAAATAGAAAGGATGGCATATCTTAATTAAGTGCACGCTATCTTAATTTGAAACAGAATTAATTACTTTAAAGAGGAAAATTAATAATTTAATTATAAACTAGTTTAATGCTCTAAACAATTCATCTGGCAGAAAGTTTTGTTAGGAAGTTGCTAACTTTTTTCTCCAGTTTTAATTAAGATATTAATCTTCAATTCTAATTAAAATATAAATAGAAACGAAGACTGAAGAAAAAAATGTTTGTTAGGAGTCGAAAAAAAATTAATTTGTGTGAAATATATTTGAGAAATTGGAATCAGCAGAGGATTTCAAATTATTCATTTGCGAGACAGTTTTTTATGAAAACAGATATGACATTATAATTCATATTATCTATTTATGTAATAATTTGTTTAGAATGATTGAAAAGGATTGATTAGTATAGTTTCAGAAGAAAAGTAATAACATCAAACAGTGAACAAATTCTTCAAGAAAAATTATTACTGAAACTATACGAGCTGTGAATCTTAAAGTTGACATTATTCCCTTTAGGGATAAAAAAATCTGATGGTCAATTAAAATCTGTAATTAGTTAATAACTCGTTTAAGAAAATTCGAAAAAGTTATTTGTCAACAAAAATGAATAGTGGTGTGTCTTACTGTTGTGATTATAGTTTCTATTGAAATATCAAGACTAGTAAAGTATTAAATTTCACTTTTTCATATCAGTCGTTTTGCAGTTTCAATCTTCCTTTATCTGTTTGTTGCTTCTCTTGGTTCTACCTGTTCTGAACTATAATGTTGCTTATTCATTTAAGGCAACAGATCTTCAGGTGCATTTCTATAATTCTTAATTCAACTAGTGGCATAATTTTGACTTTTAAATTCTCTTGCTCTCTCCTCAACATTTCATTTATCATTTTAATAAAGAAATAGTTTGATGGATCATACATTGATAAAGATCAAATAACTATTCAGGCATACTTTCAGCATCGATTACTCTAAGTAATAATCCATAGATATTTATCATATTATGAAGGAAAAATTAACATCGTTTTATTTTAATAAAATAAAACATCGTTTTATTTATTTTAATAAAGTTTAGAGTCTTTTTTACTTTTCTATACTTTTAGTTATTATATTCCGATCTCTCCATGCTTGGTAATGTACAATCAAAGTTAGAGAAATATGCCTTATCCTCTTGTTAAATTACTCATCATCAAGCATGTTAACGAATTATACCGAATTGAATCGTTACATTGTCTCGTGGCGTAAAAGGGAGAAAGAGCTCAGCTTAATATATTAATCCAACATTTAACAACATTTTGAAATAATCGATGAAAATAGCATATATATAGTGGAAACGATAAGTTAAATAACCACTGTTCCATTATTTCAATTTTAATGTTAAATGTGACGCTAATTGGAATTTTAAGAATGCTTCTATTGTGCATTTCATATATTGGTGTTAACAACGAAGACTAAATCATTTGATGTTCAGAGTGAGATGTCAACTTGGAACAAAGTTTAAATTTTGCTTTTCCCTCCATTTGATTTGCATAGCCTGAAATCACTTAATGCATAATGCGTTTTTAGAGAATTCTTGTGTTTGACTGCAAAATGACTGCCTTCCTGAATGTTTATAGAGAAATATACCACCACACAAACAGATCTCATATTCTTTATTCAAATATCAATAAGTACTCCAATTCATGAATTTTAATGTGACTTTTGATAGCATTTTTTGTTTTCTCAAATTTTTTCATATATAAATGTCTTTGAGACATATTGAAATTCTATTGAAATCCAACAGCAAGTGCAGCATATCTATTCAAGGCTTGTTTACTCAAGGCATTAGCTATTACTTTCTCTCTCTCTCTCAAAGCTAATAGTAACAGTTGTTTTGGAAGTTTTAAATAAGTTCATTGCCACTATATCCTTCTACAACTAAGTAATTGTGGTCGTCAACACTACTTCATGATTTTTCCATCTCACAAATACTGGTCCTTCTCTTCTTTTATGAAACAATACTCTCCAATTGTACTCAAAACTTTTTGCTTTTTTCAAGGCTGTTTAATATGCCATTACTCTTCCTATAATCACACATTTGCACTCATACATACACACACACACATATACACACATACACATACACACACACATATATACACACATACACATACATACACACACACACACACACACATATACACGGGGAAAGAATGCCAAACAACGAAACGAAATTTGTTGAACGAAATCGATCTGCAGGAGCGCTTGGCTGGTAGGTACATCGCGAGACGCTAGCTCAAACAATCCTTCATTGCATTTTTAAATTAGACGGCACTTCAGGAATTCCGAACTATTAGCTTCAGGTGAGGATGTTCCGTACCATAGATCTCATAAGAATCGCTGGTGCTCTCACAATGCCAGGTCAATCTATTCAGCCAAGGATTATACATGTGATATCAGATGACAATAACATCTTTGGAAACGCAATGTCCCCTCATGAAATAAACAATGAGCAGTATATTATATTCTCGTCACCTTTCACCTTTGTTCACTTTTCATCAGTATAATTTGAGATACTGGACTATATTTTATATCTTGACGTCCACAAACTTTTTCCTTTCATTAGCCGATGTTGCGAATACAGCAGATATAAAGTTAAAGCATTAACTGTCGTTTTTCTTATGTTATGAATCGGATGATGTTGAATTTCCCAATAATACACTATGCATTCTCGTGTTCAGTATCAGTTCATTCAGCTATTATTATTGTTTACAATTCTTCATCCAAAATCTCATAATCAGTTTGCTAGCACTTCAGACCAGCGAATCCCTCGCCATTTTAACTGATGTAGGGAAAGGATTAGAAGTTTTGTTTAAAGCTAAATATAGAATCTCTATTCATAAAGCCAGGCGCTATTTTAAGGCACTAATAATTTTCGGCATAGTGGTGCACATGGGTCTTATAAGCCAATATAGCTAAGCTTATATTAATTCATTTCTGTCTATATTAGTATCAATTTTAGACTTTCAAAAATAGACAAAAGTGTGCGACACCACAGCGCTAATGTTTATTATTGTCAGTCATCTTTCTTAATCTCGTTAAATAAACTGATGAAATATTTCTCCCATTACTCACTCAATAGTTATTACTTTTCTTCTGCTAACACTTAAGTGATTGCTAATTAAAGGTGTGATAAAATAAGCAATTACCAATAAGTTTCAAAAAAAATATTTAAGGAAGTGAAATCAACATTTTTCTGGAAATAAAATTCGAACTAAAATCGGCAAAGTTTTTTTCTCTCGAAAACTTCCTATAATTTTGACCGATTTGAAGAAAGAAACGAGAAAATTATTTGTTTTGAAAAGTAACAATGTGAAGGCAACTCTACACTTTGGTCTTTATTGTTTAAATGAAAAAAAAGATGAAAAATTGCTGTCAGATTAAGGCCAGAGTGGTTGATGCAATCCACTCTATTCTCTCTTTACTCTATTTAGCCGCTCATTCTACTTTACACATTTCTAGCCCAGCTGTTATCGAATGAGACCCATAAATTTCCTCCTTTTCATAATCTATTTCCTTAAGCTATCCACAACTAAACTCTTTTGTTTAGTGATGCATCAAATGTAGCAATATTTTTTGAATGCCATTCCCAACTTCTTTCATCACCAAAATTACTTTTTGAAGCAACTTTTTATATTTTTTTTAATTTCTAATTTCATGTCTTGTGTTTCATTCAGTTAGATATAATTATGGCTCCAATTAGATTTTGGAATGAACTGATTTTAAATCCTAATCTTTCTAATGAACTCTCCTGATTTAAACTATTTGCCAACGAATATTTTTGAAAATTTGCTGTTTTTAGCAACAGTTATGGGAGTAGAATTTATTAACATCAAAGAGAATGTTTATTCCAACATTATTTGCTATTAATTGTCTTTTTTATTATCTGAAGATGAGAATTATGTTCCTTTGACTGTGCCTCACTGTTTTTGTCCTTGATGAAGATTTAAAATTATTTCTTTCTTAATCGTCAGTTTTGAGGAGACGAGTGGACAAGAAGGAAAAATGGAGTGGTACTGACAGTTTTCAGATCCCTGAAAAAATTAAACTTAATTCAGCCAGTTAAGAATTTATTTCATTTCCTCTTTCTTATCCCAAATTTGTTTAAGCTAGAGATATGCGTTTCATCGAGAACATTTCATAATATCCTTCAGCATTTCATAATCCATCATGAAATAAATTTTCTTTTCACATTTCACTCTATTTCTTATCAGTGCTACTTTTTGTTAATATATTCAAATAAAGTTAATCTTAACATATGCCACTGTGAAATTAATTTGGACATCTCAACACTGATTTGCATTGGTCAAATAATGCTGAAATGTGAGCACTGCATTCTTCTCGAAACTCGAAAAGGCCTGCCTAATATTTTCTGTGCATTAACTGATCTTAGAGTAGTGATAGTCCAATTACTAGCTGAATGAAGTGGTTTTGTTCTGATGTGACAGCTGAGCTTTTTTCATGAATTCTTCAAATATGGCACTTTATCTTTTAGCTTGGATATGAGGCGTAGTAGTGGTTAATTGAGATTCAGAAATTTTCTGTTCTTCATCTAGAATTGTTTGTTATACTCGTAAACATCTTTCTCGCGAAAATGACCCCTTGGGTTTATTTTCACTATCTGTGCATGTCACTTATCAATCTTATCTTGAAGTATGGAAGTCTTATGTCAAATGGTCACTGATTATATTTGCTCTCTCCATGCATAAATCATAAGAAATGGAATGCAGACTACGAGGGCGGTGACACGAGAATAGTTATTTCTTTTTTTTGAAATCACATCATGCGTACATGTCCATCTGCTTTATTTTTGAAAATGATATATTGTGTAGATATTTTTATTTTTATTTGCTGACGTAATAATTCTTTGGAACCATTATGCATTGCGACTGTTTGCTAGTCTTCAGGAAGTGTCTCAAATAAAAATATTATTATAAATAAGAGTGGTTGGCTGCAATCTCTTTAGTGTAGACGGAAAATCTATGCATTGGTCAATTACTGATATTAGATATCAAAATCATTCCGACATCAAAATAAATTGTAATCAGACTGTCTTATCAAGATATTTTTTTTCATTTTTCTTTTAGAGCCACTTATCATAAAATAGTTTGAACAGCCCTAGTATATCTATCTCTAAGATATTTAACTTTTTTTTTTTTTTTTTTGGAAATTTTTTTACAAAGAAATTTTAATGAGAAAAGGTAAAGTTTCTGGTTGAACTCTTATAAACAGTTTCTCTTAAGTTTTTAATTTCAAAGCAAATTGAAAAGATCATTGCATGAAGCTGAAAGGTTGTTATATTTTTTTCTTCAGGAATTTCAAAATATTGAAACAATTATTGAATAAAAATTTTAGCTTTTCCAACAATCTTTTGGATATTCTCTTGACTATTTCTTATTTTGTAATTTGGAAATTTTTTTTATCCAATAAACTGCCCAATTTTTCATTTATGTGAAGTGAGAAGTTTTTCACTTCTGTTTTCAAGTCCCCGTAATTTTAGCATTGAATAGTCATATAATAGATATACAACAACTTCATCTTCTGTTCATTCCCTAAGCGAAAGTGCTTTGTGCATCCTTGTTTTGGTAGCCGTAACTCCTTTGCTCCCCTCTCTTTTAATTAAAATTTCGGATTAGAATGTTCATGGCTAGATAAGTCACTGGAATCAAGAGAATAATGCAGTTAATCATCCATGCAAGTAAACATCACGCATAAATTTTTTTTTTTTTTTGCAATTTTTTGCTCTGTGACATCCTCATTTTTCGACTTTTTTGAAGCATATGTTCGTCATTTAATATGCATTTGTCCGCTAGTTTTAAAAGCAGTTCAAGTTCTTTGCATACTATTCTATGGGACATATTTGGTGTAAAATTAATTTTAAATAATTGATGGTACATCTAAAGCATTTTATGTAGTTATTTGAGCGTTCAAAATATTTCGTATTTCAGCTGTGATGAAAAAATTTTTTGGTAGAAAAAAATTGAAAAAATCAAAATCGGATCAACATGAAAAGGTAGATGAAAATTGTATTAACGGAACAACTACTCTAGCAGCAAGTGGTACATTTTGTCGCACAACCAGTGACTTCAAGTAAAATTGTTTTTCAAGAGACTTTTTTTTTTACATACTTTTAAATCCACCTGCTTTCCATGATTAAAATTCTATCAATAATAGAAAAATTTTATGAAGGATTAAAAATTTCAGAGAATCAACAACTACAGATGAATGTAACAGTTGTTACGATGCTACATCATCATCGATGGGAGAAGAACGCCATTTTGATGAAGAATTAGATAAACACATGATGCAAACCATTGCTGATGTCAAATATGTCAAAAACAGGCCTAAATTTGTTGCGGTTGGTAAGTTTGCATTAAAGGTTAACCATTTTATTAAACAAAATATACTTTATAAGGTTTAACATGCGAAGCAATTATGTATTAGAGTTAGGAATAAGGATTTTGTAATCAATAGGATTTCATTAATTTATTAGTTGTTATGCTGCGAGAAATTGAAAAAACAGTCGAACAAATATGTTCAAAAATATCTAAATAAAGAAGTGAAAAAAAGTTCTGAAGAATATTGTTTTGAAATTATTGTAATCAAGATGAAGTGTCAATTGTATTGCTGAGTTTAAAAACAAATAACCAGACAATTAATTAGAATTTTCTACAGGTGAAGTGAATTTTCAACGTGAATGTTTGGATGCTCATAATGCGGTAAGGGCACGATATGGATGCCAACCATTGATATGGTCTCAGGAATTATGTGATCTGGCCCATTCCTGGGCAATTAAACTGGCTGAAAGAGGACGGATATTATTTCCAGAATTACAGGGTAGTAATATTTGTCATTTAAAAAGCATTTCTAGAAATTCGGAATGATTAGCTGTGTCACAGTTGCAGTACTTTCATTATCCAACGCTTTTTATTTCTCGAAAAAAAGGACTAAAGTTTATATTATTCAAATTAAATTTTTGTTGTAGGTGAAATTCTTTAGAGAAAGTTTTTTGGTGCTATATATCAATGAAGCAGCAATTTTATAATTTTGAGACAAAAATTAATTAAATGCTTGTCAGGAATAGGTGAAAATATACGGTTAACAATAATAGATGAACAAACTCATTTACCTTCTGGTGCCGAAATTACCGAAATTTGGGCCAGCGAAGCAGAGCACTTCGATTTCGAAAGGCCGCGATGGAATCCCAGTAAGTTTATTGTTGCTCTAAGTCCTCTAAAGCGGTAAATTTGCGAGAGGATATTTCGGCCAGTTTTTCATAGTTCTGAATTTAAGATCTCTGTGGAGTATAGCTCAAAATAATTATTTTATCAATGCGCTAACAAAATATAGTGAATGGTCAGCTTGGCAATTGTAGTAAACAATTATCAAAAAAATTATCTGTTTGCTATTGTGTGGAATGCGACAATGTTTGCAACGCCATCAGAGAGTCTTCTGAAGTTGGCTAATGCTTTTGTGCAGCATAATGTTCAATTCCTTTGCCTTCAAGTGTTTTGTGAAGGATTTTTGTGCAGCCTTCCTACAAAGAAGCAAATGATTGTTGCGGGCACTCTCTTTCCGGTGTACCAGAGGTACTTCGAATCTGTAGTTTACTGGAAGAGTCGAGTTCTGCGCACTTCTGCGCAAAATAAACAGTTGGACTAAAAGACTGGACAACTCTACCGAATAACGACTAATTTCCTGTTGTTGATTTATTGCTTCAAATAAGAATATTTATCGTTGAAAAAATTTTTTGATGAACTATTTTACAGAATAGTTAAAAGATTATTACTTGCTAATTTTACATTGAAAACGAGAATAATGGAATAAACTTGAGCAGTTTTCTGAAAGGCGAGAATAGAAAACCCTACTTCTCAAAATTTTCCTGATTTAAAGCCGTTATCTTCAAAATTTTAGCTTTCCAGTTTTGTAGATTAAGTTGGAAATTTTTGTGAATAAATGAATAATTGAGTAAATAATTAAGTCATCCAGTCAGATTATGGCAATTTTATTTCTATCGAATTTACAGCTTCACAAAATTACCAAGCAGCTGCTTGGGGAATTTTTCAGAGACGCAGCATTTCACGCAAATAGTTTGGAAGGAAACCTCTGAAATGGGCATTGCTCGACAGTGGAATACTAGCACTAACTGTGTCGCTACAGTCGCAATGTATCGTCCTTCCGGTAACTCTAACGCCCCAGGCAAGTTCACTTCTTCCTTTTCGCACCATTTATGGATCTCAGCCAACTAAAGTAGGGAACAATTAAGTAATACAAAATTGTGGCATAAATAATGGATGTAAATAAGTTACTTTTGTATATTATTATCATCATTTATCTCCATTTTAAGTATATATTTAATGAAAAAAAAAATCAATTTAACAAGCACATTTCACTCTTAAAAGTTATTTATGCTTCTTTTAGATTCAAGAAAATTTTTGAATTGCAGGTGAGTTTCAACTAAATATACCACCAAAAGTATATTTTGATGAAATTCCACTATTACCCAACACAGTAATGCAAGGCACTACATGCGTGCTCCGACAGTCCACAACCGCTCAGGAATCTTTGTTCAAAAATTTGCCCTCTTCTAGTAATGGATAAATATTTCAGATTTGTGAAATAATGTGAACTATCGTCGGTGAATATTTTGATGAAACTTTTTTTTTGTTACAAATTCCAAAACAGCTAAAATATTGAAATTTCAGAAATGTTAGAATTGATGCTTGGACTAAAAATAATTTATTTTTAATCCCGTAAAAAATATAATCACGCATTAATGAACTTTTTTTTAGCAAAACATTTCTCTGGCCACAATAATTTGGCACTGGGTATAGAATATTTTTATGATTGATAACAAATGAAAAATTTGCTAAATTCATCATTAGTTTGCAGAGCGATAATTTCATTTTTCTAAATTTTTTCTAAGTAAATTCTTAATATCAAACAACAGTAATAACTTCTATATATTTAGAATTTTGTTTTTGTTTTTACAATTTTATAACATTTACTTCGAATTCGTTTACTATTAACTGCCATATTTCATTACTGCAAGTGCTGTTCTTGTGACTGATAGTATGTATTTCCTATATGAGAATTTGATTAATTTTTCGCGCAGTATTTTTCAAAACTTTTTGTTACGTTCGCTTACACAAATTAAATGAAATTAAATTTTAGATTAAGTAAAAACACATCGTATCGTATTTTATTTTAAATAACTTTCACATTAGCGTAGTATACAAAATCACATCTTAGTAAAAGTATTTCTATTCAAAAAAAAAAAAACAATTCCTAATTTCCATTGCCATTAAATTAATTGCAACATTTTAATAATTACCATAGATACCTTCGTATAAAATATATGATCATTGTATACTACAAATGGCGTAGAACATAAAATTACGTCGTTAGTTTTGATATATTAAGATTTTTGTCTTGAGAACGACTTCATTTTAACGTGCAAAATTTTTTTTATTTCAGAGGGCAATTTCTATTGGTAGCGAAACTTATGCAAATGAGAAAAGAAATTTAATTTCCGATTTACTATTGTTTACTTTCCGCAATATTTTTTTTCCTTAATAAATTATTTTCGGGAAAAGTTCGATTTAAAAAAAAACAGTGCTGAAATGTTAATAATCAATCCAATTTACTTCAAAAAAATATCTCATATATCTGTTTAATTCTTATTTGACTTTTAAATATTCAGCTTGCAATACAAATGCAATTATGCTGGTACAGTTGTGATTTAAGCACGATTGACTATTTCAATCCATGATGATTTATTTATTCAGGTTTGCAGTTGAAAAGCAAGTGATGAAAATCTGATCTGGGCGAACTTTAACAGCACTTTTTGAATCAGAAGATTTAAATAGTGGTTAATTGTTCGCACTTTTTGCTAGAAGTAGAAAAAGACACTAGAAAAAAAAAAAAATCAGCCATACCGTTATCGATGAAATATGTATTAAGGTAAAATTACCGTAGAAACAAACGAAGATGACTTCTTCTTAGGGAGGAGCGGGTATCGGAAGAATTTGTCTTCCCTTTACTGTCGTTGTGGACAAAAGAGGTCGCACTTATTAAGAATTATTCGTCCTCTTATTATTTCACCATGAATAAATGACACTGAAAGACTTAAAATTATTTCAGCTATCAATGTTACTTGCTCTGTTCCCATGATATGTGTACCTGTCGTAAATTTCCTTGAAACTTTAGCAAATTCAGAACAAAAATTGTGCTTCTGATCAATTCAAGGACGCTTACAAAAAGTTTATTTTATTTTTTGTCCCACAGAAGAATGATTCATCATTTATGTATATCTTGGGATCCAATGAAAGAATCACTGATAATTCATCCAGACTTACCTTCTTGCAGTTTACCTCATTTAACCCGGAACTCAAACTTGAAAGAATTAAAAATTAAAAAGCGATTAAAAATCATGATAGTTTGGAAATAAAAAGGTACAACAATTAGAGTTCTTACAAAAAGCGGTTGCACTTATCGGGACAATTAAAAAAACCGAAAAATGTTTAACTTTATCCGTCCGGAATACTCGTTATAAGTGTAATCCATACAAGATTTAATCTGACTATTTCAGTCACATTGCAGCAGCAGTAAGCGCTGTTTTATTTGCTGCGGCAAACGCAGTGAGCATGTTTAGTTCATAAATGATATTATAATGATCAATAAATAAATAATTTTTACTCATTGAGCTGAATTTGTCGCTGAAAATAATGTTAAAGTCATTTGCAAACTTTTCTAATTTCTCTTTTTTTTTTTCATGAAGCAAAGTTCAAAAGAAATTTCTAGACTGTAAGAAAATCTTCATCCTTTCTTCATTTGCATGCAAATGATGCCCTGATTCACTAAAGCATACCTTATTAGCTTTTGCGCTTTTTTTCGCGTGCTTTTTTTGGGAAGTAAAAAGTGCATGGGAAGTTCTCTGGTATGAAATATTTTCCAGAAAAGTTTTGCGATTTGTCTTGCAGGCCTGTTTTTTGAATAAGTAATAGTGCCACAACAAGCCACTTTTTTAAAAGATTAAAAACGCTAATGGATCAGACTCTCCTCTGCTGAAATATTCATAATATATTTTGGTGGTAATAACGGCGCCTTTCTTTTCTTTCACCACCTTAAAATATATTTTAGTGTTCATTCCTTCACATTTTTTTTTTAATGACCTAAATAGTTCCGAGAAAGTTTGAAGGAAAACATTTGAGCTTTGTGTTTTTTTAATCCTCACGATGAAGTACTTTCACAAAAGATTACTTACCTGAAATAGTGAAAGGAAGTTGAAATTTTGCATGTCATAATATTTTACCATAAACTTTCTCCAACTTCTTAATTCACCCAAAATTAATTTGAAACTAAATTAATTTAGCCTTATTATAAAAAATAAGAATGTTGTTAACACCCAAAAATTTGAGAACGAATCATTCCAAGTCTTTTCTTCCTATTTTCATTTCCTTCTCACACTTTTCTTACCTGTCATTTCATGCTGTGCACGATAAAAAAAAAAATGTCCTTTTTTGTATGACTAATTAAATGCAGCATGAGATGCATGTCTAGAATATGTGTTTGCAAAAATAGACAATATGTATACATATGCATGCATGCGTGTTTATTTATACCCTAAAACCATTCCTAGTCAATATCGTTCGTTGTTTTCTGAATGCTTCCGAACGGAAAATGTGCATATTGCTTGTTATATGGAAGGGTTGTCAGATTGCAAATGCCAGATAGACTGACTTTATGGCATATTGATGAAGTTATCATTATCCTAACATTATTCTGTATTATGCACCTCGTCTATACATCTTAATTGATTGCTATCAACAAAAACTGAAAATACGTCCAGGAATAACAATTAAAATTTCTAATGGGTCACTTATACCGGAAGCAATCACTTAAATTTATTATTCTGAATCAAATATACCGTAAATGTTTATGCTCGAAAAAAAAAAAAAGAACTCTTTCAACAGACACATGGAAGTATTCAAGTCGTACGGTGCTTGAATAAATGAAATCAAATATGTTTCAAACACTCGAATTCGCCAATTGTTTCTTAATATATGGACATAAATCACCAATTCCACTCGGAAAGGTTTTCTAGGTAGGCTGAAAAAATTCCTATAGTTAAATTCGTATAAACAAATCAACCATACTTAACTTTTAAGAAAGGTTTACTTTTTGCTTACTTAATAATTTGTTCTTTTTTTTATTATGCGAGTCTTATTTTTCTGATTAATTTGACTGTCAGCTTTTTATTATTTGATTTTTTTTATTACCAAATTTCATATTTTGCTTAAGTGAAAAACTTCGAATTTTTGTTAGCAGCATTGCTCATTTCTCTCACATAGCTGACAAATACTGGAGAGAGAAGTGAATTAAATTATTTGAGTAAATTCGAAATGTTTTGCGTTCTATTTGCTACCAGAACCACTTATAATAAAGAGGTACCATGTGCAGCAATTTCCATCCAAGAATGGTTATGTATGCAAATGTGTGGTACATTTTCAGCATTTTCCATGGAAAACAAATGGTTCCTTTTTTGCAGTTATTCAAAAATAACAAAGCATTCATTTCATATTTTGAAAGCCACTTCACTGCAACACTGTTGTTATGCAAATCTGGCAAGAATGAAAATTAATATCTGAAATACACAGCTGTGCTTTATTATAATATTTTCATCCGTATTCTCAGCGAATAACAAAAGTAACTTGAACAAATTTCCTCTAATGTAACAAAAAATTTGAGCTTACTAAAACTGATGGAATTGCAAATAAGATAGTAAAAAAAGCAAGGATGAGTTCTGCGAAATAAGATTGAATAACTGCAAATTTTACAAAAAGTTCTAAAAAAGACTTTCAGCTAAATTCTTTTAAATTACGCATGATTTTGCATTTCTCAGTCACAATTGTTTTTTTGAAATTTAAGATCCAAAAAAAATTTTTAGCCAAAATATTATAGAAAAATTTTAAATTCATTTGTACCAATGTTTGAGTTCGAGTAAGAAAAAAAATACTTTAAGATTGAAATAATTTACTTACTTGACGTTTGATGAAATAATTGCTTTTTGTTAAACTCTATTCTCGAGATAAGCTTCCCTTCTATCTTTGAAAATTAAAATTCGTAGTGAAGTCTAAGAATTTGAAACTTTTATAACAGTGATAAAATGAGTCACAATGCATTTACTTGATTTCATTTGCCTCAGATTTCTCGAGGCATTAAAACTCTTTAGTGAATAACTCAGCAATTCATCAATGAATCAGACCTGCACTCACTTCAGGCGGCTTACTACAAAATAGAATGCACTGATTTAATGTAGTCATTATAACAGGCAAAATTTATTACCCACAATTTGAAGTATTAAGGTTTCGTTGATTAAACAAATCCTTCAGTTCCTTCTTTCTCTCTTATTGCTAATTCACCGACTTTTCAACAATTTCGAAATCTCTCTCTTCACAAATGAAAATAGAGCTGAAATTTACAAAATTAATGATCAACTACGAAAGTACGGCCTTTAGATGGGAAAGGCAACAGTCTCAGAAAAGTTCACACTGACGTAATCTTTGTTCGATATTGTTTTTGAATAGCACATGATTGATGGATTCTTGTTTCTCTCTATCCAAATGTTGCAAGAAGTTTTCCTTTTATAGACTCCTTTTCAAAAAATTCATCTTCATTTGAATGATTCATTAAATTCAAATAAAAAGATATACAGTTCGGATTTTTGAATATGGAAATTTTCAACAAAGCATGTTTGGAATCATACTACAATGTTTGCAGCATATGAATAATCTGCCTCATAGTTCAGGAAGCTCCGTAATGTCCCACTGATAACATCTTTTCCCGAATGAATCAATGCTATGCTGATCTTGATGAGAACTTCAAAAGGTATATTATTTAAATTTTAAATTAATTTTTCCTGCTGAAACACACCAACAGATGCAAACCAGTCATCAACTCTCGTTAAAAACTGAATTTTTAATCAAAAGAAAATAAAGACATGAAAATGAATAGCACTAACATTGTCCACCAAATTCCGAAAAGGATAGTTCGGATCGGTTATATATTTCGTTAGCGTATACGCGTAGAAATGATCGTTTTCCCAAGCCGCCGTCCACAAAACACCGATATTTTTTGTCTCTTTCTACCATTCGATCATAACTCTCTGCTAGCAACCGATCCATATCTACCTACTTCTTCTCCCTTTTCTCCTCTCCTTCTTTCCTTTTTTGCACTGACAAATTTGCAATGAAAATACCATGTTTATTACCTGCGATTCCGATTATCTCAAAAAAAGAGGAAATGGAATTAGGTTGTCTTAAATATACCTCACTGCTTATCATTTGATCCTTATGTTTTTCTAATTTTAAGAAATCTTGTGTGAGTTTTAGGAAAGCAGTGATTACATTCCATGATATGCTAAAATTATGGCAGAATTTCATTCAAAGTTGAAAGACGTTTAGCTGAGTGTTTGATTTATACGCTTGTTTACGTGATTATTTCTAAAACATTTTACATAGATATGTTTGAGATACAAATCCTGGTTATCTCACAAACATATAAAATGTGTAATTTCAATCTACATCTCCAGTTTTCACTTGCCTTACTGGAAACGATCGATAAATTTTTCTCCCTTTAGATTTTGCAATAAATTCCAAGAACAATTTTCAAAGAGAATTTATCCCTAAATATTTCTATATCATCAGGAATATAGTTTTACTCTACAAAAGCTCCTTTTCAAATTTATATTTTTCAATTTAATATATGAAAATGATGAGAAAAAGTGAAATAAAAGTTGGAAAGACGCAAAAAAAGTTGGTTAGTGAAGTTAATTGCGAGAATTTATTCATGCAAAAATGAAGTTAAAGTATTAAGGATTGACAAATGTCGGTTGTTCGATTGGGATGAAGAAAGAGGACGCGTGACGGTCCTCATAAAATAAATAGCAGTATTTATAATCAATTTAAAATGAATTATACAAGTTAGAAAGAATTATAATAGCGATGAATGGTGCAGAGCACACTTCTTTCTCGAATTTCCCTTCAAAAAAGGAGAGATGTTTTTTTTATGGAGGACAAAGTGCTTTAGGAATCGGAGTGCTTTTTTTGATCACGGAAGTGAAAGGAAGATGGTTGTTATCAAGTATCGAAGGACGTAATCAGCTATCTACTTCACTTCTTTTCCCCTCTCTTATTCTTTTGAATAAAACTCCACTGTAATACAATTTTGTAAATAACTTTATATTCTGTAATCATTCAATTTGTCTCTTTATAGCAAGAATCATTGCTGTTATTTATTATTATCATTGCAGTCAGAATTTAATTTCAATTGCCTGCCATTACAACTTTACTATCAGCATTCTGTTAATACATAATCATTATCTTCATTACCATAGTTATCAGTTAAATAATTACCAGCTGATAAATTCATCCTTAGACATCTAATTTCATCTCTTTTTGTAAAAAAAAGAATGAGAATGACCATTGACGAAAATATAATCTGGCGCAATTTCCACTGACATATGTCTTCCGCTCTTCACTTCATTCAACCTCATTTCAGGCATAATTACTTTTTTTTCATTCGCCCTCGATCATTATTACCTTCGAGAAGAACATATCTCCAAGGCATTCTCCTGTCATTTCTTGTGACGATAGATCGCTTTCCTATTGTCTCGAAAATTTTCAGACTTAAATCTTTAAGATTCACTTTTCACCATTTTAAATGCTATGAACTTAATTTAATACTTGGATTCAACACTTTAAAATAAAATGAAAAAATCTTTTAGAACTTTCAACTTTCGAAAAAAAGCGCAGCTCAATTCCTTAACCAAGTGTCAGATATTGATAATATGAAAGTTAACATTGAACAACAGACTTTTGAGTAATATTTGTGTCTTATCACAAATATTTCAGGTTGTCCTACATTAAAAGAGATTAATTTTGAAAGTTTTCATTTTCAGAGGGACATAAAATAAATGGTTTCAATAAAGAACCAATGGTTATTTCCCTCGTCTCATTATCAAGTTTTTTGTTACAGAAAAAGATGCTATTAACCGAAGTTGTTGGATTATTTATTTGTTTATTTGTCAAATTGTGTTCGATTGCTTTCATAAATATCAGTGTTTAACTGCATATCATTTCAAGAATTACTTTAAATAAGATCAATAGACTTTCATAGCTAAGCTTGATTCACTTATCTTTTTTGACTTATACATTCTTATTTTCGATCATGAAACTCAAAACTTCCAAGTAAAACAAATCGTAGCCAAAATAGAATACACTAAATATTAAATTCTAACGAGAAAAATTCAATGTCCATTGTTTATTGTTTCCTGTCATGTTAGTCCATTAATTTTTCTCATTAAATTTTGTTCAGTTGTTGTTAAAAGAAGAAAAAAAAATTGAGAAATTGTTAAGTGATAAATTGAGGATTTGTTGTAAATGCAATAGAGGAAATAATTATGTGATTTCAAGTTCTTCAAAAAATATTCCGGGAACCAATCGAATCATTGCTTGGTTGTTGTGTTGAAAAGTAGGCAAAGAAGATTTTAATTGTTCTAGGTTGAAAGTAGCTTTTAAGTAGCCAGCAAATTGAATTTTGAAATTGGAGTCCATAAATCTAGCACTTCAAAGGACGTGTCTATACCTCCCACATAGTTTCTCACTCCAAACCATTCCATCGGCCGATGTTGCATCATTTAGTCCAATTTACGCATCCGATTTACCTTTCCAGCAAATCCTATAATATTTATTCGAATATTTTTTGTTCTTTTTTCATCCCAAATTAACCGCTTTGTCAGTTTTAGTATCAATCCTTAATTACATTCTAAACTATTCTTAATACTCAAATATGTGCTGATGCAATTCTACCTTCTCTCTTTAAGAATAGAAAGAAAAAAAAAAATTCTTTTTGAAACATTCTTTCATAAATGCAAGTCTATTTTTAATTTGTGGAAATTTCATTTACAAATGAAATAATATTTATTTCAATGATACTGCGAAAACTTTGCCTTCGAAATCAGTGAATCGTTTTCACGTACTTTAATGAATTTTCGCATGACATCTTATGTCATCTTTATAAAACAGTACAACTTTTTAAAATATCCTAGCATTAAAAGCTATAATTCGTCAAAATGAAAGAAAAAAAATAGTGATGGTTATTGGGAAATTTTTATAAACATAGCATTAAGTTATCGAACTTGGCCTATGAAAAAATGGAAGGCATACAGAACAGATAAATTAGCATTAATAACAGACAAATTGTCCTACGGTCAATTTATTGACTAATATTTTCACGGCACTTTATGCTAATCCGACAAACTCGAAAAATTTTTTGGAATTAATTATTCCAATGTTAATATGTAGGTACTTGTCACAGATTATCACGGATATATAGATAGCTTTTTTCTGTTCTTTGAGATCATCGCATTTATCAGGTCTTTAGGCTCTTTTGTTCGGATCTTGTATTTGCCTGGAAATCTTTCCTCATAAAAGCTTTCACTTCAGATGATTTGATCTCAAGTCTCAGTTAAATCTTAATCGTATATTGAAATGTTAAAATTTTTCCTCATTTATTGAAGTTTTATAACGAATGCAATCTCAGGAGATTAATAATGATTTATTGCTATTAGCTTTGTATATTGATCAAATTGATCAAGCTTAATAGTCCGATTTATGCAACTTTCTTTAGTTTTTGAAGTTCCTATTTGCATTTTGCTGTTGAATTAAATCAATTTCTGATGTGAATTTTTCAAACAGCCACTTCTCATTTCATATTTTCCGACAAATCCAAAAAAAGCATTCAGATGAATCAGATGATTGTAGTGGACTGTAGTAAAAGCTTCTATCAACACCGTATCACGATTTTCTCACATGCGCTACGGCTAAAATTTCTGAAACACTCACCAACAGCAACCCTGAGAAAGTAGTATTTCCTCATAAGGATCCGCTAACTCTTTATTATTTACCGACATTTATTTTATTATTAACAGCTTCCATTCTCATCAATTTTGTTATCATTTTGTAAATTCCATAATATTTACTATTTTTTTATTAGCATAGCAATGGAATTATGAATGTTGAAGTTATTCTGATTTCTGCTCGTTAGATTTAAAACTGAAGAGCTTCTCCTCCAATCAAAAAAGTTGAATTTATTCATCAGAGAGAAATTATCTTTGATTATTTAAGAAAAGACTTAGCGAAAAAACAACTCTGTGAAATGAACTGTTGCAAAGGCTTGAAATGTCACATAAACTTTCATAACCTCTTTAGTTACTCCAAAACTCAATTCGTTATTAAGTCTCTTCTAGCTAAAATAAATTCTGACATTTGCATTTGAATCATGCAATAGGAATTCTTTTTTTAACTTTAAAGTTAAATAATAATTCCATATTTATAATATTTTCGTAAACAGCGAGTTATTCTGTTTCACACTACATTAAATCAAAATTTCAAATCGATTGAATTTTGAAGTTAACGATGCATCAAAAATTTAGGAATCTTCATGTAAATATTAAAAATAGATTTCAAGTCAGTAATTTTTTCACTAAGTAGTAAACATTCAAGCTTTATTGTTCCTTGCTAGCAAACTTTTCGCCCACCTAAAATTTTTTTGAGGAAATTAAAATCTCATTCTTTCCTCTTTCAATTTGCTATCCAATTTTCGGAAGGAGATTATTGAAGAGTAGTGATGTCAAAGAGATTACTCGGACATGCAAATCGATAAAAACAGTGTCGTTGATGAGATAATTGAGGATTTAGTTGTCATGCCGTATCGCTGAAGTTCTTCTACTGTCGTAGATATATTTTCAATATGTTTCACGTGACTACAAATCAAAATATTAAAATTAACTCATTTTTATTCCAAATGTTTCATTATCCATCCGTTTTTCTAATTTTTTGTATGAATCGCTAAAAAATGAAAATTATCCAATGATTAATTTCGTCCCACAAAGCCATCATTAATTTCATTCAACTGTGCACTTTGCACTTGGGCCATTGTAATTAACTCAATCGTATAAGCATGATGATGTGTTTGTCTGCTCGATGTGGTGCTCTCGGTTATATCAGTTGTGTGTATGGCTATGCTGGAATTTTAGCTTCTGTCTCAATTTAGTTTAAATAATCGAGAAGCAATGCTCATAACATACCATATATGTATATATTAGCTACAAATATTGGCAGGATCAATATTCAGTATTTTGATTAATCAAACATTCTCGATCTCTTATATCAAAAAAATCTGCAGAGTTGGTCTTGGTTCCATTGTTTTACCATAGTTTATGCCACAGATAACTTTCAAAAGCATTTGACTACTTTATACCCTGAATAGTCTTTTAGGAATGTTAAAAACAATAACCATTAGGCAAATGAAAGACAGCACAAGATGGAATGGTTTCAAATTTTCCACATGGGTCACGGTCAAACTCCACAACGATACTTGATTCTGTCAACTTAATTACAATTAATCTTGAATATTGCTGTGCAATTCAAAACTGCGATTAACGTATAACGAGTATGCTAATCTGGTGAACAGATACTGCATGCGGCTTTTCTTTTGAAGTTACATAATTCTGCCAGTGCGCCAAAATGTCGCGTAAGGAAGCAAATCCTTTTTTAATTAGAGGAATTTGAATATTGGAGCAACATTCTTTTGCATGATACAATTTCAAAACCCATATATCTCTTTCAAATTTGTTTTGAATTTTTCTGAAACTTTAAAAAACAGCATTTCCTTTAAGTTCCAATCAGAGTTCGACTATGATGCTAGGCTAACCTTTCATATTTTGGTCTTACATGCATTTGAAATGACATAATATAAAAACAATCCTTTTAATTGGTTAGTAGGCGGCTAGCAATTAAGTTCGCTAATATCAAATAAATGAATCAACAAACAATTAGAGAAAAAAGAGGACTGATTCAGAAGAAATTTATGAACCACCACGACCTCAGTCCTCATTTCACTGCATCTGATGAAATGAGTCAGCCATCAATACATCGGTACCGTGTAAATGAGGAAGAATCTGGTGGAAAAGTTGAATGATGAGAAAATAAGATAGGAGTGTGATGAAGTATCAGTCACTGATCTGTTTCAATTTGACACAGACGAAAGTGAAATACCGATATCATTGATTAAGTCATCTTAATCAAATTGAATGCTTGTCTTTGATCTTCCCGTTTTTGTTATTGTTCATTTGTAAGTATGACCTTTTCTGTAATATATTCCTAAACTAAAAAGCTGAGCTGTCGAATTTCAGCAACGCGACCTTTGTTTTATATAGACAGGTCTTTTGAATCACATACTGAATTCCGAGGGATGTATAGTTCTGGAATTTTCCTTCACTTAGATTTCTGTTAAAAGTATGCATGAGACTTACAAGTACTCAAATTCTATCAGATCTACTTTCAATATCGAGCTAGTTTGATCGTTGGTTTTTGATCGGTATTCTTCTTAATGCATGATCTGTTGCCAGTACACCAGAAAATTCTAATTTTAGGAATGACAGCAAAATGTATCTTCGATCTTCCCGGTGTATCATTTAATATTTCTGATGATAACGGATAACGGTTGTTGATTACATTTTTTGCACAATGTATTTAATATGTTTGTTCCTTTTTCAAATTAAACTGCGCAACAAAATTTTGAATTTCTTAGCACAGTTTAAGGAATAATTTGAAAGTTTTGCGTCATTTGGGTGATTTTTTATAAGGAACTTAATGATATGATTGGTCGATCATCATGATAACAGGGAAAGAATTTGATCATTAGCGATATGTACAGAGAGAGAGAGAGAGAGAGAGAGAGAGAGTGGAGAGGACGATAAAGTTGAAGAGATATATCCATTTTTTGTAGTCCTCATTCCAGTATCAGTATGACCTGAAAGCGTTTCTTCCCACTCCGTTGCAGCGGTAAGGTCACGAGTGGATTTCAGGTTCAGTAAGGGAAGGAAGAAGAAAAATGGTTCCCAACGGCCATCTGTCGTTTTGCCCTGAGTGCAAACACAGTATGAACGCCTCTTTTCACTCCTCTCCCTCCACGGCCCTCTCCATACGTTTACATTTCCTGCCACAGAGGCGGGCGGTATTTTCCCGAAGGCGTGGCGTGCATGTATTATTGGTGAACAGTCCTGGAGATGGGCAAATACGGACGCGTGGGGCACTATGCCACACTATCCTGTATCTCTCTCCTGATAAGGTGGTGTATTTACTTATAATCAAATTATCCCTTTACTACTTTCTAAATCACTCGATATTTCATTTAGTTCATTTTTGAGTGCTTAATTGGTTTCCACTTTCATCATGAAATGTCTCACTTATCAAGTCATTATATCTTTCATTTAAGGTGATGTCGGGGCAGGATAATATCCACAAGATTCAGATTCATCTTATTTCTCATTTACTAATCCCTCCTTCTTCTCAATTGTCACTTCAATTTCTCTTGCCAATTTAGAAGTTCGCCATAGAAGTCCGTACTCTTTCCCGCTCATTCCCGAAATTTTTTCTAGACAGAATGAAAACGTTCATGTATACATAGAAAATATCCCTCCTGTTATCGTGAAATTTTGCTGCGTTTTTTTTTTTTTTGAGATATAGCACGTAGAGAATATCCGATCTTCCGAAAGACGGAGAAACGAGTTGATGAATTGATAATTTAGTAAGGTTATTATTCCATGATAAACAGAAATGATATTAAAACTTTATTTTCATTTCTTTTTGTGCACTTTGTCATAAAAACTTTTATCGACTTTCAAAGGAATTGCTGAAATTTCAACGTTTACTTAATTAAATTTCATGGAATTTCTATAATTTCTGCAGAATTTGATATGCGTTTCGAATTTTTTTAAAAAAAAGAAGAAAAAAAAATTTTTTTTCCTTATGTCATGAATGTCTTGCTCCTATTTTGCATAAATCTTGAATTTTATATATTTTGTATCTCAACTAATTTGTAATATTCAATTTTTATCTTACCCAGTTCAGTTCTAGTAAGATGAACTTTAACATGAAATTTGAGTAGCTGACCATCCGTTTTGATTATTTATCAAATATAACTTTGCTGTGTTTTTAATTTGGCATTTCTCAGTAACATTGCCATAGTTGTGTCCTTTCAGCGTTTTGGCTAAGCTTATTCTTTATGCCAACTGTTTTATTCTTTCAATCTCTGATAAAGGAAAAACGAATCTTTTTACTTCATTAAGTTGAATTCTCTCTCAGTGTTAACATAAGGAATAGGAGTTGTTCTTTTTATTATAATTTTATGAGACCTCTACACTAAATTTGTAGCATGAAGAATTGAAAACCATATTTAGTTTTTTTTTTTTTTCTTTTCCTTCCATCTTATTCAAATGTGAGATGTTTTACATCTTTTTTGTTCAACAAAGAAATATGTCCAGCGAAATTATAATTAGTATTAATTAGTATATAGAGAAAACACAGTTGACCAATACATCAAAAAATTTAGGAAAAAGTTTCAAAAACTTTCAACGAAAATTTCATGTCTCTAATATCAACAACAAAAGTGCATTAAAATTTATGATGGAATTTTTCCTTCTTTAGAATTTTTTTCTTCTTTTGCTTAATTTAATTTCTCAATTTCATTTATCCAATTTAAACCTCTAAATTTTCCTGAATTAGAAAAAAGATCTTGGTGGAAGAATAGATTTATCACAGAGTTATTGCATTGGTATAGATTTTTCCATTGCGATATTCAATTCCTCAATTCCATAGATATTTACAATAAAGTTAGCTCATCAATGGCTTTAAGTAGAAATGAAGTAACAGTAAAAGCGGTCTTATAGTTCAGCTCTGAAACCATCATATGTTTCAGAGAAATACTTTTTTGTACTTTAAACTTTAGAAATTTTTTTTTCATTTTCGAATTTTTCCCAAGCGATCTACCACTGTTCGTTCAATGTTTGCCTTGGAATGTGCGAAATTTCCTTCATATCTTCCATGAGTTGACTAAATTTCAGAGTTACACACTGGAATGCAATGGGACACTGTCACTAACTATTACGCATTGGACATTCAGACTTCAGAATAGAGTAGACTTAAGAAAATTATATATAAATATAATTATAAATAGACGACTAGAAGTGCTTCAATTCACCGACACTTTGTTGGGTTCGCAACATATTTTCTTTTTGGAATATATTTGAGTAGTTCTTGCATTTTTGACTGGGTTGAACCTGAAGGTTAAAAAGCAGCAACAAAAAAAGACGCACTGCGAGTTCGTTCGCAGCACCAGAATGCTCCATTATCGCGTATCGCCAATCTATATTATGATTATGGGATACAATATTCTTCGTTTGGTAAGGTGCTTTTGAATTTAAGATTTAAATTTAATTATTCCCTTGGTTAGCTTAATAATCATTTAAATTTGCTATTTCTCAAGGATTTTCGTCGATATTACTTGACATCTTTTGTAATGCATTGAATCTAGCACGTTTTTATTGTTTACTGCTACATTCATTGTTTAACAAATTTTTTTATTTGTTGAACTGTCCATTAAGCATTTAATTGTACGTGCTAACGTTCACGTGTTACACGTTATTGTATAAGTTCTATTGCACGAAGAATTCTCTGCAAAATAACATACAGAAGGATTGCTTAAAGTATTACTTATGCCATTGCGGCATCGGAAACAAAACATTGAGCCATTGATTAGGCGAAAAGATGTAAAAGAGGGGATGTTTAATCATAATCACTGATAATATAAGTATTTTCTTGATCAGAAAGCGATTGCTTTATTCAGTTGTGTGGAAAACGACTAAAAATTTGTGTCTGTTTTTCCCAAAGATTTTTAAATCAGGAAATTTCCTAAATCTTTTCAAATCAACCAATTATTGGGTTTTTTTTTTGCAGTGTTCTTGTGCAGGATCGTTCGAAATACGATTGGTTTCGTTGACAGTTGGCTCGAAAGAGGAGTTTCGTCCTGAATTAAGGATTTGTCTGAAGCATTTTGAAAAACGCATTAGCTATAATGGCGAATGTACATTTGGTGAAGTGACACTTGATGCGGAACGGTTACGTAACGGAACAAAGATTGAATTCCAGTTTGGTTGGCCAGTATGTGCTTATTTACTTTTTTCCTTTTTAGTGCCGACTGAAAGTAAACCTTTTGCCTGAGTGGTATTGGGAAAAAGTTTTTAAGAGCGTATGAAAGAATACATCCATCATTTAGTTTTGAGATGATATTCCATCGATTACTCCAACATGAATTATGGGAAGGAAGAGGTAAATCACATAAAGTTGAAGTGGAAGGTGTCGTTTGATGATGGTGACTTTTTTTATTGTGAAAATTCAAAAAGGATATCTCATTTACTCCTGCATGAATATAATGTGCACTTACCATACTTTTAATCTGTGAGTGTCATGGAGCTCATAAGCAACAGTTTCTATATATCAAAAATTTTAAAATACTGCAAATGAGTTAATGACAGTGTAAAAAATGAGATAGTTTATGATAACCATTAGAAGATCATTAGTTGTCGAGGAAATTGACTGGAATAGATGACAGTTGTGAACTGTTTCAATACACCGGATATGCAGTAAATTTCCACCGTATTTTCGCTGCAATTTGTTTCACCGCACGAGGTACTTTCAATGAGACACCAATATAATTAGAGTTAAGAAATACTCCAATTTCTTCCTATGAGAAAGTATGGATTGTTGACATTACCGCGTGAAACAACAATATCTTCCCAACAACCATTACTGTTTCAACACGTTCGCTGTTAGGTGTTATGCATGTATTATGTTCTTTTCGTGCTTCCCTTTTTTTTATGAGATTTTCGAGGGGTGAGGGTGACAGCAAAACTGTTGCTCTTTCATGCTTCATCTATATCCTTTCAACATCACTCTATCACACTAACGTCTTCCAAGGTTCTTTCTCACGGGTTTCTAGTAAATGCATTTGTATAGTGCAAAGTTTTGGCAGAAATAGTATGACGGGCAAAAACAAAACTGAGAGGTGCAGACATTTGATGTGCTTTGCATGAATCTCATGAAGGGGAAACATTCTACATATATTGTGAGAGTGTCTAATGTATTTATATGTGTGAAAGTATGCTCAATCCTATGAACCGCAGAAGTGTTGGCCTTATTTTGTTAAATTGATTGGTCAATAAATACAAGTTTTAAGATTTATGTGGAACTATTCGGTTAAATTAGTTTATTTTCTTTTGAGCCAGAATGGATGAATGGTCGAGGAACATGTTTATTCATAATGTTGAATCTTTAATTTTAGGAATCGTTTACGTTAATAACGGAAGCATGGAGAACCACTGGAAGTACGTTTACTTTTCTGTAATTTTTTTTCAAATGTTTTTTATCAAATCTTTCTATTTATCCCTTTAGCTACTCTTTTATCTCTGCATTTTACATATAGAAAATCAGCAACAAGGTGTGAAATTATTTAGCTGTGGAAGTGAGCAGTGCAACTGTTTATTCCGGATTAATTTACTAAGTCTCTACTTTTCCACCTCTTTATCAATTACGGCATCTTTTTGATGACCTTAGCTCAGTTAGTTATATCAGCAGTGAATCTTTGCGGTTCATTACTTTTTTTTCTGTTGTCAAATCTTAATAATCTATCTCTCTCCTACGCTCCATTTTCATTTCCTTTCCCTTTACCTTATGTACTTTGTAAGAGATTAATGCGTACAGAGATAAACATATAGTTATTCATGATATTAGCTCTCAATAACACTTAGAAATTAATGTCGCACTGAGGCATCTGAATGACTTGAGTGAACAATAAAATTTGTGACGCCATTCAGACTAGAATCAGTCCTTGATATTTTGTGGACAAATTCCTGAAATTTCATCCTTCTAATTCCAGATTTGAAAAAGTTAATGTCTCATAATGGCTTTCAACGTGAAAGTATACCTTCGGGCAAAACTTGGATTGAAGAAACGCTTGTTGGTACAAATGGTTTTCGAATGAGGATCGCTTACAGGATAACATGTGCTAATGATTATTATGGACCACGATGTCTTACATTTTGTCAGCCGATGTCTAGTACTGTTGGTCATTTCCAGTGTACATCGAATGGGTCATTAGCGTGTTCACCTGGCTGGGAAGGATCAAGCTGTGACATTGGTTCGTTCCACAATTACCCTTGCGAAATTATGAATTCAATAGAACATAACATAACAAGTTCATTTATTATTCTACTAATGCAAATTACTACAAATTGCACTACTGCAAATCTGTGAAGATAAAATTGTTGGTAATTTGGAAGGAACGATTTTGAATCAAAAAACCGTTTATGTGGGTCCTGAGACAAACCATCTTGTATAATTGCTTCTCATACCATATTCTTAACTAACCAAAACAATATGGCATAAGATTGCGCTTCACATCTCAAAATGTAGTATCCTTATTTTATGTTAACAATGATTCCTTTTCGTTTTAACTTTTTTTATAATAAGCAAACTTTAGTTTCTTTTTTCAAGCTTGAGCTTCACAGTGAACTTAGTTTTATTCTAGTTTTTGGCAAACAGTACCCGAGATATTGATTGGTAAACAGTACCCAAATTAGAATCAAAAGCAAATTGCATTGAATGCTATTGCTATTATTTACTCGCTTTCGTAGGAATGTAGATCATTGTTGATATGCATAATATAATTAAACGCACTTCTTTTTGGCTCTTCTGAATATGAAGCACCTCTCAAGGGTACCTTACCCACCATTATATTCTTCGTTTACCTCTCATAATTCTTTTTGTTTATTAACTGTACTAATGCGCAAATAACGAGGATCGTATTAACATTGATGTTACTTTCTTTCATGCAAAAGTATTAGTTCTTAGAATTTTACTAAAGTTTTTCAGTGTCATGTACTAAACTAATTACCGTTTTTTTCATCTGAAATTTGAGGTACTTTTTCTGATTGGCAGATCCTCGCTGTCATTAATGCGATCGTATTTTCTTGCCTTTTTCGAAGTAATTTGCCATAGCCTATTAATAGCTAGTAATTTATCTCAAATGTTAGAAGATATTAAAATTTATTCAAATAGGTGGAATTTAGCTAAGAGAAATAGCTGTTCTTCAATAAATTCTTAGTTAGTAAATGCCATTTTAATATAGAGAAAACAAGCTAAGGTTTAAAGGTGCATGTGTTACATAATTTTGACGCAAGTAGTGTGAATAGTTAGCAATTAGTATTGCTTCGAAGGCCATCTTCCATTGTATTTGTTTCTTTCTTTCCTTTGATTTTTCATTCTAGCTTTTCTGACCATCTGCTCATCTATCAGGAAAACGAGTCATTAATATCATATAAATGAATAAAAAAGACTGGTCACTACTGCCAGGTACAGAATCGTCTGAGAGAGAGAGAGAGGCGCATAAAAAAACCTTTCTTCATATGGTTTCCGACTTGCAAACTTTTGTGTTTTTTCTTCTTCCATTCCGATTTATGAAATATTTTAGCCAACCTGAATTACAGCGTTTATTTTTCGTTACTTTTCTAACCTAGTATAATTAATACAGCAAGAATAATGCAATCTTTAACTTGGAACATCAAAAAATGCTTTTACTTCAAATCTAATAATTCCAAAAATCTATGGATTTAAGCTATACAACTTTCTTGGATCCGTTTATCTTCGAATTATTCCTTCATTCTTCAACTTTCTCAGTAAAGTTTTTTTGCCGTTTTAATAGACGAATTATGACTGAATCAAAATATATCATCAGTTTTCACTTGTTTCGCACTCGCGTGATAGCCAAATTAAGGGTTGAAAGTTTTGATTAATGAAGAGATTGGTAGTTGTTTGACTGAAAATTATTTTCAAATGCAGTAAACAATACGTTCAAGCTTCAGCACGTTGCGATAATTGCATCAATGGTGCTTGCGATCGACCTGATTCATGTCGCTGTAAAACTGGATGGACAGGACCAAATTGCGATCAAGTGTGTTTTTTAGGTTTTCGCAGAAATCTCAGAAAAAGAAGAAATAATATAATTCAAAGACACAAGTGATTTTTTCTAAATTCAAGAAATATTCAATGTTGAATGCTTATGCTTGCAGTGTGTGCGATATCCGGGTTGCAAGCACGGCACCTGCAAAACGCCCAATCAGTGTATTTGCGATGAAGGCTGGGGAGGACATTTTTGCAACGAAGGTATTTCAAGGTTTACTGTAGTTCAAATCGGAACTTATAATTTTCAAACACACCAAACATTTTAGAATTTGATTATTTTTTAGATTATTAATGATTGAATATTTAGCAAATACATTCATGAAGTGTTGGAAATAGTGTTCAATTTAAGAATTTTCTAAACATCATATACTAATATACCCATGCTCAGTACTTGCTATTAGTACTCTTTTAATAAAGTTCAAAATAACAACTGATTTTGTGGTTTTAGAGAAGAAGTATTTTATAGATTTGAATTACTGCACACGACATCATCCGTGCAGAAATAATGCGACATGTAGGAATACAGGTCACGGACAGTATACATGCGAATGTCCAGATGGATATACAGGAACGGACTGTGAAATACGTGTACAGAACTGCTCATTACAGCCATGCTTAAATGGGGCTACTTGTTCTGTATGTATACTTTTATCTATAAATTTCAGGAATCGATTGTTTGAAGAACAGCAGAAATTAATTTTGATTATGTGTTGCCTGCTTGTGAGGATTTCAATGTTATTTGTTAAATACTGTTTTGATTTTGTGCCTTAAGGATATGCCTGGGAACACCTATATTTGTACCTGTTCAAAGGGCTTTACCGGTCGCTACTGTCAAGTTGCTGCTACCTCGTGTTCAGATTCACCCTGTCAAAATGGTGCTACTTGTGCGGAAATTGGTGGAGTCTTCCTGTGTACTTGTTTGCAAGGATGGACTGGTACTACCTGCGATATCGAGATCAACCCTTGTGATAAAGTCCATTGTTTTAATGGTCAATTTATTCCTATAGTTTCTGAAATTTTTTTTCTGAAAAAAAAAATCTTAACGGGTAAATATAAAAGCCATTCCAGTGGTTAGGTTTGATACTGCTTACCATGAACGAAATGCAACAAATTGACATAAAATTGCTGTCTTTCAAAACACTGTGATACGCGATACAGTTCAGGTTGCAGGTTATGTGTAGTATTTGTCGGTTAGTATTTATAGTCACAGCAGGGTGGAGCGCTTGCTAGTGCTAGTTGGATTGCACAAAGGTTTTCCGACGTGTTCGCCTGCTGAGTGTAGGAAGAGTGTATTGTTGTAAATGTTCATGCTTTTAACATTAAAAAAGCAATTAGTAACAAAATAAGTTTGTTGCTGGACCTGTTATTTGTGGAATTTTCCTAAAATTCTAATTTAAAAAAATCGTGCTCTATGTTGTTTAGTTGATGAGAATTTAACAGAGTGCTTCATTACATGGACCTCCCATACTACTCAACCTACTGTTTTGTTTTCATTTTTGAACTGAAAAAAAATCATGCTGAGCTGCCATATTGACCAAATTAACCTTGGTTTGATGGGGATATCGTATCGAAGTATTACCTTTATTTTCCTCATCGTGCTTTCTTTCCTTTTTTAAAGTAATTTTCAACTTTTTTCTGTCATCTTTGAATTGGAATTATGGGGGACATTATAGAATTTCCTTTCTTTCAAGGCCACTTATTCAATTCATTGTTGCGCTTTTTGGTAAAGTTGATTTAGCCAACCACTCCAAAAAAATGATTTAAGTAACCGGTGTGGACATTTACTAATAATGACTAATTTTTACGTATGATACGTACTTCAGGAGGGAAATGTGTTAAAAAAAACGTTGCCGGAGACTACGACTGTCTTTGTCCACTTGGTTTCACCGGAAGACACTGTGAGGAAAACTCCAATGAGTGTGCACAGGTAAGTTTGACTACTTGATTGCTAATTTCAAAGAATTGTTTTAATACTCGTTTTTTCTTTTTACCTCGTCCTTTGTTATGTACTTCGTTTTCTTCTTTTCCTTTTTCTATTACTATTACCGCTTTAGAGGATTATTTAAAATCTAAATGAAACTAACACTCAAGGGTTTGCGAGCGTTTTATGGTTATTTTAAATTTCGCTCAAATTCGAAATGGATTTTTAAAATGGAGTATTTGTAGCTCAATCCATGTATGAATGGCGGCCGTTGCATTGATGAAGTGAATAATTACAAATGCCAATGTCCAGATGGATATAGCGGTACATTATGTCAAGATTCTGTCAGTGCTTGTTTAAATGAGCCCTGTATGAACGGTGGCCAATGTATTGACATAGAAGGTGGAGGATACTATTGTAAATGTCGCATCGGATTTAGGGGAAGCAATTGTAAAATTGCTGAAATTGGATGTCATCGCAGTTCGTGCAGGTACATTCATGTTATAAGAAAAAAGCTCTTGTATTGTCTGGATTTTTCTTTAACGCTTTTTTTATGATCAAAAGAAGATTTAAATTCAAGATATTAACTACTTGGTCACTAAATACCATTTATAAGTAAAGCGCTAAAATTCGTTTTCAATTCAGATTTATTTTATCTTACTAGTATCAGTCATTCTCGCATTTGTAGCAACGGAGGTACCTGCGTCGACTCATTTCAAGGCTTTCGTTGCCTATGTCCACCGTGTTTCTATGGCGAAAGTTGTTTACATCTTCAATCAGAATGTCAACCACTTCAACACTATAATCGTACCAGAACTTTTGTCGTAAAAATCGAAAACGAACAACAGGTTATCATTTATGTTGAAAAAGTGCAGATAGCCATAACTGTGCAGTGAAGTTACAGACTTAACAGTAGTTTTCAAAATTTTTAAACACGGTTAAATCTACATAGAAGCTGTCAATTATTCACACAGTTTCATTCGTATTATATAAGTATAACTACACTGCTTTACTCCTAAATTTTATGTCACCAATATTTCAGACTTCAAATGGAGGATTGAACTTCAGAGACATGTTACTCATATTACTTTCTTCGTGTTGTATTCTGGCACTAATGTCTATCGTTATTATTTTTTATCGACAGAAATTAGCAAAGAGAACTTCTTCACTAGATCCAACCTTCCAGAATGACCGGAATTCAAGAATACTTTCGAAATATTCCGAACAAAAGCCATGTTTGTCCATATGCACAAACTTAGATGCCGAAATCAATTATTTTGAACGAGACGTGACAAACAAAATTCAGACAGTGAGTTTGTTTTTGAAACTTCGTGCAATATTTGAGTTTCTGATTCAATCAGTTCTTGTATTTTAATAAATTATTCATATAAAAGTGGAAGGAATTTGTTGAACAAAAATTAATAAAACTATAAAATAGAATTGTAGGAGGATTACATTAATGAAAATAAAGACGTATGTAATTGCATTTTTTATCATTAGAAAGCCATAGTAAAGTCTCACTCATTGTCACTGTACGTTCAGATAAAAGAAACGACAATTTGAATAGATTTTTTCATGTTTTAAATCTTTATATTCATTTTCATTTTTCCCATTTCAACAATTTTGATTCTTACAAGGATTTGTCTAAAGAATGTTTAAATTCAGGCGTTAAATATTGTGTGGTAATGCTAATGATAAAAATAAAAAAAGAAAAGCAACATGAAAATTACACCAATTTAGTTTCCATGGAACTTTGCTTGAACAGTAGCAATAATGCAAAAATTTTTGATGTAATTTAAATTGAAAATGTTTTGTTTCTTTATTTACAGATATCTGGTAAAAAAAAGTTAGCAGCTCATCCAGGTTGTGAACATCTCGATTATAATGAACGCTATGCGATCGAACCTACTGTCAACATGATGCTACCATCATTAAAAAATGTGGGATGCTGTAATAAGGTGGTTTTTTTATTCTTCAATTTGGAGAAAACATTGAAATTTCTCCTTGTTTGCATTAAAACACAGAACTAATGAAGAAATTCGCTAAATTACTTTTTTTTTTTTTTGTATATTTTCTACTGAGCTCCATATTAGGTGGATATACGTCATTCAAAACGTTTCGAACATTCACCTTTACCAACACAGTTATGTGAAGACGGTGGTAGTTACTATGAAGAAATTGATGGTGAATTATCAATACCGGAAGTGATATCGCAACAAACAAATAACGAGTCACAATCAAATATCGTCAACCGTCGGGTAACTCCGGATAATAATTCCAGACAGGTGCAAGATATCATTCATAAGGTAACCGATATACAAACTAATTTATAAGTTCCCTTTCTCAATCTCTTGCACAAATAATATGTTCATCTTTTATCTTTCAGTTCTTGAGGCTTAAATTAGTGAGGAAAATACAGAACTGTGAGTTGCTCTAAAGACAACTGATTATTCAATAAGTAAGACTTACAATGTTGGAAAGAATTACACATTAGATAATTTCTATTAGCCAAGTAATTGCTTACTTACAATCGAATATACTATTTGTTTAAATGTTGTTTAATTTTTTTAATTATTTATATGGAGGTCAATGATGTTGTGACTTTTTATGCTGCCACATGAAATTATAGTTGTATGTTGTTATTTCATTACTATTCACGTTAGTGTTGCATATTTGATGTTACTTTGACCTAATTGCTTGTGTTCATTTTATTTGTATGGATCTCGTTCGTTTTCCAGCCAGTGTGCCTCAACTTAAATTGGTTGCGTGCAAAATTTTCAAATGGTACTTATGCGGATTTCTTTTTAAATCTTAGTTTAGTCCATAATAAAACTGGTGATGATTTCATAGTCTTTTGGAGATTAAATTTAAGTTCTGTAAAGAAGGTTTCGGACTTATAAATTTAAAGTAAATTGGTTTTCGTAGAATATCGTTTTGAAATAGATCTCTTGAAACTGTGATGGTTGTTAATTGGGTGGCTTTTACTGTGCATGTTAGCACTATTACTGTCCTTTTATTTCATTTTTTTTCCCTTTTCCTTACAGTGCCTATCATATGTTTTTTTTTTTTTTTTTTTCTTCATATAAAAATTGCTTCCTTTTTTTTATTGATTTCTTTCATTATGATTTGTTTTATTTCTGCATTGTTAAATTTTCCATTTTCTGAAACAGACCTATCTTTCATTGTAATGATCCATGTTTGTAAACTAATTCTCCGGAAATCATCTCAGAATTTTTAATTTTCCATGATTATATTTTATAGAAAAAATTCGAGAGTCTTACAGGTCCAAGACATCACACTAAAAATTTGAGAGTGTTATAGGTCCAAGAGAACACAGTAAACTATGGGGTCGGGTGGTTAAAGAAAAATTCATTCAGTTCCGTAAACTATGTGGAAGTGAATAGTATGAGCTCTTCATTTTTATATTAATTGATTTCCAAAAAACGATTTAATATTTATAAATCAACTTTTAGCCATTAATAATGTAAATAATGAATTTAATTGTGCATATATTTTTAATTTGTATTAATTTTAAGCAATCCTTTTTAAACGCCTTTTTTCACTATTGATACTTTGTGTCTTCTCAGTTACAAAATGCCTTTGAATGGAAGGGAATTGAATGCTGTAGGTTGACTATTTTAGCTATATTATTGATAAATGATATAATGATGGAATAGAGTAATTAAAGATATTGAAACTTTCGCATAATATTGCTTTGAAGTATATCAAACATAAAGTTCTTGTTGTGGCATTCAATTTTTCTTTTTGTTTCCAATACTTTTAGCTATCTTTATTGGCCACATTTCTAAGAATTGCTTTACTTGTAAATATCTTTTTCACTGTTGTCTATTGGCAGCATGTGGTTATTTTTTTTTCTTTACATTTCACTTGTTACTTTTATATAATTATTTCAAATAATACGTATTTTTTCTTCTTCTGACGCCCTAAATAATCATTGTGGAGGTTTGATGAAAAGTTTGAAGCCTCTACGGTTCGTATTTTTCCTCTACTCTTTCAGTAATGATTTGAATTCAGTTTTTAAATCACTAATAATTGTGTCGCATGAATTCCCATAGTATAAACACTCTAAGATCATTCGTTCATATGTTACACCTTTCTTTTAAATGGCTAACCTGCGGTTAACAATTTTGTGTTTAGTTAATTTTGGTAGCAGGGGATACATTGTATATCAGTAATTGCTGGAAGAAGTGTTTATGCACCGTGATAGCTTCCGTTTTTGAATTAATTATATAAGTATTTCTGGGTACTGAAATGTAATTAAGCTTCGGGCCTCACGCGCTTCATTTCCAATACAAGTTGACTGTGAAATTGCAGTAGTTTAGCGGGTTAAAAAGTTTCGTTTCAATTAATGTAATGTTGCGGTAGAGACGAGTTTGTTGCCAAGTGCAGAATAATTGTTAGTAGAACGGAAGTTTCTTTTTTGAATGCTTGATGGGATGGCTTTGACGTTGCCGTTTTGATTGTTAACAGTGAAAGAAGTCTACCATTAATGTTTAGTGTAATACATGTGAAGGAACGATTCTCACACTTTTTCAATTAAATTACATCATTTAATGGTTGATAGTAGAATTGAAAGTGATAAGGAGAAAATGTGATCTCAAGTTGGATTAAGAGTAAAAGGAGGGACGAAGTTGTTAGCTCTATGCAAATTTGCTGTGGTACTTCTTACTTAATTTGTCTTATTTAACTTATCATGAGCAAAATGATCCTTCCTATAAATTGGAAGTAATTTTCGAATTAATAAGTGCATTTTTATAAAGTCTATGACATTTTTGGGATTTACAATCAAAAATTTCTGGAGTTGAAATGTATGTGTTCGTGCGATTGCTTTAATTTTAAATAATATTTAATGGGAATTTAAAAGTTTGTTTGATATGAGGAAATTACTGGGATCATTAGATTTGTCGAGGACAATTTATTCATTTAGCAAAGAGTTGAAGTTTTATGGAAATATTAAAAAGAGGAAACGCTGTCGGTAGTTGATGGCCGAGTGGTAGTATAGTAATACTATGCCATCAGGCTATGGTTCGCTGTTTACCTCGGTCGGTGATGAATAAGTGTTACCGCCCCAGACTGAATGTTGGTGTGGAATGGTATAGTTCTGTAGACCAGAGACCGAAGGGAGAATTCTCACGGTAGCATTTTGTTGAAGCTTAGGTGATAAAGTTTATGGTGATGGTACTATCACTATCCTTAAGGAATGGTTGGGACTGCAGAAGCTATGGGCTGGAAGTAAATATCGGGAACTACTTTACTAAAATTTTCATTATTAAAAAATGATTGATGAGGAAAGAGAGTTCACTCAGCAATAACTTACAAACTACACGGATTTCACTGTAAAAATGAATTAACATCTGTATGGCAAGTAATGGTTGTTGCGCACATCTGTTCCTTATTTGCTCTCTAGTTGGATGAGGATGACCTTTCCTTAGCAAGTAATGTTCAAAGATTTAGCGACAACCAAAAAGCATTTTGCTTCCAAAGGATAAATCAATCAGATTAGCACTAATCTAATTAAAAGGGGTCAAAAAACGGACAAAGGTTTAGAACTTTTTTAATGGTGTGTTAATAGCAAGCAACACTCATGAAAATAAGCTTTGTATTGTTCATACCGCTCGCTATGTAAATATAAGTTATACCTTTGTACTGCCGTTAAATAAGCATAATATCCGGAAGAATGCATGCTTTGCTTTTAAATGCTTTTTGTGCCGGAAGAAAAGGATGCATATATGGGACTTAATTAAACATTACACGAAAGCTTAATGACCAGTTTAGTTTATTTTCATATTTCCTCATTTCATCACTTTTTACTAAGACGGAAGGAAGTCGTCGAGCTGTTGAAATAACAGGGCGGCAGCGAAAAAAACTGCTCAAACATCTGCAATCGCAAATGACTAAAATACATTAAGCATCATGAAAAAAAAAGTGTTTTCAAGATTAAAAGGCTTTTTTTGAAATTCGGGTGTGAGGATTGAAATTTTAAGTCGCAAAAAAGAAGACAGGAAACAAAAAGTGCTGAAAACAGTATCTCATTATCGAGTCCTCACAAGGACTCAATGTAATTCACACCTTCCGGTCAAAGCTAATTTTTCCATTCCCCATGATTTTTAGCAGGAATTTTTGATATATTAGGGACTGTGTTAATCAGTGAAACTGTCAGAAATGCTCATTATACTTTATAATGGATGTCCCGCTGCTTGTGGAGCGAAATTTTCATACTGGGAAATTCCTTATACCAAATGGTATAAGGAATTAATGAAGGAACACAAATCATCAGTACAGAAATCATCAATAATTTTTTTTTTTTTTTTCAAGAAATCATCAATAATTTTTTTTTTTTTTTCAAGGACAGAAATCATCAGTAATTTTTAAACTAATCAAGAAGAATTAAATTTGCATGGTATATAATATCAAATCTTCACAAAAAACAGCAGCATTAAAAAGTTCGTTCTTTTGACTCAAATAGAATTAAAAGAAAAATAGAGTGGACAACTGTTCTAATGAATGCAAAAAATCCATTTTATATATTTACGCGTGCATATTTGCATACTTTCGCATCTATTTTTCTACAGTTCATTGATAACAACTAATTAAGGGATGGTAGTAATTAAGGTAATGTAGTGGTTGAAAATAAAAGAATCGCGTCGCATTATTGATTTTGAACAGAAAAAAATATGGCTCTAAGCTGTGGATGGCATACCCCGCACCTTTAACAATACCTAAAATGAAGCCAGACATTCTACTAAACTCCAAATTAGGTTGACCTTAAGGTACTTCGGTAATGACCCTTTCCATCGGAGAGAAAACGGTTATGATCCGTGGGAGAAACAAAGAAAAGGGACCAGCTCATCTGCAGTTTATAGGAAATTATGGTAAACAAAATTATCAAACTTCTGACTGTAGCTAATTTCATAAAATTATAAGAAATCGGTTCTTCTATTAGACTGAATCAAAGCAAAATTTCAATTGCTAAAACTATGCTTAAAACTTCTTTGAATGAAATTGGTGATTGAATAGAAATTTATAAATTAAGCGCTAATTTTTTTTTTTTTTTGAATTCATCCAATGTGAACACCCAAAAGCTTAAAAACAGGTATGACAAGAATCGCTAATTTATGATTAATAATGCAGATTAAGACTAATAGCGGTTCTATGGTAAACGGGAGTGTTGTAAATGATGATCGTAAAAAGGTCGTAAACAGTGCAACTGCAGTCTTGCTTTGAATGTGCCAACCACTTGCTGATTTACATAAACATATCTTAATCCATGTAAACATAATCCTTTGCTCTGATCTTTTTAATGAGCATGGGTTATTGAGTGAAGAAATAAGAAATCTAGGGAGGTAATAGGAACATTTTGAATTATTTCCATACCATATCTCAAGGATGAGAAATTCTGTTGTATTGATTACAAAATGATAAACGGTAAGCTGCCGGATTACATATTATGCCATCGAAGTGATTGTTTGCTAATGAAAATTTCCTGAGTTATTCTGATATAATAAACTGTTTTGATGGTCCGGACATAAACAATATTAAAGTTAGATGCTATTTTGAATTAAGTATTAATTACTATCGATGTACTCACCAATATTTACGCAATGCCATCGATTCTCAACGAGTTCAATCGCCAGCTTTTATAAATCCGTTTAGTTCAATGGAAGATGGAAATAAACAATGGTATGTGCCATTTCGGACCATGAATTTAACGGAAGCAAAATATGTTGCAAAGTGAAATTACTTGTTAGGTTTTTTCTTTTTTGATTGCTGTTTTTCAACTAATTCATTTTTAGACCATACAATGTGGCATTTTTTGGGTAATTGACTTTGCTGAATTTTGCAATGATTGCATGAAGTTTGATGATGTTAATTACATTGTGTATTTTGATGATATTGTAGAGATTGTTGTTGTTGTAACTGAGACTGTTCTTTCGACTTGTTTGATTACACGAGAGGCCTTCATTTCTGATTGTTTGGTATTTGTTCTGTTTCCATCATATAATTCCCATCCAGTCACTGCATATGTTTTCCACAGTTGAATAGTCTGATCGTTGCTTTGTGATCCCTTGAGATATCTGCTGCTAAACGAACATCTTTCACCAGAAACCTATTCAAAATGTTAGTTGCAAACTGTTGAGTTTAAATTAACAATTAAAATTTGTATTTGAAGGTCGAATTGTGGCAAAATCAATTACTAATGACAGGAAAATAAAGGGAGTTGAGACAATAAAATAATTTTACACTACCAAACTCTGTCAGTTTGCTTATAGTACAACTGGAAATAAGACGAAAAACCTTTGTTTGATCATAAGGCATCTTCTTCGGTTTAATGATTAACTTATACCGGTAATATTGAAACGTTTCTTGATCAGCTACTTTGGCCCGGAAACGATATATTTGTAAGTGATTAATTAGCAACTCATCACATTTAGCAGATAGTGGATGTTACGAAATCACATCAAATAGCCTCGACATGACAAAAAATGACTCTAACATGAATAAGCTTGACAACTGTTCCATTCAATTTCCTTTATTAATAGGCTTTGGAATATTGATATCGTGATGATGCTCTAACAACCTTTCCTTCTTCGTTTGTCCCATTTCCGAATCAATTGAAGATAGCGTAGCTGATACACATTATGACATATTATGGTCATCATATTCTTTCATTAGTATCATAGCTCCTAGAACTGCTATTTTCTTATCTTTCTTTACTAACCATGTTTTTCCTAAATAATTTACCAATCATAATTGTCTGTAAGTTGGCACTTTTATCTGTAAAATCTTCTGTGCGTAACAAGTGGTATAATCATTTAGCGACTAACTGAAACGTTTTAAAACTTAAAAGTTAGAACCTTGAAATAAACATTTATACCAAAAGTGTCAATCATGCACAAGCATTCAAAGGTTTTGTGTTAGTTATAGTTTCGAATTGTTTATATTTCTCTGAGACCAGAATGTAATATTAATTGCATGGTTTGCTTTAAAAGCATAAAAGATTTATAGATAAATAATATTTTGGTTATTCTGGATAAAAAAAAAAATTTAGATTCTCGGACATGAAAAATCACGTAACAAAGTAGGCAACATTATCACGGATTTTAGCAAGAAATAAAAGCAGTAATATTGACAGCTCAACTGTGGTCACTAATTTAAAGCATCAATAATTGAAGGACAATGTCAAATCATAAATTTTGCAGCCTTTTCCGTTGGACTGTTGAATGCAGAAGGTGAATGAGATGAAAGAACCGGACGTTGAATCACAGGATTTTCGTTGTTTACCAGCTTTTTCGGAGAACTATTTGTGATAATTTGTGTAGCAGCAGTTGACTCTAAACCTTTGGAACATTATGTTAATGGCAAGAAGAGATAAACATAAAGTCGGTTTATTAAATTTTAAGAAACAATATAAATAAGAAGAAACAAGAAGATAGATCGAAAGCGTTTTCCAAAGTTCAATGATTTATTTCATACACGCATAAACCTTCCTATAAATGGCTTAGTTAGAATAATCCAGATAAAGCAATTTAAATTATTGTTCTTTCTCGAAGTTATTAAACCATTGTTTACCTAACCCAACTTCAAAAACTGCAAAAACAGCTAGAATAAAATAACGAAAGTGGAAGAGAATAAGTGAAGAAAAATTACGCCGACAATATCTTAACTTCTTTCAACCCTTTTAATAGTGTAACATTACTTACTTTGTGTCAGTAATAGTGGATTTCTTTCACTGTCCGTAGCATCTAACACTGTCTCCATAGCATTTCGATTATTTTTCTTTTCAATAGTTTTTTTTTGGAGCAATTTTAGGTTGGAATCGTTGTCGAACTGAGTAAGGTCTAAATCACCAAGCTGCTTATCTGAAAATCTCAATTTTCCAGTTTGAATCAATACTTAAGTTGGAAAAAGGAAATCATTTTGTATGAAAAAAAAAAGGATAAACAGCATAAATTCATTGCATAAGTGCTGTTATGAAATCAAAGTATGAAGAATCAAAGTGCAGTTTCTTGGTGCTAACGCTGACATTATATTTATTTTCTGATTTTTTTTTTTTTTTTTTTTGCAGCACTGAGAATTCTATTCTTCATGTCTATAAAGACGTGAAATATTAATTAAAGTGAAAACAGTTAACATTAGCAACAACATTAATCAAGGTAAGTTCAAAGTGATGCCTGTAGGTGGTGACCATATCGTGGCACTTGCTGGGAAAGAGCTGCAACGCCGTATTTGCGGCTCAATACCAAAATACGATTTCCATAACGCAAATATCAGCTCATTACCAAAAATAACACCAGAATGGAGTGTTATCATCCGTACCACAAACATCCCATCATTCTTTAAATACATATTTATGAATCGCTTCACATCTTCCTCGCTTTCTACAAATTAATAATACCGATCAAAATCAATACTAGATGAAATTATTTCTGGAAAGTGACTTCATTCCATTTGAGCATGAGAAGCTGTTATACACTGAAATGTCCAATCGACTTATGCGCATATAAAGAAATGATGATTAAGCATCGGCCTTTTAATCACTAGGTTAAATCAAAAAATACAGAATTTGTTTCTGAAAATTCGTCTTCTTGAGTAATTAAAATTTCATTTAACTTAATAATATCGAAAGAAAACATCTGCTTCTCCATGAAATTTTGAAACCTAATCTGTACTAAATGCAACCCACCATTATATTCTTATTAATTAAGCAAATATTAACTGGACTAGTACTTGGTGCTGAAACCAATAAACATTTAAAAGAAATTGAAACTAATTCTCAACTTTGCACACTCACCTTGAGCATCAAAAGGTAAATCACTCATTTCCAAATGACGAATAACAAAATTTCGATTAGGATAGGGCACTAAACATACAGCAATCCAGAATATCAGACTACCAGCAGTAAAAATTATTAAAGCCAAGTACCTGTAGTTTTGAAAAAAAAAAATAAGGATCTCATAATGTAAATATTCTGATTGTGTCAATTTTATCTATAGAATTAACAAACATATAAAGATGATAGTGATGGAAATAATTACTATACTGTAAGCAACATTCTTCTGAAAAACCGAAAGCAAATCAGCCCTTATAGTAAATTAATAAAATAAAGAATATGTAACAGTATAATTTTAACAACATACCAAAACCATAAAAATATAAAAATTTTTTCATTGAAAATATTAATAACAAGGACGCACTGTATGGTGTGCTCTTGAATATTTCCCATCACACGAACCTAAAAATAGTTATATGAAAAAGCTTTCAACTGCTGTAGATAGGATCATGAATTTCAAAAATCCTTACATCAAAATCACATAGTGATACTCGTGGAAACATTCCCGACTGCTCCCATGTTGTACCATTTAACAGATCAAGTGCTGCTCCTAAACCATACCAGTTGTAACGATCTGTTTCAAGAAACCTGAAAAATTATCACGCAATAGAAGTTTAAATTTACTCTCTCTCTAATCTTATGATGTTTTTTTATCCAAAATTTTTGTTCGACATATTTTTACCAAAATAAAGGAAATGCAAATTTGCATTTCTTTTGACTAACAGAAATAACAAGAGAATTAACTTTAATTCGTTTAAATTCTCAGTAATCACTAAGTTCACAAAGATGAAGTCATATACAAAACCAAATCTCAGTTTAGAAAATTGTTATACGGAAAACCATCTAACCAACTTGTTCATGATTAGTAGTTGAACACAAGCGTTGGATAGGTAAAGCAGTTTAGTAAGTACATATGTATAAGTGACAAATGAAGCTGTATATGGTATGTTAAACACTCTTAAATACCGGTGAGGATGAATTTGCTTCTTTCGCAGTCTTCGATGAAACCTTAAAGCCCCCTAAACATGTGAAATCTTAAGCATCATAGCCATGAAAAGTTTTATTTGTTCTGTTACATCACTACAAAATGATTAATTTTAACAAAGGTTATCAATTAAGAAAAAAATCTGTTTAAAACTTTGAGAGACTATTAAAGCACTTACATGTAAGTGCAGAGTAAGTGATTTAATATTGGCTTTCTTTATTTCTGGTTTGATGTTATTCGGATCAGAAGATAACTTTACAATTTCATGTAATTTAATACCTTAAATAAGTAAGAATTGCAGTATAAGTCAAAACCATAGAGTAGTGCTTTCGTTAAACTAATAATTATTACTTCGTAGTTAAAATTTCGTAGGAAACTTTAACGCTGAAAACTTTCAACTGTTGAAAACCTCATACATACTTCATATCAAAAAAATGCTTGTCAATTATCCTAAGTTAATACTCCTATCTATATTCCCTTTAGTTCAAAATATGATAGGCTCCAGCGTTAAAAAATCATTGTTGATAGTTTTATTTGTGATACCAAATAATTCGTTTCTCCAATATCCAGATATGTTTATAATTAACAAGAACATACCAGAATGTCCAGCCATATATTTCCACACTAGACTAGGCAATCGAAAGCAGGCTGCTTCAACTAATAGGAAAAATGGCACCCACTGGTAGTAGGATATACGCCGTTGTTTTTTCTCCGTGGTTGGTACACCGGCAACTACTTCACGTATTGGTATATAATACGTATTTTGGGCCCAACAATAGTTCTCTGCATACTACAAAAAATCATTGTTTTATTTCAATTGAAAATTAAACCTACCCAAATTTCAGATTTCGTAATTCATCAATTAATTCGATAAGTCGGACATGAATCACGACAATGTAAGTATCATTTAATGGTAGAAAACAGAAGAGGTGACAAAGTTCTTTTCTGAATTCTCTGGATAGAGAAGAAGTTCCATAACTTCAATGTCTTCCATGAGAATAAGTTTACAGACTATTTAACAAAAAGGATAGCAACTACTCGCGTATAAAAACAAATCTCTTTGGAGTATTTGTAAAATTTAGTAATGTTGCTAAGAACTGCATAGAATATAAATAATGATGTTACATATTGGGAATCATCATTTTCTAAAAATTAGAGGAGAAGGTCACAAAGAGAAGGACGCAGCAAGACGCACTGTAATAAGCTGTAATATGAATGTGTATATATATGTATAACGATATGTATAATAAAATCTAAATGAAACTTCGTTGGCTTTCCGTTATATCGTTAAAGAAGCTGCAAAATTTTATTAAAAGTAAAATGATAATATAAGAATGTTGAATACTAAAGAAATTTCTAGTTTTAAATAATTATCTGCAGCGTACATATGAGACTGGAATATTAAATTTAGATTTTCCAAGTAGCACATCAAAATTATACAGCTTACCGGTTCACTACACTAGATCAACATTTCATCGAAATAATGCAAGCCTCATGCTATAAGGACAAAGAAGATATTAAAAATACTTCCATGATGGAAAAGATGTGTTGAACATGGCAATATACTGCAAGCGTTAAAAAAGAGATCATGTTATCGTGTGCATAACTAGCTAAATGAGAATAATGCAAAATTCGTATCTGAGAAAAACTAAATTGGGCAAAATTATGAAATCCAATAAGCGAAAATTTAATTATTGCAGATAAAAAAGAAAGAGGAGTGAACATAAAAAGATTTTAAATTGTAAGGGTTTCGTATCTTTTCTCTATTCTGAAAAATTTGCAAATCGGAACAATACTTACCTGTTCCCATGATCCACTAAAGATATCAGGTACCAAACATTCCACCGGTTTTCCACTAAACTGCTGAAATAAGTCGAACCTGACAAAAAGTAATGTGAAGAGAAAAGCTGAACTCCAGCACAGACATTAAGTTCAAGAACTAATATCTGAAGATTTGAAAAGCCTAACAATAAACATTTTCTAAATTCTTCTGCCACAATATAACACTCTTAAAGTCTATTATGTAACATAAATAAAAACATTATAGTTAGAAAAAAAACTTTGATAATAATAAAACGTAAAATTACATTGGAATGAAAAAACTTCCCATCATATGCAACAATATATGGATTAATATTTCAGAAGGAAGAGAAGTAAATAGGATAGTAAGCAGTACAAAAAAAGTTTTCTTTTTTAGTACCTAATGAATAAATTTTGTCGCATTTAAATTGAATCTTATTTAAAAAGTACAATGATAATTAAATTGTTAGTTCAATTATAGTACAAAAAAAAAAAGATTTACTTTGAAGCTAACGAGGATAGAGAATGCGATAAGAATGTTTGTAGTGAAATAGCTATGTAATCGATCGACAAAATCCCAATCATCTATGTCGCCAATATAGCGAATCATCGATAGTACAGCTGTTAATACCATCTTTCTTGGCTTTCTTCGTTGGTCGAAAGTAACAATCAAAAACAAGTCGACATTCTACAGCGTATGACGATATTTTATGTAAACCAATATCTGTTGCATATCTAAAATTGATACAATGGTTTGGTATTGCTTTTTGGTACAACGATGGTTGAATAAAATGAGATAGAACTAAAAAGGCCAAATTGCAAGTAAATTGCGCAAATTTTGGGGAAAAACCAAGCAAAGCCAACAAATATTGAGATATTATTATATTAAGAAAAGAGGAGCATATATTCATATGACTGAAATACCACTTGTTTAGAAATTAATTAAACCTAATCAGTTCCTCTAAATCCAAAACATCTAACCAAACCAATCAAAATTAATTATAACAAAATTAAAATAAGTCGCTAACGACCAACAACAATGACAACAAATTTCAAGCATACGTCGGACTTTTGGATGACTGGGTTGAGTGTGGTGTTTGAGAAAGTGATGTGTGTTGGCCCATTTTGAACAACTACTACTTGCTAGACTAGAACCTCAGTTTCATCCTTCCTAGATTTAAATCTTACAAATACTCAGAAGTTGTCATATTTAGCAAGACTATTTCTAAATCACTCATATCAAATATTTTAGCAGAAACATAAAGGGGAAGATTTCAACTTATTGTTTTACCTTGGGATAAACTAATATTTGCTTTAATGCAGAAACAACTGACACAATAATACATATAATCAGTGATGATAACTATAGACACAGGCAATCCAGTCTGTGAAGTGTAATTTCATTCTAATTTTCAGGAATGGTCAACAAAAATAATTTTTCTAATAATTTTACTACTAAATACTTTTCATCCCATAGTTACGATGAAAGTATGCTTCCGAAAGACACAACGTAATCCATTAACACTTTTTTCAAAACACATTCAAAACAGTAATTTAGTTGAAATTATGTTTCTCCTAAACAATATCGTACCCTACAGTGCTAATACTTTCATTCCACCCTATTTGAGATCGAAGAAATGTTTAACTGTACGACGACTCAGTGCATGACTGATAGATACACTGCTGATACAATGTGTCATTCTCTACGGGATTACTAAAGTATTGGTTCAAGTAACTAGATCAGAAATCCGAATCTAAAAATATTAAACAGGTGCAAGTATTACTGAGCAAGCTTGATTACAGGAAGGTTTGTAGGTGATAGAGTGCGCCTGAATAGTTCCTAAGCGAAATAACAGCTGAAAGCAAAGAAGATCCATTTCGAACACAGCAAAGTGAATCATTCCACTTTTTATGATGGCACGAAAAGTGTACTCAATGTCAATTCGATGGAACGCAGCAGACAACAGCTTTAAAGCTCTGAATTAATAAAAAATTAAAATCATGTAGGAAATACTTTTATTTTTAATTCAATAGAATTTACACGAAGTTTAAATCCAAAAACAGCACACTAGAATAATGAAACTATTGTTCACTTCTCATCGTGCGAAAAGTTCAGTTTCATTTAAAATCCAATTTGTCCGAATTTGCCCTTTTTATTTTCTGCACTTCTAGTAACTCATTACACCATCCAGAATCCAAAGGTTGTTCAAAGGAAAGCAGCAGTTAGCTTTTGCTGTTATGATAAGATCTCTGAGCTATGTTCGAATCAGTAAGATCTTTTACTGCATTCATTTGGAAATATTTGAAAATATATCATATTACGACAGGTAATTTCATTAGTATTGTGTTTGACCTATCAGTGCTTATACATAATAGATATATAGTGAAGAATAAAAATTACTCATCAATGTATCATCGATTATTTATTCTTTATATAAGTCGACAAATAATATCGATAAAAGTCAGTTGTCATAATAATGATTACGATAGCGTACTTTACGGAACTTCTCTTTTTAGTTTTTTCGCAAATTTTTGTAATGCTGGTAGAATGATTTTTTCCTCCACAATATTTATACCTTCAGTTTGTGGCAAATATAAATAAATGCAGTAGATGCACTGTAAAACATAACTGCATTGTCATCAAAGAAATACCCATCATATTTAAATTCGTGCTCACAGTCGAAACAAGTAACTGACTGGCCTCTCTAAATATTATGCAACTTTTTGACGAATTCAGTTTTTTAAATATGCTTGGGATGGATTATTAAGCCATACTACCTTAATGATCCAATAGAAAGGAACAAATTCCATTATCCGTTCGGCGTAAAAATCACTGAATGTGAATGCCTTATCCGTCAGTTTCTTTTCCATAACCGAAAATGGAAACAGTGTTTTTTCCTTCAATAACTTATCATTCTTTTTTAAAATAAAATAAGGATAGAATACTGGAGATATGCAACTTCTATAATTCGATCAGATCGATACAAATTGTTACATGATTCATATATATAAAAGGACTACGATCCTAAATGTAGAAATATACCTGAATGCTAACTATTGCTGGATAAGTAAAACAGATGATATTGCACAGGAGACCAGCTTCACTGCCAATAATCATATAAATAGCCAAAAAAGCTAACAAGCCATAAACAAACTGAATGTGATTAATTAATAAATACAGTTATGCGTAAAATCTAACGAAAATGACAAGTTTCTATTATTTCTATTGCAAAAGTGACTGGCTTCTATTATTATCTCCTATCCTATGATGTGGGAAGATGATACATTTTTAAAATTTCGAGTTTAAAAAATCGCACTAAATTTTGAAATTTGAAGCAAAAAACCTAAAATTCCAATATATTTCCAAAATGTACTGAAACCAAGGCAAATTTTCAGCAATTATACATGTTCTCTTTTGACACCACTTTTTTCCTCTGCATTTTTCACTTGAACGTCAAAATCCGGTGGCAAATTATACAATACTTTGAGCAGTTCCGGATGAATATCATTCATCGAATTTATTGCTGGATTTCTTTCTCGATTTTCCCTAAAAGTAATAGGCTATGGTCTGAGAAGTTCAGGACAAATGTACGAGCCAAACAGCATAACAGTCATGAGAAGACCTTGCTTACATTACACATAATCCAAAAAGAAGACAATATTTAGAATAAGGAATGCATTTTATAGCCTTAGAACTCAGTATATGCAGATTTTAGTACTGGTTTTCAGGTTATAATAAAAGACTCAAATTTTGTAAGAGAACTTTTTTTCCTAAGGCAAATGGCACAGTTGGAAGAGTTGAAGATCTGAAAATATCATAGGTTAATTAGAATTCACAGAAGAACAGAACAGTGACAAATAAAAAGAAATGTTCACGGGATGAAAGTGAAGATGGTATTGCCAAAAATAAAATGAGATCCAAGTGAAGTCACCATTGATCAATTATAGCTTCGTTGGTTCGCCCATATCTTCACTAAGTTTGCCTTCATGACTGCTAGATGAATGCAATAGTCTCAGAGACCGTCAAAAATTTAAAATCTTCCTTCTATTTTTTAAATAAAAGCCTTAGAGAACAAGAAATAAGAGAAATCTCATAATTTGCATTCATTTTCGGGAGGGATTGTTCCACTCGTTCTGGTAGCATGCAAGATTTCGAAGTGAGCCAAGAAAAGCAGCCGAACTGTATTATGCTTTTCCAAGCGCTAATGTCCACAGATGCACATAGTAATCAAACTGTAATTTTTTTTGCAGTACTAACAAACATGCGATGCTATGTGTTGTTAATATCAACATCAGCTATCACCAGATCTTCAAAAGCTATAAAATACTTCCTAACAGCGAGAGATACGACAGGGAGAAGAAGGGATGGCATGTAGTGTTAAGCTAGAAGTGTTGCCTGTCGCGAATATCGATGATACCTCCTCTCTGGCGGGTAACAGAAGGGTGAGAGTTGTTTTGCCAAGTTCGACATTGTTATTTCTAACTCCGAGTAATGGCATGGTCAGTTTTTTAGTAGAGATGGAAGAAGAAGGACAGGACGCTTACCGTATGACTACTCGTGGCATCACAAGGCACTACGTGGATTCACCAGTTTCGGGACACGTGGACAGTACCCATAGCTCAATGAGTTTGTCACACATCTCCTCGTACGTTATTTTTATGATTTTTCTTTGCTGTGTTATGTCATTTTATAATTTAAAGGTATTGTTACATGCATCGTGTCATCATTATTAAAAAGCACTGTTTTCTAAGTTTTCATACAGTGGTTTTGTTCCATGATTGGCCTATGTCAAGGAGAATGCGCCCAGCATTATAAGGAATTAATCTGACTTTAAAATGCCAAACTAACAGTTAGCTTAGTATCTTGATTAAAGATTTATTTGTGTTGTCTACTTCTTCCTTTAATATGAATAAAAACATGACAATGTTCTTTTTCATTATATTTAATGTTTCATGATGACTTGTATCCTACTTCAGTTAAAGATGTATTACTTGATGAAGTCTCTTTACCGACTCCGTGTTTTAGGGAAGATGAGCAACAGCATTCCGAATTTCATCTGGAATCATCAACAGACTCCCTGTTTCGAACACCATCGCTGACCACACGTGGTCGAAAACGTCGGTCATATGAGGAAGGTGTCGCTGTATCGATTGAATCACCAACCATTGTTAAGATTTTTTTTTTTTATGTCTTGTATTTCGTATTACTAAAGTTGTTTTCATAGAATGCTTATGTCTGGACAATTACGAGTCCTTATCCGTTCAGAGCAGAAGAGGACGTCCTCGAGGCAGTACGCGACCTCGAGGTGTTGGTCGTCGGGCGAGCGGGACATATTCTCAGGAAGATGCTGATGAAAGCAGTTTGTTCAGTATGGTTAAAAGTGGCAAAAATTTGCATGTAATAAATGTTTTTCATTAACGGTAGAATATCCAAAAAGAGGTTTTTTGCTACCTAATATAGAAAGCTTTTGGATGTACGAGTAATAAAATAATGTAATTTTCGTCATAACTAAGGTTTTAACTCACCAGTAACAAAAAATGTCTTTGATATGGTTATGTAAACAAATTTCAGACTGTAATTGATAATTGGATCGAGGAGTATGAAAGGCATCCGGACAATGCTCTTGTACAATTACAACAGTTTTTCATCTCGTGCTGTGGATGCAAGGGAATTATTTCGTCCGTTATGCTACAAACTATGGAGTATAGGTGATTTTGGCATATTTTCTTTTTATGATTTAAATGAATAATAAATTTGGATGAATTACAATCATTTCTTAGTTTGTATTTGGTATGCATCATAATTTATATCTTTTAATAAGAACGTAACATAAACATTGATGTACGTCATCACTTTTCTAAACTATTCGTATTTCTTTAATTTTGAAATTTTAGTTTTAAAAAATTTTTGAAGTGGGATGAGATAAGAGTGAAGTTTGTGGAAAGAAAAATTGTCCAGTTTTTAATTGCAGTGAAATAATTCGTCAAATGACCGATCAGTTTGATGAAGATACTGGTGACTATCCTTTAGTGATGCCAGGGCCTTTGTGGAAAAGATTCAAACAAACGCTTGCTGATTTTATTTTAGTAACTTTTTCTCTTAATCGTCCTTGAAGCGAAAAGAAAACAACTTTTATTTAAAACTTTCTTGGTTTTGGAGATCTAGAAAAAGTAATTCTGTTCAGCTGTTTATAGATTTAAGTGATGATCAGCGCATTTCGAAATAAATTCATAAGTTTGCATTGGAATAGTTTTTTTTTTTTTTTTTCAGAAAGTAAAGTTAAACTTATTTAACGAGAAAATAATTTCTCATTAAGGAGATGAAACACTGTCCGGAAATTTGTTAATTTGAATTTATAGCTTTTGGTCAATAAATGCAAATCAAGTTATGTGTTCGACCAACGTCTGATGGATAGTGTTATCCAACTACTTACTGGTCTGGCTGACAGTCAAGTGCGAGCATTTCGACATACATCTACATTCATAGGTTTACATCAGATTAGTTTCTTTGAAGAAATATCGAATTTAAGCTTTTGCCTTAGAAAATGCTTTGTTTCTGACTAAAGGAAATAAAACATCGCTTGCAGATTTGTTAATGCTTTTTTCTTATCATAACTTGGACATATCTGAATGGTCGTAGTCGTACTTTTCGAAATTTTAAGCGATTTGGTAATAATGAATTAACTGGGTATATGTTTCAGCCATGAAATTATCATCTGCACTTGTAGATGTTGCTTTGGAGTTGGTGGATCTGAAAGCAAAGAATATAAGACAGGTGCATTGCTTTATAATCAGTTTTCAAATCTTTTTTACTTTTACTTTTTTTATTAATTTTATTTTACAGGTTGAAACCGAAAAGGCAAAATTAAAAGCTGAAGGACCGAATAGCCGTCTTGATGTATTAATCAATAAAAAGGCTGAGGTTGGTTTTTTATTAATTTTCAAAACCTTTCTTGGATGTATAGTGCTTTTACTCAGTTCTAGATTCTATCTGTTTTGAATACTTCAAAAGTAATTTTTGAGCTATTCTATTCATTCATTTAGCGTAGCGTTTATCTCGTTATATTGCTGTCTCTTATTATCGATAGTGTGAGAATCAATTTTTCCTTTTTTTAGATTGATGATAAAACTGAAGATATCAGACAAATGCTAACCTACATTTTCAAAAGTGTCTTTGTGCATCGCTATCGGTACTTGGAATTTGCTTCTTGAGTTTTATTAAATTTTGACTCATAATTCTTTTGATAATATTTTTTTTTTTTTAAAAAAAGGCCTTGAAAACTTTTTGCTTACGAGAGTAATTTGGGTTTTAAAAGATGATTTTTGTATTTGCTAAAATTTTGGAATTTTTCTACAAATTAGCGAGCATGTTTTAGTGATGTTGTACCTGATATCCGAAGTATCTGCATAAATGAACTTGGCCAGTGGATGTCGGTCTACCCAGACCATTTTCTTGAAGATTCATATCTCAAATATATTGGCTGGTCTTTATATGATAAGGTAAGAATACCAAAATGATGTATTATGAAACATCATTGCTACCTGTTGTGACCTTCCTCTTCAGATGAGCGATGTACGTTTAAAATGCATTTTGGCACTTCTTCCACTGTATAGCCAACCGCATATGGCGCAGAAGTTGGAACTATTTACAAATAAGTTCAAAGATCGTCTTGTTACCATGGTCATGGATAAGGATAGTGATGTTGCAGTACGTGCATGTCAGCTACTGACAGAAATTTATCGTATCTATCCTGCGGCTTTAACATTAAAAGACTGTGTACCCATTTATGAGATGGTGTACTGCAATCATCGTGGTCTTGCTCAGGCTGCTGGGGAGTTTCTAAATACAAAAGTAAGTTTAAAAATTTCTGTATCCTTTCTTTTTTTGTAGCTTTCATAAATTAAAAATTAAAGACCAAATTTTTTGTTCAATAGTTTAGGATCATAAGATTTTACTTAGTGCAGTGCACTCTATTTATGTTTGTCTAACAAGTAATATGTCTTGGTAACTTCCAGGTATTTCAAAATTTGCAAGTGCTTGCACCAGAAAAAAATCGTGCCAGCGACAGCGCAAAGCAGTTGATTATTGATCTGGTCCAGTTCTTTGTGGAAGGCGATGTTAGCATGTTAATGCTTACAATTTGTTTTTTTTTTTAGTTTGTTAAATGTCTAGAATTTATTCTTACTTGCATTGTAGTGCCATGACCATGCAGCCTATCTTGTTGATGCTCTTATTGACACTAATCCAATGATCAAAGACTGGAAAACAATGTCAGACTTGTTATTATCTGGTGAAGGTTGGTAGCATTTCTTTTTTCGACCATAAAAAAGTGATATATTTAAAAAAGGGGAAAAAAGGAGAGTTGAAATATAAATGTTGATAAAGTGAGAAACTTATGATTAGCGTTTTATGCTGCGTCTCCTAACTTCTGAGCCAAGTTCATATATTTTTGGAAAATAAAGACTATAATTTTTTGCTGTAGTATTACATCACTTTAGCTGAAGGTTTCGAAAGTGAACTAATTGAAGTATTGGTTTGTTCTGTAAAACAAGCTGCTTCTGGTGAAAGTCCAATTGGACGAGCGCATTTGTCGAGGAAAGGATTGGTTGTTAATAAAGATGTTCGCTTGTTGCAAGAGGATAGAGCTCGACTTTCAGAAGTGCTTATTCCTCAATTGCCACAACTTCTTCAGCGTGTAAGTGTTTACAACATTAATCGATATATTTGTAGGCGTCTTCTCTTAATTTACTGCGGCTCATGGCTGTGTCTGAATCTGCAATAACATGTTTTGTAAAATATCGGTATTAGTTATTTGATTCTTCCTGCATTATCAGGCATCTTTTTCAGTTTATAGCTGATCGAGACAAAGTGGCAAATCTAATCACTGTACCACTCCATTTTCAACTTGATATGTACATGGCTAGTAGACTGGAAAAAGTAAACACTACGTTTTATTATTTTTTTAAAATTTTTCATGGTGCAGAATTCTTTTGTTTGAGAAGCAAACCTGCTACATCATTTTCTTGTTTTCCTTTTAGCATTTGGATGAGTTAATGAGTATTTTGGAAAGCATCGTTGAAAAACATGCAGATGATGAAATTCTTCAGTGCGTTGCAGAAATAATGTCTTACTTCACAACCAATGTTGCTGTAAGTCTTTTTATGCAAACACTTTTTGGCTCAGCTTTGGCATAACTTTCGACATGGGTTGAATTGAGACAGTATCTGAATATTTTATTATCGCCGCTGCAATTGTCTTGGTCTTTGGTACACTACAATTACGAACCACAGCGTGTTGATTTCTGTCCGTTTTTATCATATTTTGAAATTTGAAGTTATTTTTAGTTAGAAGTGTTTTTCATCCTTCTATATTCTTTTAACATTGGATTTCATTAGAGTTAGTTTGAGCTGGAATAACAATCTACTAAATTTTATCGGTGTTGCAGGTAGCACAGCATACAGAAACACACCATTTAAAAATGCTGGATGGTTTGGCTTTACAGTTGCGACATTCTATACAGCATTTTCATAGAGAGCAAACAGTGGATGAAGAAGACGATGCAGCTATGCTTGCAGCTTTTCGTAAAATTACGGCTTTTGCAATGCATGTTTTCTATATTTGATCTTTGCAAACTTTTACTTGTGCTAAGAGGAGAGGAGACGAAAGAATTTTTTTTTTTAGGTTTGAAGATTTGAAAAAGTGGCAGTTGTGGGATGTCGCACTTAGTGTGCTGACAAATGCAGACGATAAACAAGTATCACGGGATGTTGGCGAGAAAGCCGTTATTCTGCTGTTTGCCACTTTAAGCTGGGATATAAATCGTTTGGTTACTGAACAGGAACCAAATAAAGCGGTTAATTGTTGTTTCAGATTATTTTTATTCTTCAACATGTGGTTTTGTTCCAGGTATGATTGAGAATATAACTAAAGTATGGTACTAAAGAAGCATTACGTGCAATCTAGCTTGTTTGTATCTAAAAAGTAACTAGCTGAGGAAGGTTGTTTTCGATGTTTAAAACATTTTATTTTCAGGAAGCAATAAAGAAATTGCGGAAGCATAGGGATCAGTTCACTGCATTGGTTACATCAATAATGATGAGTGGTGCATCGGGTGTTGAAAATGTCAGTGATTTTATTTCTTTTGTTTATGTATTCAATTAATAACGGTGTTATCGGTTTGACCACTCACAAATTGAAGGCATTCTTGTGTTTTGTGGATGCTTTAATGATGTTCAATGGACTACCTGATAAAAGTTTGTCAATCGAATTGAATAGAGATATTACGCGAGCACTTTCAATGTTTGTAGAAGATAACGTTTTTGTGGAGGAGAATGATGCAGGTAAAACATTTGGTCATTCTTAGCAATCACTTATATAGTTTTAAAGGAACAAATTTAACTTTCGCTTAAGCGTTTGTATTGAAAAATTGAAGATATAGGGATAAAACATGGTTGTAAAATCTGTTAATGTGTATCCTTGAAGTGTCCACTATGATTTAAAATAGAATCATTTTGATTCTTTTTGGTTTATATTTGTTGATGACAATAGTGATTTAGAACGATCTCTGGATCAACAGACGCAAGTGGAGCTAATGCATAAGCGGCGCAAAATATTAGTTCAATTTTGTAAGCTGATATTGCATGGTATCCTTCCAATTTATGAAGCCTGCATAGTATTACAATTCTATACAAAGGTATTTGATTATTGGTGCTTTTTATCTTAACTGTTTATTTTGATTTCAAGCTCATATTCGCACATTCTTATGTATAATTACAGTTTTATACCGACTTTGGTGATATTTTAAAAACTTTACTTACAAAATGTCGTGATATGGACCGTTTGAGTTGTGCAAGAGCAGTAGCAACGGCGCTTTGTCATTATTATGAGGAAATCAAGGTATGACGCTCTAAATTTGGATGGTTTTACTTGGTTTCTTCATTTCACTGTTTGCATTTTTAAATCATTATTTATGAAGATTTTTTGTGAAATATTCCTTTTTTTTTAACTTTCAGGTAATGATTATGTCTTATTCTAACCTTTCCGTTTTAGCGTGCTTCCGAAGGGAATTGTATCGACCCAAATTCAGATGATTTTGCTTCCATTCGTGATCTGGCAAAGCGTTTTTCCAATCTGTTTGGTTCCGATCCAGTTAAAAGTCGTGAAGCTTTAGCTATTATTCATAAGTAAGATATCTAGACGATATTTAACTGTTACGTCTGCTAGCAATACCAAATCGTTAATTAAGTCCAAAAAGTTTAGCGACTGAATTTTCAGGGATGGTATCGTGTTTGCTCTAAGAAACGATGAAAGCATAAATCGAGATATGCCGCATACAAATCTAAGCTTTCTCGAAATTTTGTGCGAATTCAGCAGCAGATTACTCCGACAGGACAAAATTTCTGTGTAAATCTTTGTAGTACAAGAAAAAAAAAAAAAAGTGCTGAAGAAATGGATTCAAGAACTAAATAGCATTTGAAATGTTGCGATATGTATTCCAGTACACTGGGGAGTGTTTTGATCTATAACCATCAGTGATGGTAGATGAGTCAATAGAGTCGTTCTTAGATTAATTAAAGGAACAAGCTTTTGTTTCTGAGTTTCTATCTTAACTTTTGTCTGTTTTCAGTCTTCGATATTTGGAAAGACATGGTGAAATGTATGCTAAAGAAGAACCATATATAATTTATAAAGCCTCTTTACAAGTAAAATTTTAATATTCTGCATTCTTTATATTTTATCATAATGTCTAAAGGCATGGAGATATAGTCAGAAATTGTTCCTATTGGTTCCTAAATTTGATAGTGTGTATATTAAAATATTCAGCTGTATAATGACAGAGTAAGCGAGCAACTTGTAAAATAAAACTCATGTGTTCATTTTGCTTTACCACAGAATTAATAGTAGCATCATCTTGACTTTGTATATAGATAAAAATTTACCAAGAAAAGTTGGATAATGTTTTGCCAAAAAAAATTAGCTTTTAGGAGCGTAGTGACGATGTTTCGACTGTTCGTAATTTAGCTCTAAGGGGGCGGAGTCGAGGTCGTGGACGAGGGAAGGGTACGCCAACGTATACACCAGCAGCATCTGTGTATGGAGGCGATGACTAATTTCGAAATCAAAGAAATTAACGAAAAGGCCATTTGCTTTTTTTTAGTGAGTTTTTTAAATTGATGTCACGGTACATTTTTGTATGGAGAAAAATATGACTCTGTTTACTTCTGTCAATAGTTTTGTTCGTTTTAAGTGAGCTCCAAAAGTGGAAGTGATGTTCATGTTTAATTCAGACATGAGCAGTCCTAACTGTTATCTAAATCTTAGTAAACATATGCATTCATAAGTTATCAATTCCATTATCTACCCAGTAATTCACTTATCTATTCTCTCAAGCAGTGTAGCAGTTTTTTTAGCAAAAAAAAAAAAATCCAAATCTAACTCCTCATGGTCTATGTAAATCGCTATTTTGCATAAAGCTATTGCAAATATTATTATTGTGAAAATCGTGTTTCCAGTGCAAAAGAAAATATCTTGTTTCCTCTTTGTTTTTATTTTTATTTAAATGTCAGCAATCAGTACACTTAGTTTAGATGTATATTTTGTTAAGTTTGATTCACTTAATTGGGTTCTTATGAAAGTAATTGTCGGTTTTATCTATGTTATTTAAAAAATGTCAGCAAACTTTTGCCCTAGTTGGAATGAATGATGATTAATGATGCGTTTATATTATCTGTTGATTGTACGGTAGAATGTGTTACTTGAGAATTATTGTCTAACACATATTATTTTGATGTCATCAGGCGATGTTATGTGACTCCTCATCATTTGCCTCTAAGAATTGTACTTTCATGTGTGTTTTACTGTACCTGAAGATTTGAAATCTCGAATATTGGAAAAAGGGACTTTCAATTCCATTAAAAATAGATTTTAAAGCCATTTATATTTTTATAGCTTTTTGCAATTCCGGTTTTTATGAAGCAGAATTCCGTATTATTAATAGAGATAATCTATGATATGGTATTGCTTTATTTCATTATTCCACTATAGTTTGTCTTGAAAGTTTTAGCTTTTTGTGACAGAATATACTTTCCGTGTATGTTTAAATTTATATGTTAATGGGGATAGGGTGCGTACAGTATTATGTAGCATGCCATATCAGAGAATAATAAGCGATAGGTGGTTACAAGACGGCATACATTCTTGCACTTCTAGATGGTTTGTATGTCCATTTATTTACATCATGTCATGTATCTCCAGTCTTTCTGTCATTTACTGCATGTTGCAAATGCCTTAGCGATATGAGAAATGGATGTCAGACTAGGAGGACCCCATCATTTGTCCTTGCTACGCTAATTTTCTGATTATTTGCCAAGATGATTTGTTTGGTTTCTACAATGGAACGTTGATCACTGCAAATGCACTGTAGATATGCTGTAATAGCATTAAGATAACATGTGGTGACTGGTTTATCAAAGTATCTCTGCTCGAAATTTGCTGTAATATGCTTTGCTTGTGTCTTAATTAGCTATTTAACAAATACTGGTGGAAGAGCAAAATTTTCGGGACTGCGAAACGAATTGAAAAGCGGAGAAGGTGCAAATAATGTGAGGTAATAATATGATGACGTCGATACTGTTACTGCACTGATAAGGGACAGAGGAACACTACCGCATCTGTCATGTGCGAACGGACTCTTGCGGTAAATCTGTGTCCGGATGGCTCCATGCCAGTGTTTGTCTGGCCCTCAGTCGTTGCAGATTATTCTTCCTGCCAGCATGCCTCTGAAATTTGTCTCAAATCTGACCAACAGAAAGATAACTTCTCGATGTCTTTCAAATTATTGTTGGTAGAATGGATAATTCAATTTTGGTCACAAATTTTATGTACTTTGGCTAAATTGTTCTGCCAATTTCTTTTATACCTGATGGAAAAAAGGTGGTGAAGGATTGATTTGATGGGTCATAAATGTTCGTAATCTTTTTCTTTATTTAAGTATATCTGAGTGCATTAAAGTCATACTTTTTCTAGCCATCAATACTTTCTTAGAAGGGAGTGGATAGGAAGGCTTTCTGTTTACTTAAAGTAGTTTTTCGATTTCGTAATTTTAAAACATACAGTTTCAGTGCTAGAGAAAATATAACGAAGAGTATATGGAAATCTCATTTGATATTGCTATTCAGGGAAATGTCCCAAAATATGCGGCTGGGATGGAACAGACATCCATTCTTCAGTATTTTTTCTTTTTCATTTCAACTTCCCATTCTTATTAACTGTTGCTTGCTGCAGACTGATGTACTAATTATTACTCTTCCAAGGATGCTGTTGTTTTCTTCCATTATTATGGTTGCCACTTATGTACTGATTCTACGTCTATAGTTTAAAATAAGAAAATTTTTAAAGTTTGAAAATTTCAGAAAATTATGGATTTATTGATTTTTGAACGTAAGCGTGGAACTGTAAGGAATTGTAAAAGACCTGTATCTGTTCCGATTGGTAAATATTACGGGACATTGAAAGGTGAACAAGTTATAGTGTCAGATTTGAAATCAGCAGATGATTTAAATGCATTTGGATGTTATGGTGAATTTTTGCAACGACGTGAGCCACGTGTATCAATGGAATGTTTTGAAAGTAATGCTCATCAACAACACCAGCAAGAAAGGTGCATTTAAAAACCTTACCTCACTGATTGTTTTAGTCACAATAATCTCAGTTAGCAGTACGTTATCAGATTTACTTTTAACGAAACCTTGATTATTTGTTGATGTGAAGCATACTGCTACTAAAAGACAAGAGAAATTTGTAACCTTAAATTTCTAGTTTTTTTTTAGTTTCCTTGTACCATGAAAACTTCTCAAAACTTTAACTCCTGATATTTGAGAAAATCGTGATTTTCTCGTTAATTTAAGGCATCTGTAAATAATTTTTCTACTTGTTCCAACTTTTTTGTTGATTATTTTTATAATGCTACAACCAATTATTTCGATTCCTGTCTCCGTTTCTTTATACTTAAAATTTTTGTTCTTCTAGTTGAAATATCTTTCAGTTTTGTTTTGAATTGTGCTTTCTAGTGTCTTAAATTGATGCTGGCTATTTTATTACTATTTTCATTACTATTTTATTTCGACATGGACAGACGAAAATTTTTACTCATGCTTCCTTACTTGGTGAAGTCAAATTGGCTGATAGCATACGCAGCACTGAGATAAATTAGACGATCATCAAGTAGTTTCAAATTTGAATAAAATTTCTTCTCTAATATGTCAGATTTTCTTGTTTTTAATCTTACTGCTCAAATTATGTTCCATTTTCCATAAAGCCACTTCTTTCAAACATTGTCGGACTTATTTATCATACTTATTTAATTGAACATTTTCGCTCTTTAACAGTAGGAATGTGTCGACTACTCTATCCATGAAGCAGTTTTTCTTCTTTCTGATGTCTTAAATGATATTCCATGCCATTCATTTCCGTGATTATATTACGTAATCCGAGATAATGTGAGAAATAATTGGTATTGCTGAAATTATTACAACAGTTAAACGATTAAGTTGACTTACTACATTGGAATTTATATTTGGAGTACTTTTTCAACCAGTAGATGATATAAGACTGATGGAAAGATACTTCTGCAACTTTCTAATCACTTTCATCCTATACATCTTATCTATTTTATTTAATATAAAGATAACAGACAATTAGTGTACACAACAGTTGAAAAAAAAAATCTATCACTGATTTTCTTTGTTTTGAAAATCTCTTCTAAGGTCGTGGTTACAATAACTGATAACATAGTCTTTGCATTAATCATTAAATATCAATTTGTTTTCTACTCGTTATTAACACTCTTCCAAAGTCGTTTTATTTTGTATTATTAACAGTTTCTCTTTAAAATGTTAACAGTTTCTCTTTAAAATGTTCTTAAATTTTAAAGGCTCGTCAAATCGAGAAATAGCAGATAGGACGCATCGACCCAGGCAAATAGTCTTTTTAGACAATTGTCACAACCATTATTTTGTTAAAGTAATTTTTTTTTTTTATTTTGTTAAAACACAATCATTATTTGTAAAACATATTTTTCTTGTGGCTTACTGTTTTCCTGTTACCTTTTTCTTTTCCATTTAGTTTTGTCCCATTATGCCAATATCAAGCCAATTAACTGCTTTTAAATGGAAAATTGCTTCCCAGTCCATGCATATTTAGTCCCATTTCAATCATGCTATCTATTCATAGCTGTGAAATTATGCCATAATAGCTGCCATCCTAACTTTTGTTTTGTGTTTTTCTTTTTTGTATTTTTTAATTTTCAGTGCATTAATATAACCGTCATCAATTAGATTCCAGGCTTTTTCTTTTCTTTCTCTCTCTCTCTCTCTCTCTCTCTCCCTGTCTCTTCCTTTCTATGAATTCATTAATAATGAAAAGATGAAATTAGATACGAACATATATTTTATATTATGCTTTTGTAGTTGATTTGGTCTTCGGTCGATGAAGAACTTAATTGATAGGAATGATTTTATTGCAATTTCTTACCACGGATGCAATTTAATGTAGAAAGGAAAGTAGATTTTCATGAGAGATTCGAATCCACAACTTTTTTAAATACAAATTACTGTGTTTATACGATATTCAATATGTGTAAATTTGATAATAAGCTAAGTTTACAGGAGCGGAGTAGGTACTGTAATGTAGAGGATCGAGTATGGACTATCTAGTATCCATTTATCAACTTCTTGTCTTATCATAAGCGTCGCTTATCACTTATCAACCTTTTCGTCTGATATAATCGTCAGCACAATTACATTTGTCTGCTTACTTCTTCCCATTTCTTTCTTGCTTTTTTTCCTATGCGTATTTACTGAGTCGATGCTTTTCGAAAATGAAAAGCTTGAGACACTGTATTGAAGTATTAATTTTTTTTGTTTACTTTCGGTAATTTAGATAATTCTTGTTTACTTTCTGCTTTGATGGTGATCTCTAACCGAAGTAGAATGACTGTTGTGATACTTGGTAGCCGTTTATCAGAAATCAAAACTTGTTTGACAAGAAATGACTTCTAATTGTTATTTAGCATTCATATTGTTGAATTGTTAATACCATTATCCGGATATCATCTAAAATTTATTGAGTTTTGCCAATGAAAGTGTAGCAAGTCGTGGTAATGTCAATCATCTGTTTTTATGATACGTTAGATCCATGATCGGTCATTTTCTGAAATCAGTATTCATGTTTTCTGAACTTTGACACAAAATGGAAATGGTAAGTGTGCTTTCAGTTCGTTTTTGCGTAGACTAAAAAAAAATCGTTAAATCATATAAAAGTATTTTTAATAGATAGTAACCAAAACGACACCTTCTTGATTTGAGCATGGCTTTTGGTAAAACAGAGTTGCCAATACCATTGTCCAACAATTGAAAGAATAGTTATCCAATATTTGGTCTTTCAATTTTTTACAGAGTTATCTTCTATTCATTCCTTCTGTTAATGCAGATGTAGAAACAGCAATGCTGCACTCGCTACATCTCGGGAATATGTAGATGTTCTCTTCTCTACTATGATTATTAATCTTAAAAAAAAAAAAAAAGAAAATGATTGTTCCATGTAATTATCATGAAAGGATTTGGCGCAACTGCCTTTTGCAATGTTTAGTTTGTTCTAAGTGCTTTTTCTTTGATTGTTCCTAATTTTTTTTTAAAACCCACTTTGGTCTGACATTTAAGGCCTTTTTAAGCACTTCCCTATTTTGACTGGAATGATTCGTACAGAATCTTTCCCACCTTCCTTATTTTTCCTCTATTTTCTTCCTACAGTTGATGATGCTAATGTTAACAACAGTCTCTCCATATTATTTGAAATACGTTACTGTATAAAGCGACTTTTTATAAAGTTTTCGTGATTGGAAAAATTTTTTTACTAATTTGTTTGTTGCTCAGAAAATACGTTAGGGTATTTTAGATCAGCTAAAATTTGGAAAAGATTATGGCCAACTGATAACTCTCTTCGTTTGAGTATGGAGGAAGCAATGTATCTCAGTGCGGAAATCGGAGTCTTGCAAATATCTGCTGATAACGGACAAGGATGTATGCCGGATGAAGTATGGAAGACATTCTTTGGTTGTTATGGAATTCGCTTTGTGAGACGCTATGCAACTTACCGGTATTTTAGACATCAGGGTTGGGTCGTGCGATCTGGCATTCATTGTGGGGTGGATTTCATGCTCTATCGTGATGGACCCGAATATTATCATAGCAGCGCGGCGGTTCGAATTGTTTCTAAAGGAAGTAAACGTGATGCATCAGCCTTTATCGCACTTAACAGGGAGTTGAATAGTATAAAGAAGACATTGATAGAAGTATTAGTGGTTGTTCCTGAAGACTGTAATATTGAGAGCATCGATTCCATCCGCTGTATTTCTGTTATACACTCCAGTGCCCTCACATGGAAGACGTCTGATGATCGATGATTTTTTTCTTCTCGAAAAATTAACTCCAAATTTTCCAAATATCACACTTATGAATAAATAAATGAACCATTTGAAAGTTATGAAAAAAGTATCATAATAAAATACATTTACTAATTTCTTAATATTTTCTTGGATAGTATGCTTGATGACTGCTGGATGATTTAAAGATATCCTCATCCAGTGTTTAGAGGCTGTCTTAACTCTTTTAAAACTAGCCATCAAAAATAACCGAATCTATATCAAAAATTCTTTCTTTTTAGTAGTTGTCGCTTAAGTTCTTGCAATGAAGATTAATTTAATTTCATTTGTGAGACTTAACAGTGTTCCTCAGACGATGATTACTTCTAATTTTTCAACTACTATTTTTGTACCGTTATTTCTATCAATGTTGCCATCTGTTTTAGTGTATATTAAATGAAAAGGTAGCAGAAGTGTGTGTGTGTGTGTGTCATGGTGTTAAAGCCATTTTGCATCTTGCTTGCTTCTTGTCTTTTAAGTCAACCTTGCTTTGATGAATATGACTATGTACTATACCATATTCATTCATTTGTGTTATTTTAAAAAGTATTGTGATTTTCTGTTGTATAATTTTCGTTGATCATAAAATCATTTGCTAATTTTTCTCGTTGATTTTCGTTTGGCACTACAATTTCCTGAATTCGCTTTTTAATTTCAATTGTTATCCAATCTAATTATATCTTCAGTTTCTTCAGATTTAAGCTTCATTTGTTATATTATCTTTGGGGGTAGGGTTTAGACTGTTATTTTATTTTATTTTTTTTTTTAAGAAATAATTTTAATATTCGAGCCATATATGTAGTTGTTTGGGTAGATTAAATAAAAATTCGAGAAAACAGTTCCCTTTTCAGTGCAATGAATGTGCAAGTTTACGCCTGACATGATCGGAAAAGAAGAGGCGTTGGCTTTGGATATTCTATTTTTCATTTAGCATTGTTAAATTTCTGTCTAGTTTTGAAAGTAGACGAAGAGTTATTTATCCCGTTCAGTGACCGGAAAAGAGAAATCATCATTGGGCCGCGTTAAATTGGTCATAGTTTTTTATACCTGGGCATTGTTCGTGTACATACAGCATTTTCGTTTGTAACATTTCTCTGGGGTGTTGTCAAGGTGGATGGAACGGAAGACGGAAGGATTGAGTTTTTTCTGTTAAGTGGGAATTTCTTATTCTCCGAGCGGAGCTGTCATACTCTTGAGCTCTTTTGTATTCAGTGATATGCCAAAAATGCATCTATCGCCATTTAATATGCAGTACAATTTGCTGTCATAAACTTGTTTTGAATTAAGAAGGTTCTATCGTAGATGATTTAAAGATTTATGTTGTGTGATAAAATTAAATTCTGTAGTAACGGAATATGCTTTAAATAATTCTAGTGTTTTTGATAATTTTATTCTGTATTTCCTCATTCTTTCCCACTTTACCATCTTTCCTGTTCAAAATCTATTACGTCTCCAAGCGTCCCTCCAATTTCTTCTGCAAATTAAGAAATATTAGTTGATTTTTTTTACAGATTAAGGAAGGATAATTTTACAAAATGCCTTTGATTGATATGGCAGAAGCTGTAAGCCGTGGAGACATTATTGTCGACGAAGTAGATGCCTTGAATGCTGTAAATTCTGGGAAATTGAGTGAAATTGAAACTGCTCGGTTTAGTCCATTGGTTATTGAGCATTCACGACGACGAAGTAGCGGAAATGGCTCTACAATTAATCATGCAGGTTGCTTTTTTTGAACCCATGAAGTAAATTTTTATTTGCTATTTTGTTATTTCCATCACTTTACCACATATGTTTATGCGAAGCAGCTGGAAATCAATATTTATAGTTCGTTCAAGAGAACTGTAAATATTAAACATTGATTTTAGCTCTAAGCTTTCTAGAATAACTAAAGAAGCGTTAAGGCAAATGTTGCAGATATTCATCACTTGCATTTCGTATGCAGTGTTATTTGTTTACTGCTAACAGTTATGTTAATAAGTTTCAATTATCTTTTTCAGATCCATTACCATATTTAGATGGTACTGAGCCAGGAGATACAAATGGGGCTGCAGGAAGTGATGATGAACATACATGGAACAATGTATTGGTGGATGAAGTTGATTTCGTTCATGCTGTTGAACGGGGTCGTATTAATGGGAATGATTTACATATTATGGGCTGCCGAAGCAGTGGTTAGTTTAGAAAAAGAAGTTATCGCAGCATGATGGTTTTGTCAAGATTGATAATTTAGAATTTCATATTTTATTCCAAAATTCGTCTGAATTTTCATACCAATAATTCCAGTACAGTACGGATGACTGATATTCGAGCAAACTGCATTCAGGATACTCTTTCTTTACACTAAGTTCATTTGAAAAGTGAATTGAGTTTAGAACCGTAAATTATATTTTATTTTGATATTGTCAGATGATACATGGATCCCTCAGCGTGTGGTAGATGATGTGGAAGAATTTGGTGATATTTCACATGATGAAAATGGTTGGAATAGAGTTTTGGTTGATGAAGTTGACATTCTTCATGCTGTCGAACAAGGATCCAGGATTGTTAACCGTAGTGAATGTCGTCTCAGTTATATACATCAGGGTATGTTTTAGATTTATCAATTGAGAGTGAAGATGCTTTTTTAGGCTTTTAACTATACTTGGGCTTCGGACATAGATTTAAATTGCGGAGTCTGCCTGACTAGATTTCTAAAGTCTTCTTTATAAAATTTCGGAAATATAGATATGACGCTATCACTTATCTGAGTCATTCGCACATTACGTTTGTTAGTTTAATTTGTCTTTGAAATATTATTTAATTAGTTGTTGATAGGTGTTTATTTAATTTTTAACAGAAAATGGAACTGAGAGATCTGAAAGGAACAGTAATATAATTCAAAGAGAGGAATCAACAACAGTGAATGGGGAATCATCATTTGAAATTGATAGGACGATTGGTATTGGCCGTCCAGATAGAGGCAAACAGTAATTTTATCAAGTGCCTTATTTGATAACTTTTTCTCTTATTAGGTTTGTTGTTCGCTTATTCTGTTGTTATTCTTATTTTTTTGTGGACATCAGCCATGTTTAAGAATTTTCATAATGTCTGACTTGTTCAAGCTTTGTTAGTTTTTGTTTTAAGTATGATATCATATGATGAGGCTAACATTCTACTTTACTCATTTAAAGCACAACATGTATTTGTCCGATCGCTGCTGTTTCATTTCACTCATGAAGTTTATCAATGTTTTATAAGCAACCTTTTCTTTCACATCTTATTCGTCTACCTGTTGTTGTTGGAATGTTATGTTAATAGCTGCTAGATAATATTTGGTTGGTGGAGAGTTCTTCTTTCGCGCTAATTACCTTTAACTGTGTGGTAATTTCCGGTAATGAATACTAGCTAGTTGAGTTGAAAATAAAGGTGGAGAAATAGCGTGAGCTGATCATTAGGGGAGTGACTGATTATTGGATGTTGTGTTCGAAATCATGTTGACATACATGATTCATTGCTGTGGAAACTTCATGTAACTGTGGGTATTGTTTTCACTTCTCATGCATCTTTTATACATCACCATATATTGTTTCTAATTTTACAAATTACGCAAATGAAATAGTAATTAAATCAGTGGGCACAAAATGCTAGACAGCTTAAGGATGAAGCAACATCCATTTTGTCTGTATAAATGATTAGTTTTTTAGCATTATTGTAAGTTGGCACAGCTCAAAATATCTGTTTGTTTATTCGTTATCTAATGTGGTATTTGTTTTTGTAACCATCAGAAAATGTCTTTCACCTGAACTGCTGCGTAATTCAGGTTGGTTGCCTGAAATCTTCTCAACTTTCATAATTTGCTATCTTTCACTCGTTTTATAATTGTTACTGTTTTCGATAATTTTTCTCTAGATCAAATTTTTAAGTAGACATCATAGCAGAAAAATGCCTTCTCTGCATTGGCATATACCACAGTATTTCTATAACTTACTGAAAGGAATTTTCTAACAAGCTTTATTTAGAAAGATTATAAGACTTGTTGTACTTATTTGCTTTGAAAAAAATTGACTGAAGCGAATTTCTGTTTTTGACAGACATTGAAACACTCCTTTCAATGTTGAATGGAGTTCTTCCTATTTTTTATTAGATTATTGTCGTGAAGTTTTCATATTGATAGTTTATCAATGATATTAAAGTGGCTGCGCATGTTATGGTATTACGCGATATGCTTATTTATATTCCATGTTGGAATTTTGCATAATTTTGCCTAGATGAGTATTCATTATCCTTATTCTTTATCTTTATTTTGCTTACAGCAAAGTTTTGGTCGTGGCGCGAATTCGTTTATTCTTCAGTCTGTTCTGTTTTATAAAAACAGTCATTTGATCATATATGTGTTGAGAGCATCTGCTGTGCTATGAACCAGTCAGTAAATTTTTCTTGGACCGTATTAGCATTTGTTATGGCAGTCTATGATCTTCTTCATTGTTTATTATTGCATAGTCATTTTATATCTTTTGAATCATGGTGATTAATTTTAAGGAACACCAATTAATGGAAAACGACCATACTCCAAATAATCAGTAGTGGTGTTTTGGCTATCTCCAGATTCTTAATTTTAAAGTTATTTGACCTGATAGGAATTTCCAAAATAAATTGAATTTGATTAAAATGTAGCACATATTTGGATTCAGAGAACTAATTTTGTTGCTCCCTAAATTAAGAGATTGAAATCTGAAAATAAATTATTATTCGCATTTTCTTAATTTGTTATTAAGGAAAAATGAATATTTGAAAATATCCCATTTCCTAACGAAAGTAAAGATTAGTGACATGTAGAGGTTGTGTTAGCAGGATCTCTTTAAACATTGGCAATACTGTACAAGAGGCTCTTGGTTCGAAATGTGCTTGGGTTGGTTTGATTCAGCGGTTGCAATTGTCTAACAAAATTGTGATATCAGTTGCAATTGATATCACAATTTGCATTTTGCTGATTAAATAAGGATATCAATAGATGATGATGCATCGGACATTTTCTCGTCATCGGTTAGGATCTCGTCATGGAAACTTATTTTTGCTTCTTCAGTATCGCCCGTTGAATCTTTAAGGACTTCTGTAAGCGTTTCTTTCTAATATTTGAATTAGAATGGTATATTACCGTTTGTTTATGTTTTAATCAATTGTGGAGGAGAAGTCTGATTAATCATTTAAATCTTAGAAGGATTTACGAAACGAAAAACTTTGCTTTATTCGCCGTTAGTCGAAATTAAAAAGCTCTGCTACATTATGCAGCAATTACTTACCTTTATTAATAGATGCTATGTGACTGTCATCCTTGCTAACTCGTCCAATTTTAAGTGCATCAATGAAATCTACTTCATCCACTAATACTTTATCCCATCTCGTTGTTTCAAGTGTGTTTTGTGCTGATTCCAATTTTCCGCATGGGTCCGAAAGTTCTATTTTTGAAGTTTGGGTTTAGTTTTCTCAGGTATTTGAATTTGAAAATTTTCTAGTTTGTTTCGCACACCGAGAAATATTCTTGAAGGCCAAGAAATGAAAATCCGTAAGTTGTCTTATTGCAGGCTGCCATTCTATCGATTTCAGTTGAAGAATGGTATGACTTGAGAATTGAGTTTTATTTTACTGTGTTAATGTTCAGCAGAGATACTTGTTGATTTTTAGTTATTTGTAATATTTAATTGATAACTTAGCTAGCAGGCAGATTAAAATTGGTCGACAGTCCGACAAGCAGATCTCCTTCAAAAAGCTATCAAGAAATGCAATTCTTATATTCTAATGTATAATGATGAAATGATGCTGTACTAATTAAATAACAAGCACAAAAAGAAATAATAAATGACATTATAGAGGATTAACATTAAGTAAATCTTGAAACTGAGTACTTCAGCAAGTTAGTTTAGAATAAAAAGTTGCGAGTTCATACTTTTGTGTGACTTAGAATACTCCTCCAAAATGGCACTAAATCGAGCACCATCACTTGCGCTAAGTCGCCCTTTCTCGACTGCTTCAATAACATCAATCTCATCTACCAATATGTCACCCCGAACCACCGCTTCTGCTAAGTCTGCCATCGATATCTAAGTTGGTTTAATAAATATCCATAGCATACCAAAAACGAAAGCAATATATTTTGAAATGATTTGCAATACAAAACTGACCCACCGATTCTGACAAATTTAGAGCAAGAAATGAGAGATAAATGCTTTTCTTCTTTTTTTATGAAAATCTGACAATAAATAAAGCGAGCTTCTTGAGTTGGAAGGTATATTTATTTATACACCTTCTACAAATGGTTTAAGTTTTTTGAGATTATTTTGAGATTGATTGAATTAGAAAAGTGCATGGAGTTCAATTTCCATCATATATTCACGAATTACAGTGTCAAGTATTTTATAACTTATTGAAGTTTTCAGTTACCCCAGCTGTGGGATACTCAAACATTGATTTTTTAAAACTCAGTGGTCACAGTTTAGATTGGTGAAATTAAGAATTCTCTTATTTTCACTTTTTTCTTGCTGTTAAATCATCATCAAGAAGTTAATTTATAAATATAAATGCAGTAGAATTTATTTCACACAGATTTTACTTTTTGTATAAATATTTCGAAGTGATTAAGTTTTGATTCGAATTTATAATTCAATTTAACTCATTCTTGCTGGAATTGTTGCAACATATTTTTTTCTTTAATTATCTATTTGAAACCTAGACTAGATATTGCAAAAATCTGGTTGATAATACCTATTTCTTGCGGTTTTTCCAATTACATTTTCGTTCTTTTTACTGATATTGTAATTTTATTACTGCTTGAAGTGGCACTTGTAAATCTGACTGAACAGATTTCCCAAACAGATTTTTAAAATTTATGCCGAATTATTTCTTTACAAATGTAAGAAAATACAAAAATTTTACTTACTTTAGGGATTTCCTTTACAAGCGAATCATGTCGTTTTCTGAATGAAATCCGATGTTAACCCTTACTTGTAAAACATTTTCCTGATACAACGTCATCAGTTGCTTGCATTTTCTCATATCCATGGTAACGAAATAAATAATCAGCAAAATGTTACACGTCCATTGTTCTTAGCTTTGTTTTGTTTTTTTCTTTTCAGAAAAATGTTATGAATTCGTTTGCAACATTTATAGTATTGTAGCATATGATTGTGGTTGCTTTCAAGATATATATAATTTCTCTTTATGAATAACAAAGCAGGTCCTCGAATAGACTCCACGACACCCACATCATTCTACTGCAGCCCTAAAAGTAAGTTACAAAATAAGTTTCATATTTGTGCTTTTTTAAAAGTCATTAGCTGAAAGCTGCTTACGAGTTCTGCAGTTGAAATTTCATGGCATAGAACTCAGTATATGTACTCTTATAATATAATATTAACTTGAGAAGCACACGCAAAGAGTTCATCCGTAAATAACCTTCTCGACGCTCTTCATTTTTGAAAAAAAGTTTCGAAAAATTCCAGTAACTTTGATCTAATAAATTGAAGTATTAACATTTTAGGAACTTAGGTGATTTTTATGGCTTCTATTATGTAAAATGAAGTACTAAATTAAGAATATACATTCCTCAGGTTATCATTATATACCATTCGCCCAAAGGAGATTTCAGTTGCAGTCAGCGAAATTTAAAAGACAAACTGGCAATAAGGTGATTTTATAAGATACTTCTAAAATTTTTTCCTGATTGTATTCCCAACATTTTTATTCCTCAAAATGAAGCTAAAATTAAGTGTAAGAAAATTTGAATCATTAAATACGAATTGGTCTATCAAATAAAAAATGCAATTGTAAAAGTTGGAGAACTTTAGGGCAAATTTTTAAATTGATGTGATGAAACAGCTTAATCCCTACTCAATAAGTGAACATCAAGAGTTGTGAGCCGTCCTTATTTGTTTACAAGGCAGGACGCAAGCAGTAAGGATTCACCAGTATTGTCAGCAAGTTCCAAAGCAGCATTTGCAAACACAAATCAATCAAATCGACCAGTAAATTTACAATTCAGAAATAATCAATCACAACTACCCAATCAACAGCTAAGTAAGGCAAGCATTTTAACATTGTATCAGCGAACTTGATTGTGTTTCTTTTCTATTTTGAAAATTTTGATGAAAAAATACCCATAAGAATCTTCCAGGAAATGAGAAAAGTAAGTATGATTATCAACGTGACTATAATATCTTCATTTTCACTCTCATAGTATCATTGGAGTAGGGCCGTTCCTATTTAAAAGAAGTTAAAATTCATCTTTTCATTATATTTTATCAAGAAATCAAAAAAATTTAAAGTTTCACTACTCTAGTCGCACCTTTGAAAGTCTAGTTTTATAAACAATTTACATATAAAGAACTGATGATTTAGTTTGTTAGACAACAAGTAATGATAAAGCATAGCTGTAGATTGAATTTATATAACAACACTACTTACAGAAATTAATTAATTTACCTGAGTCAAAGATCCGACCTCAAACATTAAAATTGGTTTATAACAATGACGGCAAAAAAATGCAAGAAATATTGGATCAGTTCAAAAGTGAAATCCTTGATGATATCATCCAGTGTGGTGTTTACACGGATAGGTATAACTATTATTCTCTTATTAATGAATCTATTTCTATTAATAATAAATAAAAATGTTGATGACAATGGCTAGCACTAGATTTGCCTAATCCTATAACAAAAAAGATGCCTGAGTTATGACCTATTTCAGTGTTATCCAGGATTGTATTTCAAGGAACGTAATGGAAAATTCAACTCTTCCAATGGTTTATTTGACATTACTCTTCTTAGAAATTATATCTTCCAATTTTAGTACTATAAAATTGGCATAATATTTTCTTGGATATCCATTACGATAAAAAGGGATATTAATAGCTTCAAAGATTGTGTTACATAAACTCTTGGCTCCACCTATATTTGAATAGATCAATTAATTGATAAGTGAAAACTTGCAGGCGAATTTACTGGAAGCAGTTACTGGATTACTCAGAGATATTGGTATATTCAGCATCGAAATGAATGAGATGACTTGGATGGCGAGTTCAGAAGTTGTTATAAATGATTAAATTCTTCATGAATAACTGCGATGATAAGATCGTCTGATTTTCCGACTGTCATTAATTTCTGTCTATTTTATATAAATTAATTGCCTGTACGAATTGGAAGTAGTTACACCAGCTTCTGAATGAATTTTCTAATTTATAAGAAATCATTAAATAATAATGTTCACTACATTTCAGCCTACAGGTGATGGACTGCTTGATTATGAGGACGAAGAGTTTGAGAGTGATGAAGGTGAATCTTTATCTATGATTCGATCTGTAGAAAGTGATTCAGATAAATTGACAAGAGAAGATAAGTCTCTAATATCGAATTTCGGATCAGTATCGGTCAGGACCACTGATTCATTGATTATATCAAGCATTTCTTCCATAACTGATACATCTCATTAAACGCACATGCAATGCAAGGGAATTTATCTGCTCTCCGATAATATTCTTTATCAAACTGTATGCTGAATTTGCTGAATTCACAGTTTCTAATTCTAATTCAGTAACACTTATTTTTGTTATGCATACAGCACATGTGATAACTCATGAGCTTTTTGTGAATTGAGAAATGCATATTGTTGAGTAATTATCATAAGGTGAATAAATATTCGTTAATCACCTGAAATTGAAATTTCCAACAAAGAAGCTTCAAAGAAAGAAAATTAACTGAATCTAATGGTAATCTCTATCTTGTTCGATCAAACATAGACAATTTCCTTTTTTATCTATTATTATCAGATTCATTGGATGATGCTAAACCTGTAAATGATAAGTTATCAATCAGTACACATCACATTGACATAAATCAAATACGCACAATAATGGCGGTCTTTTATTCGCGAGGTAGAATATATATTTTTTCATTGAAGAATGGAAAATGTCTTCTAATGAGTCGCAAATGAAAGTATGATAGAGACATAGGAATGTGAAATTATTATGTTCTGCTGTATCAATCATTCTTACAAAACAATATATTTCCTTTTCCACAGATGCTTATTATAATCAGTGAGTTTTTTGCTTATTATCAGACAGTAATCATCATTGTTACTCTACACCCAATTTAAATCATCAGAAGACAAATGATACTTTCTTGAAAAAATAGCTTGTAAAACAGAATTTGGTGTTCAAATCAATATTTGGAAGATAAAGTGAAATGTGTTTGGTATGGACGAGTAATACACGAATTTTTGACAACGAATTTGAAAGTGCCTTAAATGAGTCTCCTAAGTGCTTTAAAGGAACAATTCTTTCCTTAAATCAATACATGAAGATTAGTCTCTTTTGTTTTGGTTTATTCTCTATCTTTTCATTTTCCTTCTCCCTCTTCTTTCTCGACTTTCCTCCCAGAACTGATGTCAAGCATAATTTCAGCACTGACTTTCGTCATTTGCATAGGTTTGTTGTTCGATATTTGAATTAATCATTGAGATTAATGATTAAGTCTCTAAACTGAATCATCGGAATTTATCGTAAGTTACAGTAACAATTCATTCATATGCTGACTACCAGACATTTTTTTATTTGATTTATATAAGCATCAAAGATAGGAAGGAAAAGTATCATTGGTGACAATGTGACAAGAGCTATTTATAAACTAGCTTGAAATGAATTCCAGTCTTTTTATTTGTTACTCATTAAATAATGGATCAAAATAAGTTTGAATTATTCATTTTTTTTTTTTTTTTTTTTTTTTGCGTAAGTAGCTTTTATTGTCAGTGAATAAGCTGTAATTGAAGTTTTTTGATACTTCTAGATCTTGTTATTATCGCTTACTGTTACTTACCTTTGAAAAATACTGAAAGTGGTGAATTTGGTCTCAAAGACAAATATGGCATGCCGTGCTTATTGCTTAAATTCTCAGCTCAGTTATATAATTTCAACTTAAATGGTACAAATATTGCTGCTAAGGTAATGTGTGTTTCAAATGCTCGAAAGACAGGTAGAGAAAAAAATATTATAATCGGAATGAGAACTGAGAATCTGGAAAAATGACGAATAAATTTTTCTTTCTTTTTGAGATTATTTTTTGATAAATGTCGCAGAGCATCGAACTTACTTTTTTTTTATAAAAATTTGCATCTCTTCTTGATTGGTCTAATAAGTGCTTCAAATTAAAATGTCTGTTCAGGTACCCGAATTAACATCACCGGAAGTGAAATTGAGTGGATATTGTGGTGGTAGTGATGACACAAACAACAGTAAAGTTGAATTTAAGGCAAGTTGGAAAAAAGAGGGACGGAGGAAGCAACTTATCTTATCCTTCGGAACGGTAAACTTAATGTCTCCTCAAATGAATTTGCATACAAAATATAAATCTTTTTTTAACTCACCCAATAAATGGCCACAAAAATAAGTGAGCACAAAAAAAAAATCTTTCTTTCAAGGCTTATGTGGAAGATCCAGTAAATCATCTAAAAATGCTTCGGTGGCAATTGAAAATGGTTACCTATTCTGAATCATATTCCAGTAAGCTAAATCCTTATAAAATCAGTTTTTGCTTTGTTTTTTTTTTGTAAATAGGTCTTTTTTTTGTTTTCAAGTTTCTTAAAGAAATCGCACAAATTTTTGAAGGGCAATCAGTCGAATTTTCATCGAAAGAAGTGATGATGAGCGCTCCGCTGAAGCAGAAATTTATTTGTCACGACAAACTAAATCTAACACTTACTAATAGACATTTCAAGGACTATATCCTCGAGCTGAATCCAGAAATTAGTGCGCAACCGTACCAAGTCACTGGCAAACATCCAAACCGTACGCTATATTTTAGTACTTGTTCCATCATTACTAGCTTTCCTTAGCTCACACATTGAAAAATTTCTTATTTCAGTATTCATCTGTGGCAGCACACGGCGACGAACGCTGGCGAAAAGTTTTGAGAGTCGGATGACAATTTTTTCTGGAATAGTCCTTTGCATAACATCGATTTCGCTGATAGTTGGATACAGTTTCCGACGACAGTCACATCCTACTAGAAAGAAACTTTATGAATCACTCACTTAATTTTCTCTCTTATCCTTTTTTATAAACATAGTTACGGGATTTAATTTAAACTTTATGGCTGTGAAAGAATGAAATTCAACTGCAAAATAATTTAAATGATGCTTTTGTCTTTTATAAAATATTATTATCACAAGTATGTGCATAAAATGACGCTTATTTTGTTGATAGTTCATCATAGCAATGTTTAATCTAATTTGCAATCTTTCCTTGCAGCGACTTGATAACTTTTATTACAATTTACACTTTATTCACTGAGAACTTCCTAAAGCAAAGCCTTATCGCATTTGTTGACATATCTTTCAACAAATGAAGTATTAAATTTCATCAAAAATATTTGAAAATTTATGACAGTGAAAGCATCAATATAATTGCGGCATTCGAGAAAGATAACGTAGCAACAAAAAAAAAAAATCAAGTCAGCAATGTAATCGAGTATCAATCACACATTAAAAAAGTAGAAGCAATTTTAGCCTACTGACATACGTGGATTTTCAATTGAAAAACTTTCGTTTCGATTTACTTCCTCCCCTTTCACCTTCTTCTCCTGCGTTACCTATAATATAAATGTGTTTATTTCTCGTAAAAAATAAGTTTATTTGATTTTTATTTAACTTAACAATACTAGCTCTAAAAAAAGACAAAATAATACAATATGGGGCATTCCGTTTCTTCTTGGATTCTAATGAACTCAAAAAATATTTTTAAATATCCATTTTGTAAAGAATGAATAGAAAAAGTCAACAGAGGAGAAGGAAGTGGAAACCAGAAGCATATTACAAGAAAAAAGTATTAAAATTAATATTTTGAAATAAGTCTAAATATTCGGGTGAAGAATTTTCCTTAATTGAGCCGATTTGTTTGTGCAATAAATTATGGCATTTTCGAGGATTTTTAAGCTTAAGAATTAATGACTTAGTTAGTTTTGGATATAATAAAAATTCTGAATCCGAATTTTTTTGATTTGATAATTATTCAAAAGAATTTAAAACTTCGATGGTGAGTCCGAAAAAAATGAAAAATACCTTTGTCACGTGGAAATAACTGCCCGGTTCAGAACCAGTAGGTCGTATCACGAGATCGGCTGTACTACGAGCTTCGCCGGCAATATTTTCGGCAAGACAAGTGAATTGTCCACTATCAGCCATTTCAACTCTAACAATAATCATGGAATGTATGCCATTACCCTCCTAAATAAAATCTTGTTGTTCACTAACAGAATCTAAAAGATCTAAGACTTAGTCACACACAAAACAGCAACTGTTCTGTAGTGTGCCTTCTCAACTTCGTCTTATAATCATTTCTAAGTTTTGTAAATCATTAATCTAATCACAGTACTACTGCTACAGTAAAATAGAAAAAGAAACAGCGACTGACATCGATGAGGCGAACTTCATCACAATGTGGAATAACCAGACCATTCCTCATCCAGGTTATTGCCGGTACTGGATCACCAGTTACCTGAACGGTCCATTTCAATTTATCACCTTCTGCGACTTCTTCGCTAATTAATCGCTGTACAAAGTCAGGTGCCACAGTTTGTGCTAAAACGCATAGTGGAAATTTTTTAAAAAATATGAAAGCAGCTCCAAATATAAAAACAATTCAAGCGGCTCAGTACAGGACAGGTAGACAAAGCGCACTCAATTTATCTTTAAGATTGAGCTAAGTAAATGAATTTAACAAAAGAAAGATTCATTCTTTATAAGCGAGCTCCTAGCTATTTTGTTACCATTGGGATTGACGTTTAACACTAGAATTACAACAGGAAATATAAATTTATCAAATTAAAAATTAGGAAAATAAAGAAAGTGCTACAACATACGCCTGACAACAAGTTGGGCACTTGATGTGGCGACACCGGATGAGTTCTTGGCGGTACACATATATTTGCCGGAATGTTCAAGCTGTGAAGTAGGAAAGGTCAATGATACATGACCACCTATGTTGGAGAAAGTTAATTCAGGATTGGTGGTTTTAGATATTGGAACACCGTCTTTCTTCCAAGTAACTTCAGGACTAGGCCATCCTTAAAATATTGCATAGACTACTAATGTATTAAAATTAAGACTAAAGACCAAGAATTTAAATCTGATGCTATGAACAGAAAGAACCAATATATATATAGTGATAAAAAACGAATAATTTTTGCTCTTTGAATTTCGGAAGCGAAAATAATCATGGTCTTTCAGCTTCATATATGTTTTGAGACTGATGGTAGGAAGTAGAGAAATAATTCTACTCATTTTGAAAAGTAAAAAAAAAAGTGAAAAGATGTGGTATAGAATTGCCTTCTGTGACATTCCACGAAGTAGCCACGTTGCCCAATTAAGAATGAATTGAAATCTTAACATTTTAAGAGTATGCACAAACAATTTTTGCTTTTTCTGCAATTTCTGCTTGTAAATTATTAAAAATATCCATTGTATTCCTCTATTATTGCACCCCATATATTATCGTTATTATAAATCTTCTCTCCCCGATATAAAAGCAAGTCTGTCCAGACAAGGTTTTATCCTCGATAAGCTCAAATTCCTATGTATTTGCATAAACTGCTAAACTTTATTATTAACAAAGAGGTGCATTGTCATTCTAAATTCACATGTAGCTTCATAAATACATCTTTCCTTTATGCATTTACATACTGGTACTGAAAGCTATTTTATCTTCTGAATATTTTAAGTTGAAGTAATCAAATGAGCATAAATTTGCAGAAAAAAATCTAGAAATTTTTTTACCGATGACAATGCCTTGGAACTTAGCTTCATCACCGCAAGCAGCTACTGCAGACACCAAAGTCTGCGTGAAATGCGGCGGTCGACCAAGTTCTCGGTTCTCTTCAATATCAAAACGATCCGACAAATTGTGCTAAAAGTGAAACAGTGTGCATCACTAATAAAAGACATATAACGTATAAGCTAATAGTCCTCTCGTGAATTTGATTTGCTACAGGAAATTATTTATCATTCATAAATACAAATACTATTTAATCTAATCGAAGTCAATAATGAATGGAATAATGAAGGATGATAAATTCTCAAACATGATGAAATAGGTTCAGTAATTAATTTTCTTTGAAAGTGTGGCCTGAAATGATTAAGAAAGGACAGTCGAAAGTAACACGAAATGTATTCAGTAAGAAACTGAATATCCAATAAGTTTTATGGACGGATGACTCCATCAGAAAATCTTAAATAAAATGAAGCGAACCGGAAAAATTCAAAAGTAGGAGTGAGATCCCCTCAAGACTGATCTGAGATGGAAAAACATTTAAAAATAATAGCAGAAACAGCCGTCAATATCAATTTTGCCTAAAAATATGTTAGCAAGTAAAAAAAGTTTAACCTATTGGACGTCCAAAAGCTTAAACTGAATATGATTACCAATTTAACAAATTAACGAAATAAATGTCCTTACACTTATTCCAAATTAATTCATCTCACAATTTATTCATTCATTTCTATCCTTTTATTTTGATAGCAGTTATGTGAATAAATCGAAAAATAATATTCCTAGACAAATGCCACCAACTTTGTTCAGAATTTGCTGATGGAATTAATTTAAAAAATATAAATCCACCTCAGAACTCTTTCATATCAGTTCCACAAAAACTTCCACATCAATTTCAAGAAATACCAATATTAAAATAAAGTTAAAACTGACAACTTCAAGTTAGTCAAGAAAATTTAAATAAGTTGAAAGAGTTGGTAAGGGTGATAAATGCATCTGAGCAAGTGATCATGAAATTTAGGGATGAAAAAACAGTAAGCAGTAACTTGATTATTTAAGTTTGAAAAAAAATCAAACAATATATTGGCGAAATCATCCACGAAAGTTAATAAAAGATACTTTCCATCGATCTATACTTACTGATGATTTTTTTCAATTAAACTTCTTAATATATTTCGAAGTCAAATCTTACTTGCTGGGAACATGTTGTTTGTAATTGTTGTTTCTTAGCTGGGGGAGGAGAAAGAAATCGTGTGGAATGTTGTTTGGCTACTAGGCGACGTTGCTCCTCTTCACGCATCCTCAAATTACCATTCACATACTCCAACTGCAGAAAAAAAAAACACTTGAAGTTTTAAATTTTCAATCACATCAATAATTCTAATCCAAAGGCCAAATTAGGATTAGTTTGATAAGACAATTCAATTATTTGGTAATGTATATTAAATTTCGAATTTGGTTTGTTAATATATGCTCTAATTAATTCAAATTCAGCAAAAAAAGCGCTGTGGTGGAACGTGGTTTATTCTTCATAGATTTGCAATGTCGCACTGAAGTCACTATGACCACTCGTTATTCCGTGTAGCAGTAAATTTCCAGTTACAGCTTGCTAGAAGAACCATACAATTTTTGAGCCATCTGGCTTTCATCTATCAGCATAGCACATCATTCCCAAGCAGAATATTTTTAATTGTTACTTCCAGAAAACGAAGCACTAAGATCAGCCAAAGGAATCTATATGAGAAATCTTAAATGTAATACTCTATGAGAAATTTCAAATAATTGTAGAAAGTAAGCAGAACTCTTGTTTAAATTCTTTCTGATAAGGTCATAATAGCAAACGCTGTTCATCGGTTTCTTAACCGGCCAAAAAAAGGTTAGTGATTGAGAATAACTTTTCATTGGATGTGACTTAACTGAATAAATATGTCTTGTCATTCTCAACTCAGAAATCAAATCAAAATAGCGTTAAAATAAAATTTCAAGGATAAGATTTCATCTATAGCATATAAAATTTGTAAATAATAGCAAAAGTTCCTTTTACTGGAAAAAATTTTCCAATAAAAATAGAATATTGGAAAAATGAAAATAAATTTTCTAATAGTTCCCTTTCTCCTCTATAATAATACCATTACTTCAGACTTTTGCATTGCTTTATTCTCGAGAAAAACTTGGTCTTTTGAAAAAAAAAAAAGAGACCTGTTGTGAGAAATATTCATCGGGTACCCGTTGTTCGTACTCATAAGCACCATACTCTTCGGTTACATGAACATGCTACAGAAAACAACAGCCAATTATAACCAATAAAAACAACGTTAAAAAAATTAGGAACTTCGATCTTATTTGCTTCTCATTTCTAAATTACAAATGGTTTGTCCTTTCTATTTTGCCCAATTCAACAGAATTTTTAGTAAGACAAATAAATTGTACAGTGCAAATTCTGGCCTTGTTACTAACCTCAACTGTGGTAGGTTTGCGGGATCGCGGTAGCACACGCACCACAAATAGGGATTCTGTTTCGCCCCGTATGTTCTCTGCTGTCATCTTGTAAACACCAGCATGATCCAAGCGAGCCGGCTCCAATATTGCCGAATAAGTATCACCAATATTTGACAACTAAAATATTCCTCAAATGAATTGTGACCAAATGTTAGAGGTAGCCATGAACTGAAAGTTAATTGATTCGTAAAAACTGTAGAAAAGTTTTGAGTTATCACATCAACATTTTGTTCAATTCGAGAAACATGATTATTCTGAAGAAAAATTGAAGGCTCAAAAAACGAAATTTGACCTTTAATCATAAGAGTTGGAAAATATAGTTCAAAACAAGCACTTTTGAAAAAGATTTTAAAATTCTTAGAGTTAGGAGAGTAATACACATATAGCAGTCAACACTGAAATTTACAATAATACGGTGACACGTATAAATAATATGTGTATAATATAACAATTATTAAGCGTATACAGTAAACCAGCACAGCAATACATATACATAACTTCAGTGAAACGTTCACAGTATAAAGGTAAGCTAATAAATGTACAGTAACAGTCACGGTGACAAATGTATACAGTATAATCACAATAGTATAACAATCAGTACAATAATAAGCATAAAATATTTTTTTTCAGCATCATCAGAAGCTGAGAACAACATTCATATAAATTCATTATTTCTGATTCAAATCAAGGCTTAGGTAATTCCGTATTTTGTCTAAACAAATATCGTGATATATATATATATATATAATTTACCGTGCAGAACTTCGAATTAATATTGATGATCTGATTGTTGAAATACCAGCGCACTTTGGGGCGTGGATTACCAATCATCAGACAATCCATTTTAAATTTCTCGCCTTCTTTGACAATATATTCATTCTGGAATGGTCGAATGAATTCCGGAACAGTAGCGGTGGGACTGCACCCTGCAACATAAATTTTGATACATTTGATAAAATTTTGATATTTTTCAGAGAATTTTGCAAGATCATATTTGTAAAAGGATCCAAGAATTGAGAATGAAACAAGATGTTTTATCACTGCTTAACATCCTCCTCGCAAATTCTATTGGAAATGAGTTATGCCTAGGAAAAAATACTGCAGGAAGAGAGTCTCAACTTGATAGGGTAGTAATGAACTGAAACACTAATGCTTGAATTTCTAAATCAATATCTTTATTATAATAGAGATGCAAAATAAAAAAATCACCAATTTCGGTGACTAATTTTTCAGCGTATTCTTCAATTTCTGAATGATGATAACGATGTTTGGGTATGGGTGGTGGCGTCGGGGATGACATTATTGCGGAGTCACTCCAAAAGCCTTCCGTCTGGAAAATCTAATTGACTTCTTTATTATAGAAAAAGAAAAAATGAGACACATTTCTCCAGGTCCAATTTAAATCAAATAAAAATTTAAGAAGATTTAAAAGCATAATCGAGAAATTGCTCACCATAGTTTGAACAATATTTGTGTCCTTTTGTTCCAGCGATATCCGTCGAGATTCTACGTGAAGTGAGGCGCCTGATCTTGCTTCACCTACCTTATTCTAAAAATAATTACTTGTTTTCATGCCCAGTTTATTATACTTCCAATCTCTCTTTGTAATTTGACAGTGTCAATAAAAGAAGACAGTTCCACTACTCTCTGCAAAAAGGATATCTGCACCTTTGCAATAACAGTATACATCCCCGAATGTTTAGGAAGGGCATTTTCGATGACAACTCTATACCATCCATTGATATCGCTTTCCGTACGTGCATCCAGAGTGTGCAATGATCTGTCGTTATGTTTCCAATGAACCGTTGGTGGTGGTTCACCAAATACGCGTACCTAAGTAATACCAAGCATATAAAAATATTGAATTTTTCTCTATATACTCTCTTTAAAATTACAAAATTCGGAATCATAAGGAAAACTCACAAACCTCGAAAACAGTTCGTTCACCTTCCTGGACAACTTGATTGGTAAGTGGTGGTGCAAACGATGGTGTAATCAAGGGAAACTTTGGCTCTGAAGATGTTGAAGGTGGTATCATAATACTTCTTGGAGTCGATGGCGATTGCACTGTTAGACGGCAAAAGTTGGTAGCTTCACCTACAGTGTTCGTCGCTTTAATTGTATAAAGACCAGCATCGCTCATGTTTGTGTTCTTTACTTTCAATGAGCAGTGATCGCCTTCAAATCGAAGTTCGATATGTTCCGATTCCCTTATCGCATCCTCATCTTTATACCAAACCACCTGCAATGACTGATCAAATTTCTACTCCTAAACAATACTGTTTTCAATTCTAGAAAAAATAAAAGGTGCATTCGTAATTCCAAGCCTAACCCTTTAGAAACTTGAATATACTCAAACAAATCCATTAAACTCATGTCAAAATATTCCAAGCTTAGTTCAAATAAAACGAAAAAGTGAGTAATATTCACTCCAAAAGCTCGTTTAGCACTGATATATATGCAGTGATATAAATAGTGATGAATTACGTACAATGAGAAAGAATATATTACTGAATCATTGCAATATCACATTATGAATTACGCCTGCAATCATCTTCCACTCATCAGAAATGCAATTACTCGACAATTTGTCACTATCAGCAGGTAGTCTAGCAAATTAGGAGATTTGTAAAAAGCCTTTATTTTCAAAACTTAAAAAAATAGTACCTTTGGCTCAGGGACGGCTATAATAATGCAATCGAGAAAAGTTTCATCACCCTCGTTCACGGTAATATTGCGCAACTGTCGGATGAAACGCGGTTTAAATGATTCCTCCATTTCTCGTCCCATCTCGCTCCGAGCTATAAAACTTCTCAAAATATCCGACAAAACAGTCGCTTTTCATCACTTTTTTGACAGAATTATAGCCATCAAAGTACAAATTTTATAAGCATTTAAATCATTTATTTTAGCATATGTTCAAATCTTTCCACTTTTCAATCTTATTGAAATATTTATTCCAAAATTCAGAAAAATGGAAAAACTGCAAAGAATTTGAATTCATTTTTAAAGTTTTGAAGTTAATCTGCCATGCCTTTATCTCAAAATTTTCATCCAATGATTTGATCTACAGAATTTAGTTATAATTTAAAATGTTAAAAAGTAATTAGATATTTGAACATTATTTTTGTAAAGCAAGATAATCCAAAGAGATATGAGAATTAAACTATACTTTTTCCTAGTGAGAGTAGCAGTACTTATTTCATTATGCGCACTTTTCGAAATAACTTTGAAACTTACATTTGACAACGAGCTTTGCAGAAAATTCGGCCAAGCCCGCAACATTTTGAGCACGTACCGTGTAAACGGCTGTATCTTCTATAAACGTTTCATCGATAGTTAAGGTAGCAACCCCATTGACAAAAGTAGTGCGATAATCAATATTATCTTTCACATCTCGACCATCCTAAAATGATTAATAATGGAAAATCGTAAAAAATAATGCTGATTCCAAAATATCTCCATTTTAAACCATCTTACATAATACAAATGCAATATATAACAGAAATTCTACTAAAAGTTTTGTCTGGAATACCACCTACGATAAATCAGGTTGAGATGATTTTTACTTTACTGATCAATACAGAAATTTGTATTAAGAGAAAGAACATAACATACCTTAAACCATCGTATCTCAGGTATTGGTTCACCTTTGATATAAGCTGTAAATTCGAATCTATCACCTTCATCGATTTGTGTATCACGTAAATGACTTGTGATTTCTGGAGCTTTCGTCATTCCCCTACAGTAGACTTGAAGTAAAATAAGTGAGAAAATGATGTAGTTATCTGCTTTGTATACTATCTGGTTTGTTAAGTATTTCTGACGAATATGCATAGTTATTTCAATAATCAATAAGTAATCGCCAAACAGCCTTAGGTTCGACAAACTTCCATAAATTCACTTTTTTCCTATCTTTTGTCCTCATCCCAGGACCCATTTAAAAGTCTTGATCTAATAACAACAATAAATTTTTTGTCAGAAAGCTGTCGAAAGTTAAATTCTTGAAATTCAAAAAGCAATGAACTTTGTCGTTTCAATTCGTTTTTCCACATCTCGGATTCTCTCATTTAGTTGTATAAACCGCTCCTCAATTTGCTCCTGGCGCCTTTTCGATGCCATCAATTTCTCAAACGCTTCTTCACCTATAAAAATGTTTGATGTCAGAAAAAAATAATCCTTTGCAATTTTTTTTTAAATCATTTTTTTTTACCTCTTTTCAAATCTTTCCTTAGCAATTTCCTTTCATTTAAAACTAGGTCATATACTACGCAGTAACCTTACTTAAAAGCTATAATTTTACTCGCCAGAACTATTACCTTCAGTTTCTTTCAGAATTTGCTCAGCTTTTTCGATCATTCGTTTTTGTTCATGGAAACGTTCCTCAATTTCTTCAATTATTTTCGTCACTTCTTCACATTGTTCAATCACTGCTGCACTTTCTAATTTCTCCTCTATAGTACGAAATATCTCTATCGTTTCCTTTTGCCAAATTTCGACCTTGGAAGAAAAAGAAACTCCCATTTTGAAACTTCGTTATTTTGCTTTAAAAGAGTTAAATCAGATAGATTTTCTACAATAGTTCGTTCCATCTCATAAATTCACACCTCTTCAACAATTCGGATTATTTTCTGTTCTTCTACTCGCTTATCTTGCCATCGTTGCCAAGTTTCCTCGATCATTCTTTGCCGCTGTTCATGCTCATTCAGCACATTGCGCACTGAATTTATTGACTGCTCAACATCAAGTCTTGAATCCTTTACCTTTGCTGATTGAGCTGTATCAATAAACTGATTACCTGAAATATTTCGACAACACTCCTGAAGCCTTAAATTGATGAGTTTAATGAAAAATTTTTTCTAATTAAGAAAAAAAATGTACGAATTACATACATTATCAGTAGTCAATTCTCCATGAATAAAAAATTGAATGTAGAAAGTTGTAGTAATAATAGTTATTCCTTTTCCATACCCCTAATAATGAGTATTCTTTCATTAATAAAAAAAGCGGAAATCGTATAAGTTTCAAAAAATTATTATAAACCTTGATGTTTTTCTTGCCTAATTGTTTCTTCGATCATACGAAATACTTCTTTCATTTGTATGAGCAATTTTTCGTTCATATAGGTACGATTTGAACAAATCAAGGTATTCAAACTCTCAAATGAACTCTCGAGTTCCTTAGCAAATTTTTGCACCTGAAACACCAATTATTTTGTAGTATCATCTATTTTAGGAAAATATAAGCTCAGATGAGTGCTTCCTAGACTGAAGTTATGCAATGACATATAAATAGCTGAACCAAATAAGTACTTGTCCATTTGTCTTATCTTCTACGCTAAGTTTTTTTAATTATTTTCTTTCCATTTAATTAATTTCTTTCAAGCATGTCTCTCTAGCTTTTCTGTAATTTCTCATTAAAAAATTTCGCAACTTTTACTTCCTCGAACTTCGAATGAGTCTTATCCTGTTAATTGTATACTAAAATAGTTGTACAAATTTCCAACCTGCTGAAAAGCAGTGCCAAGGTTAACGCGTTCATCCACCGCTTCTTTTAATGATTCGTATCGTTGCTTAAATTCTTCCAGGCGCTGACGATCAACTGTGCCTAATTCATGGGTTTTGCTCCACAAACCATTCAGCTCAAATCCTTTGTTCTATATAAAAAAGACAGATCATCTGAATGGAAGTTAGTACGGAAGCCAAAATAATTCATTCTATGAAAAAGGCTTCTTCCATCAAATTTCACAATTCAAATTAAAAAAGGGTACAAATCTCACTCACGATAATATCAATGAACATATCCTTGTGAACTTTATGAAACTGAATGGCATCACTCAAACTGCAACCTAATCGGCCATTCACCGCAAATGATTGTTCTGTTTCTGTGAGCCATTTTTCGAAACGATATAACTGAAACGAACAATCAGATAAAAAATAAATGAATTTATTCACTTTCTATTCATCATTTTATTGATCAAATTTTACTTTTCATTAAATTTTATGAACAATCATTACTAGAATAACTAACAAACCTGATCCTTCATCAATTCTTTACTTTCATCGATCCGTTCGTAAGCCAAATTCTCAATTTGTTTTAGCTTACTTTGTATATCATTTATGAATCGATTGACACGTCCATCAATATTAAAAATTTGTCGCCCGTCGTCAATTACCTTTTCCGCTTTTTGTCTCGCCAAAGGCGCCAATTCTCCAGCCATGGCTGCATTAGCATTACGCATATCCGTTTCCATTGCACTCAACTGATTCAACATCTAAATATATATGTATTATCGATAACTATTTAAAAGAACTTTCTTTTCCTCATCTCCGTTCGAGCATTTAGTGAAGCGAAGTTCACTTGTTTAATCATGCTATATTTTATTATCAACAATATTCTAAGTACCATTAAGCAAATATTTTTTATAAATTAATTCTTCGAAGCATTAGATTTGTCACTATTAGTAGGTATTAATTAGTCAAAGTAATTACCCTTAGTAATTTACAATCGTGAATTGAGAATTTCAAATCTTAGAAAAAATTAATGAGAGCTTTAATATAACTATTTCTGTTAACTTACAGTATTTGCAGCTGCAATCCATGCAATGACTTTATCATTTTCATCTTTTCTTTGCTTCAGTTCATGCATAAATTTGTCCAAATCGGTTTGCAATACCATGACTCGTTCGTGAAGATTTGCGTTTGTACCACCTCGATCGATGGTCAGTATAATATCTTTTAATGCTTTAAGTTGTTTCTGAATATGATTATTATTCCTTAGGAAAATGTCTTCTAATAAACAAACAACATATTACCTATGTATTCCATTTGCTTGTTGCATTTTAGACTCAAAAATCTGATCAAGAAATTTTCCTCCAAAAAAGCACCCCTTTCAACTCCTTTTAACAATAATCTAGCAAAAAAGAGTAAATTTAAATTATGACTGTACTCACTAGCACTTGCTGTATCAATGCATTGATGTTTTGTCCATCACTGAATTGCATCCGTGCCTGTTTAAGCCATTTTTCAATTTCCTCAATATGAGACAAAACTGCTCCACTTTCATCAATTTGCATTTCTAGTTTGGGTCGTTCGTTCTTCCAGGACTCTTCAAGCAATTCCCATTCTGTCGCCATCTGTGATTCAACATTAGAAGTATGAATAGAAGGATGAAAATAAATGTAACTACCGCGCACAATAAATTACAAATTCCTACTTTTCAGCAATAAATTTCTATTTTACTTAATTTGGTGCGCTGCTATCATGACTTGTAAAATTTTTAAGTATTACTAACAGCAGTAGCCAGATTGAAGACAAATAAGTATGAATGGATTTGAATTAACTCCACAAATATGAGTTCCACCAACGCAACCACAAAAAAAAAAAATGACAATGAACATGGAAAGCCCCACTAGTAATAATTTATTTACAAAAATAACGACCAACAAAATGTAGAAGCCAATATTGGTTCGCAAAAATTTTTTGGTTGTACTCTCAAAAATAAATAAAGTCATTGAATGTCGTTTGATTCATTAATTTAATTTTTTAAACTAAATTTTTTCACTATAATTTTCTCGAAAATTATCTTCAAAAAATATGGAGGCCAAGCATACCTTTAACATAGTTTTTTCGATCAGTAAGCAAGCTTGGGCAGTTTCTTGGACATTTTCTACATTATCAGCCATAGAGCCCAGTACTCGAATTTGTGTTATCACATCCGCTCCACTATCTACAGCTAATGCGGTTATATCGATCAGTTCTAAATTTAGGAAAGGACATGACACGAGGTTAATCATTAAACTTTAACATTTTTTAAAAATTTAATCAGAATTTTTGAACTGACTAGATTAGTTTTAATTTCTATGAAAGCACTTTCCAATTTTGGCTTTTTGGTCTTTTAAAGAGCTATGACAGAAGTTGGTACAGTTTCCATTCAAACAATTAAAACATCTGAATCGTCAAATTACAGAAAAGCCAATTCCAAAAATAAAACAATAACCATCGATGAGTTGTTGAATTTGTAACAAGATATTGCTTAAATCGTTGATATCCGGTTGCTCAATCGTTATGCGAAGCATATTTCCCACTTTCAAACTAATCTGAAGAGAGTAACAGCAATAGGTCGTTTACAGATCAGAAGCAAATCCTTTAAAATTTGCGCATCACGTATCAAAAATTCAAATCATTGAAAAATAAATAAATACAAACTCCTTCATGGCGTTGTGCCAGTTCATAAAATCGCTTTGTCTCAGTAAGTAAAAATCCTCGCATGTGAAGTTGACGGTTCAACTCTTTCCAAGCTGTACCCAAACTTTCAGCCATCGCTTCATAAACATGGACATCGGGTTCCTTTTGCTGTATTACTAAATTATCTGCTCGAGCAAGCAATTCTTCCACCTGATCTTCTTTACTCTGAAAATTTAATTTAATTAATCAACTAATTCAGTTTTGCATTAGCACATAACTAGTATGGTTTGACTAATTATTCTTGTTGAGTCACTGCTTAATTCTGGATGTTCGTTAGTTAGCCATGTTTAAGTGACATCATTTCCTGAAATCTTTGTTGAAAATTATTCCATGTTAAAAATGATCAACCAGACATCGCAAAATTTTTTGTGTAAAATGTGCAATCACTTATCGTTTCTGCAACACATTTATAATAATGTTAAATAAAAGCACTGATTAGGGCATTAAATACTACAGGATTCATTAAGCAAAAAGAGATGAAAATAAAAGAGAATGATAACAATGAGTATCTTAAGTCGATGCATTAGATCTTCATGAGTTGCTAACAAAGCATCGGTTTCTTCCACATTTTCTCCAAGTTCAAGCATTCGCGGTTGCATTTCATCAATTCGAAGACATGCATATCCAACACTCTGTAAATTGTTTTTTTCATTTCATCTGATAAAAAACCACGATCATCAAAAACTCTCAAAAAAAATTGTAAAAAAAGGTAGCAAAATTAAATTATCATGTAAAAGTTTATTTCTCTCCTCTTCTCCCAAAAAATAAATAGGATGGAAATTCAATGATTTAAAGAAAATAGTTGAGACGTCGATTAATAATGATCTTTCCGCAGCTAGCAGAACTTTGGAAGACAGACCAACAATTCTTGAAACAGGATACTATTGCATGGATTTGAAAAGACATATTGAAAATAATTTAATCAATCTAATCGACAGAGATTCAAATAGACAGAGCGAAACTATATAAAGCTTAAGATAGACATAGCAAAACTATATAAATCTTGAAATAGACATAGCAAAAAAACTATATTACATTTCCGTTTCCTAGACTAATCGCACTACTTAAAAAGTGTGAATTGTCCCCAGTTGAAGGCGCAAATCTTTTCAGTTTGATTTACCTCCTTTTCTCTGTCCTTGGTGGTAGAAAAGTTAACGACTCCTTAACTATAACTTTTCTCAAATTATTTTGTGACGCTTCTGTTTAATTTATGATTATTTAGATAAATGTAAATTCTCTCTAATTCGCTTATACAAAAATATTTATTAGTCATACGAGGCATCTTTCAGCTCCTATTAATTTTATCGACATCATACTTATTTACGCAGTAGTCTCCGGTTAAAGGCGTTTTGCGTCTTTAGTTCAATGTATGAATATAAATTTCTCCATAAAAATTAAAGAATAAGTAGGATTGTAGTTAATAATGGAAAACAAGACAAGTTAACTTAAAGTAATAATTAACACTGAGAATAAAAACTATTAAATCTCACTTGCTAGCACTTTAGTAAAAACTCTGATCAATTGGAAATTGGAAAGCATTAGTTTATAGCGCGAAAGTTGTAGACTTCTATTTTTAAAATTATAACGAATTCGCAAAAAAAAAATGTATTAGTTTATTGAGTAGAGTGTGCTCGTTTATTGAATTTGTGCCACTATATTTTATTTTTATTACAGTAATATTTTGTTTTTTTTTTTTATATTATTCATTGAAACTTCGTACTCATTCATTTATATAAAAATAGAAAATGAAGAAAATACAATCGTAAGAACATTATTAATCCATTTTTAATGCTCCAAACATAAAACAAACGAGTTTTGGCCTTTTTCCTTAATGGGTTATTAACCATATAATTTATATAAAGTTAGTAAATGTATATTTTTGTAAAATTTGTAAAAAAAATATTGTAAAGTTTGTATATGTTTACCATCGAAAGTACGGTGTTTTTTTGATAAGACCGAAATGAATCAAATCTTAGAACCCGAGAAAGTGGAAAATGTAAGATATGTACGAGATGTTCTTTACTACGACACACTAAAATATCTAATTAATATATAATGATTTCAAATTCTAATGTTTCAAAGAATTATTTTAGTGTTAACGATAAGCTGATACTATAAAATAAGGAAGTGAAACGAAAAGAACCTTAAGCAATGCGACAACAATTGTTGCTTTTTTGCCAGCATTTATTGCAATCGTACTGATTGTCGTAGTAGTTGGCTGATTTGAATCATCCATCCCGTTGCGCATTTCAATTGCAATTATTGTGGACTTCTCAACACTACACACGTTTCAAGTCGAAAATAACAAGAATGAATGAAGCAGAAGTGCTATCCACGATGCTTCCTTTGTTTTACCACTCAAACTCTCGAGGAGATACGCTAGATCAAAAACACGACAACGTCGGATAACAAGAAGCACAGAGACTGGAACACAGACACATACACACACTTAGACAGACAGACACACTTCGGTGAGCCTCACAATTTCAGCCAAATGAGAAATATATCTCAGAATGATAGGATGCACTGATTTCACTTTTCAAAAGAGTGAAAAGCAGTCTTGCAGATGAGAGATAAGCTTTGGGACTACAAACAGACATTAACACATTATCACATAGTGATTCCTTTACTATATTTCCTGCCATTGTTATCCTCGTAGATTGAGCAGAAATAAGACAGAGCAATTTCAACTTATCATTAGCTTTCTCCCTCAACTATTTTCAAATGATCATCCGTAAACAACTGGCGATTGTACCAAAAGCGCCCCATACTACTACTATAACTATCCTACACATGTTATGTGTGTGTGTGTGTGTTCAAGAAATTTCATGCCAATATCATGATACTGTTTTCCCAAAGACCTTACTGGTAGTCTTGATCCACTTCGCTATCACTCTGAAATTATAAAAGCAATGAACTCAAAATAATATGTAGTGCATATCTAATCCTTCCTTACTATCAGTTCGCTGGACCACCTCAACATTCATGTTGAAATTATTATTAATGTTATAGCTGTGAAAAAAAAAAAAATCACCGACTGTTATACATAGAAATGATAAGCTTGACTACTATCTGCGAATTATGAACAATCTTTTCCTTTCGATTTTAAGCGCTTGATGAAATAATTCAATAATTCAAGTTGCCTACTCCAAACAATTGCTTTATAACTTCATCTTTACTCGTAAAATAAAAGAAATAGTCAAAGCAGAAATAGTCAAAGCAGATATCCAAGAACAGTAAGACAACCAAGAACAGAGCGTAAACCCACAAATCACACAGCATATAGCCGCCCAGAAGTGCCATTATTACAGCAGATATTAGACGGTAGGACTAACGCTGTTGTAAAGTGTTGGAGGATTGTACAATCTTCAGATTACAGCTTTTAAATATTTCGGAATCTAATATATTTACTTCAACTCTAAAATACAAATTGCAGATGCGACACTTGTAGAACTTTGTATACTCCAAATAAAGACAAAGTTATTTAAGATGAAGACCAGCAGAATGGGCTCATTTTATGCATACCTTATTATAATGACTTCCATCGCTTAATCGAATCTTCAACCCCAAACTTTATTAAAGTTACGTCGTTCAAACGCATAAAAGTCGTAACACAAAAGAATGTATCTTTATTGGAATAAACTTCATGAACACTCTATAACATTCTGTAATAATTCATTAGAAAATTAATGAAAGTTAGAAGTCCACTATCATCTAGATGGAGTGAAAAACACTACACGAAATAGAACTTTGTAACTACTTTTTAACACCAACTGGAGTTTTTTCTTTTAATGGGTCGTATTTCGCAAAGTACAACTCATCTTGAAGACGCTGTGCCTTCCCACGCCTTTTGTGCAAAGATATATGTTCTGGAATTTGATGTACCAACATGGCTTTCCAAATTTCTGCTGCAAATTAGGGAATTCAGCATTTCATAAAGAGAATGAAAGTGAAGATCTTATAAAAATTGAAATGTGTTAGTATCACTAAAGCATTTCAAAAAATAACTTGCTTATAAAAAATGGAAATCACGAATAATTTAATAACAGTGCACCAAAAAGAAATCATCTACAAATATATGGCAGAAATAACATACGTGGAAACTTAGCTATATATATTGGAATCAGTATTGACATCCATAGAACGATATTTCTATTAAACGGACACAATTTCCACCACCAACGAAATGGAAACGCTCGAAACTATAACAAATTTAAAGTATATAAAGTTAAATTAAATTTTTTGTTGATTGGCGGTATCAGTAACTATTTAATACAGAGTGATGTGAGGAGATCACTAGAGGGGACATTTTTGAAAAGTGCAACCGAATAAAAACATGATTCGATAGAAGGAAAAGCAACACATTTAGCTGTTTCTAAGAGACATTTTCCAGCAGTATAAAAGATGTTTATATATTTTAACTAGTACAAAAAGTTCATGCTTCTTCGCAATTTCAAGTGCAAGTACAGAGGTATTATTGCTTTTGAAGGAAAAGTATAATGAGCCTTGTATAATGTAATAGTTCTATCGTTTCTAATCTTTAATTTACAATTCCTTTTAGCCGGTTTCTTATTCCTATTTTCAATAAGTTATGTGTAGCGAAACTTACTCTTTCAGCAGGTGTACACGGGATAGCCGATTGACGTGGATGAATATCAGTAGCTGGAATAGGAGCATTAGGGCTAGCGATAACTTTGGCAAGACCAATAAATGTCTCACCCCACCATTTCGCTTCACGCACTAATTTATCCAGCATACCTGCAGTGTAATGAAATTAGCAAATTTTAATAGCGATATTTCGATATACCTTGATAAAACACTAATAAGAATAAGAGAGATGACATGAGTCGTCAACAAAGTAAGTGTACAGGCAAAAATAATATTAAGCGTGGCAAACATTACGCTTAAAACGAGCAATAAAATATTAAGTACTGAGCGAATAACAAATCCCGCCTTATGCTTCTTCTTAGAACTATTTCCAATCATTTTTGCAATGTCTCACGTTCTCATAAATGATCCCTCATAATTTCGTCCAGAAAATAACAAGGAGAGGACAAATCGATCTATGCCAAATGCTTTCTCAGCAAATGTCTCACGACCCTCCCCTCCGAATTGTCGTATGTTTGAACTTTACAACGGTTCAAGGAGGCAAACGCAGCAGGAACCTTCCAGAAGATTCGATGAGTAGCAGCTGGACAGTTGAGGTGCGGGTGTGCGCTGCGTGGAGAGTGTGGTTGGGCATCCGGCAGTAGTCCGGTTCCGGTTCGGTGGATAGCTGATATGATGGTAGTGCTGGTAATTTGGAATGTCATTTCTTTTCCAAGTTTTCTTCAAATTGTTTTCAGGTTAAGATCCAGAGCACATTATAATGGCTGCAGTTGATGGAACTGATATCACTCCTGAAAAGGTCACTCTTGATTTACTGAATTTTAAAAACTAACACTTCTTTTCACTCGTGGATGCTTCTATTATTAAACATTATTTATTTACTTGCTGAAAATTAATTCTGTTCTTTGAATTTGTTAATTTGATTTCCATGTGATTGGGAAGTGATTTTTCCAGCGTTATTAGATGTTATTTTTTTATTTTTCAGAATGGCGGTGTTTTGAAAAAAATATTAGTGGAAGGAAAAGGGGAACATCGTCCTTCAAAGGGTGATAGTGTGTATGTGCATTATGTAGGAATTCTTGAAAATGGCGAGCAGTTCGATTCGAGCCGTGATCGTAATGAACCATTCAACTTCACCTTGGGCAACGGGCAGGTAATATGTGCGCTTTCTCTAATATACACTATTTCTTCAATTAATTTTACAGGAGAAATTGGCACTTTATCATTTTAACTGGAAGTTCTTTGTTGCTAATCCAAATTTATTCATGGCGATGACGTATGTAATATAAGGAATCATGCATAGTACCTTGCAGGTTATCAAAGGATGGGATCTTGGTGTTGCGACAATGAAAAAGGGCGAGAAATGTGATCTCATTTGTCGGGCCGATTATGCCTATGGTGAAAATGGTAGCCCACCAAAAATTCCTGGCGGTGCTACACTTAAATTTGAAGTGAATTTTTAATTTATTTGCATTTCATAAAGCTGTATGAATGATGTGAATATGATTGTGGAAGGAAAGAATTTTTTTTTAGATTGAATTACTGAGCTGGCAAGGGGAAGATATTTCGCCAGATCGAGATGGTACAATCACCCGATCAATCATTGTAGAGGGTGAGAAATATTCAAGTCCTACTGAGGGTTCAACTGTTAAAGGTTAGTTTTGTCTCTTTTTATTTCCTGGTGGTTAAATTTGTTTACCTATATTTTCCAGATTATCTTTCTAAGTAATGCGTGTTTTCCTCGAAAGGGACTTTGTGTCCTATTCACAGTTTGAAGGATAGTTGCTGAGGGATCAGCGACAGTGGATGAAGTCGGCATTTGTTTCAGTATGTGCCGTTGGTTCATACAATGGTCAAGTGTTCTACGATAAGGAAGTCAGCTTCATTTTGGGAGAAGGTTCTGAGGTAGTGAATAACAAACTTTTTATTTCCAGTTAACTTATTCTTTTCATTAATTTATGCAAATGATGATAATAGGCCGAGGATAAGCACTAAACCAACATGCAATGATCACAACCCACGAGAGCGATATACTGATGCTTTCTGTTTGTGAGTGAAATACTAAGTCCTGTAAGCTCAATGTTATATGTGTTCAAAATAAGTATTTTCAGGTGGGTCTACCGGAAGGTGTTGACCGCGCTCTCCGCCGATTCAACAAAGGCGAAAAGTCCATAATTCATCTCAAAGGCAGCCGTTTCACTTTTGGTGCTACTCCACCTCCAGAATATGGTTTACCGCCTCATGCTGAAATTGATTTCACTTTGTTCCTCAAGGAATATGATAAGGTGTTTTCCGGTATTATATCTGGATAAAATTTTTTAATGTGACACTTTTTCAGATTAAATTCTGTGAATTTTAATAAATGCTAGAAGATGCAAATCTCGTTTTTAGGTAAAGGCGTCATGGGAATTGACTGGTGAAGAAAAGCTTGATGCTGCAGAAGCTGCGAAAGAAAGGGGTACTATGTTTTTCAAACAAGGCAAGATGCGCCTTGCAGCTGCAAAATATATGCGCGTTATTGAGTTGTTGGAATATGAAAAATCATTAGAAAATGAAGCCAAAAGCAGACGGGATGCGCTGTTGCTTGCTGGTTACCTTAACAGGTTCTTGTGTTCTGTTTTTTTTTTTTTTTTTTTTTTTGTGGAGTTGTTTTTTGAGGGTATCCAAGCTTTAAAAAGCTCGTATCCAATGTCTTCTGATTTGAAGTTTCTACTTAACTCTTGTTTTCTTTGATTTAGCGCCCTCGTATATGCGAAGCAAGATGAAACAGTGGAATGTATAAAGAATTGTGACAAAGCACTAGAAGTTGATCCGAAATGTGTGAAAGCATTATATCGAAAGGCTTTGGTAATTTTTTTAAATAAGATGCTACAGAAATCCAAGCTTTATTACTCGAATGCATTTGTTTCATCTACCACATTCAGAATAGATTAACTTAAATTGTTTTATTTCAGGCACTTCAAGAGCAAAACGATGCTGATGAAGCAATTATTGAGTACAAAAAAGTACTAGAATACGAACCTGACAACAAGGTTCTCTATCTGCAGTGGCACAGTGATCTCATTAGTTGTATGAAGTATCATTTGTTCAGTGATATCATCATAACTCATAATTTTTAGGCAGCGATAGCGCAAATAGCGGCATGTAAGAAAAAGTTGGCAGAGATTCGTGAGAAAGAGAAAAAGCGATATAAGGGAATGTTCGAAAGATTTGCTGCTAAAGAAAAGGTGGTGTTTAACTGCAACTTCGAAGTTTCTGGAAAGTTCAATCCGGAGTAGATTTATAGCGTAGTTCATTTCAGGTTGAAACGAATGAAGATTTGGAAACTGCAAGCCCAAAATCGGAAGTGGTGAATTGAGAAGTAATGGAGTTATTGATTTTTACTGTTCAATTGATCTATTTCACATGCGTTCCTTAAATTTTGAGCGTATTTGTTTCAAAATTATTGGTTACCACTGTTTATTTCACCACTAATAAGTGTTAAATGTTCTTGTTTTGAGCAGATAAAAGCAGTTTTGATTAGTTTACTCTACATAAGAGGAATTTTTAAAAAATCTAAAGAAAAGCTATGGATGGAGTGGATTACTTTGAAATGCTATAGGTTCATGCTCGCATAAAGTGCGTTCATGGTTGTTTTTTCTTTTTAAATTATAGGCCATCCCAATTATGCTGGGTGCATTCTTATTTGGCTTGCTAATGACGCAATAGTATAATTGTCTCCACGTTTTTGCAGTGGTAAGAGTCGAGAGTGGCTAATCATTTATAGCCACTACTTCTTTAATTCCCCTCACTTCTCACCATAACACTATGTTAAATCTTGAATCTTTTTTGAAGTTTAAATGATAGATTCTATGGGCCTTGTTAAACAGCAATTTTGGAACAAATGTTAAAACAAAATATGACAGGCGAAGGAATAACTGCTAAAATGATTAGTTGGATTAAAAAACTTACCAGTGTTTTATAGATTCCATCTCATCCTTTAGAAAGTTTCAGCTAACTGACGAAGTTTTAATCACTTATCAAATAAATTAGTTGTGCTTTTGCTAAGATGCCGATCTGCCAACTATTGGGCTAGTACATTGTGTAGTGGAAGCAAAAATGTTTTTGGAAACAACCTTTATGATTTGGTTGAATTGTTATTCGGGGGAGAAGTTTGATGTCAGGGAGATGTGTTGGATGCCAGCTAAATATTTGGGCAACAATTGAATAAACTGATTCGGAGGATTGGATGATTTTAAAACTGATCTAATTGACAATAGTATGGTTATAAAATCTACATTGATGTTAGACAATGATCCAAACAAAGGAGAGGAGGTGCTTGCATGGGCACCAGTTGCTAATAAAGAGCTTATTAGATAACCGCATGATTATGATAGCTAACAAAGAACAATGTAGATATCCTCATGATTGTAAGGATTGCTAACAAAGAACGATGTAAATTGTTTCAATATGTAGAAGCATAAATTTGGAAACAAAGAGTCCGAAGTATAAGCATTATTTGCGGAAATTACGTAGATATCTTTACTACAATTTGCAACTCATATTTTTAGATCGCGATATTAAAATCCGCGACACATTGAACATCTTAATATGCCAAGAGGTTTGAATAGTAGTTCTCTGGGGACTGGACAGGAAATGGTGCATAACGGAATCACAATTTCAGAATGCAGAAATCAAATGCATGCAGCAGCAGCAGCGGTAATCAACAAAAGAACAAAAATTGAGTCCTGTATGAAGTTTGCATTAAATTCTATTGAATACCCTATTCATAAGGCATTAAGACGGAAGACTACTTAGAGAAAACTCATTGCTTGTTTTTCAGTTCACTCCATTTATGTGTACGTTCACGCAAGGTATTCGTGGAGATTGTGTATTTAAAAAAAAGGAAAATTATTTCAAAGTTTAACTTCAGTCACTTTTACAGGTCCACTCGTTTGAACTTCTTATTCAAAGTGCCATGTCCGTTAATTCCACGTTTTTATGTTAATCCCACGCGTTTTATTTCATATAATTGATGCAGTTACAATGAATAAAAGAATCTATTGGTATCAATTAATATAATTAAAGCAGTTAAGGTAAAATGCTTCATATATACCTGTTCACATGCATTACATTTCGATTTCGTACAGCAACATATCTGTCCCTTAATATGTCGCTGCTCACATCCTTCTATCCCATCTTTGCAAAATCCAAATTTTTTACTTCTGTCACAATCCATTACCTGCAGATCTTATCAAATTCATCAAGAAATTAAACAACTAAATGGAATAACTATAAAATCAACCAATCTTTTCTATTCCTTGATGATGGGCTGGCATCTATAATAACAGTCAATGTTCGATAAAGCAATAAATTGCTGAATCCGTAATGCAGTCGGTAAAGGTGATAAGTAGTCTTCCAGTAAGCTCGTAATGGAATGGCTGTCAGGATTTTCAACAAGAATTCCAAAAGTTCTGTGGAACTATTCAGAAACTAACAGTGATACCGTTTGGCATCACTTGTTTGTAACAGAATTCAGTATTCGAATCGCACAGAATCATTGTTACTTTGTTGTTGATACCCGAGTAGCACAATAAATTCTCACTTAAAGTTGACATGCACTGTTGCCATATAATTGCCAGTACCAAGAGTTTGGTACAAAAGCTGGAAGTTGGCCCAACTAAGGATTGAAAGGATAGAGATACTGTCACTGTAATTTTAACTGATGAATATTGTCATGGAATTGTCTGCAAATGAAGCAATTCATTAATTCAAGGCAGTTTTGATAAATGTTTTTGCTCGCAATTAAACTGGTGGATGATGATACCTGCCCATAATGAATATTCTTTGAATGAAGTGAATTTTATACCAATGGTAGATTGTAAGTCTGGAAAAAAGGCATTCATTCAGTAGAATGAACTGCAGAATCAAACGGTTTCACTCAATACATCTCAAACATTTTCGAGCTTTCAAGGCTATTTACTAATGACTGGTCTAGAACAGTCTGAGAAGTGTGAGGAATAAATGGACCTAACCGATCAATAACCGATGTATGCCAGCAAACCAGGTGTAAAAGAACACGAATGAACGATTGACAAGTGAAGACTGAAAATAAAATTTGTCTGTTTGTTCAACTCACTTATATATTTTGCATCCTTGTTCTGTACGAAATAGCTGTCACTGATAAATATGCAGATTTTATGATATGGATAAATTAGTTTCATACTTAACAGTTGTATAAATATGCAGGTTTAGCATCACAACCGGATTGCTAAACACAGTTGATGTCATGTTATTTTTCTTTTGTAAAATGATAGCAGTAGTTCAGCTGTAGATTATTATAGATTTGTACCTGGAAGATCGAGAGTTCATGATCAGATCTATTGGGACCTCCTGGATAGATACGTATAATTGTAATAGTAGGTATCATAGCTCTCCTTCTCATAGTGATATTACACGATTGTGATACCGCCAAGAGTTTTGTTAGTTTTAATGACTTTCTTATTTACACAACAAATAATCATGGCTTGGCTGTCAAAATCAAAAACAAAGATTTTTTACTCAAAAAAAAAAAAAAAAACAATGAATATTGGCAGTGCTTTTGACTTCCATCTTCGCATTGTGACTTTGTTGGAAATATTTTATTTCATGTCTGTTAAAATCTGTTAAAAAGTTAGGGGATCTTTCTTTAACTCTCATAATTTATGTAGATTCTCATGATTACCTGGAAAGGTTATGTAAAGTAGAAGGAACATAAAAGCGTTCTTTGCTGTTTCACGCGTTAATCGGAGAAAGAGTCAATCGTTGAAGTTGTTAATAGTCAATTTATTAAATTATCAGAATCAAATTACCAAGAATCGAAAATTATCAAATTATATGATTTAGCAGATATTATAAAGTTACATAAATTCGAAAAAAAAAAAGAAAAATAAGTTGGAAGAGCATAATTTCTAAATAGTTTCTAAAGATTTATTAATATTAAAATAGTATACTTAGTTGACAACGTTTAACTTCATATTTACATCACACTATTTCTACCATTTTTATCTTTCTTTTTTAAATCTGTTTCTAGTCTCAGTTCCGGATTATTTCTGAATGTTTCCTTTTTATGACTGGATATTGATGATATCTCTGTCTTGGTAAACGTTTCTGGTTTGCTGCTCTGATCAACTGAGTCCGCTGAATTAATCGTTGCCGATTTTATTGTTGAACTTGTTTCCCACAAAATTTTAGGAAAGTAAGGAGTTTTTCTTTTCGGCGATCTTTCCAGTGTTTCATTTGAAGTCAGTGGTAGCTTGAAATTATCAATTATTAAAAAATATTGTGGGTTAACTAAATGATCAATCAATAACCTAATGTATTTTTCTTGGAAATTAACAAAAGATAGTAAGGCATAGCATTAATAGTGTTGCTTTCTTTACTGAATTTATCACATTCCCATTACATCTTTTAATAGTTTGATTAATTTTGATTTTGTCTACATGATAAATTGCCTGTGAAAATCTAACGCAAACTAACGATGTCTTGTGTTTCCACAAGTTCCAATTCACTATCCGTTTGCGTTCTCTCTGATCCCTCTTCTGCTGTGCTGTAATAATTTTTTGAAAATTAATATAATATAATTCATATAACTTCGCTGTTATTATGGTACACTCTTCAAAGTTAAATCTTCAAATCGTCAACAACAGTAGTATTCATTATACAAAAAGGGAATTACGACTTAATTATTTACCATGCAAATTCTTCCCAATCAGTTATGTCAAATACTTTTTCATTAAATGTCACCTTGTTCCTGCAATGAATGTTTTCCTTTCCAGATGTTTACTAAAGTTGGTGTTTGCAAAAAAAAAGATGTTTACAAAAAAATTTATATGTTTTTAAATATATGTGCTTTGATATCCTCTATCCGACTATACATACTCTTCAGTTTTGTAGAAAGTAATTAAAGAAGATATAAAATTAAATATTTTTTGAGAGTAAGATTAAGATCCGTGAAAATGTGGCTTTTGGAGGAAAAAATGAAACGTGCGATGATTTCGGTTTGTTTCTTTTCTTGCGTTCTTTTTCATTTGGCATCGACAATGCATTGGCAAGGAATGTGTTTTTGCGTAATGTTTGACAGTTGAAACCTTCTCGTTTCTCGAGTTCTTCGAGAGGAGCATACGGATCGCACTCGGGTGTTTCGGTTGACTACAATTTCTAGATTCTTTAATAATTTGAGAAAAACAGGAGACAAATTTAATAAGTGAAAAAATTGGAATTGAATATTTTCCCAAACAAAAATAAAAATTGTGTAAACAATTTAAATTTTTAACTTCTTTTGGAAATTTCCTTCATCAATTATTAAAGTAAAAACCTTCATAAATGACTTCTGGCTAGATTCATTTATATCTTCCTGTAATGAGTAATGTTTTCACTAGTATTGGAAGTGAATTTATTGCCAGTACATATAAGAGACGAAAATTCTCTCCTGCATCTTTAAACAGGAACTATAACAAACGGAACATTTAGAAATTAGCCTTATCATTGCCATCTCAGGAAATAATAATTGATATTGCATACAGTGTTGACCGAATTCTCTCTCAATACTCAACTTTGGGACACTTCTTTGAGAATAATTTAAAGTAATATAAAGTTGTAATTTATAAAATATATGTGAAGACGACACTTTATTTAATTGCCGGATCATATCGTGACATACAAATAATATTTCCTGTTCATTGTACATATAATTCTCTGAATTTGGTTCTTCCAATTGCTATAACAATAACCATTAACTTTTTTATAGGATGAGAACACTGATAATATTTAGAAAATGTAATAATTAGATGATAATTAGATGAAAATCAATCAATAGGAAAACAGAAATGCATTTTTTATCACTATCAGTTTTAGATTTATATATTACCACTTCGTCATCCACTTCATCCTGATCAGCTTCGTTTTTAGACATGGATATGGGTTTTGGATAGAGTGTATCGTCGTCCGCATCCAATTCACATTTTTGAACTCTGACATTTTGTTTACTGTCGTACTTATTATTCCCGCTCGCTTTTGGCACTTTCTTCAATTCTTTCAGTGAGAAAATGAGATCACCTAGAAGTATAGAATAAACTTCAGAAATGCGTCACTTGTTGATGGATAAGAAACTTATCAAGAAATATCTGAAATGTTTCGTGAGAAAAAATCACAATTAATAAAATACCTTTCTTTATAGACAAGTCTTTCGCAGGCTCTTTGAATGAATGAATTCGATCTATAAGCGCTGAGTTGGGTTCGACGCCAAGCGCCTTAATGCATAGAAAATAGAATGAGTAGTAATATGTAAACTGTGAATTAATTATAGCACATCTCGTGCAGTGTTAGCTATCATTAATACCACAATTCTGGCAGAAGTTCGTGTTTCACTATTATGATTTTTTCAAGAGTAATAATGACAAGAAATAAATTACAACAACCTTTTGTATTTCTTCAAATTGACTCTTCAGTTCTTCTTTAGATAATGGAATTCTGTTTCGTTGTATTCCCTTCCTAATTGTTCGGTTTTGCGGCGAATTTTTTGTTTTTAACTATCAAATATTGCTTATTTTATACAAACAAATATTTGTGCCGAATTTTTTAGAATTAATGCAACGATTTGAAACTAAAAATATTAGTTGTAACTATCTGCGATGCGATGATAAATATAAATCATACCGATAACGGCGATATTCTAAAATAAAACTTTCCTTCAATTCATTAAAAAAAAAGAACGCTTGGCCTCATATTACACTAAAGCATATGTAATCTTCCTTTGATTTGTTCTTTAATTAAAATATTATTTCTGCTAGCTCTTCCGTGCTATTGCATTCCATTTTTTTTTATTACCAGTCTAGGACTGGTTGGAAGATCTGAACAATTCATTAATGAAATTTCCTGATACCAGTATAATTTTTTGCTGATTTCAATTTTTTTTTTTTTGATATGCTACGCTTAGTTTAGATAATGACTCACTGGCGATCTTTGTAGTATTGAGACTGGAGGTTGAGTCTCGAGCCTAACTTCTGACTTCTTTCTGCTGCATAAGCACATCGATCTTCAACAAGTCATTATATTTATTAAATGTTTTTCATCGACCACCTTTATTACTTATGCGTTACGTCGCAAAATAGTGCTTATATATAAGCTGGTTAATTTTGACATCAAAAGTTAGCCTTCCCTTTTTCTTAACTTTAAATTGAATTTCGGTACTTTTCATGACAGCAAAGTATGATGGTCTGATAGTAAATCTACTGCTTTTCCAAAGAAAGCTGAAAATTTATGATTATACTACAGTTTTTGAAGTTTAATTCGTAAAATCACAAGCGGTACTTTGAATGTGAAACTCGAGCTCTAGAAAGAAATCGAGAATACGACAGATTTAAACAGCAAATAGAAAAATGACAATGAAAATCAGAAAAACAAATGTCGTTTATTTGAATTGAATGTTTTATGCTAATTATAAAATTATATAAAGCAATAAACTTATAGCAATACAGATTACAGTGAAAAATATATGCTGATTTGAAATTTAATCCGATTTCGTCATTCAAACATTAAGCTTTCCTTCTTTTTCTAACTTTCTCTTTTATTATCTTATATTATTAGTTAGTTTGTTTATACATTTTCTTCTACTATCTGGGACTTATTACTATTTTCATTCCTCTGCATTGTATTATTTCGGGTCCATTAGAAATTAAACATTTTAATCGTAGGCAGCCATTTTGTAACAAATTTCAAATATAAAAGCGAAAGAATTACGAAACAGAAAATACAAAAGTTTTCATTAAATGCAAAAATTAAAGTTTTTAATCTGAGCGAAGAACAAATGGATTGCGTGTAGAATTCACAAAACGTAAAAATTTTAGTGAGAAAAGCTGGAAAGTAGTTAAAAATGTAAATTTTTATTCAAACATTTGCTTTCATCATTGTAAATTATATATGCAGGCAAGGTCAGTAATTAATCTTCTGTATTTTTAAAGTCATTTTCAATTCATATTAGATTTTCATCAACTAAGAGAAGTAAATTTAATCTAAATTTCTACCAATTAAATACAATGCATTTCAGTCCGGCCGAACAATTTCTCACATACGATGACTAGTTTTTGTTGATCATCAAAGAGAAACAAGAATGCATACAAAAACTATTTCCTAAATTGACGAACATTTATTTATGAATTATTTTATTATTCAAGGAATAGAAGGTTTATTTTTCTAAAATAAAATTAAAATTTTTATTTCCATTGATTATAACAAATAAAATAGTCAAGCTTTGGAGTGGTAGTAATATGTAAGCTTACTTAATTTTTCTGTGATTTTCAATAAAACAAATATTTAGCGAAGATTACCTATTATGCTAAAACACTGAAATAAATTATATCACAATATTATTTTAGATAATAAAAGGGCAAATACCGGCAGAGTAATTTTGGACATGAAAATAGAGTGAGCAGAATTACAGAGGTTACTAGAGCAGCAACATATGTAACCAAGATTAGGAATTGTTTCACACGTTTCAAATAAGCGATACGTTTGACAGATAGATGATCCACCAGTACCATCACAGTACCTTGCCTGAAGAAATCTTTACATTCTACTTTTCAACATTTTATAAATATGTGAATTAAAAAAGCGTTTTCTTCTTTTTTTTTACAAATTGAGCCACAAAAGCTTTCTTTTATCGTGATTGTCGAATCATTTGTTGTTGCTTACATAATGAAAAAAATAATTCAACAAATAATGAAATTCAGATGCAATGAGAAAGTATTTTGGCAAGTATATGTAATAATAGTGTTAATTTATGAAAACCATTGACTTGAGTAATGAAACACTTAAAAACTCTAAGAAATTAAACGAGTTAAATTAATACCGTATCAAAACCAAGTGAATGCTTGATACAATTTATACTCGGACATTCAGTAATCTGCAGCTGACTTCCTGAATAGCACTGAATTGCTCCAGTGGCGGGTAATGTCAACAAAACTAATAATAATATGTAGATTGTCATGCCTGAAATATCACTTTTAACTAACTTTTACTTTCCACTGATTACAAAAACATGATTGCGTTATTGATAATTTTGTAATTATTCAGGTAGATAAAAACTATGAACTTCATAACATAAGTAATAAATCGAAAAAGTAGAAGTAAATAATAATGAATGGTTTCGTGATGTCTAAATCTAAATAAAAATTCAAAAAACGAGACAGAAATCATCTCAAAAAGTTTAACTGTCAGAAGAGTAGAACAGTCATTCAGGAAACATTAAGTATCATTAATGTGAAAAAGGTGGGATACGTTCTCAGTTCATATTAAAATCTTCGAAGAACTATTACTGCCATCAATTCTTTCTCAACTGACTAAGATTCGCTAAAACGTTAAGAGAAAACTTATGGTGAACCTATATCACATATACCTCTATTTACCTGTTAGTCATCTATCTATACTTCTGTCCCTCATTAGTAATAATTGAAATGAGTACATTTAGGAGTAGCAAAGTAACTAACAGATAAGAAAATTCAGAGTGACATCTGTCAAAATATAGGAATAAAAGAAACTGTTTGAGGTTGAAATGTGATTTCATGATGAAATGTCAATCAACATAAATGTGAAGTTGATGAGCCGAATAACCGAAAATGGGCCCACCGCTAGTCATATAATTATATAATTTTAGCTTATTAGCATGTTCAAAATCTTAGCCACTCTAACGATTATTCTACTTCGATATTTCTGAGTTTAGTGAAAGAGAAGAAAAATAGAAGAAAATGCTTAAGGCATCAAAAAATAATATTTAAAGATCTGCATGCTGGCGATAAATAATATCATTAAAGAACCAAAGCAATTATAATTAGAAATTATCAATCTCAAAATTATTATTTTTTTTTTCCAGTAAAAATAATTTAAATACAATTATTTTCACTGGAATTGATCCTAGAAATAAATGCATGCAGTTGATCAGTACTGCCGAATATTCTTCCAATTTCCTTTCCATATTTCAACAAGCAATAAAGTTCGACTCACTACTGCAATATTCACCTTTCATATATATAAATGAAAGCTCTATGTGTATGCTAATAATCAGTCGTGCTAGTTTATACAAGCGTATCTAATCTCGAAATTTAGGAAACGGAAGAGGAATTCATCAAATCAGAGATGTGAGAAAGAGGTCTGATTACAAACAAAAATAATTTATGCAAACAGGAAATGATGATTGTAAAATGAATAAATTCAAGGTCAGCTGTTGTTGAGAACTGAGAAAGATCAAAATATTTAACATGAATTTTTTGAATCATCATTATGCACTTAATGCGATATAATGTCGTGAAATGCTTCTTGATTTGAAATAATATGAATTCATATTCTTCAAATTTCTGTCACTAAGCACACAATTCAGGACTGTTTTACTATATGATAATTTTCAGTTTAAATTTTCGTCAAAACAGTGGCCGTTTTTGTTAACAGTTGTAATGCAGGGAAAAAAGTTATTATTCTATGAGAACAAAAAAGGAATGAAAGATTAGTGTTGAAATTCAAGTTCGGTTTTTCATTATAAGTTTAGAAAACGCCGGAAATATAATTTAATTAACACGCAGTATTTATGGTATAAATGTAAATTCGATTTTTATGAATTATATATAAACATTACTTATGAAAAAAAGAAGATTAGATCACTTGAATTTTTTTTGTTAGGAACCAATTTATATTTCTTAATCTATTTTCGATTGCCTTTTTATAATGCGAAAATTTGACAGATCAGTTCTAATAATGTATTAAATCTCAGTAATCTTCACTAGTTTTTTTTTTTTTTGATTCAACGAAATCTATTAATTAAGAAATTGTCATCTTTATTTAAATGGCAAATGAAAATTTTTACTTTCACAGATATTTGTCTAAAAGTTTTGAAGATTTTGTTGGAATTTGTTTTTTTTTTTTTATTTCAATGTTTTACTATTATGCTAGTTTTTGAAATATTTGAACTAAGATATTTTTTTCATTTAAATTAAGATATATTGATCATTATTTATGCTTTTTCCAATGTTACCAATGCCTATAAAAGATAAGGAAAAACAAAGGACTTAAACAGATACGGGTTCTAATATTAATATCATTCGAACTGTAACATTCGATAAGTTACAAAGTAAATTCATCACTTCTGAAAAATAACTTAGCTTTTTGGAAAGCCATGATAAACCAGATGGTAAGGGAAAAGGAATTAAATCATCAATAGTTCGAATCAATGACTCGAAATAAGAGAACCTGTAAAGTATTTGTGGGATAAATAATTCAATTGATCGATGGCAAATGCAAGTTTGATTTCTGTTGAAAAATGCACTGGTGGCAATTCATGCCGAAATATCTTAGAAAAGTATAAGGTAAATAAATTGTTTGTTTTGTTTCTTGAAAACTGATTAACATTATCGACCTATTTGGAGTTATGAAGAAATCAATCTGCAGCAAAGAGTCCTTCCTTGTGTTCCTAATTTCACAACAAATATTGGAAATAATATGTGTTGTGAGAAACGAAGGATGAATTAACCAATTATCACATCTAATTTAATATTCTCAGCAAAAACGATCAAACTTAAAACGAAGAATGAATGAGAAAAAAAATGAGAATATGATGTAAAATGCAAATCTGAAGCAAAAATGAGAATCTGAATTGTATGCCAATCTAAACATTTTTTTTTTAACAAGAAGTGAAACCAGTCAATCTATGCACTAAAAGAAACAAACAAATTAAATGAGTTAAAAAGCTTCGGCAAACGATAATAATCAGTCATTAAGAAGCATAGAAATCATAATTTTATTCATCGATAGAAGAATTATTTCAATATTTTTGTATTTTTGATGATTAGTACTGTTAAAATAAGGTATTTCAGATAACTGAAGCGATTGAGTTATACTTGATCTGTCTAGTTTTTAGTTTACTATCTATTAAACAGATTTTGTAATATTTTTTTTTTCAATTTATTATCAGCAAATTGTAATCCATTCATAGATGATTTCGAATTTTTGAGCTCATAAATTTGCTTATTACTGGCTTATTTTAAAAATCTTAAAATCTAAATCTTTATTGTATAATTTGCCTGCGGAATAACTTTTATCTTCCCTACTGGTTTCTTTGAAAGAATTTCAAATTATTTCATTAACTAATGCACAACAGTGTACCTTCATCTTTCTTATAAACCTAAATCCTATCGAGTCTATTCAATCATAATTTAGGTTTTTTCTAGTTCAGTCATTATAACCATTCAGTTATAATTAGAGCGACTGAGAACTTTAAATCTGAGATCTGAAATCCAGAAGTTTATAAACAATAATTAATTTCGCAATAACAACATTTTGGAGTGAAATGAGATTTATTTAGAATTTCCATTAGTAACCGTTGAGTGGTCAAAGTGCCTATTTTGTATTAGATAATAAATTGGCATCCCCAGCAAAATATCCAGTTGCGGTCCGTTCTCAATTAAAAAGTCTTTTATCTACAAGATAAAATGCTCGATGTGTTTGCCAAACCGTTGACTTTCCAATGAAAGAGTAAAGAATGAATGAATTATTCAGCTCTCATTGCGAAAAGTTGCAGTAATTCGTAAGAATGCGATATTAATTAAGTAGGGTACGTAAAGCAGGTCCTCCTCACTTCAATGAATTCTCAATAACTGCTCAAGATGGATGACATAATCTTAGTTTTACATAGAATTATATTTCCACACTTCACTCTTCTCTTACTGTTTAATTTCCCTACCGAAATACCGTCCAGTCGACTGATTAAATGAAAACGATCTGGAAGCGGTGGACAAAACTGTAGATATGGATTTACAGTTTCACCAATTAAAGAATTTACCGGTTCCAGCGGTCATGATTAAGTTGTTCAGAAAGTGCAGATATTCCTTGTATTCTTGCGCGTTTTTAAGTTTCTGCTTACTTTAGGAAGTTTTCAATTGTTAGGAAATGTACAATTTCAGTTTGTTTCCCCTTTTATTCATTGACGAATTTCCTTCATTTTTAGATAATTCCAAAATGAATAATTAGTTTTCCTAAGATTAGCGAAAAGGATTTAAATTTTAACCATTAGACACTACCCTCCCCTTCCCCTCCCCTCCCCCCTTATTAGGAGACTCTTTTGAACTTAACAGACATTAATTATTCAGTTTCTCCATTAGTCGAAATTGTGAAATATAAACAGTTTCGAATACTACCGAAATATGAATATTCACGGAATCTTTCTCCACAGTGAAATTTCCTACCGAAATAGTTAAGTTAAATTTCGCAATAACAACACTTTCAAATGAAATGAATTCAGAGATCATAGGTCTGACAATCTATAATGGAGTATTATAAGCCTAGCAGTCCATATATTAAAGTAAATGAATCATTTTTCATTGGATCGGTATGTACTGCCACAGAGAACGGAGAGAGTAAAGGGACAGCAGAAGGAGAACTGAGCAGATTTCTTGATTGCATCTTTTTTTGAATACTAACAATAGCAAATGATAGGTGTTGTGTACACTACAATATATGAATGAAAGAATTGATGGAAGAGTGATGAGAGATTTCAAAAAAGTTTCACAAACAATAAATAAATTGAAATGAAATGAAATGAAGCATGAGAACTACATTGCTGATCATAAAAGGAGGCCACTTCTTTGCTGACTACCGTTAATTTATTCTTTCACTTTTCCCATTCTTTTCTTTGAACAATTACGACAAACATTTGTTGAAGATTTTTGGATGAATGCAATTTCTGTCAAATGCAATCATCTCTCTAGAAGAGTAAAACCGTCGTTAAACTGCAAAAAAAAAAAAAAAAAAAAAAAAAAAAAAAAAAAAAACAGTCTTTTACTGGTGAATACAATTTTATTTAATTTTAATTTTAACGATTTTTTGATCGAATTAAACTTTTGGATTACTATTAGTTCCAATGCAAAAACGATTTTTGATGAATTATTTATTCAATCTTAATTCTGATTAATTATACATTTAAAATTTTTTATTTTTTCATACAATTTAATTAACTGGAGTTAATTACCTAGGGTTAAATATCGCAGCAACATATCTTAAAAGAAATGACCTAACAACAGTTCGCCGTTAATCAATTTTATCCGTCCCAATCAGCGCATACGGGAAGGATGGAATAAATTGCCTTATTAAAGAGGGAAATGTTAGCAGTGTGATATAATTTGGAAGTTGAATGATGATGAGAGACTAATAAATAAAATCAAATACAAAAAAGTAATTGTCAACAAATGAACAACATCTGCCATAATGAAACATATATTATTGCATTGCATCCTATCAGCAAAAATTTTATGAAATATATAAATAGTGCGAAATAATTTAGTCACAGAATTACAGAGGAAATAAGCACTAATTTGCTGGGACAGATATGTGCCCTCTCTACAGTTGGATTATAATAATCCGAACACTTACAACATTCCCTGCCAGTACCAACCGTTTCATTTCTAGCAATTGATATCATCATATATAGAATATTTACTTATTTAATGCGTACAACAGAACTAAGCTAATTGCTCGTTTTCACCTCATAAATGAACTCAATTGGTAGCAAAGTTTTGAAAGAACTTTTCCGATAATTCAATTAGTAGAAATTATTGGTTAAAACTACTCTAATTAATAGAAAATATTGAAATCATCAATTAACAGAAATCGTTAATCAAAACTACTCTAATTTTACTGTATTACTTAACTTATCCGATTTATGCTTCTTTCTCTCCGTATGTACAACTATTCATATATTTCAATAATCCAATTCCAATTAAATTCCCTTTTTAGGATTTCAGGAATGTGAACAGTAAATCAGAAATGTTCTAACCAGGGAACCAGAGAATTGCTCTTTAATCAATAAGAGAACATGTCAATTCTTATCCTAGAAAATACGTATGATGATGATTAGAACGGATAAGAGGTATGAATTTAATTTTGCCCGATAACAAACCTAAAATGAAAATATGAGAACAACGGGTAAATGGAATGAATTATCGTTGGATGATTGCAAACATTACTTATGTTAAAAGAGCATAGAAATAAGGTGGAAACGGTTGTGTCCTTGGAATCAAGGTATACTCTTTTGTGTTCGCATAAAGGACCATAGTTACAATACATCAGATTTATAATTACGCTCATCCAAACATAAACACTCATGGAGCTCTCGAAACCAATCAGCTGAATACCATGAAAATCAATGCTATACTAGCTCAATAAATGGCTTCTATTAAATTATACTAATCGTAATTCACCGCTACCAATAGAAAACTCAAGTTTCTCGATTACTTCGATTACTTAGTATGTCAAAATTCTGTTCTGCGCTGTGTCTGTGGGTGTGTTTGTTAAGTGCGGTACCAAACAAATTGTTAGATGAAAAGATGAAAAGGAAATAAGGAAGTTGAAGAAGTGTAATTGCAACAAATATACTAAATAAATTTCATTAGGCTCTATACTGAAAGAGAAAAGAAAATGGGATAGGAAATACAAACTAAATCAAAATTTGTCAAGAAAAATATGCCAGAGGAGAACTATATAATCGGAAAAACTGTCGATAGAATTACAAGTACTGATTTATAACAGACACTGTAACAAAATGTCAGATAATAATTTATCAGAAAATTAACAGTGGAAAAATGAAAGCAAAATCAGTGCAATTAAGAATTTAACACTTCAACAAATCAAGATATTACCAATACAAAAATACTACTTCATAGATTCTATTGGCACCTATATTCAGTCCAGCAATAATATAATTATAATAAAAATTAATACTTTTATTGATAGACCATTTTTTACGATTTTTTTGCTCGTATTAGTACTCGAAGCTCGTACTCTGCATCTGTTATTCTGAATTTTTGATTTTATATAAAACTGCTAATTCATTAAAATATTTAAATGCTGCCACCATTACTTTCAAATGTTTATGACAAAAATGCCATCATGGTGCAATAAATACACCGTTAGTAATACAAATAAATTAGGATATCCAAATCCTAAATAGCTACGCTTTTTACCTAGATTCTTTTCGACTACATCTCCCATCTAAGTCACTACTGCAACTATAATTTTAATACGAAAAAGTACTGCAACTATAATTTAATACGAAAAAGAAAATATATTTCCAATATAAATAAATAATAACAGTAATAAAGAATAAAATGATGTCGATATCGCTTTCATACGGATAACTGAACCGTTCATCATCAATGCAAACGTTTCGCAGAAATCGTGAATCTTCTGAAAAAAAAGCTTTTGATTACAACCTTTTTAAAAAAATCAAAATTAAGTTCAATACAGTGATCACCACTATCTTGAAATTGGTTGCTTAATCTTTCTTATAAAAAAATCTACACTTCAGTGGTTGCTTCTTTATTGGATAACAGCAATTCATTTTCTAATTATAAATGAAAGAACTTTTCAAGAGCAAGGAGAAGCAGTGGTGTTCTTGGGTGCAAATCTTAACAAATTATGCATTCTTCAAACGGCAGTCAAAATTAATGCGTGTAAAAGTGTCGAAAATTTTTTAGTAGACTTTTTCTGAACAAATATCGAATATCACTCGTCATACATTTTTATTCTGAAACAATTGGCAACACTCAGTCTTCCAAACAGAAACATTTCAGATCTTTTTACTCAATTTGTCCCAATCCTCTAATTTAATTCATCTTAAAAGAAAGAAAGTACCACTCCTACGAAAAGGCCATATTCTGTCTTACAACTTCATTGAATTTTTCAATTCCCAAAAAAAAAAAAAAAAAAAAAAAAAAAACCACAGGATTCGAATTATTCGAATGCAAAGCATAGCATTCCAAGATTATAAGACTAAAAAGGACTAATATACAAATCTATACTTACACGAAATTATGTAAAAGCTATTAACAACGACTATTAAATTAGATTGGTAGCAGTTTTAATCAATTATAAAAGCAATGTCGGCAAGGATTCTGATGCGAAAAAACAATTGCGTAATGTCACTTGTGGTTACAGCAACCATTTTATTACCAATATCTTCTTCAGATTCTTTCACTTTTACATTCAAACTTATATTTTTCAAACCAAATAAGTTAAATTCTTCGAGGATTTATGTGTCGAGATAGCATTATAATGATTCAAGAAATTAAGTTAAAAGTAAAAACATAACAAACATATAGTTGAACCATATATGTTTCATCATTACTGATAATTCATTGATTGTAATACTAATGTTGGTGGAAAAGAGTAGCGATATATAAACTTAAGCGATTTTTCATAATATTTTAACACACGTAAAAAACGAAAATTTTTGTATAGATATAGCTCTTCACAATTAACTGTAAATACGACATAAAATTATTTCATTATTATTGATAATTTATTGGTAGTAATATTAATAATGATGGGAAACCTGCTCAGCTGCTGTAATACACTCGATAATACAACGTTTTAGATCGCCACAAAGAATACGAATTGTCAAATTTCAACAAATATACACCTCGTCCTGGATATACGTGACTACCAGCGTATACCTTAAAATACAGAATTATGAACTATAACTGAAATTTGATAGTGGGACTGGAAAAACCAAGTGTTAACATTAAGTCTACCAAGAAATTTGTGCTTCATCACCAAGTAATTATTAATCATTTATGAATAGAAAATTTACATTCCAATCATTTAAACAAATGAAAAATTTGATCAAGCAAGCGGATCCTCGTTATATATGTCAGAAAAAACTTTTCGCTGAAGATATCATTAAGAATCATGGAAGGAATGAATCTACGAAACCGTGGAAGGGATAGTGAATACATTATTAAGCCAGCATCTAAATTCCCATGATTTCGTTTTCTTTCGCTTCAAATCCTAATGAAAATAATGTGAACCTCTTCATGACAATCACGTCGATAAATGGGGACAATTTCATCGACATGTGGTTTGTTCTGATCCGTTTCCTTTTCCCTTACAGAACTACCGCTTTCTACGTCATTGGTCCTTAACTCTACTTGCAAAAACTCTTCGTCTGCCTCTTCATCGGACGATTCCGACACATGAACTGATACCTTAAATAGTATATAAAAGTAATTATGCGGTTCCAGAAATAAGGGTTCGATTTGGAGACCAGTAAAAAAGTAATCATTACCACTGCAAAAGATTTGTTTAGTAACAATGAACTGATTCAAAGAAATTTATCTTATTTTTCAGTACAGCTAGTAATGACATTTATATATTCTTGACTTCATTACACAGTAAAACTTGCATAACAGTGAATTATGTAATTTCCACGTAAAAACGATCGATGTTCAAATGGCCAAGTTACCTTCAAATATTTTGAATCATTCAGAACAAACAATCAGGCTTATATCATCAAACTTTAAAAATGCTTACACGATTTGTTTGAGAAATTGTCCATTCAAAAAAAACACCAAAACCAATATCGTAATGATCGGTTGCAAATTCCCAAAACAAACAACTGCCCTCCTCATGAGTTGGTACACGAACCTGCATCAGAGTGAGTTAAGAGTTATAAATAGAGATTTTGCTGAGTTCTTAATACCAATTTCATTTGGAAATTGAACACTGAGATATAAAAAAACATTAAAACTTATTTACCTAAATGCCTTATCGAAATTTATTTTCCATATTACCCATTTCACTTCTATTCAAGAAACTAATTTTCTGAACTTATGATAACATGAGCGGCTATTTTTTTTTTTTTTTTTTTCATATGCTGGCCAATATCTCCAAAAGTAAGTAAATAAGTTGAGCGGAAACGAATGAAAATTTTCAAAAATTCCCTCAAAATTTTAATGTATTAAACCTACCGTTACTGTTTCACCATGTCCAACTTTAATGATGCTTTCACTACCTTCTTTCCGGATAGCAGTCTTGAATTCCATAATATCTTGACGATTCCACATTGATGCTGGTGCTATTGCAGGATTTGCTGGAAAATTCAACAATTAATTATAACCATTAGACAATAAACTTTTACTATAGTAAACCATGCTGACTAATCTAGTAATTATAATAACTACAATTTTTTTCTATCGACACAAAAAAAAAAACAATGCAAACTTGAAACGAAAAGGTACATCATGAATTTAACGAAAGATCCGGACGGCACTGAAACATAATCTATAATTCGGTATATTCACGAGGTTCTAGTGAATACAATTCGTAATGGACGTTCAAAAAATTTTTAGACCTTTAATAAATGAACCAGGAAATCATGCCAAATTTCTTTATCATTTTAAATAATCTAGCAAGATAAAGAATAGACAAATAATGTGATACACATAAGCATATTTAAGCATTAAAGAGAATAAAGAAAAGTTGATGAAGAAATCCCACACCAAAACCACTACTCAAGCTATTTGAATACACTTTATCTATATTATTTTTCGTATGTTACAAAAGACGTTTGCTATTTACATTTTTATTATGTATTCTGTTTTCATCTTTATTTCCCTTCATTACTTCAATTGTCAATACAAGACGTATGGCGCCATGCATGTGAAACATAGCAAAACCCATTATGAACGAAAATCGATGATCAAAAAAGGAACGAATTGTTGACCTAAAAAACAAAAGAAGTCAAACATCATTAACACAACCGAATCTTACTTCCATTTGATGAATTATGAAAAATCAACCTTTCAACCTCTTTAGCAAGTGCCATTATCCCCATCTAAGCCTAAGCCTAAGCCACGGTATATTTTTGCGCTGTTACCGCGTCGGACCGCTTAGTTGGGTGACCAGCAATGCAGCGGGGTGTTCCCGCGTTATTCTGCCTTCAGATGCTCGTGACTTCCACGTTACGTCCCAAATGTACAAGTTATGATTAAAAGTGTATTTCATTTCAGTACAGTTAATAAATATTCTTGAATCAGCAACTACTGATGAAGAATGACAGTAAGTATATCGAAGCAGAAACAGAATCCGTTTCTTCAAGGTAACCTATGTTCTCATAAACAATGTCATTTCACCCTAACCTGTTCGTTTTTTTTTTTTTTTTTTCAATATTCTTGGAAACTTTTTATTGGCAGACATAACTCCAATGAAGAAAAGAAAGAAAGGAAGGAATTCCAAATTGGTTCATGCTCTGTGTATTACGGCCTTGATACACATCACTTACTGATAGTGTAAGCACGAAGCATGTCCGTTCCAAATAATGAAATGCATTAACACTGCCTTATTATGACCCACTTCTCCTTAGATATTCTTTCTAATGTGCTGCTCCAGCCAATTTAAGATTTTGAACTGTTTTATTTATTTTCTTAATCATTTCTATTTTTTAAAATTATTTCTTGAAGTCAGCGAAATGTGCACTAGTTCTGAATTTCCCTTTTTCTGATCAAAACAGTTAGCATCATTTTGTTGCTCGATCCTAAATAACTTGTCTTAAACTTCTTCGGGAAATGACATTATAACAAGATAACCTATCCTCCTTCACGAAATTTAATGTGCGATTCATCAATTTTTCCAAATAAAACGCTCATACTAACTCAATTTTTTCTCAATTGAAAAATAAAAGAAAAAAAAAAACAATACAGTAAGCAGCATGCTTTACCATTCAGGTTGTTTTGTTATTCTATCTTCCAGATAAATTTTTTTTTAAATCGTAAATACAGCAAAAACTATTCAGACTTTCGAAGAACAAAACTTAGAAATTAGGTAGGAGAAAAGTTTTTTAAAAAGTTGAATAACAAACAAGACAACCGGCATCGACAATAAATAAGAAAGCAGCTTACAGTAACAGAAGAAACCCATTTGATCATGAATTGAACATACTTCAATTTAAAAAGTGAAAATTGAAAAGTATAAGAAAAAGAAAATCATCCCTAAAAAGGAAGTTTCTCTAGCCTTACCTTCATTTATAATTACAGAAAGGGAAACAAAAACTAATCATTTTATTGCTCTTTCTTCCTTAAGATTTTACTACCTTTTTACCCAAATGTAATAAGTATATAACCAACTACATATTGTGCATATGCATAAATCCGTAAAAAAGTGTACTCGAAAAATTTCCAACGATCCAAATATTTCAAAATTTTAAAAATATAATAATTGGAAAAATAATATATAATTATATTAACATAATAGATATAATAGAGGACAATGTAGTGAATGTTATAAGAAAATTTCAAATCAGAAGTAACTGCTTAACAAAATACAAAATCTCGTAAGACCTTCTTCACTTAATAAAAAAACAAGTATTAAATTTTTTAAAAACGGATTTCTTAAAATGGATTTGTTTCTAAGATGTTTCTAAGGTAAATATTTTGGCACAGCTAATATATCTACTATGGATGTAACTTGATTCATTTTTGTTACCATTTTGAAATCTACAATAAGAAGGGAAAATGAACTAACAAGGTAAATCTTCACCGACTTCTTCATCAGAAATATCCGAATTCTGATTTCCATTTCCACTTTTTCCACTATAAACTTTACTCTGCGTGTTATTTTGCCCATCCACACTTTTTGTTGAAGTAAACTCGCTATCCGGAGATGCGCCAACTACCTTAGCTTGCTGTGCATATATTTGAGCCATGTATTGCTGATAGTGCTGTTCTTGCAGTTGTTTGATCAGTGCTTCTTGCTGCAAAAATAATTACCAATTATTAAAAATTTTTTTGGACTGGAATACTTTTTACACATTCGTTTTCTTTTTTCCTACAAAAGTTTAAGAGATATGATCACTTTAAACAATATTTAACAGTTAATTGCTTGGTAATTATATTGCCACTTCACTTTGTATACACTCTTTGGTCCCACTTTAAAATGTAAATATTTTTTAATTACAAGCTAAGAAGTTGTAAGTAATGCTTGAAAAAAATGCAGAAGCTGAAAAAATTACATCTACCACTGGATGAATCTAATCTGCTGAACCTCATTTAGCTTACTCTCAGAAAACTTTTCAAAATTCAAAATATACAACCATTCTCGGCATTCAATGTATTGTTTGACTTTTTCAACGTATCCATTATTCATCACTAATATCATTTTTAAATTATCGTGAACATCAACTTTTTATCCACTTTGTTTACAGTATTCTAGAATTTCTCAATTATTCAGGAATAAATGCGTACTTTCATTCGTTAAAAATCACTTAGCCTTACCTTATGAAGAAAAAGCTATTGGAAATGAAAAAAGAAGAGACTGGAAATTAAAAAAGCTGACTTTAACAAGAAAAATAATACTTGCGATAACTTCTTTTATATCCTGTGAAATAGAAGACAACTGAATTCTCCGCTCAGGTTATAAATAAATAACTAAGGTTTATTTCCAAATGAAATTTATTTATTCTTTTTTTGAGATGAAGGATGAACTAATCCCACTTGTACATATTTTTTTTTTATAACTACGACATTTGTTGTTCTCCAAAACATGCACTTTTAAGGCAGATAAACTTAAGGCTACATAACTGATGAATGACGTAATATCCAATTCTAATGGTCCTCAATATTTCTAAATCGAGTCCACTTCATTCAAACCTGTGTTGGTTGCATTTATTCATTCACACTCTCAGGATAACAGCTCTCAAATAAATTTACATCAAGAAGCAATTAATCATTGATAAAGCAGATGAATTATCCCTGAATTAAATACCACACTGTTTCCAAATGTCCACATCACCTGATCATCTGTTCCCGACATCATAGTCTTTCTAAATACAATGTCTGTTTAGTACGATATAAGTACAAAATCAAGGACCATCCAAAGCATAATAAGCAATCTGAACTTTTCAAAAGATGAGAGGACGCACAAAAGACGTCATTCTCATCATCACCATCACAACTATCAGTAAGTAGCAGTAGTGCTAGCATTAGCAGCAGCAACAGCAGTAGTATTAGTAGTAGTAATAGCAGTAGCAGCAGCAGCTACGTCAGTACCTATGATTGCTTCAAGTTAAGCTGAACAAACGTCAGGCAAGCTTATCTGCTAGTTTCATCCTCAAACTATTCCCCACATCTCATTCTCATCAAAATCAACTCAATACCTCAACTCTATCAAAGACTTCAGCAAGTGGCAATCCCCATTTCGCTTATGCTTTTTGTTGAAGCTTAATTGCTTCCTACGAATTCTAATACGGATATGACATTCCTGGTTGATTAGAATCATTCCTGAAGTTAAAAAACAAACCTTGTGGCTATTATAGACTTCGAAGTGTACTCAACTTTATGTAACATAGTATCAGCTGGCTAATCCACTCAACCAACATAGCATTACTCCGCCAATATTTATTTCTTTTCTTAAAGAAAGGAAACAGTATAGATGAATGCTTGATCATGAAGAGAATCGGCAAAAATAAGCAAGCTTTTGGAGTGTTTCTTAAAAATACCACAAAAATTTGCATAATTATTTCCAGAAAAAAAAAAAAAGACATTGCCATAAAAAACCATATCCAACTGTCCCATATGTAATGCAATTTTTTATGCCATCAAATAGTACCTTGGAACTTTTTGAATAGAAACAGTTTCCGAATTTCTACTTCAATTATAAATTTTAAAGTCTCATTCAAAAATTAAGAGCTCATAAAAAATGAATAGGAAGTTCGAGAGTCTAATTTCGGATAAAAAACCATTTTCAAGTTTATTAATATTGCTGAAAAATTCGAAATGTCAATTTTAGATAATTAGAAAGTTTAGTCATTAACAATAAGATGAATGAGTAAACAAAAGGAATATATAATCAAAAGGGCCACGACTGATAAGCAATTATTAATAGAGCAGAAATTAAAAACAAGTAATTATTAATAGAGTAGAAATTATTTTGCAGAAGAAGAAAAGAAACAATGATCGACAAACTGCACGAAGATTGCCTCATATCCATATTCCAGAAGTTGGACTTCATTGATCGCGTACGTCTTGAGGTCGTGTGTCATAAATGGTTCGAAATACTACAGGTCCATTTTAAATCAGTTCATCAGTGTTATCAATGCACTGGGATTCAAATAGAAAGGATAACTATATGAAAATTCTCAAAAAAAATTTGCGATCGTTTGTAGGGGAATTTTAGAGTAACACTTTTTCAATAGAGAAAACTCATCGAAAACAAATTTGAAGATCTGCACAGCAAACAAAATATGGCAAATTACGTGGACAGATACAATATAATTTTGCTATAAAAGATGGCATTAATATTTAAATAGATGGATAAAAAATGCTTCATTACTGTGCAAATCATTAAATAAAATAATGCTTTCCAATTCACGCAACTTTATTCGAACCAAATTGTTTGGCAAATAAGCTTTTGTATTAAATTATCAATAGCAAGAAATAACGTATCGAAATATTTTGACTTTTACACCAAAAGAAGATATAATTATGATATAACTAAACATTTGACTGGGTTTAATACTTTAAGGCACATATCCTAAGCATATTGATTTAAGTATCTGCAAAAAAGCTAAAAAACAAACCTCATCATTATCTTTAAAGGTTGTTTTTTGTCTAATGCTGCTGAATGAAAAAAACATATTTATTATATGAACAAACTCGATTAATACTTTGCAGAAGCAAGCAACTTATGCGAACATTAAAGAATTGAATATGGCTGATTTTTTAGTAAATAATTCCAGTGGATACTTTCAGCAGGTATACCTCTAATCTAATCTATCCTAAATTATTTTTCTCCTTAACTCTCCAGAGAATGAAATGAATTTGATGAATATAATACACTTCCTCTACATAATATAAACATATATTCTATCAAGAGGCTCCGGCCTGGACTTTCAAACTCTTCGGCTGAGAACAATCGATGAACGTAGACTAAGGCTTGTTGTTATCGACAGACAACAAGGCACACTTCCAGTCTATTCATCTTTCACCCGAAAATCTCATCCACTTGTCTTTGAATTTAAAACTATTATTGTTAAATTACAACCAAAAATAAATCATGACAGTGAATCACAAATAGAAAAAAGAATTCAAGATACACTTGTTTGTATAAACAGAAATGTAAATCTACATATTCGTTTTACTGCCTTCCATTTTCTCACAAGTTTTCTTAACAGTCTAAACTCCAATTTTTCAGGAATTCATCTCATTCGCACCAACGGTTATTGGAGTGGTAAAACGTTGCGGACGTTACGTTCGGATGATCAGTTTTGGTCAACGATGGCTTAAAATCTCACAGCCTATTATTGACGCTATTGCCGAGTTAGTCTAATTCTTAAAACAACAAAAATGCATATGTGTTTTCATCCATATTCAGTATATGTGATATTTCAAAGCTCTTTTCTAATTTAGTTATTGCACTCGTCTAACAGAACTTGATCTTGGCTGCATTATTTTGGATGCTGATATATCCATCTTATTGGAGAAGACTGGCGAGAATTTGGAAATATTTTCATTGGAAGAGACTAGCTGGGTGAATAAAGATGATGGCGATAAGGTTTTAAGTATTACTTATTGACGAACAAGTGAATTTCAATGGCTTACAACTCTGGTTTCACTTCCACTTCTTGAATCTGTATTGCTTGAGATAATAATTGTTTCAACAATTGGAAATAAAAACAAGTGGCCAATACAATAACTGTTGTAATTATTGATATATCTTAAGCAAACTATGCGTTCTATTTCTTATATATATAAATAAGAAATAGAACGCATAGTTATATCTTATTATCTTATACTAACAAATTTCGGAAATGTTTTCAGGTGCAAGATTTCTTTCAGCGAATGAAAAGACTGAATAAAATCAATCTCAGACGAGCTTCATTTAAATTGAACAGACTTCACGAACTTCCTTCCTGCCTCAAGTAGGTCTTATCCTAAATTCTTCAGAGAAGATTTAAATACATATTTCTCATTGTGATGAATGAAGTGAAAACTTACAGAAGCATTGAGATCAGTGGAGCGAATTCACTTCCAGCCGAAATCTTAAATGTATTTCTCGCCCTACATCCAAACCTGACTGAACTAGAATTAAGTCCATTATCAGTAACAGATGATATGACTTTATCATATATCAGTGGCCTACCAGCACTACAATCTCTCCACATAGGATATATACAAAAAGAAGCTCAAGTTCTTCCAATGGAACCCTTAGCATTTTGCAGTACTATTCAAAACCTACACATTCAGGTAATAATTTTTGACCGTGCCATAACCGCACCTAATAGTACAAGTCACAAAAAATAATTATAGTGAACTCCCAAGGTGATTTTACGATAACTTTGGAGAACTATCTCTACAAGTGAAAAATCTCTTAAAAAACATTAATCAAATCGCCGATTTGGATAGAGTGTAGAAGTTGTGTAGTGAAAACAAAAAAACAAAACCAAAAACAACGTACAAAAGGAAGAAGTTTAAATGAATGATAGATTTTAAATAAAAGAATCAGTTTCAGAACTGCACTGCTTTGACAGGGCAAAGTTTACGACTAATACTAGAAGGACTGGTGAATTTGCGATCACTGACAGTTATGAGTTGCTCAAAAGTGTTTGATTATTCTTCGTTATCACAATGCCGTTTGCTAGATTCGTTAAGTATCGGATACTCGCCCCATCTCTCTGATGAGGAACTAATTCCACTAGCTGCACACAAGAGGCTACGCTCACTGACACTCAACAAGTGCTTCAATATCACCAACAGCTCCGTACTAACTATAATCAGAGAATGCACACTGAATAATGTTAGCCCATTAAGCCTGACTACCTTCTCAGTTTCTTGCCACTGATTACTATGAAAATAGAGAAGAAAAAAGATTTCTACTCAACAATCTTTTCGTTGTTTGCTTTTACCTGAAAATAACAATTTGGTCGAAAACTCTTATTTAACTGTTATGAAATTCAGATTGCACTCATCAACTGCGATGGAATAACAGATGAAGTGCTTTACTCTTTAGCATCAATTCAGTATGTCATTGAAACGATTTCTGTACAAGGATGTGCTTGCATTACCAGGTTACATGAATTTTACTGGATTGAAAAAAATTTAATTTTCACTATGAACAAAGATTTTTACCATACCAACAAAGCAATTGTGTTTCTAAGCGTCAAAGGTTGTGGTTGTTTCCTTTTAAGGACATAATTTTACTATTTATTATAGCAAAGGTGTAGCAGTTCTTGCACTAATGAAAAATATTACAAAACTACGAGAGCTCGATATTAGCTATAATAGAAACATTGATGATATGGCGATACTATCAATTCATAACGGACTTAAACTAAAAAAAAGAGAAAATGAACAAAACTGTGCAAATGGAGACAAGGAAAACGAGATACAACAATCTCATACTTCCAATGACCTAGTAAATAGTATTTCTCTATCCATTCTCAATTAAAAATAAAAACTTTGGGACGATAGAAAGTATACAGATCAGTGATTATTTTATCAGCCTCAAAAAATCCATGCAAAAAAAGATACATGCTAAAATAAGTGATGATTTGCAATCTTAATAAATAGTGTTGCTTAATTCTTTAAGTTAGAAATTATATCTATATTAGAAACATTACTATTAATAATAAGAAAAGTATTGATGCATTTGTTGCTAATCAAATATTTCTTTCAGTTGACAATTTACATATTCAAAACAAGCGTTTCGTTCCGGATTGAGTCTCACGTGAGTGATTTGATCAATTTATCAAATTAAACTTAATCAGCTACTTTCTGTGTATTTTTTAAAAGGTCACTGAAAGCGCACAGACATTTAAATTTATTCAACTTGTTTGAGGATTAAATATAAAATGTTTCTGGATAATTTAGAATAATTTAACCGAAATCCCCAGTGTACCATCGTCAAGCTTCAACTACAATCTCAAATAACTCCCCTATTCTTGACAATATCTGAGATGTGTTTTCATCTTCAAATTATTTAAACAGACTGGCCAAAAAGTTTACAATTTTGAAATCTGTCCTTAGATTCTCCTGTGCTTTTATTTCTTAATTCTTTAAATAATCCTCCGTTTATTTAATTATTTACTGAGTATTCATAGACAAGTCCTCTTATCAAAAACGCATTCAGAAATTTTTTAAGTACTTCATTTGTCAAGCAGTTAAAAGTATCTGCATATATCAGCTGCATCCTATTTCTTAAGCAAATCATTTTGAAAATTATTTTCATAAATATTTCTATAATATTGCTTATTCCATTACTGCTTGGTTTCATATAAATTTCTTAACGATACAGTGCAAAACTGAGCAAAGCGTTGTAACATTCGCAACTGATACTACTGCTATATGTTTTTCCTCTTTTGATAATCAATTGATATCCATTTGTTTCAATGTACATCCATTATATTTTTTAAATTTTAATATGCGGGTATTCAATTATGACCTTCATTATTTGGTTCGTTGTTTATTAGATAAAGGACAAAATATTTGTTCTAAGCCTACTTTACAAGAACATCAATCCATGATAAAATCTACAAAGAAAATTGACTGAAGACAAGTTTTCCATTACTCACAAGTTCACATCTAAATTCAAAAAATTCGAAAAATTCAAACTGCTGTAATATACCTGAATTATACATACGAATCACAAACAAATGCGCACAGTCATAATTATGCGTTCAGGAATATAAAGCTGCAAAATTAGCCTAGATAAAGTAATTCCAAACCTGGATAGGGTCGCCTACAAACTGTTGTTGAGCATATGCCCGAAACTGATGATATGTCTGACGATTGAGAGCTTCCTGAATTTGTTGCCTGCAAAACAGAATATATTAAATTGCTTTATAGATTAACATTTATGCAAAATGATTCTAGAAAAATGACAGTTGGATTTCATATCCCAAGATTCAAGAAACTAACCAGCACAGAGTCAAAAATTATTAGGTAGAGTGAGATTAAATAGGACGTGAAATGAAGACTATTGATCCAATGTTACTATTTTACACACAAGTGGGAAGATTCGGAATTTTGAATGACACGAAACCCACCTTATTCTTGCTATCTGGAAACACTCAGCTCGAATCAAGTAATTTCAAATTCAGTATTCAAACCCAAGATTTCCTTGTGTGTGTAAAGTCAGTCAACGGATTGAGAATTAAAATTTCCTGAACATAGTAGTCAGCTGCAGCGTAAAAATTGTATACTTTATATAATTAATAAAAAAGATAAAGTTTATACCGTTGTACTTCAAATCTTTCCAAATCATTCATTGCTTGAAAATCAGACTGGACCTTATTCTCCTCGTGTTCTTCACTGCAAGCGGAAATGTCCCAAAGCTTGAACTTTTAGTTTATCAAATGAGAAAATAAAGCTTAAGCAATCGTAGTACCGAAAACGATACTTTCAAAGTGTTAAGAATTCGTGTACCGCTTTCAATATGTGCAATCTCAACAACATGAAATAACAAATAGATCTGGAAATAAAGCTACCTTTTGAAATTCACTTGTGACTGTAAATGTTCGTTGACAAAATCACGAAATGATGGACAAACAACATCGAGTAGCGTAATGAATGCTGACATTGCATCAGAAGTACTTAAGGTACCCAAATCTTTCCAAGCTTTCCTGAAATGTGAAATCTGATACCGATTGATGACTATAAAACATTCATTTGACAAACAAGAAATTATTCCTTACAAACTGAAAACAAACTGCTATTTTTTAATTTTTAGAAGTAACGTGCTGTCTAACAAAAACAAAAAAAAAAACACACAAACCATATTAACAATTTAAAAAAAAAGTGATACCGTACTTCTGAGATTAGTCTGGTTCAATGTTTCTGATTTAGAGGCCATAGGATAAATAGCAGGTATGAGATAAAAATCATAAAATTATAAAATTTTGCAGCGATAAGAAAAGCACCAGGCTCACGAAACTTCCAAATTTTCCCGAAATTTTGGTAGTGGAATCCATTATTCTCAAGCATATATAGGCCAGGATTATCAGTCTTCGAAATTTTAATTTGGCAGATTTCTAGGAGAAAACTATGAATTTATTGAAAGTGAATTAACTGAAGCATGCTTAGTTATATATATATATATATAATTTGTGAAGTGACACAATGTGAGTTGACAATAATGAGCCGACGAAAGAGAAGTGGAGAGAAGGATGAATGTTAACAAGCCTGTGAATGATGTAAATTCGTTTGAAAGGGTTCAGTAAGAGAAAATCTTTAGTCTGTGGCTGCTTTTTGGGATGAGCTGTTGATATGATGATGGGCCGATTTTTCTGCTTTCATGGGGACTGCTCTAAACCGTCTGGATATAAATCGGAACTGGTGAAAAATAACGGTTAGGAGCCATTAAAAACTGAGAGTTGTAGGCAGAAACAGGGAAAAATACGCCAAGAATATGATAATATTTATATCAGGAGGGACATTAAAAGAGACGACACAACACACTGACAAATCACATATAGACTAACGATATGTTTTTAGAAGATGTAAAAAAAAATGAAAAAAGGATGCAAAAATTTTAACTCAGCTCTTAGGTCAGTACCAACGCTTAATGAAAACTTAGAAAAAATTCATAATACAAGCAGTAAGCAAGTTTGTACCTATTGTTTAAAATCAGTATATTACCTTTCTTCGATAGTGAGAAACACAGGCTTTGCACAGATACAAAATACTTTTCAAATAGTAATAGAAATATCAGTAAGAGCAAATTTACCAAGCTATACCTGCACTTTTTTATATCTACAACTTTTTATGAAGCTATAGATATAAACAAATTTTAGAGTAGTCAATCTGTCTTCTTCTTTAAGTAATGTTAAAACTTTACTAAGTTTCAACACATGGTGCATATATTAGATACCCAACATAAAAACTACAATATCACATTTGGAGCATTTTTATATTGTGCATTAAACGGACTAAACGGAATAATTTGAATAACTTCTATCAAAGTTCAGAATGCAGAAATTGTGCATGAAATAAATATATCTTATTAAACCAACTCTTTAAAAAAACTGAATTATGGACACTATTACTAACAATTATCTATTTCATGTTCTTTCTTTTTCATTTGTGAACTCGCTCTCACTAGATTGACAAGTCATTAGTATACACAATATTTTTATTACTAAATTCTTTGCATCGACAAACACCTTTATATCGATTTCTCACTCCAAGAATTTTTTTTTTGTTACTCCAAGATTTCCAAAAATCTCAACACAAGAAATACCATATCTATTTTAAAAGATTTTCTTTCACCATATCAACATAACAAACAAATGTTCCTACGTAATAGAAAAAAATCATTTTTTGGAAAGCATATCGCTACGACTTGTCATGCATGATAGAAGTTTTTTTACCCAATTGAAGATTGTAAAAAAAGTGGGCAAGGAACAAAAGTAGATAAAAAAAAGTAGAGAATAAAATTCAAAAATAATTTTCGCACACAACTGACGGTAGTAAACCATTTTAACATCAACGTACACTATTAAAAAAAATGAAGTGAAGCAGTAAGCAAACAAAAGCTTTTCGTATGCAGGTGCATATAGAAGTGTGAATAGTTGTTTTATGCGTATAAATGTATGAATAAATATATATTTTTCATGTTATAAAACTGTAATATCCTTATATACGCGAGTATGTTTAGCTCTTCCACAAACAAGCTACAATCTCCACTTAAAACAAATTATCCACTAAGTAATTGAATTTAATCAAAAAAAAAAAGAGTCACTAGAGAGGTTCACTGAATGAAATACTATCGATTAATAAAAACAAGTGAAATCCAAAGAAAATCTGAAGATCAACAAATATGCTGCTAGGTGTATTGAATTCCGCTGTCCATTTTGGAACAGATAATTCTGCTTCAGGAATAGGCTATAAAACTAATGCAAAAAGCTTACATACAAAAAGTATTCAACGAAACAGTGTATGACAAGAATTAAAGTTTCTTGAAATTTCTACTAGCAGACTTACGTTCTATCGCTACCAACAAGGTCAAACCATCCAGAATCATCTGCAGTTGCATCATAAGGACCGTAGCGTACCTGCTTTGAATATGCCATGAATAGCAATCGTTTTTCGTAGGGTACCATAAGCTCACAACTGTGTTTTCTTCCTTAAAAAAGGTAAAGGTGTAGTAATAACGATACTCTTATATTATCATCCATGACAAAGCAAAAGAGATTCTAGAAGCATCTAATAAAATATTTCTGCATTGACTATTGTGGCAAAGAATAATAAAATCTCAACTGATACTATTGGTAGCAACTAAGGATATCATTTCCAGTAGGATACCTCGATAAAAAGATATGGCCAATTTGTATATATCTTCCAATGGCGCTCCAAATTTGTTCATAATTAAGTCGGTTTCTCCAATAGCCATATCACCGTCTCGTTCAGATGCCCGGTTCTCCATAAGTAATTAACCTAAACAAATCTAAGAAGACTAGAAAGACAGGCGTACCAAGCGTCAAAAGCGAAATGAATGGGCAACGATATTTTGGTGCGGTAAAAAGTGTGAAGAACAAGATGAGGTTCACGACGAATAACTGACCAGATTATTAGCTTTATGTAAGCAGACAAAAATTATGTGAGTGAGAAGCACTATCGCGCTTTTCACTTATCAATATTTCCTTTCACTTCAGTTTTCAAAAAATAATTTATAAAAAAAAATGGACGGGTAGAACAATGTAGTTTAAGAGTAATTTAAGAGACCTCTCCCCTCCGTAAATCTACAACAGTCATCCACGAAGTTGGGAGAGAAGGGACACTGCCACGCATAAGTACAGAAAATAGAAAAGAAATGGTACACTGGAAACAGAACAGAAGAATGGAGTCGGCCAAGCCGCACAATGCCGGTGGTCATGTAGAATAGTGGCACGGATTACCATGGAATTCTTTTTTGCAATGACAGATCGTTTTGTGGGTGCAATGGCAGAGTAGGGTAATAGAGTAGTTGGACAATGACCGCTTCTCATGTTTGAGCTTACTTCCCTCCACAGGGTTATCCGTTTATTGCGAACTCTATTTCGGGATGGAGAGATTGTAATTTCCCAATTAATTTTAATTTTAAAGATGCACAGTCAGTCATCGGATGACCGCAAATTAGGAGTTATGTCCGGAATTAAGGACGTAACATCAATCGTACAAACATTGCCTTCGGGCAGCTCTACATCACGTTCGGTCGTTAGCCAGCAGAAATCGCTTCCAGACTCGCAAGCAGTTTTACTTGCCAGTGGTTCCGTTCCACCAGGCACCTCACTCAGGTTATTTTTTTATTCGTATAAAATATGAATTGATGCCTTACTTACATGAATTGTATGCATCTGCATAGCCTTGCATAGTCAACGTCGAAGTAATCCTAGTGCATAGCAATCCTTATATTTAGTCATTTTTAAACTAATTTCAGAGATTTTGTGAATGACCTAGACAATTATGTACCAACAATACCTGATGCTGTTACAATTCATTATATGAAGAAAAGTGGAGTTGATTGTGCAGACTCACGGGTTATACGTTTATTCTCACTTGCAGCTCAAAAGTTTACATCAGATATTATTTTGGATGCTATGCAGCAGGTATATTGTTCATTGCAGAAGTTAAGGAGAAAGAAGGTGTCTTTTTCCCAGTTGTATAATATTTTCTTCTTGTCTTGAATTGTCTTATCTTTTTTTACAAACGAAATTTTCCTCTTACAGTTAGAGAAACTATAGAAACAGTAATGTTCGTGAGTTTAATTGCACATGACATTGTTTTTTTACAAGAATTCTTAAATGGATGACATTGCTTAGCATTTCAACGTTTGAACTTAATGCTGAGACAATTTTTGATTATTTTAGGTTCTTTCAAACATTAGCATGTTAGTCACTTTTATATTGTTCATTTCTCGGAAACTCTTCAGGCACGTATGAAAGGGTTGGGACAAACAAAGAAAGGTACCAAAGAAACACGTTACACGCTAACTTCAGAACTATTGGAACCCGTGCTTGCTGAATATGGTATCGAATTGAAAAGGCCACCGTATTTTCAGTGACTGTCACTGAATACTAAAAAATACATAAGCATAGAATTTGAGTTTTGTTCTGTATAATCGTCATGTATTTACTTTAATCATTTAATGTACATACTCCATGATTTTATTGTTCACTGGAACTGTGGGATCATTTTGAACAACTTCCTGTAACACGTATCAAAAATAGTCTTTTATATATAAATCCTTTTATCTCTTCCTATTGCCCAGATACCCTTTTAATGGAATCACGGAAACCTTAAAATATGGCGTTTTTTTCAAATCTTAAAATAATCTAAATCGCGGTTTTCATTTCTTCTCGCAGAAAATTTCAGATCCTTTATCAATGAAACTGCCATTAATAGTAATATTTTTGGAAGTATTTCATATATCTTCTGCATACTTCTTTGGAGATATATTTTTGAGTATTTTCTGTTATAAAAAATTGAGTACCATGAAAAAAATTAAAATTCTTAACTAAATATGGTGTCTCTTGCAAACAAATTCATAATTTTCATGATTCAGAATACTGATAAGGATTTAATTTGCATGGATATAATGGACTTGCTGGACTGCTCTGGAAATAAAGTTACGAAACCAAATTTTAGGAAACAACCATGAGGTCTAAAGTGTTTGTTTATAAATCATGCAAAAATATGACCCATTTGGCGTGTCGATTTTGCAATGATGAATCCGCGGTTCATGTTGTTGATCCTCTGCTGGATTTACATTATCGCTTTAAAGATATGAAAAGGCTTAAATGCATGATTGAAGCGAGGTAAGCTTAAAATTCAACCCGAATGATTGATAAATTGTACTGGAAAATAGGGGATTGAGTTTTAAAAGAAGTTGAAATTCGTAGGACGATAAATGCTATTGAAAAATTTTATATTGACCTTTTATCATTGCAGTATTTTAAAACATTCATTGCCAAGCTTATACACAGTTTTAAAAACTTCGTAATTTAATAAGTAGCAAATAACTAGTTTGTATTGCGGTATTATGATCAATATGGTAATGCAAACTGTTTATGACTGTTCATTTTATATTCAGTTATCGCAGTTCTGATATTTAACGAAAATACTTGTTGTTTTAGAGGATTGAAAATTGATGTTGAAAGCGTTGCTGCAAATTATAATAGATGGTGGAATGTTTACACAAAGTGGCGTGATTCTACTGCTAAGGTGCCTTTTTATTCATTTACTAGTCCAAGTGCACAAATTTTATTTCAAAAAATTCGTAATTTTATTTTATTTTATTTTTTTTTCTTTCATAATAATTTATTGAATACGAGATGAGATGGCATCAAATTAAAGTTTTCATGTAAAATTTGCATGTTTTTATGTACAATTTTATAAAACTGTTTTAGTCGCAGGCAGAAAAGTTATTGCGTAACCGCGAGTTAAGGCAGTGCATGCTGAAAGAAAGTGAGGGATTGCTGGATGCTTTGAGGTTACCAAATGATTTATCAGCCGATACTATGTGTGAAGTTACCGCTCCTTTGTTCAGTGAAGTTGACTATGAACAAAACAACAGGCATATATTTTTTTTGCAAAAAGCGGGTATGATAAAGGTATCATATTCACTAATAGATTTTTTAATATTCTTTATAATAGGGCTCTCTCATTCACTGAATTCTAAGTATGACTGAAAGTAAATCTAAAGCTTTGGATTTTTTGTGCGGTTCTATTAATTTGGTAATCACACCAGAATAAATTTAACTTTACTTTTTGCAGGTAGAACCTTCAATTTCAAATGCACATCTCATAGGACTCCCAGCTAGTTTGCAGTATTTTCTGCAAAAGTTGTTCCGTGAAGAACTTACTGGGAATATTCTTAATGTAATAGTTATAATTTTTGACGAAAATTTATGTGCCTTTTCACACTGATAAGGCTGTATCGTAACCTCTTGTTACCTCTCGAAGAGATTCAAAATTAACCATCGGACTTTTTATAAGTCTACTATAATTCTTGCTCTATTGATCTCCTGCATTCATTATGCATACATAACTTCTTATAACCCGACTTTTGCATAAGAAATAGCTAAATGTTGTGATTTTTTTTTGAGTGTAATTTTTAGGTTTCTCCACCCTACTTTGTGCGTGGTGCAATAATCGATGGTGTGAATATGTCAAAGGAGTCTTTCCCGCTATTTGCCAGTGATGCGCATAAAAGATCTCTCTATTTGACAGGTATTTCTTTTATTTAATAATTAACTGCAGTATTTTATGCATACTATAGCTATTTTTAATTTATCTACTTTCCACACTTCCACGAAGCATTGCAACTTCCACTACAAAGCTAAACTTGCAAAGACTTAGTTTTATAAAAATGCTAGATGTTTTTGTATAATCTTTGCTGAAATAGGAGAATATTGCTGTACATAACACTTCAACTGTTTATAGCTTAATCAATTCATTACTTAATATTATTAGCCTATTCAGTATCTTCATAAATCATTTCCAAGTCAAATTAACAGAAATCCTTTATCTGGATTAGTTTCATTATTTTCTAAGCGATAAAATTTTAATCGATTTTTTGAATGAGATAAAGAAAAAAAGGATTTTTTATGGCTTCTGCACAAACATCTACGTTCTTACTGTCATTGTAAGCCATTGATTTAAAAACCCTCAAAACATTTCCTGAAACTTTGGTCGATTCTTGTGAGACGATAAATGGTAAAATGCTTGAATCATCAAATTAAGTTCAAAGAATAGTAATTTTAGGTCATAGTATCCCTTCGCTGGTTGCTTTGTTTGTGAAAAAATCCTTCACGATGAAGACAAATAGATGGCCTCTTCGTTTGCTAAGCAGTGGAGCTTCTTATAACATTCCAGGCAGCGTACCATCTTCCATTCTTAATTTGAATAATATTTCACAACGATTAAAGATAGTGCTGCTGTCACTGTGTAGAACGGACGAGGAAGAAGACAGTGAATATAAATTTCTGACTAAATCAGTACAAGCTATTTTGGAAGACAAATTATCTCTAGAAATTGCTTCATCGTTTGTTCCTGCTTATAAATTATTAAATTTCGAATCTGGTGCAACTGGCTTGTCAACTTCAACTGAAGTTGAGGTAACTGTTTTCTTAAAATATTTTTTCATTTTTTTAATTTTTATATCATTTTTTTAAATTTTTTATTTTTATATCTGAAAAGTAGTAGTTAAATATACTGAATTTGTTAATTTAAAAAGTTTAATTTGATTTATGCATTACTCTGGTTTTCTGTATATTTTATTCGATTTAACGGAAGCATCATATATACGGACCTTTTGCATGGCTGTATTAACTTTCGTTGAAGTCAATTAATATATGTTCTATAAATCAAAAATTTGTCATTTACTGTTCAAAGAAGTATCGAGATTGTTTACTAGTAAGATTTCCCAATATTCAGATAGCTCGTATTTCTACGATTGGTTCATATATCTCCCGTCGATTATGTATTTTGCTTGATTCGAAACCGAAAAATGTTGATTTTGTGCGAATGGTTTTTGTTGACATTGATCTTACAAGGTATAGAAGGATCTTTTTTTAAAAACATTGCTTTTCGAATGAAAATTTGTAGTATGTCAAAATGTAAATCTTCTATAAATTTGCTTTTTCAGAATCGTTGCTTCATTGATCGAAAAACATGTGATATCTGGAGAGTCTGTGCCAGAAAGCATCAATTCTTTTCTTACTCGCTCACTTATTCAGTCTTTAAATTCTCAGAAATCATGAAAGAATGGGAATTCTATCATGTCATATGTTCCTTTAAATAATTTGTCTTAATTATCTTTATTGAATTTAGTTTTTCTGCTATTTCTCAATCATCTTCCTTGCAGTGAAAAAAATGATCTTTCATTGTTAAAGATCAAGTGACAATTCCTATTATATTTGATAATTTATAAAAGTCAAAGAAAGAACTGTGACCAAAATTCTACATTGGAAATAAATTTTTCTGGCTTTGTACGCTTCGTCCATTTCAGAAATTCAGTATTTGATTATGTTATAAAATCTATGTGTGTATGTTCTTTCATGCAGGCTTAACCATGTAGTACTTAAGTTTGTCTGTTAGACAATCAGAGCCAGTTCTGCTTTGTTTCGATTGGAATATTTAATTTCTTACAGATAATTCGATTTTATACATTTCTTTATTCAGTCTTTTGTTTTGTTTGTAAAATAAATTCGTGTCTATTTTATTTTTTGGTTCGATGCAAACAAATTTTTGCTTTTATGTGTTTCCTTTAATTATAAGCTTTTCCTACCTGTATTCATAAACTTTGTAATTCTTGATGACATGCGCGTCTTATAATTACTTTGATGACAGCCGCAAGTTGAGTGATGTCTTACATCAAATCGTTTTGAGGTACAGAACTTTTATATTTGTGCTGAACTGTGCCAATCACAAGAATAGAAAATATGCTTGAAATTTGATCTCAATTTATTCTTGGTATTTTCGTAAGACAAATGGAATCGTTTCATACGATAGGATGGATTTATGCCCCAGAAATCCTTTCAAGAACGACATCAGCAGTGTGCTGATGAACGTATTATACCGATGCGACGAAAAAGAATGATGAAAGGATGTGCGATATTATATGAAAAGGTGTTTGAAGGAGTGTTTAGGCACTCGATATGCGTTTATTTGAATTTATCGTGGCAAGGTCACTTCAACTAAAGGAATTTTTTTTCTGCTCTGTGATGCATAAAAATGACTCCTCAAACGACATTTATGTTTTTTGTAGATCTTCTGAGGTTCATCTGAAGATGGATGGTCGTATTTTTGTAGCTTTTTTTTGCTTTCACTTATTTTCATTCGCTTTTTTTCATTGATTTTCCTTTTTGAAGAAGCTAATTTTTTCTTTCATTTCTTTTGCCATTTTTATCTTATTTATATTTTAAATTCAAATGAATACTACTGTGACTAAGTTTGCAAGAAGTCAGAGTTTTGTTGGAAGTATAGATTAAGGTGACGTAACTACCATCATGGGTTTTAACATTATTAGTGATCGAGGCTACCCATCAAACTGATATTTTTGTATGTTCTGGTCTTGAACCGGTTTCAAGTGCGTTGCTTAGCAGTTAAACTGTTTTTCTCTAACTCATTTTCATTGTAGATGCAATTTGTTCTCTTTCCACGTTATGACTCTTCCGTATTTTTTGGATTGCATCATTTTTCCATAAGTGATTAATTAACATTATGTTCTAATTAGAGTTCTTTATGGTCATCTTGTATCTGCCAGTATCTAACTTATGATGAGTCTTCCTCCAGTTAAATAGATCAAATATAATTTTACCTGTCACTTCGAGTGTCTGAAGTAATTATAGAGCTAGTCAGCATTGCTTTGCATTTGTTTTGACATTTTGTTCTGGTTGTTTTTTCCTCCTTTAAAAAAGCGACATTTCAAGAACCAGTCCAATTGTATTGTTGTTTGGAGTTGAAGCATAGAGCGGTAAAACTGTTGGAGATGTAATAAATTGGTAGTAATCTTGAGATGACCTATTTGCATCTTTCTTCTTCAGCTTTTCTTTATTGCTCTTCTCTTTAGTTTCCTCCTTCAATTTCAATTTTTTTTTTTTTTTTTGAGAATGTTATGTATTTCTTAATGTTTCTGCGACATCACTGATTGCTTTCCTTCCAAAATTTTTTACTCTTTATTCTTGAGTTTTCAAAATTCAGGAGTTTAAATACGATGAGATGCGAACAAAAGATTTAGTACAGAATGATGTGAAATAAATTGATGCGACAAATACGGAGCTCTGCAAAGAAATTGGAAGCTTTCTGACCATTTCATGAAATAGGTTTGCCTCGTTAGATCTCCAAAATGCAGAAGATGTACGTGTCCTCATATGTCAACCTAAGGATCTTAATTTAACTTAGAGCAGTTAGTAAACAATAAATCTAGGACCAAATTCACTGTATTTAGTTTTAGTGGGGCATTGGAAGGATTTTATTTCACTAATAGAATTTGCTTCATCGGTCAAAGTCAAAGTTCAGCAAAAATTGTCATCAACCTTAGCCAAAGAGTGGTACTGGAAGGTAGTGACCAGGCAGTCACATACTGTGTACAAGCGGTGGGTTAAAAGTAACTCTGCTGTGAAATATTAAAGTGACACTTTCTTTTTCCTTTCAAAATGATATTCAACATCTTTGGTCATTTATTTTATCATTACTATTACTTAAATTCTTTAAATTGCATAACACGTCAGTAATACGTGAAGAGGAATGGATGGATAAAGATTGGAATGAAGAGAAGAAGGATGAGTAGTGCATTCGCTGGTGACCATGTTAAGTAATTTGCGCTGCGAAATTTCTTTTAAAAATAAGTTACAGCCTATGTTTTCATGAGATGTTGACTGTAGGTGAGATATTTATTCAACTTTTCAGTTTTTAGCCAATAAATTGAAATATTTTCAACTATTCGATCAAAAAGTCTGCAGTGCTTGACAATTTCTATGTGTACTTTTAAAAGACTAAATTATTTTTCAGTTACATTTTTCCCACTTACAGTTGGCTGCGATTATGCTAGGAAAATTTCATCGAAAGCTGATGTACTCCAGAATGTATCGTCGATAAAATCATCAGTAAAAGTGTAGAATTTTTAAAACATTTTATTAATCCTAATAAATTTTTGAGAAACGACATATCAAAAGACGCAAAATCGAATTCACATCTTCTGCTGGAGTAATCAAAAAATCTAAAGGAAAATCACAAAACTGATAAATTTTGAAAACCTCAATTCTCAACATAGAAAGCAATAGAAATCGATATTTCCATTGAGTGGAAAAAATCCGGACGGAGAGAATTGTATGGTTGAATAATCGAATGTTTTCGAGACTTGATTTCATTTTCACCAGGTCGAAAAAATTATAAACTTTTGGACCTGCATAAAAGCACGTACGTAGAGTAATGGAAAATATGCCTTGGTAGTATCAGGTGAGTGGGTTGAAATGTTTTTGCCTAACAGTTGTTCCCAGAGGCTAATATTACTTCTTATGATTTTATACAAATAGTTGAATAAAGGAGATTTTAGACAGTGATGAATGTGTGTGTCCTTACTGACATAATAAGCAACTTCTTTTTTTTTTTGATATTTGTTAAATTTGATAAAATAAGAAAAGAAATACAGGAGCTAGAAGAAATAAGAAATGAAGGAAAGGAAAAAAATAGATAATGCAGTGTTGATTGGTGCGGAATGCAGTTTGATATCTTCTCCATCGTCTTCCTTTCCATTCTAAAGAGGCATTTATGATTTCTGTGCTGATTCGTCTTTTATTTGCATGCCTGACAACAGGTCACATTCTTCCTTCGCTTTCCACTTATTTTTCTCCTCCCAATCATTTCATCATGGAGATTTACTGGATACTGAAGTATAGGTGTATGAGATCACGAATTCCTTCTACTGGTGTCATGTGTATGTTTCATTAGAGGCATTCTTTAGAGAGAGTATCATTGCTATATCGTTGTAGGCAGCTTCCTTCCTTTACAACTCCAGTTCGCCATCTCTTTTTTCAGAGAAGTTTTCTACCGTTTCATTAATGACCATTAAATCTTTTGAAACATTTCACATACCATGCCGTATACCAAAATTGTTTCTTTACCATTTCCATCTTCAGCCAATTACCGTTTTTGCAATGATTTTTCTTTATTATTGTCTTGTTAGAAATTTTTCACAAATATTCTGTATTTATAGCTGAATTTATCGTAATTTATCCTAGTGTTTCCATGCTATCATACATAAGCTTCAGGACACAAGATTACTGAGCTTAATTTTATCATTATAATTGCTTCTTTAACACAGCATTTTCACAAACATGATTTTATCATTTATGCTTTTAATCATTGCAAGTGAAATGGACGACCACTGTTGTCATATAGCATATATTTACTTTGGTTTTTTTTCTCTTCTGCATTTTAACAATTGCTTACTAATATCTACTCATCTTATAAAAATAAAAACTTCACACTGATTTTTACATTCTAAAAAGTGAGAATGAGAATATGAAAATTTTCTCACTCTATATTACAGATAAGCCAATGCTACAAAGTCCCAGTTAAAGCTATAAGCTATATCAGCCCTATCACTCACTTGCTTAGTTTCCGCGGAACAAAAGATCATTACATGCTTATTTCAATTTCAGAGGATAAAAGTAGCTACGAACTTTTCATTAGTTAAATACAGCTTAGATAGTGTTTTCGAGAACATTTCGTTAGATACCAAAAGTTGACCTTGAACTGATATTAGGTGTCCAGTAATACAGTAGTGGATTGATGATTGCTTCGCCTTTCGATTCTTGTCGTCCGCAATTGGTGTTGGTGTTGACGAGGCAGTGAGTAGATTGAAATGCATCGTAAGTCCTTCATGTCCCGGTTGTAGTAACAACAAGATGGATGCATCACACCTATCGCATGTTATTCTGTCTGTTGTCTTCACTCAGTAACTTGTCACAATTTTAGCGATCAAAAATTATATTAGTAATTTTAAGTATAAAGTAGAAATTGGTTTTTTTTTCTTTTATGAACTCTACTATTTCACATTAGCCTCATAGTACCATAACGTTATGACAGTTAAACTTTCTTTTATATCAGGAATAACTTCTAACTGCACAGTGTTTACGGAGTTTACGGATATGTATCGCAGCGTTACCATGAAGTATGAGGGAAACGTAGCTAATGCAAAGTGTATATCTGCTCAATTCATATCGCTTATCATTTACCCATCCTGCAAAGTGCATTT